GGAAAATGAACGAATTTCTGGTTAAATAAAGTAATCCCCCAAAGAAACAAATAAAAAAAAAAAAAAAAAAAAAAACAAATAGAAAATCGTCGAGGAAGTCAAACCCACCAAGAAAATCATCAAAAAGAAGAGGCCAGTGCCGGATAAAGATGAAGTTACGGAGGAAGTCGTGGAGGAGATAACAATCGAGGAACTGCAGGAAGAGGAAGCGGAACCGATCGTAGAGGAAGTGGAAACTGTGACGATCACCGAGCACGATGTACGAAAAGCTCCGAAGAAGAAGAAGGAGGTGGTGATCAAAGAGGAAGAGGAGATCTTCGAAACGATCGAGACACCCACCCAGAAAATAATCAGGAAGAAGATTCGTCCGATGAAGAGAGGGGAGAAAGTGGAGGAGATTGTGGTGGAAGAGATAATCCAGAAAACGGGAGAGGAAGTGACCAAAATGGAGGAGCAGCAAATAGTCGAAGTCGTGGAGACACCCACTAAGAAAGTTGTGAGGAAGAAGAAAGCTGTGGTGAAAGACGACGGTGTTCCCGAGGAAATTGTTGAAGAGATCGTTATCGAGAAGCCGCAGAAAGAGAAGGCGAAACCAAAAGTGGAAGAAGAAAAAGAAACGGTTACAATAACGAAAGTTGATTTGAAGAAAGCACCGAAGAAACCTGAGGAAGAAGTGGAAGAAGAAGAAGAGATCATTGAGACTGTTGAAACTCCAACGAAGAAGATCATTCGAAAGAAACCTAAGGATAAAAAGGAGAAGGTAGTGGAAGAAGTTATAGAGAAGACTATAGAGGAAGCGAAAGCTATGGAAGAACGTGAAATCGTAGAGATCATTGAAACGCCGACCAAGAAAATTATCAGGAAGAAGAAAGCTACTATAACAGAAGGCAAAGCTCCTGAGGAAGAAGTCGAGGAGATCGTGATCGAGAAACCTGTGAAGGAGACAGCCAAAAGGAAGATTCAGCCGAAAGAAGGTTTAGAGATCACTGAAATTGTAAGTGAAACTTCCGTCGAGAAATTGCCCGAAGAGAAGATTGAGCCTGAAGAAGCGAAGCCTTCGGAAGTGGAAAAAGAAAAGGCAGAGGTCACCCAAGTGGAAGTGAAGAAGGTACCGAAGAAAAAGAAGAAACCGTCAACAGCCGTCGAAGCAGAGGAGAAGGAGGAGGTTGTGGAAGAAGTGAAAGTCGAGGTGCCTAAAAAGGAGAAGGCGAAACCAACTGTCACGGAGAAAGAGAGTGTCGAAGTGACTGAAGTGATTTCTGAAATGATCACGGAAGAATTTCCAGAGGAGGTCAAACCTAAGAAGAAGAAAGCTATTGAGATTAAAGAGACGGAAGAAAAGGTGATCACGAAGAAGGTGAAGGAGGTGAAGGAGGCACCGAAAGAAGGTGTACCTGAAACTGAAGAACAGCCGGAAGAAGAGGTAGAAGAACTTGTAACTGAGAAGCCGAAGAAAACGAAAGCCAAAAAGGAAGTTACACCTCAGGATGGTATTATAACTACCGAAGTTGTTCCTACAACTGCGGAAGAAGAACTGGAGGTAGAGAAACCGGAAGAAGATAAGGCTAAAGTGGTTGAGGAAAAGGAAGAGAAGGCTAGAGTGGAAGAAAAGAAAATTACCGTGAAGAAAGCTCCGAAAAAGAAATTGACACCGAAGGAAGCTGAAGAGGAACAAGTAGAGGAAGTTGTAGAAGAAATTACGGAGGAAGAACCAAAGAAAAGAAAAGCTAAAAAGACTGTTCTTCCTAAGGAGGAGTTACAAACAACTGAAGTGATTACTGAGGTTACAACAGAGGAGATAGAAGAAGAAAAGCCAAAGGAAGAAAAGGCTGTTCCTAAAGAGGAAGAAAAAGTTGAAGAAGAGGCAAAGGTTACTGAGGTTTCTGTGAAGAAAGTGCCCAAGAAGAAAAAGAAGGAGGAAGTTGTAACGAACGGTGAGGTGATTGAAGAAAAACCAAAAGTGAAAGAAATTCCTGAGGAGAAACCAGAGGTGAAGGAAGAAGTGAAGGAGGAAAAGCCAGAGAAAAGGAAAGCAAAGAAAGAAAAACCGAAGGAAGTGAAGGTGGAAGAGGAAAAACCAGAAGAAGAGAAACCGGAAGAAATAAAACCTGTGGAAGTAAAACCAAAGGAAGAACCAGAAAAAGAGAAGCCGGAAGAACAGAAACCAGAAGAGAAGAAACCAGAGAAAGTGAAACCTGAGGAAAAGAAACCCGAAGAAGAGAAACCGAAGGAAAAACCAAAGAAAAAGAAAATCCCAGAAAAGAAACCCACCGTTGCAGAAGAGGAAGAACGCGAAGAAAAGGTAGAAGAAATACCGGAAGAGAAGCCAAAGAAGGTCAAGGCTAAGAAAGAAGTTGTTCCAAAAGATACTGTTGAAACTACAGAAGTTGTCCCAGAAACCATTGCCGAAGAACTACCAACAAAGAAACCTGAGGAACGCAAAGCAGTACCGGTCGAAGAGAAACCAGAAGAAGAAGTCGTAATCGAAGAAGTTCCTGTAGAAAAAGCTCCAGAAGAAAAGGAGGAAACAGTATCAGAAGAAAAGCCGGAAGAAGTTCCAAAAGAGAAGCCAAAGGAAGTCAAGGTTGTGAAGAAAAAGAAAAAGAAGGTGGTGAAGAAAGATGAAATCGAGGAATGGGTTGAACCAGAGTACGAACGGCCTGTACTGGAACCCATGCCTGAGAAAATCCAATGGGAACCGAGGAAGAAAAAGGAGAAGAAACCTTTGCCAGAATCTTTGCAAAAATTGGTTCCTCAAAAGATCGAAAGGAAAGAGATCAAACCCACGAAGCTCAAATATTCAGAGCCAACAGAAACTGTCCAATTCGCTACGATCAAACTGAAGAAAGTGGCAGTCGCGAAGAAGAGAGAGGTCGAGGAAGCCAAATTCCCGAAGATCCTGTTGCGAAGCAGACTCACGTTCGTCGGTGACTATCCCCCAGAAATACAGTATCCAGAGATAACGGAACTTGAAGAAAATCCGGTTCAAGCGGGCATTCTGTCTAGAAACGCCGAAGAAGCTCTGGAAGTGTTAAAAAGAAAGGTGAAGAAAGTTAAACTTCCTAAGAAAGAAATTACAAAACTGGAGAAATTGGACCAAGAATTTGAAGAATTGAAGAAAGTACCTTTGGAGAAAGTGGAGGATAAATCGATATACGAACGTCCGCCGAAGAAACCTGCGGAGAAACTTGAAGAGCCACAGAAGCTGGTTGTTGGTAAAGGCAAAGTGCCTGAAGAGGAGAAAGTGGAACCTGAGAAAGTCAAACTAAAGAAGATTCCTGAAAAGAAACCGGAAGAGGTTGAAGAGCCATTGAAGAAACCACCCAAACCAGAACCTGAAGAGGAAGTTAAACCAGAAAAGAAGGAAAAACCGAAAGTGAAATTAGAACACGACGAGTTGAAGCCTCTGGACTTCGACAGACCAGAGCTGGAGAAATATGAGCCCGAGAAATACGAAGAACCGGAAAAACCAGCGCCAGAGCCAGTTCCAAAACCGTACGAACGAGAACAGAAAAAGAAACCAGATCAAGAGATTGAACAAATTCCACTGATAAAGGGAGAACCGAAACCACCAGAACCTGATGAAGAGCCTGAAGTTAAATTTAGAATACCACAAAAAGAAAAACCTGAAGAAGAACCGGAAAAGATAACGTTGAAGGGCTGGAAAAAGGATAAACCTGAAGACGAAGGAGTGAAAGAGTTCCCGGCAAAGGAAGAGGAAGAAGCACCTAAAGTCCCGAAAGAAGAACCTGAAGAAGTCACTGTGAAACGTAAAGCTAAACCAAAGAAACCAAAAGAAAAAGCTCCTAAGGAAGAAGAAGTAATACTAAAGAAACCTGAGGAGGAGAAACCAGAAGAAGTACCAGAAGTAGTTGAGGAAATTATTTTGAAAGAGAAACCAGAGAAACCTGTTGAAGAAGCTCCCGCCGAAGTTACGATTAAGAAACCAGTTGTGGAGGAGAAAGTAGTGGAAGAAGAAGAGATAGTGACTGAAGTAACCTTAAAGAAGAAACCCGAAGAGGTGATTGAAGAAGCAGTTGTGAAAAAGCCAAAGAAAAAGAAACCTGCGAAAGAGGAAGAGGCTGCTGAAGTTACGATCGAAAAGAAAGAAGAGGTGATTGAAGAAGTTAAAGAAGAAGTAGTTATAAAGAAGAAACCAAGAGAGAAACCGGTCCCTGAGGAAGTAGTAGAGGAAATTACTTTGAAGAAAGAGATGGTACCTGAGGAGATAGTAGAAGAAATTAAGATACCTAAAAAGAAGAAGCCTGCCAAAGAAGAAGCCGCTGATGAAGTTACCGTTAAGAAACCAGTTGTGGAAGAGAAGAAGGAAGAGGAAGTTCCTGAAAAGGTGACGATAAAGAAAAAGAAACCAAAGGAGAAGCCTGTTCCAGAGGAAGTAAAGGAGGAAGTCACGTTGAAGAAACCAGTGACAAAGGAAGAGGAGAAGCTATTTGAAGAAGTAACTGAGGAAGTAGAAATCAAAAAGCCAAAAGAAAAGAAACCAGTCAAAGAAGAAGCTGCCGATGAAGTTACTATTAAAAAACCAGTGCCTGTGGAGAAGGAAGAAGAGGAAGTTGTAGAAGAAGTAACTTTGAAGAAGAGGAAACCGAAAGAGAAGCCTGTCCCTGAGGAAGTAATCGAAGAAGTCAAATTGAAACCGATACCAAAGGAAGAAGAAAAAGCACCGGAAGACGTAACAGAAAAGGTAGAGATTAAGAAACCAAAGAAGAAGAAACCTGCAGTGGAAGAGGCTGCTGAAGAAATCACTATCATGAAACCAGTTCCTGTAGAAAAGGAAGAGGAAGAAATTATAGAAGAAGTAACGTTGAAGAAAAAGAAACCGAAAGAGAAACCGGTTCCAGAAGAAGTGACTGAAGAAGTCACGTTGAAACCAGTTCCAAAGGAAGAAGAGAAAGCACCAGAGGAAGTAACAGAAAAGGTAGAGATTAAGAAACCAAAGAAGAAGAAACCTGCAGTGGAAGAGGCTGCCGAAGAAATCACCATTAAGAAACCAGTTCCTGTAGAAAAGGAAGAAGAGGAAATTGTAGAGGAAGTAACTTTGAAGAAAAAGAAACCGAAAGAAAAACCAGTTCCTGAGGAAGTAACCGAAGAAGTTACTCTGAAACCAGTTCCAAAGGAAGAAGAAAAGGTGCCAGAGGAAGTAACAGAAAAGGTAGAGATAAAGAAACCAAAGAAGAAGAAGCCTGCAGTGGAAGAGGCTGCCGAAGAAATCACCATTAAGAAACCAGTTCCCGTAGAAAAGGAAGAGGAGGAAATTGTAGAAGAAGTGACGCTAAAGAAAAAGAAACCAAAAGAGAAACCTGTTCCTGAGGAAATAACTGAAGAAGTTACTCTAAAACCAGTTCCAAAGGAAGAAGAAAAAGTTCTGGAAGAGGTGACAGAGAAAGTAGAGGTAAAGAAACCACTGAAGAAGAAGTCAGTGGTGGAAGAAGCCGCTGATGAAGTCACTATCAAGAAACCAGTTCCTGTAGAGAAAGAGGAGGAAGAGATCGTAGAGGAAGTAACATTAAAGAAGAAGAAACCGAAAGAAAAACCAGTCCCAGAAGAAGTGACTGAAGAGGTGACATTGAAGAAACCAATACCGAAAGAAGAAGAAAAGGCACCAGAGGAAGTAAGCGAGAAAATAGAGGTGAAGAAACCGAAGAAAAAGAAGCCGGTAGTCGAGGAAGAAGCTGCAGAGGTGACCATCAAGAAATTAATTCCTACAGAAGCCGAGGAAGCTCCCGAAGAGTTTACCATCAAGAAGAAAAAGAAGCCAGAGAAGAAACCAACGCCGGTCACGGAAGAAGTCGAAGAGGCTGCGGTGACCATAAAGAAAGCTCGCGCTCCTGAGGAACCTAAAGAAGAGGAAGAAGTCTCGACAGAGGTGCAAATAAAGAAGAAGAAACCGGAGCGTAAAGTTGTGGAAGAGGCAGCTGAGGAATTAACGATTAAGAAGATCGAAGAAGTGGAACAACCGGAAGAAGAGGAAGAGGTCCAAGAATTCACGGTGAAGAGGAAACCTCCGAAGCTGCCTCCAAAACCTATCGAGGAGATCTACGAGGATGTCACTCTTCGAAAGTTACGTCCGAAAAAGAAACCAAGGCCAGACATCAAAGAGGTGACGGAAGTCGAGAACGTGACGTTCAGACCACGCTCTACGAAGACCAAGGAAGACGTGGAACAAGAATTCAAAATCTCTTTGAACACGTACGAGGAAGAGGACATTTCTATGTCCGGTAAAGTCAAACTGAAGCCGAAGAAACGACCGATGACGTACTCTGAAGAGACTGGAGAAGAAACCATTCGTATCATGCAAGAAGTCGAGGATGACTCTGGGCCAATTATAGAAGAGATCGTAGAATCGGACGAGGAGGCTAGAGACGAGTATAGCGTAGAAGAGTTAGAGACTGACGAGATGAGGCTGCCGCTGAGAAGAAGAAAGAAGAAAGAGCCGAGGCCGTACAAAGTGGAAGACATCGAGGAAGGTGACGTGAAATTCAAACTGAAACGCGAGAGGAAATACTCTGTAGAGGAGGCTGACGAATCGTTGGCGCTGAAGTTGAAGAGCAGGAAATCAATTTCCACGTTCGAAGAAGGTTCGAGAGGATCTTTCGATTGCCGATTTCGCAGATAACGTTTAATCTGATGTAACATGCTTTCAGCTAGTATTAACGCGCTTCGTCAGACTGTAAGGTGCATTTAGTGAGTATGCTTGCCCCCTAACATCCCTCTGCCTCCGAAAGCAACGAAGCCTCGCCTAGAATCCCCCGCTTCTTAATCCACTGCGAATGAAAAGCATATCGGTACTACTTGTAACGTGCTTCAACGGAACTGTAGAAACGCTGTATAACTAATTTCTACTGGCGATAGGTCTGCTAGCGATATTTATCGCGATAGAGATAACTCTAACAATATTGTAAAACATACGGAACATACAGACGCTTCGATTTTGGACATCGATAGTTAATTGTATTAATAGATGTCGGCTTGTGTGGTTATAATTTCGCTTGTTTTTATTATAATACTTTGTTTGACACGTTGCAGAAGAGGCCTCGCTTAGTATCACCAGGGAAGAAGAGATTTCAGAGGAAGGTACGTTCGCATTGAATGAAAATCGTCTTCGATATTTTAGTATCGCGTTCAAATTTTTAACAAGAACAATACAATATTTCGGTTGAATTGAATTTTCAGAAGAAATCGAGTACGTTGTCCGCGATGGCGACACAATGTTCTCGATTTGTTCATACGTGGCAGAAACTGATGAAGCTATCAACCTCGTCGAAGGAGAAAGAGTTTACATCATCGGTAAGTTTTATATCTTACGTATAAATCGTAATGTTACGTGTATATCAGAATAAGTGGGTTAACGTTTATCATTCTTTATATCTTCTCCAAGACCACACGAATCCAGATTGGTGGTTCGTAAAGAAACACTTGACGGAAGAGAAAGGCTGGGTTCCAGCGCAATATCTTCTCAACGAAATGCACTATACCCTGTATCTGCAGCGCAAATTGCACGAGAAAATCGACAAGTTGCCAGTATTTGAAAGTAAGTTTGTTCATAAACTTAAACATTGTAATATAAAAATATAAAACGTAGCAGTAGAAATATAAAAATCTATCCGGCATTGTTTCCCAATCATTCTAAATATTCTTCATTCAGCAATCTTTTACGTTCTAAATATTTTTTATTCGGCAATTAATTTTAGATTCCAATAAACTAAAAATATTAATTGCGAAAAATCACAGAGTCAGCGCCCGGAGAGAAAACCTCAGCACCGAGGTTCGTCGAGAAATTGCAGCCGATTCACACGCCGGATGGTTACACGATTCAATTCGAGTGTCAAGTGGAAGGTTTACCAAGGCCTCAGATAACTTGGTTCCGACAGACAGCAATCATCAAACCATCACCTGATTTCCAAATGTACTACGACGACGACAATGTAGCAACTTTGATCATAAGGGAGGTATTCCCGGAAGATGCAGGCACCTTCACCTGTGTCGCCAAGAATGCAGCTGGTTTCGCTTCAAGCACCACGGAATTAGTCGTGGAAGCGCCTCTTTCTGATCATGGATCAGATCTGACTGGTCCGTCCAGAAAAAGTCTCTCAAGGTACGCTTCTGTTCACATTCTCAAATTTAGAGTTTTCTTTTTTATTAACTCTTTAAATTCCCAAAACTTTACATACAAAGTGCTGTTACTGCTGTTAATGATAATATAATCGAATGATAATATGATGATAATATAAAATCGAAATGATATCCTGATTAATAAATTATTTAAATTCGGTTGTCAATTTCATTTCTGTTGATATAATCCGCGATTATTTATCTTATTTCTGTAATTTCGATATTATTTACAACCGAATAGATGTATAAACACTCGAAAGGTCATTTAATTGAAACACAAACGCTTCCATGTAACTGTAAAATATTTCCACAGGGAATCGTCTCTCGCCGACATCCTGGAAGGAATACCACCAACGTTCTCACGGAAACCGAAGGCGAAATACGTCAACGAGGGTGAAGATGTGATATTAGAGTGTCGATTGGTGGCAGTACCAGAACCAGAGATAACGTGGTACTACAAGGATACGCAGGTTACGACCAAGGAGAACATCGAGGTTGTCACTGAGAGCGATATGCACATGTACTGCAGCGTAATTAAAATCACTAGAGTGCAGAAGAAGCAGGAAGGAAAGTACACTATCGTTGCTAGAAACAGGGAAGGTGAAGCTACCATAGAGATTCCTATGAAGGTTCGTACATAATAACAATCTACAGTAATGATAATTCTATAATCATTACTATTATTATTTGACATTTGGAATTTGCTAATTCTGAAGTTCATTAATTCGATAATATTATTACATAATTGGAATTATTAATTCGAGAATTAATTACGGTATACGTTTAGAAAAAAAATTGCAATAAATATCTATTTGTTACGCAAGTAAAGTTTAATCCTCGTTTTTTAAATTCTTGAACAGAATAAAAAATGAAATCGAATCTGAATTATAATTTTCAAGAAGTAAGTACTCCACAGATCGAGTAACGATAATTCGAAATACTGTAGTTTGTCCTTGAAAGGAAAATATACTATAAATTATATTCACTTGTAATAAATATTCTGCAGAATCGATTCTTCTCTCATTCGATGAAATGGTGTGTCATTTCGATAGAAATAATAACGTGTGAAAAATATTGTTGCCAAGAATTTTTATGTAAATTGACGTCGAAAATTTAAATCTGTTCACGCAGGTGAAGACTGGCAAACACGAACCGCCAGAAATTCTAGAGCCATTACAGTCGTACGTGGTACGAGAAGGCGAAACCGTGGTATTGTCGACTCAAATCGTCGGGAACCCAGCTCCCAAAGTGACTTGGTACAAAAATGGCAAACCATTGAAGGGCTTGACCCCGAAACAAGAGGGTCACGTGAATACGCTCACGCTGATTCAACCTCAAGTATCTGACACTGGAGAATATTCTGTGGTGGCTACCAACGATCTTGGCACAGCCGAAACGAAAGCTACATTGACGGTTGAAAGTAAGAACATCGTGCAACCTAATCATATTTTGTATAGACTATTAACTTCTTGCGGTAAAAGCTTCTTGCTCATTCGCTTCTCATATTCGTTACGTTTTATATATTATAATTAATTGCACACAATTATTTAGATGAGACAATACGAATGCTATATAACGCTAGTAGTATATTACAATTTATCATTATATACTGTACATAATTTCTAATAATATCTACATATATAACGTTGGCAAGTTATTTAACTTTTATAGCAGAAGCGAAGTAAAGTATAAAGAATTTATTTTCCAACTAATTATGAACGATACCATCTGTATCGTGTAATGAATTCAATGTTCGAAATAGCGTTATCGGAATATAGATTAATTGAATCACATCACGCTTAAATATAGATTAATTGAATCACATCACGCTTGAATATTAATGCTGTAAAATGCTTCGCTACATCGTTTTTCAGTAAACTTGAAGCCTTCGCTGACCATTAACTTCGAGCAACACGCGTACGAACACTACAGTGTGTCGAAGGGTAGGATATGCTTCTGCTTGCATTGATTTATTGTGCATTTTAATACGTGTATTTGAACGACAAGATTGTTTAAAAGTAATCGTAGGAAATGATACACAATTTCAATTTCTCGTAGAAATACCCAGCGGAGCTCCAGAACCGCCACTCTTTACGGAACGGTTCCAAGAGCTCACTGTTCCACAGAATGGCACCTTTAAATTGGTGGCGAAGGTCACTGGAAACCCTGTCCCAGAAGTCACGTGGTTAAGGTATCGTCGGCTACTTTATTATTTTTGTAAATTTTTATTTGCCGTAGTAAGAAATCCAATTTTTTATTATTTAATTCGTATCAAAATAGTTAAAATAATCAAGATTGTTAAAACCAAGACTAGAATAGTTAAGGTAATTTTGTTTGAAATATATTTATGACAATGGTACGTAACCTTAGTGAAAATTATATACATATAATTACATGATGTCGTATACGGACCATATCAATATCTAAATTATATGACATCGTATGCGGACTATATCACTATATAATTATATGAAATTGTATACGGTCCATATCAATATATAATTATACGGCATCGTATACGGACCATATCAATATATGTATATTTATAATAATAATAATCCTCCCCTATTTTAATTTTTTTGGTACAAATTTCAAATTTTAATTAATTCTATTGTCTCTTTATTAATTCTGTTCGTTTCTTAATAGAAACAACCAGCCCTTGGAAAAATCACCGAATATCACGGAAACGTATGATGGCGAGAACATCATGTTGGAGATCAGGAACGCGGATTCGGAGGTAGACGCCGGCGATTACAAATGCATCGCGAGTAATCCAGTTGGAAAAGCGTCGCACGGTGCCAAAGTCACGGTGGACGTCGAGAAAGTAACATTCACGAAAACTCTGGAGAAGGAAGTGGTCGTCGATGAGTACAAGACCTTGGAACTGACCTGCGAGACATCGCACACAGTCTCGACGAAATGGTGGCACAACGACAAGGAGATCAGTGGAATGGATCATCGCGAGATCATTCACGAAGGACGGGTGCACAAGCTGGTGATTAAGAAAACGAGTCCTACAGACGAAGGGACTTACAAGTGCACGGTGAAAAATCAATCGACATCGAGCAAAGTCACCGTAAGAGGTAAGAATAGCTATGAATTAATCATTTTAATCTGCGATAATCGCCGATGGGAATATTGCAGCTAATGTTTAAATTTATAACGACAATTGGAGAAGAATATTGCCATTAATTTTATAACGATTGTTTACAAGAATAAAATTATTGAGTTTGAATCTTGAAAAGTATAAAAATTTGACGTGTCTCTCTAGTAATGAAATGAAATCGTATTAAAAATTCAAAAGTTAAGCAATATGGCAAATTTTTATGATTTCTAATATTACAAACTTAACGTCACAGCCACCAAACCAGAATTCGTGAAGAAGTTACAAGATTGCGAAGTAAAGGAGCGTGACGTCGCCATTCTCGAAGTTGAAATTACTTCTCAGACAGCGGATGTTAAATGGTTCAAGGACGGCGAACCTTTGGGACCAAGTAAAGAGAAATTGGAATTTGTTAAAGATGGCACCGTTAGAAAACTGCTCATTAGAAGTACATCCGTCCACGACGAAGGTGAATACACGTGCAGCCTTATAGATCAGAAATGCGCAGCGGAAGTCACTGTCATCGGTAAGTATTATTATATTACTTTATCACTGAACCACGAATTTTTTTACGCATTTATAGAAAATTTTGAAGATCCAACGTAGTGCTTCCTAACTAAAAATAACTTTCTATCTTGGTTCTATCTTTTTAATTACATTCTAAAAAGAAACACGACTCTGCAGAAAAATCCATAATCTACGTATCGTTAAATCCACTATCAGTCTAGATGTAATTAGTCTTAGTATAAAATAAACTGTTTATATTATTAAACGTTATTGTGTTGCTAACTTCTTCGTCAATTATCCCAGAACTACCACCGGAAATCATTACAAAGATGCAAGACGTGACAATAGCAAGAGGCGAGAGAGCAACGTTCGAGATAGAACTAACGAAAGGAGACGCGCTGATTCGATGGTTCAAAGATGGACAAGAGTTACAGTTTTCGGAGCACGTCCGGTTGTCGATCGATGGCAAGAGACAGAGGCTGAAGATCTACGATACGGAGCCGGAAGACGCCGGTGTCTATTCATGCGAGGTCGGTGAACAAAAATCGTCGGCCAAGTTGACCGTGGAAGAACCTGGCGTGGACTTCGTCACTAGATTACCAGACGTCACCCTTGTGCCATTGAATTCCGATGCCGTTTTCGTTATTGAAATATCACGCGATGTTCCAGTTGTGTGGATGAGGTAAGAAACGAAAAAAAAAAAGAAAAAGAATGATGGATAAATAAGATTAATTAAAGAAAATTTTGAGATGAATCGAACAATTTGTACGAACTTGAGAGAGATAAAATGTAACAATATTGTAGGAAAACGGAGGTCATTGAGGAGTCATCGAAGTATAGCATCATCGACGAAGGCACCGTGAAGAAACTGATCGTGAAGAAATGTACCACTAAAGATATCTCGGAATATTCAGCTACAGTAACGAATGTGAAAACTTCGTCGAGATTAAGAGTCGAAGGTAATATTTAATAACGATCATAATCAAACACAAAAGATTAAATATGTTTTGTATGTTATCTAAATTTAAATATTTCATAGAATTTAACTGTATTAAATATATATATATATATATATATTATTATCTCTTTCAATATTTAGTCATCGAAACGGCACCAAAGATTAGTCCAGACACGCCTAAGAAGTACAAAGTAAGAAAGGGCGAGGACGTCGAAATAGTCGTGAAATTCAGCGCAACACCGAAGCCGAGCGACGAATGGACCGTGAATGGAAATGTGATTGTAAAATCGAAACGAGTTGTATCATCGATCGATGAAGAATCCGCGGTATTAACTATCAGAAAGATCCAAGAGGAAGATGTTGGTGATTACGCTTTGAAACTGGTGAACAACGTCGGAGAAGCTACTATAGACATCAGCGTCGTTATCGTCCGTGAGCATATAATTTCCATAATATTCTTTCTCTCTCTATTTTTGAGAGCGTATACTGGAGGATATTGTGTTCATCATTGGAAAATTTTATTCTACATTTACAGAAGTACCAAGCGCACCTGGAGCACCAGAACCATTGGAAGTAACCGAGGACAGTGTTACGCTTCATTGGAAGAAACCAGATTCAGATGGAAACTCGCCTATCGTTGAGTACATTCTAGAGTATCAAGAAAAGACTGAAACTACGTGAGTATTAATTAATCTTCGTGAGAACCTTCTGAATACAAAAATCTAGTATCGACCTCTGAATAAAATATTTAAATGATATTTAATTGTCAAGTATAACTGTGATAAACTTCGGTTAATGCTTCAGAACAGAATAATGTGACTGCAAATTGTAAAAATGCTTTTCTTTTTTTAATTTGAAGGTGGACCGAGGTTACAGAGACGATAACAGAAACAACACACAAAGTAACGAAACTGACCACGAATAAAGAGTACACGTTCCGAGTAACAGCTGCAAACGAAGCTGGACCAGGTGAAACGTCACCAACTTCCCCATACATAAAGATAACAAAACCATCGGCTGCAGAGCCACCTGCTGTCTTAGAACCTTTGAAGAGCGTCATCGTTGGCCTTGGAGAAACCGTCACCTTATCTTGCGTCATTGGAGGAACACCAACGCCGGATATTACTTGGTACAAATTCTTATTATCGAATCGACTGAATTTCATTGAACTTTGTCAAAGGCTCTTGTCATGAACGTTTAAAATTTCTTTGGAATGAATTTTGAATATCATCTCTTTAACTCTAAATATAATAATTTATGCTAGAATAACAATTTTTCTCGAATATACTTGCTTATTGAATTTCCAATGTGATTTTATTTTAGTTTAAATTAACTGAAAATCGAAAACTTCTCGATACAATTCGATATTCTTTTAATTCAAATTGAAATGTCCTCTAAAATTTCTTGTTGAAAGAAATTCGAGTGAAATTTCGAAAATTAAATTAATAAGTGGATTTTAAATAATCCATCTGATTTCAGGTTGAGAAATGATGAAACTTTCGAGGACAGCAGCATTACGTACGAAAATCGCGTGGCGAAATACACCATCACGCAGACAACGGAAACGTCATCGGCGACGTTCACAGTGAAGGCAAAGAACGAACGAGGAACAGCGGAAACAACGTGCGAATTGAAGGTGCAAGAAGCGCCTAAGATCACGTACGACGAAACTCTGGCAAGTCAGAATCTTCCAGTGAACAGCCAATGGAAGATGGAGATTCGGACAAGCGGCTTCCCGAAACCGGAAGTAACATGGTCGAAGAACAACAAGAAGATAGTCGACAAACGTGTATCCATCGAAGCGGAAGAGAATACCTCTACGATTTCTATCTCTTCGCTCGTTAGAGAAGACACTGCTACTTATACAGCTAAGGCAGCGAATCAAGCAGGCACCTCTTCGGTTGACTTACATCTTAGAGTCATAGGTATTAAACAATATCGGCAAATTATTAATTTGTTAATATTATTACGCTATTAATATATATATAATAATATATAATAATAATAATATAATATATACTATATACAAATAATAATATAATAGTAATAATATATACTATATACAGATAATAATATAATAGTAATAATATATACTATATATATATATATATAGTGATTCGTGCTATGCAAATTTATATTTTTGTATTTCACTTGCTATAAGTATTATAGTGGTCAGTTTGCTTTGGATATTTTGTATATTTCTGCGTACTACACTCGCATTTTTATATACACTTTTGAATTTTCTACGAATGAATAGAAATCATCAATCTTGTAACAATCTAAATGGATCGAGAACCATTTATAATTTTCATTTTTGAATTTATCGTGGATTTTGGTTTTTCTAGCTAATTGATCATTTTCGTGTTATTTCGTTTCGAATATTATAGATAAACCAAGCAAACCGCAAGGACCAGTTGTCGTCAAGGAGATCAGGCAAGATCGCGTCACCATTGAATGGCGGCCACCAGAAGATGACGGTGGAATCGAACTGGAAAAATATACGATCGAGAAATACGAAACGGGCAAGACTTGGGTGAAGGTGGTCGATATCGACAAAGAGGTGGAGAGCTTCTGCATACACAAATTGCAACAGAATGCCGAATACAAATTCAGAATCATCGCCAGAAACGCTGTTGGAGCATCAGAACCACTGGAATCAGATACGGTCAAGATGAGAACTTCCTTCGGTAAGTTAGGTTTTTACGTTTTCTGAACATTACCGAAGAGTTCGATTTTCTCCTTGATTTTTCAATAATTTTGTTAAATTTATCAGAATGGAATCAAAGTTCCTTTGGAAGGGCAATATTCAGTGACTTTCTAGTTCAAACAGTCACTCAGTTCAGTCAGTCAGACTAGTGTAATCAGATCCATACTCAGTCATGTTAGTGATCAATCAGAGTCATTTTCAGTCAGTCAGTATTCAGCTAAGCGAATAAGTCGACTTTAGCTGTCGTTAGTTCGGTTACTTAGACAAAACTAACTGTTTCAACCAAGTAGAAACAATCAGGCTTCTTGAGTAATAAATCCATCATCAAATTAAGTCAAGTCAAAGTTATTATATTCACATCGTTCGGTATCAAGTAACATAATTGAAGACAGTTGACCAATAGCAATCGACCGTGTTCTTAACGTGATATTTTTTCCTAATCTTCGGAGCTTTCTCAAAGAAAGATAATTGATATAATTTTATAGAACCACCTGGACCGCCAAGAGGACCACTGGAAGTATCGGGAATGACGAAGACATCTTTCACGATAAAATGGCAGCCTCCAGAAAACGACGGCGGAACACCGATAATAGAATATATCGTTGAAATGAAGGAAGAATCGAAGAAGGCTTGGCAGAAGGTTGATAAATATTTCGACGAATCAACAATCAAATTCGACAGTGTTATTAATTATACGCTGAAATATCGTTTGCAGATCGGCAGCGCAAAGCACGAAACGACACACTTCAGCGTATCAGATCTGAAAACAGATGTACCATATAACTTCAGGATAACAGCTAAGAACAGTGCTGGCACTGGTCCCCCGTACATTGCTGAAGAGCCAATCGCGGCAGGCAGACGAATCAGTAAGAAAATTTGCTCGATTTTTATTAAAAATTACAATGCTAATCGCTTGAGCTCGTGCAGCTACGAAGATAATTTGAAATTTTCGATAAAAGTGTCAAGCTTCACAGGAGCCCTAGAAATAGTTAGAAATTATATTTCTGCGAGCGTTGAAAATAACAATTAGCATTCTAACACTTTTTGAATATGAGTCATTTGCATTCTAACATCATGCTTCTCGCCTATTCACTGCCTTCGCTGTCGCTTAGAAATAACAAAGCTCGACGAGAGCACCATGTACGCTCTGCTGGGAATATTTCCGCCGACGAAAGCGGTCATCAGCAAAAGTAAGTTTCATTGCTTTCGTAATTCTGCTCGCTGTTTACTACTTGTTATTGAACGAGTCATGCCATCTGTTTAATATGCAATGATCAATGTTATTTATAGCACCACCATCGTGTCCGCAAAATGTTCAAGTGACGAATGTCACTAGCAAGAGCGTAACACTCAGTTGGTCCCCACCAGCCAGCAATGGAGGTACAGAGCTCACAGGTAAGTTTTAATATAATATCTCATCGTAATAAATCATGTAAAAATTGTACCGCATAGATACCGATCTTATAGACAATTTTTAAGAAGGAATATAATATTCAATATGATATTGTGTCGTAATAAGTTATACAAAAGTATAAAGATCTTATATTTTTACATAACTTATACAAAATATAAATCTTATAGAACGTTATTGACGACCTATAAGAAATACAGTATTACAAATAATTAGATCATACCAATCCTTGTAGATACGTTTTTATCTTAAAATTTCAAATCAATTTTTATCGCAGTATCATATAGACATATGATCGCTTTCTCATTTCTATTAATTTACTTCTATAGTATATCGATCGCCGCTTTATTAAATAAGGAACAACATAAAGTACAGCAAAAGAAGTTTGTGTAAATTTTTTATGAAAATAAAACGGTAACTATAAAACCAGCGATTCTCCGATTATTCTTAACAATCTATGATATTCTATAAAATATATCAACAGAATAAATGATGCGAAAACAAAATATATAGAATTATAAGCAATCCTACGTTTTCTCTCGTTTTATGTATAATAGGATACATAATCGAGAAGAGGCCGTTAATTGGAAAAGGAGCAAGATGGACAAAAGTCGTCACTCTGGACCCTACCACCCTTCAATATTGCATAGAAAATTTGAAAGAGAGCGAATTCATCTTCAGGATCTTCGCGGAGAACAACATGGGACTCAGTTTACCTACGAATTCACCGCCAGTAACCCTAATGACACATGCCAGTAAGTGATTCGTTCTCTTCTTTCAAAAATATATTTATTAAATATTTAATAAATATATTTATTATTCGCCGTGAGTAAATTTTGCGAGAAAAATGTTCGATGAAAATCTTCGTTCTTCGTCTTTGCAGACGTGCCGTCACCGCCAACAGCGCCGTTAGAAATCAGGCAGATCGCGGCGAACACTGTTGTGATTTCGTGGGGCAGGCCGGAATCGGATGGCGGTGCCCCGTTGGAAGGTTACAGAATTGCTATGAGGGACACGAAGAAAACCATGTGGATGGAAGTAGCCAGAGTGAACGCCGAAACGCAGAAACTGAATATCAGGGATTTGCAGGAGAACCACGAGTATCTGGTCAGGATCTTCGCCAGGAACGAAGTCGGCCTCAGCGATCCTTTGGAGTCTGATGAACCGGTCAAGATCATACCAGCTTCCGGTACGTAATTTTTTTAATTCTATATATGGTAGAAATCGACGAATTATTGACAAAAACCGGAAACTTCTCTCTACTATCACTGTCGAAAGATCTAATTGATTTTGAGAAGTACCGAGGCGAGAGCTGAATTCTAAGAAAATTTTCAAGTACTAATGTTCATCGAAACATTTGGGATCTTTTAATGATTCTAAAGAAGTCTTTGGACTATTTTTTAAAGACAATAACCCTGAAGTCTTTCAAAAATCGTAAAGGAAGATGCATTTTGGTCTTTTAAAAAGATGGTCTACATAGGTTAGATTGAAATCGTGGAGATTTCAATGCACATATTTGAAAGTTCGTAACAATTCCACAAAACGCGTTTCCAATCTTTCGAAAAACCTGCAGAATATATTCGAGGACTTTTGAAAATTCGAAATTCTAAAACAGAATGTGTAATATATTTATAAATTTTCTGAAGATCTGAAATTTTAAACAGCTCATCTTATTATTATACCGAACTCTAAAAATATTTGAATTTAAACGTCCTTCCAAAGGTGCTAGAACTTTGGAACTGAAGGGTGTTAATGGTAGTTGCTACGTTATCTTTACATATTTACATTCTAATTTACAATTAGTGCGAGGACGGAGGAAAAATGTAAGATTTGGATAAGATGAGGAAAGGTTGTGCGTTTCGTCTCAGAGTCACTGCCTAGGACTCATCAGTGATTTATGGCAGCGACCTCTTATAACCACTCGCTAGGCTGGACGGTCCACCCATTCTAGCGGTGTTCCGCACTAGGTTTTGCCTAACACATTGCAGATCGCTAGACTTCGACGCTAGCCACTTGTGGCTTGTACAAGTCGGTGTTCGAGACTCGTACTTGAGGAACTATAGGCCGCTACAGAATTGTGGACCACAAAATATTCAAACACGAAGAATTCAATATCTCTTGAATATCAAGAAACATATGAATATACGATTTAACGTCTTGACATGAAATTCTGCATTTTATTCATTTTACTTTCCAGAATTAGCCGTAGTGGAGCCAATAGCAGAAGCCACCGAGAAGGGTGAAACCGCATCGATGAGCTTCAGCACGGAGAACACGAGTTCTTGGCTACGCGAGCACAACATGGATGCCGACATCCATTCGTACGCAAGAGCAAGGCTTCTCAGACAAGACGAATACTTCTTCCGCATTTGGCATTACGCTAAGAAAATGTTCAAATAAGCATTTCTACGATTTATTGGCTGAAGGAAAGCGAAGATACCTTCGTTCTTTACCTTAGCGAGGACCAGAACAATTTAAACGCGTTAGTAAAACAAGAAAAACGAAAGAGAGATGAAAACAATATTGGAAAAAAAAAACATCTTTGGTGAAACTTAATTTCATACCAAGATTCTATTCTAATTTTTTAACGAAATTTTTTTTTATAGATATAATACTTCTCTTCTTCTTCCAACTTTTTTTTTTTTTCATTATACCTGTGAAATTTATTAAAAAGCGATTTCGTTCTGATTATTTTAACGAAATTTCAACAAAAAATTTTGTATAATAATATCTCGAATAATGTAAATAATCATTTTCTTCTTCCACAAATTTCTTTATTTGTTAGAGAACAATGTCAAATACTTTTTATAGATGTGTTTGATCTCTCACCGTCAAAGCAATGAAAGATTAATGACTATATCGTTCCTCTCGTTTAGAAGCACACGTATAGAGACTAGATTTAATCTAAGGATCGATACTGGATGGGTGTAGAGTCTAGTCAGAGCGTAGTAGTAATACTTTTTTTTTTTTTCATCTTTTAACGGACCAAGACTTCCTCACGTATACTTGGAATCGATATAAACGAAAGAAGAATCTTCGTATTCTTCCAATTCACGAAAATAATCGATAATGCTGCGTAATTGCGTTGCTGAAAATTCGTGAATTCACTAAAAAGAAGCTGCTTTTTGAAGAAACCGAGGAACTTCATCAGTAATTTTTATGATACATTTCCTCTTCTGATCTTTGAAAGGATTTTAAGCTAAATTATAACTAGCATGAATCATATCGTCATAAAGATTCACTGATGACGTTTCTTCGTTTCTGAATTATTTAACATCGAATTTATCCGAAATTATTTGTTATATAATACGTAATTAATTGAATTGTCAAAATGAATCGAACGTTGGAACGAATTTTCAGCCCCGCGAATACGTTGTATTCGAAGAAGGGAAACATCCTAACTTCCTCGAGATATTCCTTTCGGCGAAAGAGTGCAAGTATTGTCAAATATTCGACGAGAGAATTCGAAAAAAGAAAAACCCCCGAGACTCACGGATCGTCGGAGAATGTGATAAACGATCGGAATCGATCGAGTACCTTGTGTAAAGAATGCGTTTTAGAAGCGATTAAGTATACTCGAGCCCCCTCTCCCCTAATCCTAACCCATCCTATTGTCCGCCCCTTCGTTACTCCCACGCCACCCTTTGTATTTATATTATAACAGCGAACGGAAAGCATCGTTCGGTTACTCACCCGAGTTTGCGAGGATTACTTTTAGTATTTATTCGTAATGTATAATATTATATTTAATTGTTACTCGTTACCATTGCCGTTATAATAATTAATAATAATTGTTCATAACGAGTCGGCGTCGGAGCCGATTATTCATGCGACTGGTCATTTAAGAAACTAGAGAAACGAAACGGGGAAATGCCACGCGTGGTTGGTGTTGCGAGACGTAATGAAATATAGGTGCAAGAACAACAGCATATTATTCACCAACGACGGGTCGCATACCTCGACGTTACATTGTAAGACATTTTGCGAATTAAATTATTGAAGATAATATAACACGTGGAGTTTGTGCTTTTTATCAAATTCACCCTTTCAGATTCACCAAATCCGCCCGAACTTAACCGACCTCGTCTATGGAACAACGTTACATCTACATCGAGAATCATTGAATTAAACGTGAACGCTTTCTTATTTGCATAGCTATTCTTAAAAGACGACCAATTTAGTTTTTGTCTCGAAAATGATCATTTTCTACATAAATTAGTATTATATATATGACACAGACTTATAAAGTCTAAACATTAAACATATTGCTTATATCAAACATTTTACTTGGTATAATTATAGACGAGCTTTACATTTCGGTATTGAAAGTTTGACGAAACTAATGGGTCTCAAAAATCATTAACTAGTTAAACGTAGAGTGCGCTAAAAAACCAGTGATTTTTTAGTATGTCGGTATTTTAAGTTACGGGCTACGAAAGTCCGTACGATGTAATGTCTATTCATATATCTCGTCTATGCTTTAGTCAATAATGTCACTATTTAGTTCCAATTCTAACCAGCAGGGACGTTGTAATCTTATTTTATGATTAGTTGGTAACATTGGAGACGATACAAAATACTAACTAAAAACCCGCGAACACATGATGTGTTTAAAAGATCCGTTAGTGGCGCTAGCTCCGTCTTATACTTCGATACATAAAATGGTTACACTTAATATATATATATATATAAAATGGTTAGAATTTTTTTCAGATCGAAAAATAGTCGTTGAAAATCGAGACATTGAAATAGAAATAAAATATTTTGTCCAATTTGTTCATACGTGCAACAAGATAATGTATAATATTTAAAAACTTACTCAATGTTGCAGTGCAATAATCCGTTGCTTCTCTTTCCACAACGTACTATTATAATTCTTAAACTGCACCGAAACCAAAATATAATTAACCAAAACTACACCGTAACTGCATAAATTAACACACTAAAGTATAATTAAGGCGATTTACTTTTAACAAAGCACGATTACTTTAAAGAAATTAATAAACCGCGAAACCGACGCGATGCTCACTTTCACGAGATCATAGAAACCGGAAACTACCCTTTCTTATCGATAGTTCAATGCGCCATCGAGACATCTCGAAATAACATAATCGAACGTATTATAAGATGGCGGCCCATTAAAGAGTTTATGTGTGCGTGTAGTTGTTTTGTGCAGTGATTCTATAATTTTTTCTTATAACAACAATTTATAAAACATAATCATGGGGTAAGTTGAAAATTTCAATGAACTTTATTATACAGTCAAGAGAAACTTTTCGTTTTAATAATTAAAAGGATGTACAAGATAGTCTGTTTACATATATCATATATACTTAGGTGATCTTCTGTTTATTTTCGGAATAAATTTCGTGTATTTTTAACATATCTTCTCTTTAGCATTGTATACAACAACTGAATAAATACGAAGAATGATACTTCCTTTTTTCTGTGGTAATTTTCTGATGTAAATCTATTGGAAAAAATAACCTATTTCTTGTACCTCGTTACATTTATATTTCGTAACAAACTCTGTTTAATATTAATCGTTTGAAGATGAATGTTATATGATAACTGCGTTAATGTCATTTGTCATCTGTAAAATACGGTATATTTAATTTTTTAATGTATGTGAAGCATCTTGAATGAAGTTTAATATTTATTTGATAATCTACGAATTATATGCGTCAACAGTGATATTAATATATTAATATAATATGTTGATTGTTTGATTACATTTTAGTACATCGGATTTAGAATGTATAGAGTCTAAAAGGGACATGGTCACTATAGATTCTGAATCGGACATGTTAGTCGACCAAAGAAAGAAAAAGAAAAGAAAGCATAAACATCATAAGCATAAGAAAGATAAATTAATTGAAAGAGAAGATGGAAGAATAGAACGTCAAGAACGGTATGTACAACGTATATATGTATATATTTCGTTTAGTAATTAATTTAATAATTATATAATAATATATATACATCATTTACAATATAATAAAATATATTTTAGGAAAAGACACAAGAAACATAAACGACCTAAAAAAGAAAGAGAAGTTGAAAATGGATCATTAGATGACAAGACGCCACGCGTAATTCAAAAAGATTTAGGTGTAAATGGCAAAGTAAAAAATTCTTTATTAGAAGTGGTTTCTACCGAAGAAAGTGAAGATGAGAAATTAGTAGACTTAGATTCAGACGAGGTAGATTGTACAATCATTGAAGACGATATTGATCTTGAAGAATTAATGAAACAAAAGGTATTATTGTTTTTTCAACAGACTTCTGTTAAAAATACATAAGCATTCACATGTTTCTAATATTTATATAGGAACGATTGCAAGCATGCTTAGTACAATACCTTTCGGACGAATCAGAGAAAGAGGATAAAGAGCCTGATCAAGATGAAATAAAAGCTACTGAAACACCTGATGTTATACTTGTAGAGGATGATAGTGAAAATGACAATATACCGCCCAAAAAGCGGGCTAGGAGTAAGTCTGGTAGTAGAGAACGCAAAAAAATTGCGAAACCGGAGAGACGCGTAGTAGTAGATATGACTAGGGATCGTAGGAGTCGAGAGGAACATAAAGATAAACGAAGAGAACTAGAAAGGAGACGGGATGAGAAAGTTCGCACTAAAGAGGAAACTAGGAAAGAAGATAGTAGAAAAGATGATAGACAAGTGCGGAAACCAAGCGATAGACACAGGGAAGATTCCCGAAAAGAAGATAATAAAAAACGAATAGAAGATGATAAGCGTAAAGATTCTATTAAAAGAGATGAATCACGTAAAAGAGAACAAGATAAAAGGTAAGTTGAATGTTAAACGCGTGAGCTTTCAATTGATTAATATAAAATATCATCGCTCAATTGATTACAGAGAAGAAGAACGAAGACGAGAAACAGATCACCATAATTCCAGATCCCGTAATGAATATAAATCGTTAGACAAGACGGATAAATCTAGACGCGATAGTCGCGATAGATTGGAAAATCGAGACCGACAAAATAGTCGAGATCGGCATATAAGTCGCGATAGACATGTCAGTAAAGATCGTCATGTTAGTCGGGATCGTCATATTAGTAGAGATCGACACATTAGTCGAGATCGACATATCAGTCGAGACCGGCATGCTAGTCGGGATCGTCATACCAGTAAAGATCGACTACCAAGTCGTAGTCGAGACAGACCTGCCAGCAGAGACCGACACAGTCGTGATAAAAGAGATAGTAGAGAACGTCCTACTAGTCGCGATCGGCCCAGAGATGGTAGAAGTAGTCGCGATCGTAATGACATGCGAGATCGACGAGATAGTCGAAACCAGGATCGAATTAGAGAACGTTCAAGAAGTACAAGAAGATCTCGTAGTCCTGTTAGAAGTAGATTGGACAGAGATCGAAATGATCGATATAAACGTTCTAGATCGCTTTCTCGAAGTAGAAGAGATAGGGACAAACATACTAGAGATCATGATAAAAGAGAGAAAAATGGTAAAAGGGAACGTAGTGATAAATATAAAGATTCTTTATCGGAAGGACTCAAAATAGAGCATTCAGAAACTTCTAGCGAAGAAGATATCAAAGACATCGATATTGAAGAAGAAGAAGATGAGGAAGCTATTATTGAACGTAGAAGGAAACAGAGAGAAGAACTTCTAAAAGTATGTTGATTTTATTGTTAATTAATTAATTTTATCTAATACTATAAATTAATAACTGTAAATTTTTTCTCTTGTTCAGAGGTTAGGAGGACCAAATGAAGACTCAAATATGTCCGCTGAAATTAATACTGTTCCTGCAACTCCACCTTCTGAAAGTCAATCAAATGTTTCACAAAAGTCAATAGAAATATCGTCTAATAATAACGAATCCACTTCAGAGAGTCATACCCCACCACTGCCCGAGAAACCAAAATCGCCACAAGTTAAAAAGAGAAAATCTAGATTTGAAGACGCCCCATCCGAAGAAATAGATAAAAATGAAGATACAAAACCTACAGAAAAAATTAAACAAGAAGAGAAACAAAATGCAAAAAAGTCGAACGAGTGGGACATGTTCGCTGAAGCGGACAATATTGGTGATTTCAATGTACGTAAATTTTCTCTTTTTTTTTTTTTTGTGTTTATTTATTAGGCTTTAATATTTTTTATAGAGTCCCACAGTCGAAGGAAAACGGCAAGGTGGACCAGATAATCCAAGTTTAACAGACAATTGGGATGATGCGGAAGGATATTATCGGTAAGATATTATACTTTTTTCTTTCTTTTTTTTTTTTTAATGTTAAAGTATATTTTATTTTTTTATTTGTAGAGTACGAGTGGGTGAAACGTTAGATTCTCGGTATGTTGTTTATGGATATACTGGTCAGGGTGTATTTAGTAATGTTGTAAGGGCTAGAGATACTGCTAGAGGCAATTTAGATGTTGCTGTAAAAATAATAAGGAATAATGAAATAATGTAAGTATACAATATATTTTACTTTATTGCGATATTAAAAATGAGCAATACTTTCATCCTTTCAGGCACAAAACTGGCCTTAAAGAATTAGAAATTCTTAGAAAATTGAATGATGCAGATCCAGAAGACAGATTTCATTGTTTGCGACTTTTCAGGCATTTCTTTCATAAAAATCATTTATGTATGGTTTTTGAACCTTTAGCTATGAATTTAAGAGAAGTAAGTATATATTATATATATTTATCACTAATTTATGACATGTTCTCTTTTATCATATAAAAAAATTTATTTAGGTTTTAAAAAAATATGGAAAAGACGTTGGGTTACATGTTAAAGCGGTAAGATCGTATACGCAGCAGCTTTTCCTTGCTCTTAAATTATTAAAACGTGCAAATATTCTGCATGCTGACATCAAACCGGATAACATTCTAGTCAGTGAAAGCAAATTGGTATTAAAATTGTGTGATTTTGGCTCAGCATCTCATGCTCATGAGAATGAGATAACACCATATTTGGTATCAAGATTTTATCGAGCACCTGAAATTAGTAAGTTCACTGATTTTTATTAATTAATAAATGTGTATTCGCACTTTACCAATCTCTTGAGTTGTTTATTGTTTTTGTTTTATTTTAATTATTCTTAATTAAAATTCAAGAGATTAATCTTTGCTTACTCATCATTCTTCTACTTTGAACCAGCTTTTAATAGCCGTGCTATATAGTATACCTTTTAAAATATGGCACAAACGATTTAAAAACACTGTACATATTAGACACGAACAGACGAATTTCGTAGCGACTAGATTATATCAGTCGCATTATTTTTTGAAACGTTAATAGCAATTCTGTGTGACAGCTCTGATACATTGATCGAACCTACATTGGGGAGATCTCCACTGTCATAGAGATTTAATAATGATTATCACATATCGTGCAAATAACATTGGCATTTTCTAGTTCTTGGTATACCGTATGATTTCGGCATTGACATGTGGTCTGTGGGATGCACCATATACGAATTGTACACGGGGAAAATAATGTTCTCTGGCAAAACAAACAACCAAATGTTGAAATTCTTCATGGATTTAAAAGGCAAAATGCCTAATAAGCTGATTAGGAAAGGCTCATTCAAGGATCTACATTTTGACTCTAACTGCAATTTCCTGTATCATGAAGTTGATAAGGTCACAGAGCGGGTAAGTTGTCTTTCTACTGTTCTTTCCAACCTTGTTCTTTTGCTGTGTGGTAAGTAATGTAACGATTATGTGTACTCATGAAGAAAACGTATGAATGATAAAGTTACTAACACCTATATTTTTAGGAGAAAGTTGTAGTGATGTCTACGTTACCTGCCACTCGTGATCTAAACGCAGAATTAGGTGGAAATTCTTTGCCACCAGAACAAAGCCGAAAAGTTGGGCAACTGAAGGATCTTTTGGAACGAACATTGATGTTGGATGCAGGAAAAAGGATTACTGTGAACCACGCCTTGGCGCACCCATTTATACAAGAAAAGATCTAGGTAACCCTGTCCGGGGTCCTTCCGCATCGGAGAATTCATTGACGTAACTTTTCAAAAAAATGTTTGAATCGACACCGCTAATAATTCGTTGTATTTTATAAAAGCATTACTAACATAATGCGGTGTCTACTTATATCGAATGTCTTGTATCCGTTCCAGCAGAAAGAGGCGGTGCAAAAGTTTCACATTTCACTCACTTTACCTGAATAAAACAGAAGAACATTTTCAAGGCGTAAATACGTACATAATGAGAGGAACGAAAAATTATTTGAATAACTCTATGTACTCTATCAATCTGAACTGTATTATTTAATTGATGATAACTATTGCAGGTGCAATATTTTTATATTAATTAATAACCACTACAAACGATGAATAAAAATGTCGGAGTTCACCTGAATTGATGCATTTATCAACAATTATAAAAACAACAATGTTTGTACTTGGCTCGGAACAATGTAGTGTATCAAAGGGCGTAAAAATCTCTTTTTCGTGTAAATTTCATTGAGATGGAAATCAGTTAGATTTAGTTTATTTCTTTTCTTTCTTTGTGCACAGCAACTATAAAATAATAAATCCAACACGATGAAAACTAGAAGAAGAGGCTCGATGAATATACGTCATTAAATGATATTCTTCCGTGGATGAAAAAGAAAACTGGGAAAAGTGACCGCCTCTTTCAGCATGAACTGGCCATCGATACTTAGCATAATGGTGGTACATAGTATTTTTCTTTTTATCAACCTTTTTGAATATCAAGAGGCAACTTTCTTTACGAATAACTCGTAAATAAATTATTATATCATAAATGGATAGTAATGCGTTACATTCGTGACGAAGTATACCTGAGTTTGCGAAATTGTAAAACTTTTACGAATTCGATCGCATAATTCACGAATCCAGAACATTTTTTTGTTCTTTTGTGCCGTCGTGTACGCACGACAGGCATTAAAGCCTAGTAACAAGGAAACTTGTACTAACAAGAAAGAAACAAATTGTATAGTAAGTAGGTTATTGAAATAAAACAAAACATGCTTATCAAAATGAGAAACAAGCCCTGTATTTTATATTTTCAGTCTTAATCGCGCGCTTTTCGTGTAAAATTATAGAAGCACTTGTACGCAACGTATTTCCGTAAATAATTATATATAAAAAAGGAAATAAAGTACCAATTGTAATTTCTTTTTTATCAAATAATGAAGCATTAAGTAGAAAACGTGTAATTCCAGGAAATGTTGAAAAAATAAGTTATTGTGTTATCACTCTTATCACTATCAATTGTTAGTATTACAAATAATCATTTTCACATCTGACGAGGTGCATTTATTTAGACGTCGATGTAAAGAAATACGAAGAAAAAAAAAATGATGTATATATTTGCACTGAGAAATAGAAATTTCGAATTGCATTACATAAAATAAAACTTATTTAATGTTTAATATTAACATGTAGTCACATATAGAAATACATAAAAACTTTTATTTCGTTTCAACAGACTCATCATAGTAGCTTGCGATTTCGTATCGTTAGCTTCGTTAAATTTTCTTTTCTTTTATTTAATATTGTGCGTTCTTTATTTATAAGATACGACAGAACGTCAATGCTGTTTGAATGGTTCATGGTATGTGTGATTTTTACATGACAATATTGTACGAGATTGCTTATGTTTCAGATATGAGTCTTCGATTCAAAGCATCGTTAAGTGCAAGTGGACCTTTCGTGGGCTTTTAACGCCGTTCCCGTTGCAAGGTATTCATGGGGGACTGCCTTATGGGATATTTAGCATATCCGTTTTTCATTAAACAACATAACATTGCGAATCAAAACCTGCATAATTATAGCGTAAAACAAAATCAAATTGTTCTATAGTCATCCTTTGTGTTCTATTCTCGTTAGAGACAGATTTTTGTTTTGCACGTATTTATGTACATATATTATACATTATTTTAACACATAGTTACACAGTTATATTCCTAAATATGATAAATGAAAAGTTAGATGTTAAATTCCATTGCTTTATTGCCTAAAGCGTAAACATAATATGAGGGATTTAAAAAAGTGCTTTTGCAAAATTCAAATAAAAAAAAGGAAGCTAGATGTTTCGGGTACATTTCAATACAGAAATAAAATGAATACACAAAACTTCAGACTAACTCATAATTTTCTAATTGGCTATTTGGTAATGTTTCACTTGTAGCCCTCCCTGTGAGGAGGGGAGGCAATGGAAGAGATGATGAAATCAGTTGGTGGGAAACATGATGATGATGATGAAGAAAATGAGATTCTCTGGGCAGCAGCTTGACAACTGTATAAAAATGATGTCTATCGCAAAAAGGATCGCCAAATATTTAATATAAATTTGTGTCAACAGGAAGGTTTGTCAATAAAATTTTGCTGAGATTAACAAAACCGTAAGTATCCGAACAGGTAAGATATACCTTGTATAAACAATGAAAATTATCATCAGATCTTATTTTTCTTAGAAATGTGTATCTATAAGCATTTAAATGCTTTACGTAAGTATAGGTAACATTGAAAGAAACATGATACTAATATTTGTGGCTTTCAGTTTTCAGATTGCTAAAAAAAATCCTCGAAATTTCAGTACAACAAATGAGATATCTATATAATATAAAGAAGCATATTTAACTATAAAAATTAATTACACATTTGTATAATGGCACAATTAAATTTATTTCACATTATATTTCAATAAAAACCATATTACATTTACATTCATATATCTTTGATTTCAATATACAGTATTGTTACATACATTTATCGAATGTCTATATAATTTATGTTAAATTCAAATTCATCTTTTAAACACATTGCGAATTTTGTCTCAAACAAATTACTTAATAAATAGGTTCTCAGAACATTTTCCTAGACATTTATATCCGTATGATTTATAAACCTTGGCGTAAACAACACGAACGTAATGATTATCGTTTCATTATCAAAACTAAATCTTATCAAAAGAAAGTACACAGTACAGATATTCATGTACATCAAATATGTATGCATTTTTTGCAAGGCCTCTTTTTGAAGATATCTTTGATATCTTTCATACAGATGATTCTTAGTCACGTTCCGGGTAATACTGAACTAATACTTTGGCTAATTCTTGTGCCAACTCCATTGTTGCCGCACATAAAACTCTTCTACTCATGACATCGAACGGCCCACCTAGAAACGAAATAAACGCATGTAAAGAAAAAACAAACATGAAGAAATTATGTTTTTCCGAAGATCAAAGTTCTAATATATCATTAGAAGTAATTATTATGTAATGTTAGACCTGTTATAAAGTAAATTACCTGCTGGATCTATACATACTCCACCGGCTTCTCTTACGATGATATCACCAGCTGCGATATCCCATGCATGAATACCAAACTCAAAAGAAATATCCGCTCCTCCGAGAGCGACCATGCACATGTTTAAAGCCGCAGATCCCAAAGCTCGTATTCTATACGACGTAAGAACATACGAATTGAATTAAGAAGAAAAGAAAGAATTACAATTAAGAGTATGTCAATTTATACCCGTGAACTTGAGGAGTAAGATTGTTTGCATTCTCCAGTACGATTTTCATCTTCTCTGGATCCCTGCTTGTGCCCATTTCCATCATTACAAGAGCTTTACGTAATTCTGAGAGAAAAAGAAATTTGATTTAAACGAATTAAACAAAAATATATATATATATATATTCAAAATAATAAAAATACAAGCAAATAAGTAATTCATTTTCTACGATACAGATTAAAATTAATCTCCACTTTTAACACGAGGATCTGAAAATTTTTATACCCTTCTCTCCGGAAACCCTAATGGGAGCTCCATTCAAAAATGCACCTTGATCCCTGCGGGCGGAGAAGAATTGTTCCAAAATCGGATTGTAAACTACCCCAATTTCGGTGGTCTTGTTAATGAGTAATGCAATCGATATACAAGTATGGGGCAAACCGTGCACGAAATTCATCGTGCCGTCAATCGGATCAATGATCCATGTAGGCGCGTCCGTGAGCTCAACTTTCGTTCCTAGCGAAGTAGCTTCTTCGCCTATGAATCTGTAAAAATATATTTCCTCTCTATTAAAAGCTCGATATTTATGGAGCGTTTTATTATAAGCTTTACTATAACGTTATTATTTATAAACATTTATAATATACAAAATTTGTCATTTTTTATCGTTCAACGGAATATTTTTTTTTACGTCTCGTTTCGTTGAATAAAAATTTTTCGCATTACTTAAAAATCAAAAAATTATTTCGTTATTATAACAGAATGTTCCAGAATGATTCTAGATCGATTTCACGACTGGAAAGTTCCATCAATGATCTAACAAAGCCCTTCGCGGCAGATCTGGTCCAAACTCGTACGTATATATATAACGAGCTTAAAGGGGATATAACACATCGAATGTTGTACTAGGCAAGGTCAATTAGGAATTTATTTAAATGATTACTGTTTCTGATTCAGCAATAAAATATATTAGTCGAAAACATATTGACCACGCGTGTTTCTTCCTCGTTCTCAGTTAAAAATCATGTACAACACAATAATCAGATAATTACTTTTACTAGAGAATTTCGGATGATGAATTAGATAAAAAATGAAACTCTATGAACTACTGCTATATTTTATATATATATATATATATATATATATATATATATATATATATATATATATATATATAATTTATAATTATATGTTATTAATTTTACGAAGTATTTTCAATTCTTCTGTTAAAAAAATTTGGTATCAATTTTAAAACTTAAAGGCTTAAAGAAATTCTTGATTTATTTAGAACATATTTTTCAATAATTGTTCGAATAATTCATATCACACCATATATATGTTGCATATGATAAAAATATATATATCGTAAAACATACTTGTGATCTGGAAATTTGGAAGATATTCCATCTATTAACAACTTTTCGACTTTTTGATCCCACTCGGTGACAAGATCAACTTCGCAGGATTTCGTCATTGCATCCTTAGGCTGGTTAATTTTTTCTCTCACAATCTACAAATTTTACAATTAAGGCATAATTATAGCTTTCGTTGTATAAATCGCCAAATATGTAGTGTTTAATAAGAAAATTAGTAACACCGGTATTGACAAAACCGCATATTAGAAAGTGTCAATTAAAAACATATTGGTACTCTTTCAAAAAATAAAATATTAATTATTGTTTTCTCTTTGCGAGTTTTTTCGAATGTATCGCACGTAATTAAAAAGCTATTAATACTTCGTTAGAAATGAAATTACGTTTAAGCAAAAATTCCCTGGCAAATTTTCCTATCGTTATTTCATCATTAATAGATACAAATTCACCTTGATAACCCGATACGTATAAAAGATAAAAGACAAAATTTTAACACTTGAATTTATTGCACAATACAGGTATATACATTCAACTATGGTTATCTACAAGTTTACAGTTATCTATAAGTATACAAAGGGAATTAAAAATCACAAGTTATAAATTATTACTAGCTCTAATTCTCATAATACAAAACATGTAATTTTACCCAACTCGATGACTCTGCTTCTTGGAAGCCAAACAAATACACGTTCGTGCCTATAAATTAACAGCATTATCTACCTCCAGAAATTAAAGCTATATAACAGGACAATATAACGTACAATACATAGACATTCGTATATAAAAAAAAAACCATCGTTGATGCATCGATCGATTTGCATTAAAATTAATATCATGTCCGAGTGATTGCAAAGCAAATAATGAAACTCTATCATTGAGCATGAAACAGTACTGCGTTTGTATTACGTGAGATAACATCAGATAAAATGAGTAACAACGTATAAAAAATGAAGGCAGTATGCTGATTAAATAAGAATACAATTGAAATCTAAAGCTGCGTGCAAAATCGATAAAACGTAGCTCACGATCGGCCAGGAATAACTTGATACACAAAACAAGTTGTACGTGCGCGATTTCATCAAAGAAAATGTTACTTACCGAACCAGCTTCCTTCACTAATCGAAGGACGGCTATGTAATATTCGTCGATGTCGGACATGATTTATGAAAATGTTCAAAATAGCCAGGAGAGAAACACGAGTTCAGAATGTTGTCATAACAGACGCACAACGTCACAACGTACAGACAATGGCAACAGCTATAGACTAACTGACGTAACATCTCGTCAGCTGGTTTTAAAAAGAATTCCTCCGTGACAGAATCACGAATGAAAGCGACAGTGGCGACCCGGTTCGTAGAAATTTCGATTCACATCACGATTTCTTGATAACAGCAAGATCTCGACGCTACGATTTGTTCTGAAATTTATTAAATGTGTATTTTGCTAACGCATCGAAGCTAAATGAGATCATTTTATTTGAGAATTTAATGAGTTGGATATTTGTTAGATTTTTATTACATTGGGCTTTCTATATATATATATTAAAGACCAATAAAGCTATATCTAAAACATAATTATTTCGTTTGAGAACTTTCGGGCTTAAGTTGAGCTCAAAGAACAAAATTTGGTAGATATTGAATAAAAATTGTTTGAGTTTGTGCGACGTATAATAAACACAATGGAAAATAATTATATATAAAGAGGAGGTTCATTTCTTATTCAGTTCTAATGCCTATTTTAACATGAGATCGATAAAAGCTGGATAAGATTGGAAACTAGAAAAATGGTGAAGTGAATAAAAGTACAAGAATTATCGCTTAACAGATCAGTAATAATTATGTCCTTCAACATAAATATATTTACATATATAGATGTTTTCTGCATTATTCCATATAATATACATATATATTTTTTAAATATTTATATCATTATCACACCTATAATTAATTTGTTCCGCGAGGAATGATATGTATGTAACATGCCCCTATCAAGGGACACGAGGCAACGTTTTGTTTGACTCACCTTACATATAGTATAACAATTATAAAACCAGCCTTCTAGTAACTTACAGAAAATGCCAACTTCCTTTCGTAAAGTGCGTTAATAATCGTGCGTATAATTAGGTCTTCCGTTCCTCCATACTGGAACGGAAAATCATTGTAAAAAAAATAGTTTGCTAAAATTAAATAATTTGTCTCTATATATTCTCGTAATTCTTCTTTTTTTCTTGCTAACTTATTTGTGTATATCTAAAGAAAACCGAAAGTTATGGGCAAAAAATTTTACACTATAGCTAATAGACTCGCAAACATTTTTGCAGTACTTTAAATACTACGTTGATTGCAATATTTTTGTAACCGCACTCGTACTTTCAGTTGTTGTATCGTTAATCATGCTAACAAGATGCTCAAATAATGCAATTAGAACCTTTATCAGCGTTGTCATTACTGGAAGTCGTTTGAAACTTAACAAGTTGAACAGAAGTAAGACAAAAATTTAACCAGCTACGCTCTTAAATCAAAGGTAAAAGTTTAACAACCAGCTACGCTCTTAAATCAAAATGAACTGAGTTCTAATATCGTAATATCTGTCTAAAATTATACTATCGTAACATAATCCGGCGCCATCGTTCAAATATATACACATATAATATATAATTACAATTAAATTTTTCTGTAAAATTTTCAAAAGCTTCTGAGATACTTTCATGTTTAATGTAGACAAATCGTTTAAACATGCACATCATTAGAATGCACATTATAAAAGTTTTCAACAATGATAAATATTTGTCGTACGTCATTCGATTTTTTTGATATTCGCTTATATTCAAAAAATATTGCTGCTATGAAGTCACTCGATATGCAACAATTAATATATTTATAGTCGATTTCTGAGAAATTTTAGCATCACTTTAGTTCTTTAATAAGATTCTGAAACAGTTTTTAATGATTATCTTTAGTTACATAACATTTTCCGCGTCTTCATATTATTTTCAGTTGATTAAAAAAATAGTCAAATCGCTTAAATAAATTTTTCACCTTTAAATAATGAATAAACTTATGAAATATTCTATTTCAAGCAACACTTGCCACGATGATAGTCGACTGAAAGCAGTAACAATTATTGCGCATAATAATTTTCTATAAAATAATTCGTAAATAGTATCATAAGTAATAACGAAATTTAAATAAAAATGAAAATTTTATTCTAAAGATACCACTTTAAAGTCCGATTTTTTTTCCCGTTAATAAAAACTATTTTCCCTGTATTTTAACAAGTTACACATTCCCCTGAATTTTTATATTAAGTTCTCACGTTATTCTTTTCAATGGCTATAATTCGAAAGTCTTACTTATTTAATCGGTCATCGGAAGCGTGTTGTTATCATTCATTTCTAAATTACTACGTTTCCATCGAAAATCGCTACATTGCCAGAAATTTACTTAAACTTGCGGCCTTAATTGGAAAAGGACATTAACGATACTTTCATCGGCTAATGTTGATATATCGCCGACATTTCTATCTCCTGCTGCGATTTTCCTAAGTATACGTCTCATAATCTTGCCCGATCGTGTTTTTGGTAGTCCTGGTGCATATTGAACGACATCCGGTTGAGCGAAGGGGCCGATTCGTTCACGTACTATTAATGACACGTTTATATTAACATATTTATTTGCAATAAATTAATTGGAAGTTAAAATGCTTTTCAATTACTACCTCTCTTTTTAAGTTCATCTTGAAGCTTCTTGTCGAATTTGGCACCCTCATTTGGTGTAATAAAGCAATAAAGGCATTGTCCTTTTACAGGATGTGGCTTACTAACTACTGCAGCTTCAGCTACCGAAGAATGTTCAGTCAATACACTTTCTACTTCCGCCGTAGACATAAGATGACCAGAAACATTCAACATATCATCAACGCGACCAGTTATCCAGAAATAACCATCTGCATCACGCCTAGCGCCTAAAATTAGAAGAAATATATATATATTTTGTACACATTTATAACTAAAATTATAACTTCACACAAATGAGTAACATGAAACTATTGTCTCAATCAAGAAAAGAAGTATGCACATGTCAAATTTCGCTTGTTTTAATCTAAAAATGGCTACAATCATGGTTTAATTAACAAGAACTTTCGTCAATAAATTCAATAGTAACAAACTTTCCAATTCCTCTTCGATTCGAGACCATATCTTCTAACAAACGCTCCTTAACTAAATATCATTTAGAAACAAATTTGAAAGAAAATACAGGATGCCTATTCAAAAGGTTAAAGCTCGTCAAATTTTCAACTCCAGAGGTGATCCAACTTTGGAAGTGGACATAATCACAGACGTTGGACTGTTAAGATCTTCAGTACCATCTGTTTTGGTACCAAACCCTAATCAAGCGCAAGAACTAAGGGATGGCAACGAAGCCATGTACCATGGACTTTCAGTATTCAGAGCCGTTGACGTAGTGAATAACATAATAGCACCACAACTTTTGAAATCAAGGCTAGAGGCTTGCCAACAAATGGAGATAGACAGTTTGTTAAATCGTCTAGACGGAACGGAGAATAAATCGAAATTAGGTGCAAACGCAATTCTTGGTGTCTCCATCGCTTGCTGTAAAGCTGGTGCCGCGAAGAAAGGACTTCCGGTTTATAGGTAATACGATACTAAGCCATAGTTTAACAGTTGTGAATTCTAAAAAGCATCGCTTTCATTATTTTTCTTTAATTAAATATCCCAATGCAATCTTTTCACTTGACTTTCATCTTTGTAGATACATTGCAGAATTAGCTGAAAACGGAGAACTTTATATACCTGTTCCTTGTTTCAACATGATCAGTGGAGGCAGGCATGCTAACAACACAATACCATGCCAAGAATTTATGATCTTACCCATAGGTATTCTTATATCGTTTACACTATAACTTATTTGTACGTAGTTTTAATTTTATAAACACATTAGGAGCTGAAAGTTTCGCTGATGCTATGAAAATGGGCATGGAAGTGTACAAAGTACTCGAAAAAAAGATCGCAACTGCTCAAGAAATTAATCTACCTCTTCCGGTTAGCGACGATGGCGCATTTACGCCCTTAGAACTCGAGGAAAATAAGGAAGCTTTATTATTGATAGACGAGTCGATTAAAGATGCTGGTTATGAAGGAAGAATTAAGATAGCGTTAGACATGGCAGCTAGTGCTTTTTATAAAGAAGGTTAATTCATAAAATCTAAACCATATTATACATTATTAAATTGTAACTCAACGACATTCAAAAAAATTCCATTAATCCCTTTAATAGATTAAACCTAAATCCAGTAATAATATATTTCTTTTTCGATAGGAGGATACGATTTAGCATTTAAAACAGAAGAGTCTGATCCCGATGAATATATGGAAGCAGACGCATTAAAGGATCAATACTTAGAATATTTTACAGAATATCCATCTCTCGTCTCGATCGAAGATCCATTCGATCATGAAGACTGGGAGGGTTGGTTGACATTAGCCGATCAAGATATTCAAATTGTCTCTGACGACTTAACTGCGATGAATATCGACAGAATCGAGGAAGCAATTGACAGACAAATGGCCAATGCGATAATACTAAGAATGTCACAAGTTGGAACTGTAACAGAGGCGATCAACTGCGCAAAAATAGCGAGGATCAGTAATTGGGGATATATCGTAGCAGCTTGTGAAGGAGAAACTGAGGACAATTTTGTAGCTGATTTGGCTGTAGGATTATCTGCTGGACAATTTAAAGCCGGAGCACCTTGCAGAAGTGAAAGAACTGCTAAATATAATCAAATATTGAGAATCGAAGAGGAACTCGGAAAAGATGCGAAATATGCTGGTCTTAATTATAGAAATCCTTTGGCTAAATAATTCTTTAAAACCAACTAACTATTCTGAAGTTAATCCAATTTAAAATTAAAATTATTTAACTTACCGTCTCCTGTGCAATAATATCCATGAAATTTATCGAAGTATGTGCTTTGGAAACGTTGATGATTTCCATAGAGAGTTCTCATCATTCCCGGCCATGGTTGACGGAAAACAAGATATCCTTCACCTTCACCTTCGACCAAATGACCATCTTCATCCAGAATTTCTGGTAAAACGCCAAAGAATGGGAACGACTAGCAAGAAAAGCATTAAATAAATCAATTACATATTTCACTGGTTTGCTAGTAAGAGATAAAACAGAAACTTACTGCAGAACCTGGTTTCATTGGCGTAGCACCAGGAAGTGGAGTGATCACGTGGCCACCAGTTTCCGTTTGCCAAAATGTATCCGATATACTGCATTTTCCATGACCCACAAGATTGTAAAACCATAGCCATGCTTCAGCGTTTATTGGCTCTCCAACCGAACCCAAGACCTAAAAACAATAAATAATTTCCCAAACTGAATCTTCCTTGTATTACATCGTATACATTTTAATTTTTCTTTTTTTATTTTAACATACCTTTAAAGTAGATAAATCATGCTTCTTTACCAAATCGTCTCCAAATTTCATAAGCGATCTAATTGCAGTCGGTGCGGTATAAAATTGCGTGACTTTATATTTATCGATGACTGCCCAGTAACGATCGTTTTCTGGATAAAACGGTGTACCTTCGAACTACAAATGAAAAATTTAATAAAACAAACTTATTACGTAGTAAACACTTTGAATCAAATAAAGAATAAAATAAATCCAAATTTACAATAATAGAAGTAGCTCCATTTGCCAATGGACCGTACACAACATAAGTATGACCAGTGATCCAACCAACATCGGCTGTACACCAATACACATCGCTAGGATGATAATCAAATACATATTTAAATGTCGTGGCTGCATAGATTAGATATCCGGCCGTGGTATGTAGAACACCTTTTGGTTTTCCTGTAGAACCACTATATAAACAAAGACATTTCAATGTTATTCATACGAAAGCAATAATTCACTCATACACTCTTTCATTAAGAAATTTACCTTGTATATAAAATAAAAAGTGGGTCTTCCGCATTCATCCAGACTGGATAACACTTGTCTTCAGCATCCTCCACTTCGTCATGCCACCAACAATCACGATCATCATCCCATGGAATTTCAGGAATGTCAAAGCCATTATCACTTGTACCGTTCACTCCATTCGTTTTTCCTTCAATGCAAATTCAAAAAAGACAAATTATAAATTAATCAAAAAAATTACTTTCTATTCTTTCGTTTGTATTTCTTCTTTTCCTATTTTTTCCTTCTCTGCATCTTTTGGCTACACTTACTATATCTCGATTTTCAAATGAGAGTTGTTTTTTTTTTTATAACATACCTGTTGAGTCTGACTTTGCACTCTGAGGACTACTCAATCTTCTCAAATGCGCAACTACTATACAACATTCAACCTCGTGACTGTTCTTCTTGACTTTTTTCAAAGCCTCGTCGCAGATACTTTTCAAAATTAAAAGCTTCTCGCCTCTCCACACACCGTCAGTCGTAATCAAAACTTTCGCTTTCGAGTCCATGATACGTTCTGCCAGCGAGTCCGACGAGTATCCTCCAAACTAATTAAATATACAATATAGAGATATTTAATATATTACTTAAAAGTCACATATTTCCTTTATTAATTTTTTGGCTTGTATTAATTTATTAATATTTTTTATGCTAATATTTTCTATATTTAATTTATCAAAATTAAAAATTTTAATAAAAGAATAAAGTAGTGTATATGTACATATTGTACATAATAATATAATGTTTAAATTAATATTTAAATATGTAGTATATAATGAAAAATAGAAATAAACTTGAATTCTGACTCATTAATGTACTACGTATGACAATTTATAATCTGAATCTCTTAGCTTTATTGATTTCATTTTTCTTTAACTTCTATCTACAAAAAAATATGGCTGTATGAAAACGAAAACAGAATGCAAAAATACTTGCAATTAGATAATAGCACTAATTGCAGTTGTAATTTTTCTTATCTTTTACTCGTTCATTGTATAACAAAGTGAAATAATAAAGTAAAGTACTCGTTTACCTAGGTCACTGCCCAATATAATAACATAGTCGTGTTATCTGTGAGATCTGAGAGATATCTATTAATTATCTTGAACTTAAAGAAGAAAGTGAAGAAGATTATTGCTAGTATTGCTGATATAATTTTTTATGTACATTTCATAAAAAATATAAAGAGAAAAATAATAATATTACTACGAAGCTAAATAAATTATTTATTATTTTATTTAGCTTTTAATTAATTATTAATTATTAATATAGTTATCATATTCATATTTAGAGTTCAATGGTTATTGACTTATTAAAAGCAAAAAATGTCAATGCAGACAAAAAACACTGAAGAATTAATTTTATGTATAAATCTATGCTATGTAAAACGAGATAATGCTATCACGGTATATCGTGTCATATTTTTCATTTACAAAAAAAAAAAAAAAAAAATAGTTTTTGATATCCACACATATCAAAATATATATGTATCTCACAGATACCATAACTCTTGCAGCATTAAAGAAAAAAAAACAGTTCTTTACCACTACACTGTGAACAGCACCAATTCTGGTACAAGCGAGCATAGCGATCGGCAGTTCCAAGATCATAGGCATATAAATTGCAACACGATCCCCTTTTGTCACTCCTTTGGATTTCAAAACATTCGCAAATCTGCATACTTCCTCCAATAATTTTCTGTACGTCAGTCGCGAATAGTCGTCCGGATCGTTGCCCTCCCTAAAACACAATTACATTGTTCGATTTCCAATAAACATCATTCGTCAGAACTGATTAACTGACTTAAATACTTCTAAGTAATCATCGTGATAAAAATATACATATCTCTAAGATTGGGAAAGATAAATTACTGCAGGGTCAATGAACTAAGTAATCTATTTCTCACAATATAATTGATATACATAGTGCAGCATATTTGATTTGCAGCGTATTTAATTTTCTAAGATCTTTTGTGTGTATTTCATTACATAAATATTTATAAAATCAATTCAAAGATAATATCTCGATAAACGTTTTATTTTTGTATTTATAATAAGAATATGAAATCCATATAACAGTGCAGAAGTGAAGTACAATATTTACAAAGTTAATAAGGAATATAAGATATAAAAAATTGCTAATAACAAGCAGTAAGTAGTAATAAATAATAAATAAGTAGTAAAATTAGAAGAGTTGTCAGATTTATTACACACGTGCGTTCAAAGTCCAAATATCGTTTCTTAAGCATATACTAGACTTACACATACGCTAGAATATTTTCATATTTGTTTCGAGATTTAGTGAAGTATATTCAATGTGATTGACTGAATATAGCACTTATGACCTTATGAATTTTTGCACGTATCTTACATGACAATAGGTCAAAGTTTCTCTTTGAATAAATGCATTTCTGAACCTATTCAAAGTCTTCTTTTACAGTTAAAAATATCATTTTCAGATACGAATAGTTTTCGATTTAAATCACCCGAGTTTTCGATTTAAATTAGCTGAGTCTAATGATAATGTAGATTATTAAATGTTTTAAAACTAATTTAAAACAAGATTTTGAGTATAAGATAAGAATTTAATTTAAGAGACTTGTCTTTTTTGTCTTTTTTTTACTAGACTGTTCTACTGAGGTCAAGATTGGAATATAAAAGTCGATGATAAAGCATTTTCAATATACGTGCATAGAAAAATGAAAATAGGTTTACTATATGATTTAATAAATACATAGTGATACGATAATACAAAAATTCCAATAGCCAGTTACGAAAGAACTCTTATCGCCGTCCTTTCCTAATCTGATAGGAAATTCTTTCCTCTCTCGCGTTCAACTAATAGTCTAGTCCTCTTTAAATATTTTTAAATTTCTTTTGTAACATGTTTTCTACTACTCACGATAACAAAATGATATTTTAATAGATACTTTTACATTCCTTAAATTAGTTAATGATCTTTTCTGGAACTACCTTAATTCGTAATTAATAATTACTCTGAAAATATCTTCTTTCATATTATTTTTATTATATTTCATATTTTTCGTATATTTTTAAATATATATATATATATATATAAACAATTATGAAAATGTAAAATTCAATTATTTTATGATTTATATAGAATTCACATTTCCAAGTGCGTAATATCAATGTACAAAATTGTAGAAATAGTAGTAATTAAATTAATTTTGCATTATGTAACTCTATTAATAAACAATTATTCCGTCATTTCACGCACACGACTTTGACTTTTTACGAACTGCCGCGTTTCAAAAAACAGGAGAATTGTATTATCCAGTCACATGAGCTAACGTGATCGTACCACGTGCGCGCGACCAATCAGGAAATCATGACTGGAAGTAAGCCAAATTTCGGACGAATAGGAAAGCATTATACTTGACAGAGAGATAAACGATCGAAGTTTCATTCATGATCGATTGTATGAATATATTTCTCAACAAACATATTTATTTATGCGCTTTTTCTAAAAAGATAGCAATAGAAACTGGGAAATGTGATATGTTGAGATATATTCAACATATTCGACGCGTGAGTCTTCGTAGCAATGAGTACATATTATTTCAATCTAGCTCGCTAATCTAAATTTTTGTTAGTAATACGTATAACTTTTTTTATATTAAAGTGTGTTAGAATTTAATTTAAGTTTAATATGAAGTTAATGATAAGAAAGATTTAAAGTATTATGAAATTTATTAATTTTACTAGTATAACTTCTTCTGTGATTATTTCATCATGAGTAAGACAAACTTAATATTAAATATAAAATAAATTTTTTTCAGAAACTCTAACAATTATTTTCTTTTACATATATATTGAAAAAAAGAAGATGAGATAGAATCAGAAAAGAGAACATTATCAAAATGCTTCCTGCTTCGTTCAGTAATTTTACCTGATACTTTTTGAATTACACATGAAAAATACAATACTACAGTGAAAATAAAGAAATTTTATCATTTATGTAACACACTTGAATGACTTGCGTCTATAAACGGCGGTATATTTTGCATATCAATGAATGCACTGAAAGCATTTCATTCAAATGGATGCTTTGAATTGTATTTAAGCTATTTAGTTCAAATATATATCGAGTTGTATTACATAAATGAAAATCCTTGATGAATGTAAAAACATGCACGCATTTTAGTTAGTTTTTTAACAATGAGCACAGGAGTTAGCTAGTCTTACAATAGCAGGCACTAGCAGTTTCTTGTTGATACTTCAGAAAGGCTATTTCAAGCACATCTAAAAACGAAATATATGTATAATATTATATTCGTGGAATTTTTACGCTCATCAAAATATCAATCTAATCAAATACGTGCTTAAATATAAATAGGAAAGAAAGGAAGATAATTTTGAAAAAGAGATATTAGAATTTATAATATTGAAAATATTTTTACATTATGAATAATGTGTTTTAAAATGAAGAATCAACGTTAAATATTAACGAAATTCGTGTCAATAGAAAGTCAATGTTACTGCCAATATGCAACGATAATCTATGTGATTATACACGTTAATTTTCAAACTTTCAAAATAAAGGATAATTTATTACATAACGCATCTTTTTAATTGAAGAAATAAAAATCAAGTGGAATATTGATAACATCTGTAATTACAGATACATCAACTTTTGTTACTCCCTATTCTTTCGCGAAGTTATCATGCATTTCTTTTTCTCTCTGTGTACCAGTTATTGGAATCAACTGAATGTACTGCAGAGTTCATAACAATTCAAATTCCTACAAGCGTGCCAAACGACAAACAAATAATAAAAAGAAACGCGACACCTTACCAATAAAACGCAATCTTGTCACCATTTCCACTCTTCACGTTTTTGTCCAACAGATTGAAGCTTATGTTCGTTGACGCACCCTCCATCCATTTTATGAATATATCCCCCTTGTTCAAATCGAAGTTGTACGAAAAGAACTTATCCTCCGTTGCTGGAGTTTCCCAATAGAATTCTTTTGCAATTTCGCTCCAAAATTCCTGCGGATTCTTCACAGATCTAAAAAAAAAGCAGATCACGTGAAATTCTAAATAATTCTTCATTTTTCTTAAGAAACAGAATTAATTGCTTTTAAATGCACATAAAATATGATATAAAATGATTAATGGGAAAATATGATCAGAAATAAACGTATTTGATTGAGATGATTAATGATCAGTCAAGAAATGATATTAGAATTGATATTACTACGATATTCTTTCGCATAAGAAGCTCAATCTCAACAAAATGCGTAATATGAATAATAAAAACCACAAGATTATATAAGATTCAATATTTTACGAGTAATTGTAAAATGCTAAAAAAATGTAATAATAGAAGTGAAAAGAACTGAGAAATATAGGATTAAAATCAGGGGAATCAAATCAGAGGAAAGTGAGAAAGAGAGATTAAAGCAGAATTAAAATAAAGAAGAATTGGAGAGAAAAGGAGGAAGTCATTTAAAAATGTTTGAAAGAATATAAAATAATTCGTTAATACTAACAGTAAGCTCCGAATCACTATTAATCTTGTTTAGATTATTTTTCATACACAACATTATTAATTAGAAGTGAATTTAAATTTAGGTTGAGTTTCCTGGAAAGGATGAAACTGAATTTCTTTACATATTAAACAAACTGAAATGTTATTGAAAGGATGATCGATGGTATCGATATTGCATGGTATATTTTATAAAAGAACCATTCAATAAATTCTTATGATCTAAGAAATAAATGATAATAAAATATTCTATATTTATTAAATTAAAATATATCAAAGATTTAATTATTAATTACAGCCGAGATTTTATAGTATAGTTCTCTTTTATAAATTATAGTATAGTTCTCTTTTATCAGTGCGTAAATTTGGAACAAAGAACATCTTTTGTGCAAGCACAGAAGATTCATCTAAATTGGAAGTTCTTCCGAGATCATCGAAAATACCAAGTCCTCGAGATGGATAGAAATTGTTTCTTATAGAAAGACTCTAGAAGAGATCGATATCATTGTTCTATTTTTAATACACAACTATGATATTACCGTAAAATAACTGGACTATCCAAAAAATTATTTGGCCTTTGCTTCAAATTCTCCAGATGAATCTCATACGTAATATAACAAAATAAAAATTTTGTGATTTTTTTTCTTTTTAACATTTCTAATATTGATTTAATTCTTCAAAGTGTTTTTAATAATTATTGTTAAAAAATTAAGCAATCCTAGAATACCTACGGTTAGATAATGAAATAAATAAAAATGTAGGATTCTATTTTGAAAATAAAGTAAAAATTATATTTATGTTATCATTACTAATTCTATCATTTATAAAAGATCATTGAAAAAACTTGAGTCAGTTTTTCAAAAACAATATCGGTAGTTACATAATCTATCTTTTGAAAAATTTCAATAAAAATTACTCCGGAATTAATATTTCTCAAACAGTAGCTCTACTACCTATACAAAGTGCACTCAATAAATACGCTGACACTTTATTTATGATTAGTACACGTTGACATCTATCAGTATTCACCCTATTCCATTGTCCCCTACTAATTCCAACACCACTGCACTTAATTGCCATAGAACAAATCTTCCATTATCTGCGAAGAAATAAAAGAGCAACTTTCTCGAACAAGCTGTCAATGATTTGCAATTAAAACGCAATAATTAAGTCGGTCATTAAAAAACAAAAATTCTACTCAATTAAAATTACAAATATCTTGACCAACTGATTCCTAAACGTAACATTTTCATTCATAAAATGATACGTAAAACATAATATCAGGGATTTTCGTTTGTGGTATCGCTCGGTGAACATTATTGATTAGCAACAGCCTTAACATTCCAACTATGAATAACATTCTCTACAAAGTGTCATTGGAATTTAAAAACGATATTGATTTGTCATTAAGGAGACGTATCGTCAGGAAAGTGAAAGCGTATAAAGAAGTTGAACGGAAAGGGGATGAAAAATTGTAATCGGCGAGATATGTCAGAGGCTACACCATGCCATCTGTCATCCCTCTTGTACCGACTAAGTAAGTCTTAACAAGACGTTCGTTATTTCAAATACAAAAACCACTCACATCTCGTGCATCTTTCTATACTGCTCCAGACTGCTGCAGTACGCGTTCTTCGCGAGTTCTGGATTGGGGTAGTATAATTTATCCGCCATCTTCTTGATTTCGACGTTTCTCCGTGTTTCTCTGACCTTTTTCAATTCTTACGATCCTTTAGTATAGACTCGAGTAGTTAATCGATAAAGTGCAAAGTGGAAATACGACCACGACACTCGGACGCTTTATTTTATATAACTCGTTTTATGTTGCTCTTTTCTCTTCTTCTTTCTGTCTTTCTTTCTTTCTTTCTTTCTTTCTTTCTTTCTTTCTTTTTCAATCGAATACGTTACGAGGGATGAAGGACGGATACCACAAACGAGATTTTGAGTGAACGGAGGAGACACGGCGATTACTAGAAAGCATGCACCTCCGCTCCTTTTTCCGTTACAACTCGGCTGATAAACCACGACTGGATTGCGCTCTGGCAATACTGTCGACCACTGTTGGCGTCGTTAGTGTCGAGAGGGAAGGCGCCGTCAGGGACGTACTCTCTGTAACCGGTGACCCACGTTGAACCTTCCTCACCCGTTTGATATTTCGGCCATAAAGCGATATGAAATCATGGAACACTTTCTGAGATCTGTTGCGCAACAATTTACTGACTATAAAAGTTAGAAATTATTCGTTACATCCGTCTCCTTTTCGGCAATGAATAACAGACATTGGCAGTAATAACGAGGTAAATAACATTCTAAAAGTTATAATGTAGTTATACAAAATTGCTACGCCTGTTTAAAATAGTAGTGTATTAAATATACCTAATGTATAACTTTGTAATTTTAAAACAATTAAGTTTCTAATTGACTTAAAATGTCTAGTCGCATGTTGCGCAACGCAAGTGCGCACAAGTCAAACAATTCCGAACTTACCGACACACAGGTGTTCGAACCTAACCTTGCTAATGTTTTTATTCTATTAATTATATTGTGTTCCTTATTTGTTATATGCGTAAATTCCGAATTCTAAATTCATTTTCGAATTAATTTCACTAATTTTTATTTCAATCTCTAATCATTTCTAAAATGATCGTTGTGATGTAATTTATTTTTATCGCTCCATAATTTCATAATTGTGTGCAAAGTCTGCAAAATATCAAACAAAATTGTTAAAAAAAACTAGTGTCAAGAAATAAGATTAGGAAAATTAATGATCTAGTGAGATAAATTGTCAGCAAGGTTGGATTTATTCTACTGTATCACTTGATCTACGATGTTCCAATTTGAATCACATCCATATTAATCACGTGACTGTGCATTTGATGCAACATGTAAATAAATATAATGTTGTTTTCTTAAATTTTCGAAACAAAGAAAATAAGAATTTATTTTTATTGATTATATGTATTCCTACGATATTATAGTTCAATACTACTTTTTTAAATAAACTTTTAGAAATAATATTATAGTGATATAATAATGTTTCCCATTCCTATTGTTTCGCGCGCATCTGATTAACCTATTATGCCATTTTAATTGGAAAATGCGTAAATGCATGAAACTGTTCAAAGTCAAATTCATGAAAAATAGTCTCCAGTTACACAAAGAAAAACCGAATAATTTAAATAGATTAATACAATTTTCTACATGTCAATTAGTTAACTCTGTTAACTGAATTATTTATTTATGTTAAGTTATTTATTTTGTTAAGCAAAGAATGCGAACCAAACAATTAATATCAAAATAATTAATGTTAAATTAATATTAAAGTTAAAAACTATTGTTAATATTTTAAAATAAAAAACTATCAACATAAATAGTTAACAAATAGTTATCAACGGCCTATATATCTACTGAGTATTATCATGAAAAAAATTAAAAAAATGTTTATTCAAATTATTAGTGCTCTCAAAATTGACAAAATCTTATCGTTTTGAGGAATTGAATATTTTTTGTAAATTATTAGTATTCTTTTGTAATATCTACTGTGTTATCAATTATTTAAACAATGGAACTAACAGTTGTTTCTTTTATATCTATTACTGATTGTTTTTTTATGCAGTTTCAATATCGATAACGCAATATGCAAATTAGAACTCATTCTGGATTCTTGTTCAAACACAAGAATTGTAGTAGGATCAATTTACATACTCTTACAGGATCTGTATGTACCTAGAATTTTTATTGTTCTGTTATGCACGTGATTAACGATATTGATCTTGGATCTATGTAACAAGGACTCGATCATTGGTGAACGGTTTGTAGTCAATAGCATGACAAGGACTCGATCCAAGGATCGATCGTAATCGTAACAAAAAGTTTCTGTTGATAATTTTCATCATTGGCATTTATTATACATTTATAATGTTTTTATCACTGTTATTATTATTTTCGAAATATTTTTGTACACTATGTACATGACATGGATAAAACGTAATTTAGATATCAAGTTAATTTTAAACTTGATGAAATTACTCTGCCAGTTTCCTATGTGATAATTTTCGTAGATAAGTAATTTGATGTTAAACACAAAAAGTAGGACACAAATATCATTAAATTATATTATATGTAACATTAACAGTGTTAAACGAATAGTTTTCTAATGTAAGTGTGGAAAGGGAATGATGGAGATTGATACGTTATTGATACGTTATTGTTTTTTATACGTTGTAACAAACACATTTGAGACTTATTTCTCTAATAATTAATATAAAATATAAGACAAAATTAGATACATTAAGCTATTAATAATTATTTCTAAGCTATTTTTGATAATAAGAGTAATATTTATACAATAATCACGATAAAATATAATATGAATTTGGATACATTAAACTATTTACATTCTACATTTTCTTATGTAATGTTGCTTGTGTTTGATATTTTGTATCTTATTTTATCTAAACTTCTCTGCTTCATTATGAAACGTTGTTTACGTTTAATATAATTTATATTAATTTTATTTTATATATATATATATATATATATACATATATATCTCCTAAATTTATATAACATGTTAATATAAATATAAAACTTGTGACACAAATATAAAAAAAATAATACAACGAGTCATTAAACAATTTTTTTTTCTTTTTTACATATAAATCTGTTAAGTAGTTATCTTCAACTTAATAATTTATTTACAGAGTTTATTTTATAATAGATTGTAATTAATAAAAGTATTGACTAATAAATTAGAATGTTTGTAAAGATAGTGCAATAACTATGATAACTGTGATAAATTATAATGAGTGTTTAAGCATCTACACGTGAAGTAACATTTGATAAGTTCTATACATGTAGAAGTGAGATAAAAAAGCGATTGTTACAAAAGAGGTCTAACTAGCTTCCAACTGTTAAATTAGTATTAATTCCACGTTGACTCTTAATCGCATCTATTCGATAATGCCACCATCTGACCAAGGAATAGAAGGACGACGTTAAATGCTGTTCATTGTCCTATTTTATACGCTGACAATATGTAAAACAATACGAGATCCGGCAATAACTTTGTTTTTTTTTTTTGTTTGTATTCTTTCATTATTGTAGCAATTAATAGATGCGAATCACCTTATCTGATTTCATCGACTTGTCAAGTACTGTTCCAGAGGTATTCAATCATGGGTCGTTGCACTTGCAACTCTGAAAAGAACGTGTAAACTTCTTTTACACGTTCTTAAATCTCATTTGTATCCGTATGTATCCGTAAAGTAAATATTGACGATTAATTTTAGCAACTTCTGTAAAAAAATCCATATACGAAGAAGTGAAAATTATCAACAAACTACTTAACAATAAAAATAAAGAAATTAGAAATAAAAGAAAAATCTTTATAATCTATCTTTTTATAATTTTTACTAATATAATCTATCTTCTTACAATTCTTTTTATAATTTATGATTCTATTTGTAATTCTTCTTACGTGTATAATATACGTTCTATATTATTTTAAAAAATATGACACATATAAATGGTATCTCTGTCTACAATGAAATTACAGATAATTGTAATTTTAATATTTTTAATTCTCGTATTTAAAACGCTGAAAAATACATATACTGAAATTGTTTTAGAAAATGATAGGAGAGCACTTTCTTTAAACAGGTGTCGACAACCTCGGGTTATCGATATTTTCCAACGGTATCTTCGAGGTCTTCGACCATTGCGTCGACAAGCCTCCATATGTTCGCAACCTCCCGAGAATTCTTATAACTCATCCTGCATGCAAATGCGTCGCCTGTGTTATTTTTTTTTGTCTTTTTCTTTTCTGTTTGCACATATCTCACGTACAGGATATTTTTATCTCCCGCGGTTAGCTCTCGTCGTATATAAAGCCACGGAAGGATTCACTTGGAACGCGCACACCTCTGTTTCATCCCAGACTTGCCAAGTTCAGTTTAAAACGAAAAAAGAAACCGGTATCGATCAGTTTCCATCTCGAACTGGCCGCGTGAAAGCGGGATTCTCTCGACGGAACATCGCGCTGGAGAATTCTGAATGCTTGCTTCATTTCTCTAAACATCGAGATTTTTTAATTAGAATATTATTGAAATTGTTTGTCATTTGCCAATTGTTTGCTGTGCATTCAAAGAATAGCTGTTACACGTTGTGCAACACAGTGGAAATTGACAATAGAAGACCGTAAGTGACTAAAAATTGAAAAGATCGAGAGATCTTTGGAGATCAACTGCGAGGATTTGATCGAATATTGAATATTTCTGAAAACTATGGGTAGTAATAGGAACAGTTCGTAAGATTCTGCAATACATTCTGCAACGTTTGATAAATTCTGTTATTACTGATTATCGAAATGGAATCAAGTTGTACGATGCAGGCTGTTCTTTTACATCTTCTTTTGCTTTTTGGAAACATTTATGCCACCGGCGACGAGAGGAAACGATACGATGGATACAGATTGTACAAAGTTTTCGTGCCTGATGATGAGAGTTTAGAATTATTGACGAACATGCAAGACGATGACGGTTATCACTTATGGCACCGACCGATGATCAACAATACTGCAGACGTGATGATCTCTCCGGCAAGGATTCAAGAATTTATGCAAAAAGTTAACACGACGAAGCTTGAACCAGAATTGATGATGGACAACGTGCAAAAGTATATTGACAACGAGAATCCTCGTGGCAACGTAAGAGGAGCGTTCGATTGGCTGGGTTATCATCGATTGAATACTGTAAGATATTATTTTGGAAGATTGCACAATAAATATAATTATAATATTTAGAATAGTATAAGTTAGAAAGTTTTGTCTCCTTTTTCTTCAGTTAGTTTTATTATCATTATTCATTTCGTTCTTCGAATTATCGTGTGTATTGTAAAAATTCCAAATAAAATTATAGTATAATACAATCGTAAATAATACCATCGTAGTACTTGATTGACTATAATTTTTTCGTAATATCGTTCCGCAGTTCAATTACTTGACTCAACTACGCTCCACTATTATATTATAACTTCTATCACGTTATTATATTAGTATACTACTTTATATGCCGCAATATTACTCATATACCAACGTAATTGCATCAGTAATTATGAATCATGGAAAAACAATTCTACTGTTGTATAATAAAAGAACAGTTAATTTCACGTTGTGAATCCTTCCTATGGAAAAAAAACGTATTGTCGATCGAGGATCTGTCTTCCAGATTTACAACTGGCTAGATTCTCTCGTAACTCAGCATCCCGAAATAGTAAAACCAATAATCGGTGGAAGTAGCTACGAAGGCAGGAGAATCAAAGGTGTGAAGCTTACCTATAAGGAAGGAAATCCTGGTATATTTATCGAGGGCGGGATACATGCCAGAGAATGGATATCACCGGCTGTTGTCACCTACATCCTGAACGAATTGATCCTGAGTGATGATTCTCGTGTCAGATACATGGCAGAGTCGTACGACTGGTATATTTTCCCTGTATTCAATCCGGATGGCTACGAATACACTCATACCACTGTAAGAAATTTTAACGATAAATTATTAACATTCTTTAGTCCACAAATTTTACACATCAACTTTCTTAAATCACAAATGTTTTAAAAAAAGCTTTAAGAGAAAGGTCAAGGAAAATCAAAGAATAAACAATTTTTTCGAATTTTACTACTATTTTACTGTATAAATTCTGGTTCAACTAAAATACTAAAATAATGATAAATTTATCTACAATTGAAATAAACTTATCTAGGTTTTCTCGTCTATTCTTGAATCTACATTTCGATCGTCTGATCCGTAATCAAAATAATTTACCTTGTGCACGAGAATGATAAAGAACTATATACGTCGCTGCTGAAGCGATAAGATTATTGAAATTCATCCTTTTAATTACTTTGTTCCACTATCGAGTCGATATCGATTACTAGTCAAGGAACTTCAACTTTCTGTTTCTTTTCCGACTTGCAACTTCCTGTTCCCTTTTCAATTTAAACGTGTCAGCGATACGTGATAATCGCGCGATATGAGAACTGATAAAGTGAAAATCCATCTAATGTTCATTGCGTTTCGACACTGTTCAGAATCGTCTATGGCGGAAAACTAGAAGACCTACAAGAAGAGGTTGTTACGGAGCTGATCCGAACAGGAACTGGAATTTCCATTGGGCAGGTAATCTAATAGAGAAGATATTAATTGTTTATTTAATCTTATCGGTTAATTAAATCTGGTTTAAAGTGCTATCTTCGATCTATGTGTATTGATAAATTGAAAATCAATTTAGATATTGGAAATGATTGTTTAATTTTATTAATATTGGAATGATTGTTTACACTGGATTTAAAGCCATTTATTTATAATATAAAACGTGTATAAAACAGATAGATATCTATATTATTAGAGATTGTCAACTATTAAAAGAATAAACGAATCTTGATTATTTATATTTTTAATTATAGAAAAATCAGTGGATCGCTTGAATATATTAGAGATGTAAGAAATTATTATTTTTATTTAGCAAATATAATTATTCGCTGATGTTTCAGAGGGTGGTGTTAGCCGAAATCCATGCAGTGAAATATACGCTGGCGACAGGCCTTTCTCTGAAACAGAAACAAGAACCATGTCCCAATATATCGATAGCATCCAGAGTAAAATATTTTCTTATATAGCATTTCACAGTTACAGTCAATTGCTACTCATTCCTTATGGTCACTCTAACGAAAGAGTCAGCAACTACGACGATCTCTTTCAAATAGGAAATTACTCCATAAATGCTTTATCAAAGAGATATGGAACACGATACAAAGTTGGCAATATCGTAGACATTATATGTGAGTGCATTATTAAAATTACAAAAATATTATTGTATTCAATATTTAAATGTTATTTGTGCGCATTTATAATATTAGAGATAAAAGAGAAAGTTGCCTGACATTGCTCAAAATAAGATAGAAATAGTTTAAAATAAAATGATAGTGAAATAAAATCGGAACTAAGATTCTTGTCGTTTTAATTGATTTAAATTTTTTATTATTTGAATTCTTCTAGACGTCGCATCAGGAGGCTCGATGGATTGGGTACGAGGAACCTACAACATCCCCGTGACATACACTTACGAGCTTCGAGACAAGGGAAGATATGGTTTCATTCTGCCAGCAAGTCAAATTATACCGACTGCAAAGGAAACTTTGGACTCTTTGGTCGCCATGTTCGAACAGGCTGCAAAACTTGGCTATGGTTCATCCATGACTGCACAATTTAAACTTTAATCTTTATAATTCCATATTATTTATAATTCCATATTTAGTCAAATCAGTATGAACCTTTTTATAGAATGTGTTATTATATAAATATTTATTATATAAATTTTATTATATAAAAGAACTATTTTTCAATATTGTTATTACATAACATTAACGTTACTTGACTCTGTCGGTCATAAAGTATATACATGTAAAAAATAAATTGCATTGAATAGTTTAAAAGCTTTCCATCGCAAAAGATAATAAAAGAAGTATTTTTTTCTAATTGCAATTGTAATAAATTTGTTCCTTTTGTTACAGGGAGAACTTCTCTTTTTTTACTTTAAGAACGTCGATTGATTACAAATTGAGGACAAATTTCACTTTAAATACTATCATTGGTATTATTCTCAAGTTTTGGTATTATCGTGTGCTCATACATAATTATGATTGTCAATCTTGATGGTATCTTGTTACGATGGTATCACGTAATTTACGGCAATTCTTTTACAGTAATGTTGCGATTATTTAAGTACAGCTATTTCTGTTCTCTCAGTCTTGTCTAAGTGCACCTGTCTAATTGATGTGCTAATTTATGCGTTACGTCGTAACTGCTTCTGGTAGGATCTCACCACTAAACAATGATTTTCGAAAAATGAAAATCGTTGGAACTGTGACAGAACAATAATACGAAAACGAATAAACTCAATTTTTTTATTATTTAAATAATACGTATATTATTAAAATATATACGTATACGTGTATAATAATTCCTTATTTACAAATTCTCTATTTTCGAATGTATCGTCCCATTGAACTATATTTATTAAATTTAATTTAAAGAAATTAAAGTCGACTTTGTTTTCATTACTATTTAATTTCATAATTATAGAACGTAAAATTTTGGAAATCAACATTTCACAATCACATCCGTTTAACCAACCGAAGAAAAAAATATAGAAATGGAAGTAGAAAATCACTCTTCGAAATTGGTACTGCAATTGCCAAGATCAATGATCGATATATCCCAGAATTGACAAATATCCCGGAATTGTCTGCAACTTGTTGTGAAATTCTAACTACATCTCAAGTGGGCAGTGTGAAATCGTCCAGATAAAGACGCATACTCGAAATAAATCCCGATAAAGATTCAGATTCAATAAACTCGCACTTTTCACAATCAGTGATATGATTTCTGAATAACGATCCGATGGAAATAATCGTTGGTGCCGTGTGCAGGTGAAACGTTTAAATACAGAGGTGGAAGTAGCAATAAGACAAGTCTTCTCTCGTAATCACATAGGGTAAGATCATCCATCATGTTCTTTGTTCTCCTTCGACCGTCGTGTTTGCAACTTTAATTTTAATTCTTATTCGACTTTTTTTATTTTAATTCATGTTAAGGCTTAATGTTATTCATGTTAAGTTTCACATTTATTTAAACACATCCGTAAGCTTCAGTCAAATTTGAAAATTTCTTCTCAGTACGCGTAGCGAATTAACTTCTCAGTTATCAAAAGGATTCATTGAATTCTTCTTTCTATAGTGAGAATTTTAATCTGTTTCTGTTTCAGGAGAGGCACTATGTGGAAGTTAATTTTCGTCGCTTTGGTCGCTTTGGCGACAGCCGAGAAAGTAAAGTACGACAACTACCAGGTGTTCCGTGTTACACCTCAGACAGAAGAACAGGTCGAAGTCATCCGCAACTTGGAAGAAATTTCTGATGGAGTATGTATATCTGCTTTGTACGAGCATTGTTACACGTTCAAAGAATTTAACCAGTCAACATAAAACACAGATCTTTCCATCAATTTATCGTTCAATTGTAATTAAAAAACGTGACCATTCCCCATATTAAAAATACCTTCGAGAAATTCTAACTAACTCAATGTGCAAGTTTTTTCGAATATTTTTCTTTATTTCCTATATTATTGTTATCTTTTAAAAACTCAAGTTAAAAACAGTCATTATTCATTTTATATACTTCCCTAATAGTGATAACCGATTTTTTTTATAGTTCTCTTTCTGGAAAGAGCCAAACACTGTGCAAAATCACGCGGACGTGATGGTTGCTCCCCACAAAATCCCGGACTTCCAGGACATAATGAAGAAGTTCGACATCCCCTATGACACCTACGTCAGCGACGTTCAAGCTTTAATCGACAATGAATTACCACCGGCCCAACCTTTAGTCTCGTTCGACTTCACCCGCTATCATACTCTCGACGAGATCTACGCCTTCTTGGATTCACTTGCCAAGGAAAATCCCGGCAAAGTGCAAGTGATCGTCGGTGGAAAAACACACGAGGGTCGTCAGATCAAAGGAGTGAAATTGACCTTAGGCAGCAGCAAAAGTGGAATCGTCTTGGAGGGTGGAATTCATGCTAGAGAATGGATCTCTCCGGCTTCCATTCTTTACATAGTGAACGAGCTTCTACAGAACAAGAACGCTGATGTCAGACAACTCGCCGAGTCTCACGAGTGGTACATCTTCCCTGTCGTCAACCCTGACGGATATGTGTACACTCACACCACGGTAAGCAACCTAAGAAAGTTGGAAAAATCTTTAATTTTAAATGCTTAACATTATCGTGTCGTTAATGTCAAATATCTGAAGTATATACGTTCTAGTAAATGTATTAACAAAATGAATCACAAAGTAGAAATTTTGTTAAAATAAGGAATTTGATGTATCTGTAATTGAAATTTTGATGTGTATTCAAACGCTCAATGCAAGAGTTTCAGAGTTGAAAAGAAAGTGATTATTAAAGTTATGATAATAAAGTTTAATAATTAGTTATTGTAACATATTATATAAATATATAATATAATATTATATTTATTACACTATATATTGTATATATAATATTATAATATATTAGTATAATAAATTTGTAATTTAATGATTAATTCGATGGAGCACGTTTGTGTTTCAGAACCGTTTGTGGAGAAAGACTCGCAAACCATACGGTTTGTGCTATGGAAGTGATCCTAACAGGAATTGGGGATACAAATGGATGTGTAAGTTTTTCATCTGATATATAAATTTATCTTTAAATCTATCGCAAGATTTACATTCTCTGTTAGAAAGTAATCACATAACATTTAAGTGTTTAAAAATTACATGAAAAATATTCTCTTTTTAATCTTCTAGCTGGTGGTGCTAGCAACAACCCATGCTCTGAAACTTACGGCGGAAGTTCCGCGTTCTCTGATGTTGAAACGAAGAGTCTGTCCGAATACCTGACATCGATTTCCAGCAAATTCAATGCCTACGTTTCTTTCCACAGCTATTCTCAACTTTTGATGTTCCCCTACGGTCACACTACACAGCATCTGGATAATTACAACGACGAAGTAAGTGAAAATTCAAATTATCCTATAAAAATCTCATTGAAAGATTTATTATTCTATGGAGATCTTTCCTACAAAGTTTTGGTACATCTATACATTTGTTTTACATTTATCTAAATAATCCGTATTTCGGCTTTTCTTCAATTTTACAAATACATGTATCACGAACGATTTGATCGAGATTCTTAATTTTATCAATTTATATCGTATCTTAGACGGTAATCTTTCTGATAACAGTTACTGATAACAGTTACAGATAACTGTGATAACAACTAATGGATGATATTTTTATTACTGATACATGTCAAGATTAATTTATTAATTAAACCTCGATGAAATTTGTAAGTACAGAAGGATAATTAACGCACACTTTCAGCTTCAAATAGCTAACAAGGCAGTCCAGGCTATTTCTAAGCGCTATGGAACCAAATATAAGGCCGGGAACGTCGCCGAAACCATTTGTAAGTACACAAACCATTTATCATACATGATGCATCATTCTTTTTCTCAACATTAATGTTCAATTTATAATTTATAATTGAACATTAATGTTGATCACAAGTAGAATAACAAGCTCGATAAGCTTTTCTTAATTGCGATAATAAACTAATATAACAATCTATTCGTCCTATTCATTTATTTTTATACTTCACGTTCTACTTTCAGACATCGCAAGCGGAAGCTCAGTGGACTGGGTGAAAGGAACTTTCCATAAACCTGTCACCTACACGTACGAATTACGCGACACCGGCCGTCATGGTTTCTTGCTTCCGGCTGATCAGATCGCTCCTACCGCGCTGGAAACCTTGGACTCTTTAGTTGCTATGTTCAAGGAAGCTAAAGCTCGAGGATACAAATAAACGCAATAAATAAACTAACAGGTTAAAATCAATAACGATAAGTCAACGTAATAAATAAGTTTTACAACATCTGTTGTCGTCATTTCCACTTCGTTTCTCTTGATTCTGATGCTGGTCCTACGATTTAAAATCTACGCGTAATTATACTTACTGTCTCTTTCTAAGTAACGTTCGTTGAAGCGCGTGTCAACTTAATAAATTACGAGCGTCTTCGCAATTGCTTTCAATTCTTTCCTCGAGATCTTGCCTGAATGAGTGTGCGGAAGACTTGGTAAAAATTTCACGCCGCCACGCAGTTTGTACTGATCGATCATGTTACTAGCCACCATCTTTATCAATTCTTCCGCGGAAACCTGTAAATTATACATCGCAGTTAAATCGTGCGCAAAGTAATTGTTGAGGACAAATTCATATTATTTTTATATATTAAATTACATTGTTCAATTTGCATTTTATACCATTATTTTGAATTGAGATCTCTACAGCTCTCTAGTATAGCTACGTTCTAGTCCAGCTACGTTCTTTCGGTCATTTTTCTTTCGAGCAATATTCTTTCTTTAACAGAAGATAATATGTATCTTCTGTTTGAGCGAACTACGTATAAAAGAAATTTTCTTTTCTTTCCTTTTGTGGAAATATAAAAATTCAAGAATCGCAACACCAACTTATTAATTTATACATACTTCCTTATTAGGCATCTTGCTGACAAAAGCAACGGGATGTTCATCGTCCGTAGGATGTGGTACACCAACCACTCCCACTTCTAAAACTGCGGGGTGAGATTGCAGAAGGGTTTCAATTTCGGTCGGCGGTATTTGGTATCCCCTGTATTTAATAATTTCCTTCAGCCTGTCCACGATGAAAAACTCCCCTTTCTCGTTGTAATAAGCTAAATCGCCACTGTGCAACCATCCTGAATGCAGGGTACGAATTCATTAAATTACTTCATCATCCATATACATTTTATCTTTATATTATTACTTTATATACATGTTGTTATTATTTACATTACTATTTATATTTATTACTTTCTGTTATCTTATCCCTATGTTATTACACTTTCTATTGTTTTGTCTTTATGTTATCATGCCCGTTTAAAAACTCGATTTATTTTAACTATTAAAAGAATAATGATAAATTGTTCAAAGAATTCTCATAAAAACAACAATAATAGAAATAGTAGATTACTGCGTTTACCATCTTTGTCAATGGCGTTCTTGGTAGCTTCAGGGTTTTTAAAATATCCTGTCGTGATCGTCCACGATTTCGCGCAGAGCTCGCCATTTTGATTTGGACCAAGAGTCTCCCCCGTTTCAGTGTCTATGATTTTCACTTCACAATTTGTTGTAACCACGCCGCAAGACCCGCTCGTGGTATCTGGTAATTGTGTGGTAATCACACCACCAAGCTCCGTCATACCTGAGAAGAAGAAATCGTCTTCTGTATCAAAGTACGAAGTAAACCTTTTAATCTTACATTATTACATTACACCAGTGTTTTACATAAATATGTTTTTCATAATTATCATACGTAATATATAATATATATTAATATATCATAATATATCATATATATTTACATAATATATCATAATATATTTTACATAAATTATTAATATATCATATTTATCAATATTAATTATTAATTATTAATATATCATGATATATTTACATAAATATCTTCGCAATTTCAGTTTCTTCTCGACGTACCATACGCTTGTAGAACTGTTGTATTCGGTAAGTTTTTTTTCAATAAATCTTGAGAGTCTTGTTTCAACGTCGCACCACCAGTGAACAGTATACTCAAAGAGCTGAGATCATAATCGTGCAAACGATCATACCGTACGAATCGATTTGACATACTGGTACTGAGCATCAACCACGTGACCTGAACAAACAATCATTCATAATAGAAGAGACAGGAGAGAATGAATTTTCCATGAAATGTTCGCAGTTAGTTAACCCCAATTGATACTATATCAATTTCCATGAAGAGTGTTGTTATTAAAATTCTAAATATAATATTGACGTAGAATGGTTATTTATCGTGTTAAGAGTAATATTAACTTCTGGAATCATCGTCATTGTGTCATTGTGTCAATGAAAAAATACACAGCAAAGAATTCACATTTCTAACAAATTTCTCCTACGAAACAATTAAAATCCAATTAGTGCGATATACTTATAATCTCAAAAATTAATTATACTAATTAAAATGCAATAAAATTCACGATAAATCGTAAGTAAATATCGAATCCTAGATGAATCAAGCGAAATTTCATCCTTGAATTACTTTCCTCCGCAAGTTTATTTCTGTTCAGAAAATTTCATAATATTATAAGGATTTTTCTCACACTTGTTGAAAAACTATAACTAGATATAAAAGAATTAGATTTAGAAGTATAGAATTCAGTTTGCGAACGAAGGGGTTAATAATCTACACTAATCTAAATGACACATTTTCCATATAAAGTTATAGGCATAAAATTTGACTATTATTATTTAAAAATATGTAAGTTAAATAATTAATTATTGTTTCAAGTTGCCAGAAATCAATTAATTCTATATATAATAATATTATTATATACTATATACTATACAATAATATTATATTATATATTATATACTATACTATATATATTATATACATTATATTCTATATAATAATATTATATTATTAAAAAAGCTATCAAAAACAACGATGAATCCTTGTACCTTAAACTTTTCGATAATTTCGCAGGCTGATTTTTCGTCGAATTCTGGGCCGATGATTCTCTTGGCGCAAGAAATAATACTCTTCAAACTGAGTAGCGATCCGCTGATCCAGTATAAAGAACTGAACCACATTGATACATGTGAGTTCAATGCGAAGCCCTCGTTTAACTGCAGCCCATTTATAATTGATCTGTGAGAGATTTGCACACCTTTCGGCAAGCCCGTTGTTCCAGACGAGAACAGAATTATACAGGTGTTCTCGGGATCATTGATCTCCACGCATTGGAAGTTCTCCACTGCCGATTTCGAATGGCCATTCAACGTCTCCGTGAAGAGTGTTGTGCCGGGATAGTGGCCAAAAGTAACAGTTTTCGGATGATAAATCTCGATCTTTGCCGCCTCTAGCACGACAGCCATCGACTTTTCATTCGCGAAGATCACCTTCGGCTTCGTCAGTGTTATGAAATGTCTGGCCAATTCTAGGAAATTATAGTTGTTAATTAATCATCATGCAAGCGCGTAATTGCTGTATTGCGTAAACACGGATGGAAACAATAGCCTATTGAATAATCAAGTCAGACCAATAATCAAGAATAATCAAGGTTCGTTTGTATAAGTTTCTCTGACTTTTACGAAGAAGTAATCGTTTCATATATATGTGGGAACATGTAGGCAAATTCTGGGAAAGGGCCCAGAACTTTCTTCAGTGCCCAATTGGAAATTGTAACCAGATGTCCCAAGTGGCGTACTGTAGAGAAAGTTAGGCTTGGAACTTGAGAATGTTTATGGCTCTAGCATTTAAGATATTAAGGGTATGGATACGTTTGTTTCATGTGTGTATGCATGACGAATTTTTGTGCAGATGAGAAAGAAGGCAGTGAGTTTCGAGCAGTCAGAGAGAAGAAAGTGAGTTGAGAGTTGCGAGAGAGAGAGAGAGAGAAGAGATAAACAATCATCTTTTATCCAAATTCCTACAAATTGGGGTCCTACATATACAATTATGTACAATCACATATATACGAAATTTACAATTCATTTAAAATTTTCTTTTATCCATTTTTATTTACTCGTGTTAGTTTCTAGTTTTATTCTTCTTATTTATTTCTATAAAGTAGCGAATATTTTCTAAAAAGCGTAATAATAATGAATAATAGATGAAGAATGAAAAATGTGGAAATGTCCATTTTGGTTTTCGTAAATACTTTTCTTTCCCGGCAGATCGAACAATTTAAAGTTCATATTCAAACGAAGAAAGAAGCACTAACTTTGTAGTCTAAAAATATATATAACACGTGTATATATGTATATATATATATTACCAGTCGATGTAAATCAAATTTCTGCCAGTAAAAATGCAAACTTCATTTCTTATAAATACATTGATACTATGGTAGAATTATAATGGTATTTCCATGATAATTTATTAAAATTAAACCTTGTATGTGGGGAAAAAGTCGACAGGGAAAAAATTTTATCGCAGTTATGATAATGCTCGGTAAATGTATCTACGTATTGAGATTATCGATAAATTAATTATCATAATTTACAGAACTCACGAGTGTTCATCCCATAGTCCCACGAATTGACAATGGCACCGAGATAGAGCGCAGCAATATAAGGAATTATAGTATCCATGTGATTGTGCGAGGAAATTGCGACAATGTCTCCTTTCCCGACTCCATGTTTTTGCAACCACAGTGCACACTTTATCGTACGGTCTGCAATGTCCGCAAAAGTCTCTTGTTCTTCTGTGATTGCGTCTACCTAAAATGTTCGATCGATTGACAACAAACAACGATCCAATAGAAAATTTTAAAGACCAAAGAAAATTGATAAAGGAAGCAGTTCGATTATGTACAAACTAAATTATTAATAAATAAAACCTGATGAGCGCAATAGCTCGAAAATCCAGCGAAGAGAATTAAAAGAATCATATTCTGGTGTTTTTATCAACATTAATTTACTGATGAATAATATTAGTAAATTAAGACAAGTTAGAAATTGCAAGACATATTTGTAAGACATAACGGATATAGAATAATCGAATGATTTATATTTTGTAAAGTTATTATTTAAAAGACAATTATTGTTTCTAGAAACCTTCAGGATAAATTTCACAAAAAAAAAGAAATTATCTACTTATATTTTTTATAAAAGAAACATAAGTGCAATAAGAAGTAGAATTGCAATGTGTATTTATGCAAATGCACATGTTGTTATTGTTGACATTGCTTCGTCACTGAGATTCACGTGTACATTTTACTGTATACATTATACAATTACATAATGCATATGCTTTGCATATTTTTTTGTTTCTAGCGTATACGCTCAAATATAATGCATATTCATGTATTTGTCTCGAGTGCCATCAATGACTTATAAATGTCGTTACAATATCACTCAAAACAAACGAAGAAAAATTACCTTATTGTTTGTTACGATGCAAATTATAATACCTCTACAGAATAAAATATAGTATACGTATCGTAAAACGCGTGTTACATATTCTTTTTTATTTATATATGTTTTTTTACATATATGCATATTTTATCAACATAAATGGCACATTTTACGTGTATAAACATCTAACAGCAAGTATTTGTATCATGTCTATTATAAGAAGTTGCAAGTTGCATTGTGATTACAATATATTAACGCAATTAGAGGAATCAACATATAATGTCAGTTATAAGCAATTATAAGCAGTTTAATATTGAGGCCCACGACACGTACCATTTATGACATGCTCCAAACCCAGTGTTCCAAATTTTTAGACATATTTTTGCAGTTCTCAAGTATAAATCACTTAAAGAATTTGCAAACTAGGCGCTTTATAAATCTCAGTTAATTTCAGGGAGTTTTTCATAATAACAAATGCCATGTTATAAAGAGAAGTACGTATCAGATGTATCGTGCAGATAACAGGACTACGGTTTTCAAAAGATGATGAAACTCATGGATGACAATGAGAAATTCTGAGAACCTCCACCTACTTTCTGATCAGTTTTCCCTGTTTTAGAGTCTTTCAAAGGCCTTTGGAAAGGGCAGACCAAAATCTGATTATATAAAGATTACAAGACAATGATAAATGATCTAAAATCAAGTGATTAACAATCTAAGATCAAATTCAGTAATTAAACATTCAGCTTTAACTAATTATTCGGCAGTCACTAATTCAATATTTGGCTAAGCGTATCGTTGCGATGATCTGGGTCCTCGGTATCTTAGTCATTCAGACTCAGCGAGTTAAAGTTATCAAGATTATTGTACAATAAAGTCAGTGTTATTCAAAACTCATTCACATCAATGAATAATTCTTCGACATCAAGCAACACACGCAAAGATACACAATCGACATCAATCATAAGAGTGTCTTTAACATTATAAGCTATCAGAGTGTCTGATAATATGGAAATATAGTAATAGTCAGAGCTAGACGCGGAAACTTGAGAAAAATAGAGAGAGAGAGAGAAATACATTATCTGATAAGAAATTGGATAACGTGAAGGAAAAGTGTGAGTTAAACAATGATTGCAGAGTAATGCTAAAGCATTGATTACAAGACTGCTATAATATGAAGAGAAGAAAATGTTCTTTAGAGAAGCTAATAAGTAGTAGATATGTAGAAAAAGCAGTTAATTAGTTAAAAATGGTAGAATATAAAATAAGAAAAGTTAGGAAAGAATAAGAATGTATTGCGTAAATATTAAGATATTATTAGAATGTGTAAATATGACTGTGTAAATATTAGTCGTTAGTGTATAGTAAGAAAATGTGAAGTATCGAAAAGTGTATGAAGACTAAGAGGTAATTTAAATCAAGCCCATTCCTTGGCTTTAAGACTGGAATTATTTATAAAATAATAAAAAAGAACATAATATGGACACAATTAGCATTATTATACTGTCATGATCAACGAAAGAGTTTTAAACCAGTGTAACAAGTCATAATGTCTTTAAAACAAAAGGAGAGTCATACTGAAAGATGACTTAAAGTATCAATAATGAGGAGTTATCATAATATCATTAAACCTATTTTAGTTCATTTGTTTGGTTTGGCCTATCGTTTAGTTTATTTTAGATAAACAGTATTACCGTTATTTGAGAGAATGACCAAGGGAAGAAACATCAAAATGTTGATAACACGTTGTTACGTTACTGTTATTTTTCGTATCATGCTCTCTAATGCTTTTTCTTTAAATAGAAAACATTAAAAATAAAATATATTTTCCTTACAACTGTCCAAAAAAAAAAGTTAACAAAATTAAGAATTAAAATTACTTCGAAAACACTATCAAAACAAAGAGAACAGCGAATTAAGATCTCCTGAACAAAAATGTTACACAAATTAAGAATTAGCAAATGCGTTTTATGATTTTATAATGACTGAAACAAAGATATACATATGTACAAACATACACAAATCAGTAATGCGTCAATGAATTATGAAATGTAAGTACACATATATAAAATTGAATACAGCATATAAATGAAGCATATAAATACGCAAATATAAATAATACATCAATGACAAATTGATTACACAACCATCAAACGATTATATAAATAATAATCGAACTTCATTCGCTTTATTTAGTTTCCATCGATCGTATTAGATGAAATTCGTTCATACCTGACCAATGATATTCGAGTTATTCCTCAAAGTGTCAAGCAACAATTTGCCTGTGCTGGTATATCGACTGTCATATTTCACCACTTTCCCTTTCACCACTTTGTTTTCAATTTTGAAGGATGGCTCAGTCTAAGAACAACGACACAATAAAATCAGGACAACATTAGTATCGCCAGTATATATTAAAATGATATGAAGAGTATTTGTGAATTATATTCGTCAAACGTCTTACATTGTTATCATTTGGTTTGTTCACCATGATGATTGTTAAAAAAGAAAATTCTCTTGATAGAAAAACAAATCTTCTTCTGTATAAGAATAGTAGTAGCTGTTCGATCCGATTTATGGAACGAGAAAAAGAACAGACACACTTGGCGATCGACGAACAACTGTGAGGGAAATCATTGAATGGCAGGCTTTTTCTTTGTGTGCATGGCTTTGTCCCCTTGCTGTCATGCTTGGTACACGTTGATTATTAACATCAGTGTAGTCGTTGTGTATACTTAATCTTCCGTGATGAATTGCTTAATCTTGATATATCATGTGTGTTTGATATATCATGTATCTTCACATGAAGATCTTGATTAAGAAAAAAAAAATAGATTTTGACTGTTTGACCTATTTTTCACATGTTTCCTGTGTAAGCTTGTACATTTCATACTTTACTTCTTTTTTAAAATACTTTTAAATTTCCGTATAATATTCGGTATTTAATTCGTGTTTTTTTGTATTTTAATTTTTAAAAATCTCCTTGTGTCTTTTCACTGTTTAATTTTTAAAAATAGTAGCAACTTTTTGAATATCAGTCTTTTCCATTTTACAATTATTATTATTGGAAGAATATTTTAATATTAACTATATTATAAATTAATTTATAAGAGAGATAAGACTTATAGCAGTACAAATTAGTAGTTATATAAATGCAATACAAATTAGTAGTTATATAATAAAAAAACGTAACAATCGCTTTTCGTCGAATAACATCACGTCAAGAACGTGTAAATTCATTTAGTTTAAGAGTTGAATTATGCAAGCTAGAAAACATTGCCGTATGTTAAATAATTATAAAATTATTTATTGAAATGAATTTATTTTTACTGATATATATATATATATATTACATCAAAGAATCTATGATATAACAAAAAAAAATGATCTTCACAAAGTTATTTAAAAAAAAATGAATATATTATGAAGTTACTATAAGTCTATAATTATCAAACTATGAAATTTTTATATCATTTGTATGCTTATTGTATAATATCAATCAATAATTCTTGCTATTGATCAAAATATCATTCAAGAAAGTTGCGTTACTCTTCTTTTTTTTTTCTGACATCTTCGTAATACTTTCGTTAATTAAAGATGAATTTTCAATTTTCAATTTGCAAATGCACCAACAGCATTTATTATTGATTACTATCTAAATTTTTATCTTTTAAGAATTATTATTTATTAGTGTTTAAATTTTTTCATCAACTTGCTGTATCTTCATGGTACAGATAACAGCTACAAAACAATGTCACCACCCGAGAAACAATTTCGCATCATCATAGCATTACACAATTGCTATAGAATTTCTAGACAAGTCACGTAGTATAATGTATAATTTATTGGAACTGAACCTGCTACATATATAGATAAAAGATTCTTTATTTTGAACTAGACATCATTTTTTTCTGTAACCTCATTCTTTTTTGTTCCTCCAGCTTTTTTCGCATCGCGTCGATTTCCGGTGAAGTGACAACTTGAGACTGCTTCCGTGAATTCCACGATGAAACAGCACACCTGACCGTAAGAATAATTGCCGTAAGAAATGAAATCGAGGTTTTTATCTGTTTTTAATTTTAATGACTGCTGCTAAGACGAACATTCTTTTTGCTTATCATGCTTTTTCTTGCTAAGGAATAAAACGTTGATTAACGCAACGTTTTACTTGAAATTTTCCAGTACTTAAAAAAAAAAAATACTCAAATATTCAAAATTTCAAGTCTTCGTAACTCTTAATTTTTTTAAATTTTCAACTTAATTTTAATTCCTTAATCTCAATTAATTTAATTTATATTTAATTCATAAAGTTTTTAATTCTCCATTTTATTATTGTATAAAGTAATGTTGCAATTTAGGCAATTTTCACTTGTTATTCTCTGCTTAATCCTTAATGGATCACCGTCAATATTAAATTCGAAAAGCCACCTCTATATCTAATTCTACAATATTTTCTTTATCTGTGAAATAAATAAAAACAATAAAAAGGAACTTAATTTCTTCTTCATCCTTCTCAAAATTATTTCTTCACGTATCTTTCCTTATCATCAATATATTAAAATATTAACAAGAAATAATATAAAATATTAATATTATTAATATTAAAATATTACTATTATTAATATTATTAATATTAAAATATTAACAATATTAATCCATATCTTTTACTACAGTTATAATTTGCTTAACACTTAATTATTATACAACTAACTTGCTTGCTTTATATTTCTCGAGCGCCTCTCGCGTGTCGTTGATCAAATTTTTTTGCCTTTCCCGTTCTCGATGAATAACAAACTTTCTGTTCTTTATTTCCTCGTCTAGTTTCATCTTCATCCAAAATAATCTCTCTTTTAACTAAACAAGAGATTGCTGCATTAAAGCGATAAATTAACTGTTAATTGTTTAACAGAGATGCTGCATACCTCCGCCAATGACATTTCACACAGAAGACCCAAGCCACTTGACTCTGTTGGATCGAAATCCTTCAAAGGCAATGCTCGCAAGGTCTGGATCGTTTTGATCTCTTGAATCAGTTTGATCTTCCTCTGAGTTTCTTCCTCTCTCTGTTTCATCAGCTGAGTTCTCAATCGACGCGATTCTTCACTAACTTCTGCACCTGATAGTATATTGAAAAATAACGTTTTATCAACTCTCTGTATGCTAAAGTCAGCATTAGTGATATCAATCTGACTCGTCGTTTTGTAAGTGAAACGCAAAATGATATCACAAACTGTACGCATCGTAAATTTATAGATAAATATCACGAATATGGATTTTTATACAAACTTACATTTTTGAGAATATAATTAAAGAAATAGAAATTCAATGGAAAATTGTATTGTTGAAAGTCAAATATCATTGAACGCAATTTTAAAACACTGTATTTTTATATATTTTTTCACAGCATGTGTGTTTTCCGTAAACGCATAAATTCATAGTCTATTTATAGCGCTTCGAATCAGATCATTCCTATGATGCAGTAGTCCAACAATTAATTCTTTGTTAGAATGAATATTTTTGATAACTTCTAACAATTTTTTATATAATAAAAAAGATTGTTTTATCAGCGAAGTTATGTTGATGATAAAGACAATTGAAAGCAGAGTACCCTTCTGTTTCTTTTCGTCGATCATGGCGTTGAAAGCTTCGCGAGAAGCTTGCTCGATTTCGCGGCATTTTTCCACGATTTCCATCATTTCCTTGTTGTGGTTCTCTCTCCATTTCTCCAGTTTGTCGTAAAGTTGTTGTCTCTTTCGGAACAAAGCAACAGAATTTAAAGTTCTTCCGAAAGTTTTTGCTTGAATCCTCTGGAGAAGATTATCAATGACCGCTGGATAAGAACGTCTGAACGCATTACCTCCTTTCGCACGCTTTCTGCGTGCACTTTAATATCATCCAGCAGCGATTGTTTCGCAGTAAACGCATTCTCGCGAGTTAACAATGCCAAAAGATGTTTCTCCTGTATTCTCAACAATTCCTCCTCTCTCTGTCGCTGACGTTTCTCTTCCTCGAATTTTAATATCGAAGTTGGATCGAGGCCTCCTTCCGCCAATGTTTTCAGTCTACAAGTTTTATTAAGATCAGCCTTGCAAGAGTAATGTAACTGGCAAATACTCAAACATCGAGGAAGAAAACGATAGAAACATAAATCACATTATCAAGTTTATTTTATTAATGATTTCATTCACATGTTAGTTAATACCTCTTTATCTCTTTTTCTTCGACGCTGATCACGCGAGCGCATTCTCTCAATGTTGAAGCTATTGTCTGCTTTATCTCGACTGGCTGCAATTAATAAACAAGTGATAGAAATCAAGAGAAGAGAAACAAAGAGAATTAAATAGGAAAGGAAACTGTTATGAAAACGCGTGAAAAATCTTTTGTTTTTTTTTTTTTTAACAAAAGATCGTTTATCTTAAATGGAGTGAATGGAGGAATTGAGGAATTTAGCGAAGGGAAAAATTTAAATTTAATAAAAAAATGATAATGTTTGAATAGACAGAATTATGCGATGCACCTTAAATTTTGGAATCGATCTTCTCGCAAGGATTGCTCTCGGTTTCTCTCTTTCTATCGATTTGTCGAAATCTTTACGCTGTTGGAAACAACTCGGAGCATTCTTGTTTGCGTCCTTCAACATGTTCAAAGCGTTCGTTCTGTTGGCTGCCCGCAAGGATTCCAATTTCGACACCATCGATGGTTTCAGGTAGTTAGTCTTTGGAACTTGACGCGCGAACTTCGTCACCGACAAGTCCTATCCAGGACATGATTCTTCAAAAAAGGAAATCTTAATTCAACGGCTTTAACTTACATAAAGTACAGTAAAAATGTAACTATCAATTCGTTTTGTAGCTATTGACAAACGGTTTAGCTGATTTATATCAGAAAAAAATATATTTTCCACAAGGTTATTGAAGACTTACCGACCATTTTAATCATTTTATATATCATTTAATCGAGTTAATTTTAAAGTCAATAAGTCAATTAATCAATTCGACAAATTGTGGAAACTTTCAGGATGATCCAGTAGTTGTTAGATATTAAAACAATTCCAATTGTGATATACAGAGAATAAAAATATTAATTAAACATTAAATTATAGACTGAAAAACGCTACTATATAATATGTACAATAATGCTTTTCAAATTATAACTATAAGTCGCTCACTTCGGGTGTAGCGGGTGGCACTTTCAAACGTATCTTCGGCCGATTCAAAACATTCATAAACACAGGAGTGGTCAATTCCTTTTTAGGAACCTTCGTGTTTCGCACATACTCCTTTAAATGCTCCTGAAGTTTCTTGAGATTAATTAAACGAGAGAATCCAATTAAAATCCACTGTTTCCCATCTTCGAGATGGAATTGCTTCGAAAAAAATGAAACGAACCTCTAAGCACGGCGCTGCTTCTAGAAACGGAAGGACGAGATTCTGCTCTACGAAATCTTCTTCGAACGTCAAGCAGCCTTTCTCGTGGAAAAGATTCGGAGTTTCCGCGCGAAGAAGATACGCAACGAGGGACAACAGCCTCCTTACTTTGAAGTAAACGAAACACTCGACCGAATCTTCGAAGAATAAACTGCATATTCTGTATGATAAGATGTACACAAACACTGAAAGATCAAATTCTTAGAGTAGTTTTATTAATTAAGGTGTTTGCCTGTTAAAGAAGGAAATACACTGGCGGCCATATAAGGTTTATTATATGTTACAGAAAGTATTTGGACGTAAACTAATTTTTTAATGAAACGTTTCCTTTATCAGCTTTCTTATTTTTTTCATCAAGATTGTATTCTATTTCCATAGTATCAAATTTTTGTAGTCGTAAAATACTGCTGAATTTAATAATCTCATGTCTAATTAATCAGAATGTAAGTGCTATGATAAATATGTATAATTATACATTTCCCAGCCGGCGACCATAAGATTTGTTATAGAAAGTATTTGGACGTATCCTAATTTTTTAATGAAACGTTCCCTTTAGCAAGTTTCTTATTTTTTCATCAAAATTGTATTCTATTTCCATAGTATCAAATTTTACGTTTAAAGTCGTACAAAAATATTGCTGAATTTAATATTCTCATGTCTAATTAATCAGAATGTAAGTGCTATGATAAATATACATTATACATTTCCCAGTCAGTACAATATTATACAAGATAATATGTAACAGAATTTTAGAAATTAAGCCATTCCGTGTTACTTATTGACTCTTTTCACCAACTTATTTTATTATAAATAAAGCAAAATTCGTTAGAATAGTAATTGACCGGCAGTGTATTCGATAGCTTACCAAGTACAGCTTACCCGTAATTTGATGTAAATCATTGTAATTGCGACAATTTTGTTTATCCAAATAATCCTTACTTATTGATTCCAAGAAAGCGGTATAACGAACAATATTCATGAACAGATCGATGATTATATTTCTCACCGAAACTGACAAACCCTTTGAAAACCCAAACTGTATTGCATTTGACGCTTGTAAGAGATTTTAATAAATTTTCAATGAATTTAGATAAATTTAACCTTAAACTCGTCGACATTGTTGAAACGTTTCCTAACAGGGTTGAAATAGGGTTTACATTTTTCCTTTGGCTGCTCCTTGACAAATAAGTGAATACAAAACTCATCCGGACTGAATTCTTCTTTCAACGTCACGTACACGTCCAAAATCTCGATCAATGGGATAAGAATATTTAATTGAAACACATTGGTCTTTGTTAACTGAAAAGAACAACATCGAGTAAACGATGTAAAATTCAACGCGTGAAATGATACCTCTTCCTCAAAACAATTCATCGTTGAGACTTGTTTCTAATTTAATAAACTACCATCTCTTCGGTCTTTGGACTTTATAATCACCGAAGAATAACGAAGAATCTTCGAATTCGTTATTATTAAAAGCCAGCACAATGTTTTGTCAAGGTTACACTGATATATTCAGATTATTTCGACGAATGATTCTAATCGTATGTCATTTGAAAACTCGAGTCGAACTTCAAACAAGTAGTCGTGATCTCAAATCTCGGTTTCTCCTTTTTTTCAAGACACGCTTTCAAGATATTTCCCAACGACCGTTCTATAAATGAAGTGAAGAAATAATTCATTAGACACACAGATTAATGAATATTTATTAGAAACAATCGATATTCTAAAGCCTAGGTCAAATTTCAAGCAAAATATTTACTTTCAGAGCCTCATCCTTCTGTTTTAAGAATAATTCCAAGATTTTCTTCATTTTTCCAACGATTGTTCTACAAAACATAAAGAGATACTCACGATTAATCAGTATTCGGTAGAAATAGTGAATATTCCAAAGCTTGAACCAAATTTCAAACGAATTGTTACCTTCAGATTCCTCTTTAAAATAATTTATAGTGCAAATTTTCTCGAAAGAGCAAAGTGATCCACGTGAATCCAATCGATATTCAATTTTGATTATCGATTTTATTTGCCAACGATCCATTAATCGACCAACACAATGGTACATGAAAAGACAACACGTTTCGTCACATACGTTTTATTGACTCTCATTCATCAACCTCCCTCTAACATCCTAAAGAAAAAAAAAAAAAAAAAAAAAAGGCAAAAAAGTTGAGAAAGTGTCTGTATAAACTATCCCTGAGAAAAAAATTTGTACTCCGACGTAACACAATAAAATATCGTTTGCGCTCCGCCACGATTAATACTATTACGGTACAATACATCCTAAGGAAAAATCTCCAACTAATTCACCGTCAGGCATTAGACGCAAATTACTAGACAGTAAAAATTTGTCGACCAATAAATTGCTGCAAAATATCATTTTCAATCAGGGATATTAGGTATCCCTAATTTCATCACAAAGAACACTGCTACTTTTTATTTTTCTACTAATATTTCCACCATTTCTAAGTAGAACGAGACGAATATCGCGTATTCTTTTTAAATATTGTAACATTTGTTTTTCGAAAATACTGCGTTTTCTTTTTTTTTTAAATTTTCCGAGCTCTTCTTTCCAGTACACAATTGGAGCAAGTTGTATAAAACGAAATGGGATTGTGTCAGTAAGCTTGCTTCCTCGAGATTTAAAAATCGCGCTTACGCACTTCTGAAAACACAGGTATCGAAGTTTCATACTGTTTCAATTTGATTTTCCGTATACTATTTTCTCATTATATTTTCCTTACTTTCGTTTGGCTTCTCACGTTTCTTTATACCTATATCTATACGTATATAAAAAGTTCGGTACTAAAGTAAATTCGTCGATCGATGACAATATAGTCAAACAATATACAATTTCTCGTCGTCTTCTTTAACCATCTGTTTTATAAATTATCGATCATACTGCGATATGTATACAAATAAATAAAATATACACTGAATCAACGTTACATTAATCATTTACAAAAATGAAGACCACGGTGGAAAAACACTGTAAAATTCATCATTATTAAATTTTTACAACAACTTTACACCAAGAGAATTATTTTAATACGACAATTGGAAAAAGGGAAGACTCTGTCACGTCAGAGGATGTAATGCAAATTTTGTTACAAAATATAAAATTTAGTTTCGTAAAAAATTGAATTTTAAATTGTTCTCCTCATAAGAATCAACAAGGATGATTTATCATGTTTTTCTCATGTGGTGCTTAAATACAATCATACGAAGGCTCTTCAGTCGTTGCAAAAGTTTGACAGGTCATAACAACTATAACAATAATTTCTTATAACAAGTAACTTTTCAAAAAATAACAATTTGTGACAATCACAATGTGTAAAAGTGGTAAAAATTTCTATCATTGCTAAGATTATCGATCGTGTACCAGATGACTAATAGCACTGTGATATCATCTAGATATTTCATTGAATTCGTTTTCTCTGATCGGACTGTACAAAAAGTGTTAAAAAAATATAATTATTGTCTCTTCGTTTCGATGTCTCGTACTGGAACGTTGGTCAGCGTATCACCACTTTGACAGCAATTTCATTCATATAATTATAATCCATAACATCACAATCGGTACGCTCGAAAATAATTCAATCAAAATTTTAACTCTTAATTTGTATTATTGGAATCGCAATTAATTTAAAGAAAATTTGTTTTCCTTATATTTAATTTTTTTTTTTTTTGTATTTTATATTTTATGTATTTTGTATTTTATATTTAAAAAAAAATCATTACGCAATAAGAATAATTAATCATTTTTACCCTGTAAAATAAAAATTGGAAAATAAAATTTCACAATGTACATATAATAAAATGACAAATAATTTGGACTTGGAAATTAACGACTTAGAAAATTACCATTTAATTTTCATTGAGATTTTTGATATCAGATGCAAAACTTTATGCATTTTTAATTTCTAATGAATAATAAATTCTAATTGTATTAATTCTAATGATCCGATAATGCTCAATTTTTAGTTTAATTTCTAAATAATTAAATACTTGAAAATTAATTAACTTGTTATATATTGGCCCAAAAATATCAATTAAAAGTTAAAAGCCATGCAACATTCCATCGACGAGAAATCACTTGCACGTTTTCGAATAAAATCTACACCATTGTCTTTTTATATCACATGATCGTCGAGTATGATCATTTTCATTATAATATATAATAATATATTCTACAACGATTACCGGCCAACATTTTTCTTTTGTACATCATTTCGATTTCTTTCTTGTCGCATGAGTTATGTATACTGTATATTATTATGTATGTATAATCGCGGTAACAGTCAGTTTTTCATTTTTTCTTCTTTTTTTTACAGAAAATTCATACATCTAATCAAATAGTCTATTACATCTATCACATATATAAATCTAAATTTACGTCACGTTCAGGACACAAACGACTATTATTCATACATAACATAGGCGATGATATATTAGACACGTTTCACGCGATATATAATTGATCATAAAAATATCCAAAATATTTTATGAACGTGACTAAATTAATTTTTAATTATTTTCTTTAAATTATTACGTTGGCCATTAATTAACAAATGATGTGTAAATTCAGAAATTTTCTCAACATATATATTTTCTCTCATAATTACAAATAAAAGCAATTGCTTCAATCTTCTTGTCAAAAACTAAAATATAAAACTTTGAAAGAGTATTTAAAAAATACTTTCAAACTATTAGATTAATATCACTGTATAATGGATAGAGTAATGGATAGCTGTTAAAAATATATTTCTTTTTCACTGAGATATATACTATTTCAATGTGGTCGTACACTTTTATGATCAACTACACATCCATGCACGATATTCGATCGAAATTACCAATTTCTCAGAGCTTTATCCTTCAACAACAAAGTTGCAAAATCTCTTCAAGATTATCTCGTTGAAAAGTACACAACTGTGAAATTGTGTTATACTCGATGTTATGTAACAACGCGAACAATAAGATGAACACAGAAATTGATAACTGCAATCCCTCCGTGTATTCGAGATTTGTTATCCTGTTCGTAGAATCAGGAACATATTCGCATTTAAACACGGATCACAGACGACAAAGTCTCCTTCTCCGAATCCGGAATGCGACATAACGTAACGTGAAAAATGTATTAAACGGAGAACTCGAAGAATCAATGAGCGTAACGCGCGACGACTCGTATACGAAACATATGGTGCTAAGCTAATAAATAATATTACCGTTAATAAAATTAACCTAAATAATTCAATGAAACAAAAACGAAAAGGAGAGTAATTTTATCCAAACGAATAATCATTCCCTACATAATCGGGTAGATGTCATGATCCATTAGTATCGCGTATATATTATATACGTACAAGTAAAAAGTATATTAACAACGATTTATACAACGAGCTAGCCTAGTTACGTGCTAAACGCTTGAATGATCGAGGTAAGGCTCTCATAGGTTCCAGTAACGAAGCCCAGAAGGCCGATTAGTACTATCACGATGTCTTTCGATATGGTGAAGAAACCCAACGACGCGTTTTGCCAGCATACAACCATCTCGATGAGCGGTGGAAATATCAATGCCAGAGCGGTGCTGCTTACTGCGCCAACCAGCGATATGAAAAGACCCAATTGAGGTATCGCCTCGGCTAGGACAACTGTAATAAAAACAAAAATTGATCAGATTGATGTTATATTTTCATATATTTTGAGAAACATCGATCATCGATGTTTATCGGAATTTATATTTTCACGAATAGAATCAAAAAGAAATGAAAATTGATGTTCAAAAATGTTTTCATCGAATCGTATAAGACAAATTGATCGTGATTTTAACATAAAATTTCGTTCATTTTTGAAATTAATTTAATATGATACTTACACGTTAAGAAACACATGGCGGAGCGGAAAATAGTCTCGGATAAGACAGGCCATTTGAAAGGGCCAAAACGGTTGACGATCTTCGGCCAAATAATCGCAATGGGAACGTAGAATTGCAACGCATACGTGAATAGTATGCTCAACGAGATGGCAACCTGTATGCACTGGGGTAAGCTGTAAAACACAATAACACCCTGTGAGTATCTGAATCATCTGTCTTTAATTCATTGCTGTTAGAAGCAACGAACTTGTTCATCAGTTTTATCATGACTAGAACTTTATTTTAGTTATGTTAAATCTGTATTTGTAACATGCAAATTTAGGCGAGTACACGACAAAAATACAAAAAGAAAAGATCTATTGTATGACTAATTAATTATTGCGTGTTGGCAAAAGAAGGAACACGACGTCACAATAATGTAACAAACGATCTAGTATCTTTATAAAACAACACAACACTTCTGGAAAACCTATGAATGATAGAAACCTTGAATGCTTGACGACGCTTTTTCCATCCACCCTTCGTATGCAACAGAAAATTACGTTACAAACAGTACTTTCTTAATTATGCCGTTTTTTTTTTTTTGTTTTTTTTAAATATTTTCTCTCTCGCTATTTTTCGCTATCATTTTGTCTGATAGAATTTCTTAGATAATTCTTAATTCATTATATAATTTTTTTTTTACAAAGTTACAACAGTTCAAGTATTGACAATTTTTCGTCACTAGTGGTACAATTATGTTCTTCACTGTACGTGCTTTCTTTTCATATGCGGTGAAAGAAAAATCTGCTAATCACTTGCCTAATTTGTTTCAAAGGGGAAATATTGCTTGTCTATTCTACACGAAATTTATAAATTTATAAAGATGAGAAAGTTGATTGATATTAATAAATAACGTTTGATCATTGTGCGCAACAAAACTTAGCGAGTGATTAACATAAAGTACTGACAATACTGAAGAAATAGCTACCTAATGAAAGAAGTTCTTAAAAACCAAGCAATAATTATAACAACCAAATAGGAACATGAAGTTTATACTTACACTTCTTTCGATTCGAGATTTAACGTAACAGATCCAGCCACCTCATCGCCGTATTTTAAATACGACACAAAACCCATCGCGACGAACATCCCACCGACGATCACCATTCCGACATTCAAAACTCCAAGTGGCTTATTGAAATTGCTCGGTTTCTTCATTTCGTTTTTCAGTGGCAGAACCTAAAGATACAAAAATACAAAACCTAAAATACTTTTGCTAAAACAAGCAAAATATATCTCATCTCATTGATAGCTGCAATTACAACTAAGAAACTGAATCTTAAACGCTCGTTCAAAAAGCTCACAATGAGAAACATTGTTACCAGCAAAACTTTCTAAAATTACTTTCAGCAAAAACCTTTAGAAACGTCTCGGTTTCGAAAATGAAGGTAATTAATCGAAGTTGACAACCTCAAAGTGAGCAGCGTACCATTTTCTTGTTAGATTGTTTCTTGTTGAAAAGAGATAATAAAGGCGTTACATAAATGCCAAGGAAGCGCGTGTGAAACGCTTACCAAAGTGATACCCTCGAAAGAATATATCACAGTGCCAAAGAACAGAGGCAACTCGTGCCAATCGGCGATGTACCGCCTCTCGTGGATCGGCGGCAGATCGTAAGACATGATGTACATGGTAGCAACGTAGCCAGCGATGACCAGAAAATTCGCCAACGACGAGATGGGCACCAGGTACTTCAAGTTCCTGATCCACGTGCTCAGCATTATCGGAATCAGGATCACAGCCATGTGTTGATGAACGTCCATCTCGATCCCGTATACGTCCAACACCTGCCAAAAAGAAATTGTTTTCGTGAAAGTTACCTCACTACTTATCATAGTATATTATCACTATTAATATACTACTATTTTACTATTAATAATATACTATTACCATTAATATTATCACTATTAATATACTATTATTTTACTATTATTAATATACTATTATCACTAATAATATAATAATCTTACATTATCACTACCAATATAAATAATACAAAATATAATATTTATTTATACACATTATTTATAATATTATACATTACAAAAATACATTGTTTATAATATTATAATAATAATGTTTGTCAAGTCTTTTGTATTATAATATAATTACAAATGTTATTATAATAATGATATTTGTCTTTAAATACTGCAACTGAATGAGAAAACAGGCGTATAGATTTTGCTAGAAAAAAAAATAAATATGTCCAGCGAAATCGCGCCATTACAGGTCACTAACGATTCAGGTTTTACTTTTAAGTAGAAAAAGACAATTTTATGTGGACGATTTTATATAACAAAAAAAAATCAAAATAGTGAATTAATATCAATACATATATATAATATTTAATTGATTTTATAACAGTACGAGAAACATGGCCAAAGTATTCAATATTCAAAGAGTTAATAAATAAAAAATCATAAAAGGAGGATTAAGAATTGGGCTCACCTGCTTCATATTCTTCGCAATGAAAACAAAATAAACGCAGCAAAATCCGAGTTGCGTGATACATAAAAATACATTAACCAATTGTCTGAAACAAAACGACGAATGAAATGATGAGGACAGATGGGAAACGTGGATAACGAGACGTGTAACTAATCGTAACCGATCTTTCTTTTAATTTTTCAGTTTCGAGCAAATGATTCGAGATCAGAGTTTGGCGCGGCGCTAGAACGAATAGTCGATGATGTTCCTATTTTATGATCTTCATATCACATATACACGTACCTCATAAACACAGAATATTTTCGGAGTGCCAGTGGACCGGTGGCGAAGCACAATTCCACAGTACCAGCAAATCCAGTTGTGGCACTCGAATTATTAACGCGACGGGTCACCTCTTCGTTACACTTAATCTGCAAACACACAACGTCTAGATTGCTATGTACCTTGAATGTTTTATGAACGTAATTGAAGAAATATAGGAATATAAATAGAAACTTGTTTTATTTACTACAGTAATTTCACTTCACGAATTTTGTGTATAATATTATGCGTGTTATAGAAAATATTTTGTAATTTCATTAACGTTAAGATACGACGTAATTATACTGATAAAATTTGAAATCAATTTTATATATAGAAGTTATAAAATATTTATTGCGACATATGTGTAATTAGTAGAAAAATTAGTACACAGCATGAATAGTGATCTGAAGCATACAATAAGCGTTAAATATGGCCCCACTGAAATAATAACTGTTTAAATAATTTTGTGATATCTATGATAACACACATTTGTATTAAATATCTTATAAATTCTACATTACATACATTTAAATTTCTTTCAAATTTTACCAATCGTCATAGTTAAGTCTCATTATCGTTAAAAAAATTTCAAAATGTATTATATGAGGTAACGTATGTATAAAAAGTTTCTATAAATGTTCAAGTACATATATTTGCGAGAAATTGTATAATAAATACTTTACTTTGGATATCTTACATATTATATGCAGAATATCGAATAGAAACGTTTTTATACATTTTTAACGCTCACACGAATGTTTATACATTTCTGTAAAAATTTTATAATCAAATTTTATAAATTCTCGTAGACACAATTTGGCCCAACAAACATTGAAGAAAATATGCAGTATCTCGAAAAAATTAAAATATTATGTACCACCATAATTATCTATTATACAAATAGTAGAGAGAACGATGATTTATACGTACAAGAATATGCTGAGCATGAACACAAATAATCCCGAGGAACATAGTAAGCGGCGGAGCCAGCAACAATCCGGCATGCTTGAAAGCATCCCCTAACGCAAATATGCCAGAGCCGACGTTACCTTTGAACAGGTGCATCATTGTTTCTAAATACCTGTAATTATTCGTTCGATATAAATAATCTTCTGTGTTAAAAGCTAAATAAATTCTTTCTACAGACTGAAGATGTTCCAAATACTTCAACAACTATGTACATATATATGTGAATAAAGTGCTGAACTTTATTCATTCGTATTTATTAGAATTTCCTATTTTAAAATGGAATTTTATTTGAAAAATTAATTCTCTCTTCACATTTCATGTTCATTCAGTGTTTTGGAGAAAATTTGATGTGTTGAAATATTTGATAAAAATTTGTCTGTGTCTATGTTGTGAAATCAGAACAGATGGACAAAAGAGAATGACAATGATTAATTATTTAGATTCGTTCATCAAATGCCACTGTTTTGATGCTTAATGTTAAAATCACTATTCTTCATTATCAGATATCAAAAATAAATTAATTAAAAGTGTAAGAACTTTCGCAAGTTCTTTTTTCAATAGTTTATGAACACGTTTTATAGTTATAGAAAAATAAATTAGTTAGAAACTAATCACGATACAGCGGAAATTTGATCAGTAGTAAACATGTTAAACAGCATCAACAAAAGTGGTTAGCTGTTATATATAGTTGACAGATTTTCTAAGCATTCCCGTGTCTCGTTGCGCGAGGCTAATTTAAAATCGCCGGCGAATGAACCTAGTCGACCGAGTTTGAAAACGCTCGGTCTACGTTTATCAACTGTTTTATGCTTACATCTTGCGCGTTGTTGATTCGTTAATTGCTCAACGAGTACGATTCGAATAAATGAGAATAGAATAGAAACTGGAATAGAAAATAAATGGAAACCATTGTAATTAATTCAACTAAAAAAATGCGAATATTTTTATTCATAAAAAGTTATTCTTCGTCTAACTGATGCTTATTTAAATAATCAAGTTGAAGGAGGAATAACAATAAGAAAATAAATGGAGATTCTATTAATTAATTTATAAAAACTATAACTAAAAAAAGAGTGTAATAATTAAATATTTTTATTTAGAGAAATTATTTTTTTATACAATCCATGTCTTCAATGGGACGAAACAGAGAGTAATAACGACAACAGAAAATAAATGAAATCCATGATTGAAAACTAAGAAAGTATATTGTAAGATACTTGCAAAATGATATTCTTTATGTACACTTTTAATTCCTTATGTATATTTTCAATGTTTGCATAAAAAATGAGATGTAAGAAATACGATAGCCTTCGTTCGCAGACTATTTCTTTTTTTTTTCTTTTTTTCCTGTGTGGAATTTCAAAAAGACTCTCCGATGAGACGAATTATGCAATCGATTAAAACGCTATTAATACGTTACGACAACAGTGATTTTCCAAATGAAAAGTTAAATGTGGAAATTACGCGAACCAATGAGGACTTATGCCAACATATTTATTTCGAGATTGGGCTTCGGCTTTTGCGGTTCGAAGGAAAAGTCGAGGCCTGATGTTGCTCGTTAATCACGTTATATATGCAAATATACCAATTAAGCCAAGGTGCTGCCTACCGAAACCTCGATCCACCTTAGATGAAATAATCATAGGTAAAATGTTTTCCATCTATTTTCTATATATATCAACATCATCAGAATATATATATATATATATATATATATATATATATATATATATATATATATGTATCAGAATATCTAAAATGACTAATTTGTAACTTTCCATATAAATATTAAATACATTTAGCTTTCTATCGTATTACATGTTTTCTCATCAATAGGTTTAATTTTCAGAATTCGATTCCTTGTTTGAAGGAATATATATCATGTTTAATGTTCAATATAACATTACATATAACATATAATAAACTTAATGTGAAAAGATTACAAAGTTTAATTCTTCACAACACTCTATTTTATCTTCTATCCATGTTCAATTATTAATTATATTATTAATATAATTAACTTTATCTTTTCTTTCATCTTATCTTAACTTCATCTCTTGTCTATATTGATCTTTGCGTTCAGATGAATTAGAAATCTATTAGGTTCGAAAGCCAAATGTATGTGTATGTTCATTTATTATTGTGCTGTTTAAGAGGATTGACAAAAGAGGATTATTTAAGTTGATTGATCGAGAATCTTGATCAAGACCCTGGACTTTCAGAAAGGCGGTGCGCATCATCCTGCTCGCCATTTACTTCCTTATAAATTGTTTCACATCGTGATTTGCATTAATGTTGCGCGTGCTCGCGAATTAAGGAAATTAGCCTCGTACGTGACTGTAATACACATGATTCAATGTAACGCCGACGGAAGGAACACGTCCGTGTAATATGTCTGTGCCAACAATAAAGTTACAATTAAAAGAGTGGAAAATTTCGTTCAGCTCGTAACGCAAGATTGAGAGGAAAGACGAATCAGACGGGTTGAATATATTTATGTCGTTGGACATGATTTAACGTATGACTGCGTGTAGAGTAATGCACGAGGGGTGGTACAAGAGTAACAGATTTTCCCAGAATAAGAAAATAGTACAATTATGCAAGTTACTTGTTAAAAAGAATTTACGATATCAAATGAAGCAGACAGTTTAAAAAATAAAATGGAAATAAACTATAAATATTGAGTTTAATTAAAAGATACTTAAATAAAAAAACGAAATACTGAGATATTCACATGATCTAGTATAACTAATATAATCATAATTGCCTTCTTTCGTTGAATCGTTAATGAAATTCCAAAATATTTCATATAGTACGACGCATACAAATTTTTTGAAAGCATCTCTCTAAAATTTTACGAAAAGCATTTGAATACTTTTGAATAAGTTATGCCTTTACTTTCACGTGTTATGTTTATACTATTCGTGATTAATACCTTGAATTTTCCACTTCAATTGTTCATCATAATTAATTACTGTTGTAACTCAATTCACCACGCTACTTTTTTTTTCCAAAGAATTATGCAACTGCATTGAGAAGTTTCTCAAACAAGTATCAATCGTAAAACTTTATCCTATTCATCTTCGATAGACTTAATAAATAGATTCAACCGCAAGAATGTGTTAAATTCACGTGGGCCTTCCCAGAAAATAATGACGTACAGGAAAACAGCGATTATCTTGTAAATTGTTTTCGTCCTCTGACTAACGCGTGTGAGAATGAATTCCATGATCGGTTATTGCAGGAGGAACAGAATCATCTGTTGTTCCCCGAACGTTCTAATTATGAGAATTCCGTCGGAAATATGAACAAAGAAGTGCACTTCTCTCGTAAAAATGAGGTTAATAAAAACGTGAAACGTTATTTCTTCAAGTTTCCGTAGCTAACGAAGATAATCGGTTTGAGAAGAGGAAATGTTTGAGACCTTGAAATGAAGTAGATAATTTAACACTACAACTACCATCGAAATGATTAATGCATAGGAATTTTATAAATCACGATGCAACGATGCGTTTTTCGATATATCATTATTTTTTGTCAAATATAATAAATAATGAATCAAAGCTCGCGTTCCATATTGTATTACGTGCCTTTGAACTTTTCTGATACAAGTTTTATATTTATTTTTATTTTACGTTTGTTTCATATTTATATCTATTTTTATTTATTTAGCGAGCAGCGTTAAAATTATTATTTACTTTATATTTCCAATTCACCTTAAAATTCCTTACCTTATTTCCCACAGTCTGGGAGATGCAAAAATTAATAAAATTATGTTATTAATACTGAATTACGATCTACTGTGAAAATGAATTACAAATGAAATAGTCTTTTGACAATAGACTTTTAATTTGTACTTCAATTTCGTACCATAAGCGTGCCATACGAGGATAATTATAAAGCATAATATAATAATTTATAGGTAACAGAAGATGGCAATAGTCGCGCAGTAATGTGCGAGTGAAAACCGCAAAAGCGGAACCTATCTTGCGGTTGTGTAACATATCTGCGCAAAGGCGTACACATACACGCATCCACGCACACGTGAACACAAAAGGAAAACGCATTCTTTCTTTCTGAGCACGGGGAATGTACTGGAGTGTATCGTGGGCATTTTCACTTGGCTGGTGGTTCATTTGAAAGTCATACCATAAATAATCGGTGGAAGGACGTCTTGAAACGTGATAAAAAAAAAAAAAAGTCGAGAGGTAAAAATCAGGGTAAGCGAACTCACGAGGTCGGATGGTGAACGGAAATCCCATGCTCGTCGCTTCCGCCTTCCATTTCAGCGCCCTTTTCCACCGCCAGAATGGGGTCCTTCGATTGGAAGGCTCCGTATGTGCTGCCATTTCTGAAGAGAGAAACAAATGTCAAATAAGTAACTGTAGCATATCATCGAATAATAACATTGAGTCAGACACATTTTTGAATAGTACGAATGAAAAAATATTAAAATGAATTTCGAATGGTGCAAAACGAAATAAATTTTTAAGAACTGAGTTTCTATTATCGAATAACGAAATTACTAAATTAGGGGTCATTTTTTTAGTCACGCGAACGAATGTAAATGTCAAAATGAACTTTTGAAAATTAAATATAGTTATCGAATAAGAGAGTTATTAAATTAAAAAAAAAACGTTGGGACGAACTATTAAAAAGAAAATTTCTCTGTGCTTTACTTATGTTTCCAATTTTAAAAAGCTGTAATAAATTTGAAACTGTCCAAAAATCAATTTCTGATCATTAATATCAATATCAGGCAAGGGATTAATTATTTTTACGTTGCATTTACAAAGCATTTTCTTCTATATGAACAATTCAATGAAATTCAGTGTTTTTTTATATTTCTTCAAATTTATTACGTGAATAACAATTACGTTAATATCTTAATATTGCTGATGCTAGTGTATGCCAATGATAGTGCAAATGTTATTTTTACTTTACTTCATATTAAAAAGCAAATGATCCTAAGACAGATTCCGATCTGGAATGTTATACAGATCAAAATTACGAAATCCTCTTACTGATCATAAGACTAAGTATAGAATTCGTTTCTACAGTTAACAATTTTCTGCACGATATGTCGCGATCATTATACGACGAATCTTCCATTCACAAGAATTCGCGAGATTGCACGCAGATTACGTAAAAACCGGATTGCCAATAAAACTTCTAATTGTCGAACGTTTCTTCATCTTTTCTTTTTATTGTCGTTGAAGAAACCCGAGAGCAGTCACAACAAGTGCAACCAGAATACAGTGCCAGCAAGTCTGCTTCAACACGCGTAACTTTTCCCATGAACGTCGAACCAGTTTCTCAGTCATAGCGTACGACTTCTATCGTAGACTCGCCGACGCTAGAACGCACGTTCTACTTTCACTCGAATTGTAATCGAAGTTGAATAACGGTTAACAATTATTTTCGAAATTGCTGGGTATCAGACATAACCGCACGAGAGCACACTGAGATAACATTTGCAAATCGAACAATAATAAATGGAACAAATTTTTTAACCGAAGAGATCGAACAACGAGTGAGTTAAAATTTGTAAAAAGCTTGTACATAAATTTGCAAATGAAAAGTTACAATTTGAAAATTTTAAGATGAGGGACTAATGAACAAAAACTACGAATAATAGAAATAATAATAATAAAATTATATTGAAATAGTAATAAAATTTTATTAATATTATACTTTTAATTTTGCAGCTTGTAAAATTTTTATAAAGAGAAACAAATGTTTTTAATGTAATAAATGGGAATTACAGCTTGTAAAATTTTCATGAAGAAAAATAAACAATTGGACAATTTCATTTAGTGAAGAAAACGCATTTGTGTTAGTAAATGTCTTGGAAAATGCACCATGGTCAATCGTAGAAACCGTAACAAGTCGAGTCATCAGTGAAAAAGTATCTTGTGTGCATAGACTGACATTAACATTCCAAGGTAATTCCCCTGTAGAACTCTTGGAAATACCTTTTTATAAGTCTGAACAAATATTTTAAACTTTTCGTATTGGACACCAGACGAGGATGACGCGGACAACATCAACATTTATCACTCGTTATTTATAATTCTTATTCGAGCGACGTGGCTGATTTTCTTTTTAAAACCTACACGACATTCGGTGTTCGATGAAACAACTCCTAGAATTAAACTAACTTCACCATTTTTGACACCTATACTGTGTGTAAGAATGCCCTTCCTTGAATACTAAAAATACAAAAAAATTTCAAGAGAATTAGAATTAATTTACAAAGGTTATTATGGGATCTAAATTAAAAAAAAAAAAATGTTAATAGTTGACTGTAATAGTTGAGAAATTCATGTAATGAAAGATAACTGATTAATTTAACAGGTGCTTGAATAAATGAATATTTACTAATCAATTGATATATGAGGGAATTAATAAATAAAGCAGTTATGTCGTAGAAATTATGTTACGATTATAAAAGATAGGATAAATTTAATATTAATTGTTTAAAAGCTACGCTGATTAACTATATAAATTTAAAAAAAAAAAACAGAAAGGCAATGATACTGCGAACGTTATTTTTTAAATTCGAAATTTGCTATTATTTACGTCGTTAATAGTAATTAATTTATTAATGAAGTAGTATAATTAATTGATCGTGTAAAACAATTTAGGAACACAATTGCCGAAAAATGGAGTTGATCACACTATATACTTGCAAATTAAAGTTTTTAAATAATTTTAAAAATAAATATACGTTTAATTTACGTATAATAAATGTTGAATTTAAGTCTACCTTGTAAACCTTCGCGCTATAGACTTTGCAATAAGAGTTAACACGATTAAAGATTGAAACGAAAGGTTTGATATTTATTAAATCGTTAGTTGATGGTTTCTATTAGGTAGAAATATAAATTCACGGATAAAAATTATATCGAATATCACGGAGGTTTCATCTTTCGATGTTAGATCGAAGAAATATCAGTGGATGCCAACGAACTACGTCATTTTTGGCTCCGATCTTGCCATTGAAACAGGAACACGTATGCAAAACCTGCTAATTTCGCAATTTGACCGTTCAGTGCTAACCAATCCATTCTACTGACTATTTTGGGTAACGATGAACTGGATAAAACTTATTTGTCGCATAAATTCTTGTAAACCGCGAATATATATGGCATATATGACATTGCATTAAAATTGAAAGATTACAAAAATAATGTAAAAAACATGTCCAAACTGAAAGATTAGAATAGAAGGTGCTTAAAAGTTTCTTCCTGATGATATCAATTGGAGTGACAAAAGGTACGAAAAACTGAGATTGACATTGAAAATTTGTTGTTGCGATATCGATTAAACAAGTAGAAATTTTCGATACGAGTATGAAAAGGCAAAAAAAGACGAAAGCTTGCAAGCGTATTAAATTGATGAAAATATTTTGTAAAAAATTAATGCAAATAATTTCTTCGTAAAGTAAAATTACTAAGTTATTTCACATTATTTGTTCTCATTTGAAATTGGACGATTACTTGAGTTTATCATCAGTACCAAGATTTCGAAAAATTAATTAATTAATTTTAATTCATTAAAATTATTAAGTTTATTCATAAAGGAAAAATCACAAAGCAACGAGCTAATCGCTGGAAATAGAAATTTATAAAAACGCTCCTATCTCGAACCAATACAATCGTAAATAAAAGAAACGATTGCGTACGTGACACAAGCAATAAATTTCTAATTAGCAATGCGTGAATGTTACAGAACAATTCGCGGTCAGGTAAGAATGCTGTAATCTACGATGCTGCAATAATGTTATCAAATCAACTTGATATCAGAAGTAATTAAATTAAAGGCGTGATGAATGAGTAGCATCGAATAACGCGGTTTAACATGTGTTAATTTTGAACGCAGACAATCTAGACGTCTTCAAAATAAAATCTGATGAATATTTTGTTGCAAGTATGACAGATATTTATGTACCTACCTGTGAGGTTCCTTTAACGTCATCTCGTCACCTCGCAACGAATTCTTCCTCGTATTGGGATTTTTGTGCATTTCCATCTGCAATCATAAATGGAAAATGTTGAAAATCCAAATCAAATTCTACAGTCAATCGATCATTATGAAATTACATCGTTATCGTCTTGATTCTGACTGAAATTTGACTGAAACTTATCAAAAATATTTTACTTATTCAACTTATTTAAAATGTTTTATCAATTTCAGTCAATTGATAAAATATTTTTTATTAATATTGTTTGTTCATTTGTCGCCACCTTTCATAAAATAACGTAATTACTTTGATAATTATGAAATTATATTGCATTTTTATTATTACATTAAATTCATTACAGAATCCATCACTTTTGATTTTTATTTTTAAAACAGGTTACAGACCAACGAAGATTATGTTACTTGTTAGTTGACTGCGATATTTTTAAAAGTTCCAAAACATGATTAACAGGAACTCTCGAAATTCTGATCTAAGCAACTAATTCTCAATCCATTAATTTCAAGTTACCAGGAACAGTATCGCGAATAAATGGCAAAAGAATTGACTACTAGTAGCAGGGGACGTAACTATTCCTGTCACATAAACTTTTTTATTCACTCATTTTGTAGCAAGAAAACTGAGAAAAATGTTACGTAAAAAAGAAAAACATACGTGTATTCTTGAGTCAATGTGTTACGATAAATTCTAATCAATTTGTGCGCAAAGAAATCCATTCTTTTCTACAAATTTTGCATGCATAATAATAAAAAAAAGTGTTTTTTTTTTTTAATAAAGCTTTGATATATCAAAACTTGCAGAAATAAAAGAAAGATTGAAAAATTTATTTAAAAAGAGAAAATAGAAAAAAGCTTTTCCTTGCTAAATAAAATATCTTCAAGGATGTTTTATCGTGCTTCTTACTATTCTAAAAAAAAAAAAAAAACGTATCTCTTATCAGTTTATACAACTTTTTTTAAAAATCATAAATGACCTCGGATAGTGTCTTTCTCAGAGAAAAGTTCAATTTTTTTTTATTCGCGAGATAAAAATGATCAAAAACGATCCGTTAATTAAGGTTGAAATTGCGATGTGACCGGCGCTTTTCTTCGACGACCCGCCGATCGAGCCGAGGTCGCGCAAAGTTCAATGGGAAGATACTGATCGAACAATACGATTTCCCACGAAAACGTGACCAAACATCTGTCCACCGGCTTCCTTCGGTTTTCTCTGGTACTATTCCACGCTTAGGTTAACAAGCCGCTTCTACGATCGACCGACATGCAATCAGTGGACAATGTAACAAGGATTTTTGCCGTTTAGGTCGATTGAAGCTTGGACCAATTGCGATCTCTCCCGCAAGTACTCTCGTGGAAGAATAAAACACTGGACTCGACTGTCACTTTGTCAAGCATCGTTTGATAAATAATTGTTATCAACTACAAATGATGAATATTACAGGCGTAGAATATAATAATAAATAAAGAATAAGTATATCGCAAAGAATAAATTATATCATGAATTATTGCATGAAGAAATGAGAAGGAGTTCCATTAATCGTACTTTGTTTTCTTGTGCTACTTGTTTTACAATTCTGAGAAGAATATAAGAAGGTTGTATCTGTATAACTACGAAACGTCAACCCTTTCAATCTAAAATCCTTGATTTTCCAGTGATTAGCAAGACCAATTAAAACATAAATTCACCAGGTCTTTGAAACAGCACTTTATAGAATTTTACAAAATAAAATCTTTGCTCTCCTCCTTTAAATTTTCTATCCCACTTATATTGAATTTTCAGCTACTCGAAGGAACGAGTTAACCAAACTGTTCTAATCTCAAACATTCACCATAGAAAATAGTAAATTTCACATTGCACTTGAAGTACCAAACTTATTTCACGACCACAAGTTTTAAGTTTAATATTTAAATTTAATATTTTAATATTTTAAGTTCAATATTTAAATATAACATTTTTATTCCGGATATGAAAAAAAAAAAAACACTCGAAAGAATTAAAATTTGAAGTGAAAAATGGGAAACGGTCCCAAGATAATAGAGGGACTAATGTTCCAGTAACGTTCAATATTCAAAATAAATTAAAATTGAATCTGAAAGGAATAAGAGAGGATCTAAAGATAATGTAAGAATTAATATCTATTAAAAGAGTGTCGGGTAATATTCCATTCGCCGAGGGTTTCGCCACGAAACGGACGTGTTCGCATCGCGAGATGTGCCAATCGCAGGGCCAAGCCAGAGCGTGTGTCATTGATTGACTTCTTAAGTAATAGCCGTGCGTGCTCGCGTGCAGATTGAACTTCGTGGCCGATGAGAAAAACGTTGAACCGCGAGAAACACGCGTGATAAACACGCACCACGTGTAAACTACGCGCGCCAGCAGCAATCAAACTGATTGATCCGTCGATTCCTCGATAATTCACGTGGATCTTGGATCACGAGTTGATGGAATTTGTAGCTGGCTTCGCATGGTAATGCTCGACGCATGGACGACTGTATATTTTTATAGCAATGTAACAATCAGCATTAGTTACAAGTACGATCGAGATTTATTCGGTCTAACGACGCGAATGATTCAATGATGACGGAATATCAGAAATGAATATAGTTGTGTAATAAAAAGTAAACGAATAAAAATGAAACAAGGAAAATTGTAATAAGTTATGGCATACATTATACGTATATAGATGTCTTCTCTTTAATAAAGAAGAAGTAAAGAAGAATTAAATAAAATTAAGTTTGATGTAAAAAAAAAAGGGTTCAGATAATTAAGATGATTAGATTTAGCAAAACTGAGCAAAACTAGAAATAATTATTCATTATTACAAATTATAGATCTCTAAAACTTCTGTTTGAAAAAAGGAGAAAAATATTCCTTTTTTAATGTTTAAAAAAGTAAATAAATAGAAAATTCGTTTCTTCATATAAATCTTAAGAAATAAGTTTTTTCACACACATATATAATTATGTATAAAACGATTTCAAACGAAATTGTGCTAAGTTTTTTTATTATAGTTGTTAATTGGCTGATCACTTAGTTATCAACTTGATTTTCAACACATACAACAACTAACAACACAAGACATATCTTTGTTAATAAGTTTGTTTATACAACGCCGTTTCTTATATCAAACCATGCTTATATATTATATAATGTCTATTTTAAAAATTGCATGCACTTCATCATTTTTATGCACGACATTTGATAGCATGCCTAATTGTTTGTTTGTTCCACAACAATTCTTGCACGATAATAACTATGTGCAAAGCAATATAAGTTAACTAATCATTATGGAATTTCTCTTCATACAATTGTAATAAATTTATCGTTACCTAAATAAATTTTTTGGAGGAATTCTTTCACTTCTTAAAGTGAAAATTAAACTAAAAATTATATTATTTAATTGCTGTTATAAAAATGAATGACAATAAGCAACTTAAAACAATTAAATATTGATAAATAGTAATAAGATTTGAAATTTTCACGACACCATCATATTCATTTCAATTATCTCTTCAAGTATCTTCCAAAAAAATATTCCAAATACTTCAACATTCCAATCAGCTGCATAATTCTCTAAATCCCAAGTTATTTTATAATTTTAATAAACATAACTTCATCTAAAAATAATTTTAATTCAATCAAATAAATGCTAAGCTCAGATGTTGGTTGGAAAAATGCAGATAACAAAGGAGGCAAAGGAAAATGAAAGAGATAAGTACTATTCTCAATTCAAGATGGTTTTATATCATCAGCATCCCTCAGCGTGATTCAATTGCTCAACAACTACTAAGTGTTTCGTGAAGAAAAGTTTAATTATTACATTAACATGCAATTACTGTGCTTTATCTGTCTGAAGTTGACTCAATGATTGATGACACGAGCAAAAGACCGACGCATGCATAATTCTCTTTCAACTGGTTCTTCACTAGTTTTGTTTCTGTACGTCATGGCACATTAAGATACATAATCGTCTGTCCCACAGCCGACAGACAGATGATTATGCAATCGACATTTCCATTTCCTTCCCGACTCCCAGAAAATGTGCATTTGTTCTGTCGCGGCACGATAAACACATTTTTAACATTCAAACGATGAGATTAAAAATTGATTGATGTCTTTATTTTGAAACAATCTTTGAAACTCGTACGAATTTTTTTTTCGCCACTTTATTAAACGTTGAAAAAATTCTAATATTTTGTTATTTAACTGTGTAATGTTCAAGATCATGGTGGATCAAAATCTAGTCATGGAAACAATTTTTCAACACGTTCTTAGAGACGTTTGAATCTTCACAATTTTCGGGAACAAAAGTATCTTTACTTTCCCCCTCCAAAATATTTTTGAAAAGAGAAGCAAACACGACATTATCAAAGTATGTATGTACTTATGCTTTAAAATGTTTGAAACCAAATTGTTATGTAATGAATATATTTCTTAACAAGGTTATAACAGTTTAAAAAATATCGACAATTTTTCATCTTTTGTTCTTCACTCATCTAGTAAACATTTTCATACGCTGTGTAATTATATATATACGTACTAAGTATTCCAGGTCACGTGATGATAATTGCACGTGTAAAAATAAAATGAAAAAATAAGAAACGAAACGATTTTTACGCGTTTTTGTTGGTCTTTTTAACTGTCGTGGTAACTGTAAAAACATTCTAACCGGCTGTATCTCAGTGAAAAATTATTATAGTCAAAAAGCGTTTAACCTGTTAAAGTACAGTGAGCGTAGGTCGTAATTATTGTCGAATCAGTTGGACACCTAAAATGATGGTAGCCCTTTTTCACTCGATTGAATGACACCTGATGTAAATTGAGAGCTTCCTCGTTACGAAATTCTCGGCCTTGCACAAAGAAACGATTTAGTGATATTCGAAAACTTTGTTTGTTACGTCCTCTTATCTATAGAACCTCGTACTCGTTTAGCCTATCGGAAATTGCTCAATTTTAATGGAAAATCATGATAGGAGTGGCTGCTTTTTGTCGTAAAATTGACAAGAGTATATTTTAACGTAGCGTTACGTCGTATTTTGTATTATTTTATAATTATTGAAATTTCTTGAAATGTGTATAAAGTGTTATATGTATATGATTGATAAATAAAATATTAACGAATCTAATTTATATGATCGATAAAATCTACTCGTATGAAAAGTAAAAACAAGAAGAAGATGAACGATTCATACGTTACGAATTAATAAATATCCTCTTATCTGACGATCGGATTAATTTTATTGCACAATGCATTTACTAAAAGAACGCTCGTCATGGTCTTACGATTATCGTAGTTCAATACATAAATATTGATTAAACATTTAAAAATATTATACTCCAGGGATCATAAAAATCCATTTGGTATCTTTCGTTCGTTATATATAGATATTTAAAAACGTCTAAAGAGATCAAAGATGAAAAAGCAAAGATTCTGTTGACCTTAAAATAATTCGTCAGATACTAATTTGTTGGAAGAATAAATTTGAAGAAAACAGGGCGTAGTTAATAATAAAGTAAGAAGTGCAATAATGAAACGTAGTTGCGTATTTGCAAAAATAAGTATCAAAAAAATATAAAGAAATATTAATTGTCAATTGTTTTTAATTTTAATATATGAATCTTGGAAGTAAAATTTTTAAAATTTAATTTTACGTACAATTATCTTAAGCTGATGATTCTCAACGATTCTACAAATTATAAAGTTCTCATTTTCTATCTTAACGTTCGAAGATATATCTGTTGATCTTTCCGTTGAAGTTCAGCTTGGCCTAGAATTGTTTCAAGCGAAAAATTCTACAAACGACAGGATCTTTAATTCGAAGAAAAAGCTCTGGATACAGTTTGACTTTGATGAACCATTCTATACAAAAATTCACTCATATCGTTCTCAACGAAAATCATCTCGAATAACATTGTCAAATCTGAAACTCTCCTAGTAAAATTTTTTAATTTCGAATAACATTTGCCAAATCGTTGCATCTATGTTTTAAATCTGTATCTGTTTTGAAAACACGTTTCCTCCAGGTATGACTTACGAGTATAATCTGAATCGCAAAGACCAATTAACGGTTATCTCTCGATTACCAGTGTAAATGGAACAACGCAGACAAAAGAAAATGATGTGCGTTTGTTTAAACTGATGACAATAAAGAGTTATTCAACGCGAATACCTAAAGAATCGACCTCCTTTGAGAGGAGATTTCTCGTTTTTCCTCGTCGGTTCCACTCCATTTATTCTTCAGCATTGGCTTTCTGGAGTATCTTTTTTTTTTTTATCATTGAGAGGAGAGAATTTTCTGAGAGGAGAGAAAGATAAAAAAATTTGTCAAGATGTCATTCACAGTTTCATTCTTGTCTCACCTTGAAAATGATATCACGTATATAAATACAGTATAGGCACCACACAGTGATTCACAGAGATATTTAAACACTTACTAACGTGAAAAACTTTTACACGTAGGTGTTTCACAAAAATTGAAAATTACCATACAAGGAACATGAGAGAGTTTAAGAGATGAATGACAAGAAAACATACCTTATATATAACAGTTATATATAACAAAATTATATTAACAAGAGCAACGAAAATATAAATTTATAATAAAATATATTTCAGAATATATTACTGTTAATTAAGATGGCAAAGAATGTATTTTAGCATTTACACTGTTTCTATTTTAAACTTTCTTTTGCGTGCTATTGTATTTATTACCAGATTAGAAAAATAATACAACTTGCAATAGCATTGAAAGACACTATAACAAGACTAATCTCAAAGTTCGGTGCATTATGTTTATCTTAAAAAAACACATCAAAAAAGATATTCTCCTGTTATTAGTAATTGGAAAAAACAACAAATTTCTGCCAAAGTCCAAAATAATTCAATCCTTAAAATCATGATTACTAAAGATATTTTCTAAACAAAGATATTAAAGTACTAAAGATATAGTACTATAGAAAGAGTACTAAAGATATAGTACTATAGAAAGAGTACTAAAGATATATTCTGTACAGAGACTTACATAGAAAAATATAATAAAAACAAGATTAATCGCGAAATGCAGCAAATAGAAAGGAATTGAACGCGTACAAAAAGGTACGATAATAATAGGAAGCAGATGAATGCCAATTGCAAATTAGTGGCTCATTCTTCGATTCATAGCAGCGTGTACAGCTGATTAGGATGGCAAAAGGGCAAAGGGAATTATGCTTTTAAATCAATTACCTCTTTAATGCGATTCTTGACACGATTATGATGCTTGGTATAGTTACGTGATCTTTGACTTGATCGTAATTTTTTTCAATACAATTCAACTTGCTTTTAAATTGAACCGATAGTTCAAAAACGAGTCATATAATAGATCCATCACTTACTTCGTTATGTCATTACAGACATTTCTAGAACGCTATTATTAGAACGTATAATTTTCGAACTCGATAATTTCCCACGTTTCACCACTCTTGTCTAACGTTTGGTTTCGCAACGATGCTTTCGAAAAAGAAAATATGTACTTTTTTTAACGAGGAGGGCAGAAACAGAATGTTACTTTTGTAAAATGCTGAATAAAAATTTGTCAACTTCTCTACATATTAAAATTACTCGCATTGTATTATATATACTACAGCAAATAAAAAAAACTCACCATTTCAATAGGCCTGGTAATTTCCTTCCCCTGTCCCTCTATCGAGCGCAGAAACGACAAAAATAACAGGATTACATTCATATTTATTTCACAATAAATAAAAATCAATCTCAATTTTTTTAAATGTTCAGTAAAAAGAAAAAAAAGAGAAAAAAAAGCGAAAGTAGCTGAGAAGGAAACAACGAGAGTTTATTTTAAATTCACCTTCATCGCCGTCGTTATAATCCACTGCGAGAGGCACAAATACCGACAAATCTCAATTGTTTTAAATGTTCGATAAAAAGAAAAAAAAAAGAGAAAAAAATAGTGAAAGTAGCTGAGAAGGAAACAACGAGGGTTTATTTTAAATTCACCTTCATCGCCGTCGTTATAATCCATTGCGAGAGGCACAAATACCGACAAAGTCTTTCTTTTAAATAACCCATCCCGTATATGTCCAATAACAGCGCCTGTACAAATGGCGCCCAATAAACACAAAAATAACCGACGTCGGATATGTAATTTGTCGAACTTCCGTTGCAATGACACGCGGGGCAAGTTCGATAACGTGGCGCCCCGTCGAACATCAAGAATTCGCGTTTGCACCACGTGCAACCAGGAAGAAACGCGTCGCCCCGAGCCAGAACATCTCTCTCTTTCTCTTTCTCTGGCTAGAATTAGCCTTCCTATTGGCCTGACTTTGATCCATCCATGCTCTTAATGCACACCCAACGCGTACATAGGTGTTTTTAATTAACATTTTGTTGAATGTTGAAGACGACTCTCGTCCTCTCCTAAATATACTTGATCTCCGTGTTGCATGCAGCGTTTACGTTTTCAATTGCAGTTGTTAAATCATCAAAACTGCTAGGTGGTTCGTCTCTCATTAACTTAGGATTGTTAAAAAGCTCTTCGTAACTTTAAATCGATGGAGTTCATTTCATTCAAAATTTAGAAACTTTAAATTGATAGGAATAGCGTTTTTTTTTTTTTTATTGTTAGCTCTGAATGGCTCTGAATTGGCAAAATAAATTTTTTTATTGATTTTGATTTACTGGCGAGTGACTTTTTATTGAATTTATACTATTGTATAAATTAATTTTAAATTGCGTTAAGCGAGAAAGTTCTTTTTTATTAAGTTCAATAACGCTTACAATATCGCAAGTTAATTTGATTGCCTATATTTTTTTTTTTTTTTCAATTTTTTGATTATTCAACAGAGATGTATGATAGTATTCACAAGTCTCATATTTCACTAGACTTCACTAAGTTTTCAATTTAAAGCGAACTACTACATCATTATCCTCTTGATAACAATTTCCAACAAATTTTTGTGAATATTCTTTGGCGAGCATTAGTTATAAAGGGAAAGCATATCTACTGTCACGTTTAATTGCGATTGAGCTGCGAGTTGCGTTCCTTGCAACAAAACGCAAGAAAATTTTAGAACCAAGAATAAAACAAGATGCTCTTTTAGAAAATCATGTTATTTTAAGATCAAAAGCGGCGCGACGCATACGAAATACATATGCCGTTTATGAAACACCGTATATAACTATTTACATTGATCATTGGCGGGCACGAGTATTTGTCCAACGTTTGCGCAGTATTCGGCTATCTTAAATCATACTACGCATTAGATGCGTCGGATCGTAAATCACTCTTGTTACTGAAACGATAAGATTTTTAAAAAATTGCCCAGCCATTAAGAATGTTACCTATTTACGTCGAAAAAAATGTTATGCAATTTCACTCAATATTGCGAGAATATTTCGTCCAAGAAAAACCGATGCAATATATAAATATACATGTATAATGTAAATATATGTGTATCTATATTACACATATATTATATGTTAATCATTATGTATTATACGTACATGCAGAAATTTTTTATAATCACTACTAATCATGGCTAATAAAAGAAAATGAAATGAAAGAAATTTAACAACGACTGTATATAAATTGAATACCGACATGCTCGACACAGCGGATATGATACGCAACAGGAAATGTTATAATATTCCTGAGAATATATTGTCAGCTGTTCCTAAAGAAATCTGCCAAAGTTGATTCACAGAATCGATAATCACAACAGTAAATTCTACTTGCCGTATAATCTACCCTTCTTTATTTCTGTAATTGCAGATTCCATCACATTGAAAGTTAATTTACCACGACGATGGATTTTCTTTTTTTTTCTTAGCAATTCAAACATTCTTTGATACTAATCGTCAAAGAATGTATCCGACCATCAGCTTATAAACGTGATGAAGTGAGAACAGGTCAACTACTAATCAACTCCACTTTTTATCAATTTCTCAATTTCATTACGCAAGCACACGATTAACGTTCCGATTCTCAAAAAAGCAAACTGACTTACATCTTACGAGTTCATTTGCGACAGAAAAATGACACAATCGAATAGTAAATTTTAAGGTAAATTTGAAAGATGGTATTTAAAATGTTGGTCGCTTCTCTCTGCTGTTTATTAATGTGGCTCGTGGTTGATTACGAAATTGAACGAAAAGAAAATTCGAAAGGGAAGTACTTTAAAGATAACATTAAAATAATCAAATTGTTAAGTAATCAGTCAGTTAGCTTATCGATCTTGTTGATCTAAAAAAATTTTCTCTTAGGAAGGAACGATGACAATCATCTATACTAAGTCATCAAAATCCACCATAATCAAAGAAACGTTGTCGCAGTACTATCTATCTATTTATCAATTATGATTTATTAGATATAAATTCAACGAAGAATACGTGACATCTGTTACTTGTTTCACATTTACATCTGAATTTATTAACTTATTCCACGATTACTAGAGACAAATGATTTTCGTTCATTGCTTATAAATAATTTATAATAGTTTAGTTTAATATCCATTGTCGACTTAAAATATTTAAAAATCTTCGGAGAGAGTCTGTAAAGAAAAATAAAATGGAAAATAATGAAGCTACTGAGAGAGATTCAAATCTGATTTAATAAGACGATGTGAAAACATCTGTGGATTTCCTCTGACGAACGAATTGCAACGCACTTTCCATCATTGATAGGAAACATCCGGAGAGTGAACGTAATAACAGAACGTGAAGGAAACAGGAGAGGAATGAAACACCAGCATTGACCGACCCAGTTACTCAGACAGAGGAATTCCATTAAAGATGCTTTCGAAGCAGAGGCAACATTCCTATTTTCGCTCGTTCGCGTACTAAATACACGTTTTCATCGAGCGCGAACCGAATCAATTGCATCACTGCCTCGTTACGATCGACTACGATAGGATTTCGAGGACGAAGTTCAGAAAAAAACTCCTTCTGTATCGATTAAACTAGAAAAACGACCAACTTCAGTGGAGGCTGAAGCAATGATTTAATCTTTATTTCATTTAATTTAATTTAACAATTGAAGGATATGCAAGAAGAAGGAGACACCTTCACATTTTACACATCGTTTGTCACATATTTCATTTAAAAAAATATGATTCTTCAACTAAAGTTGAAAACTCGTTTAAAGAAATATGATTCTTCAACTAAAGTTGAAAACTCGTTTAAAGAAATATGATTCTTCAACTAAAATTGAAAACTCATTTAAAAAAGTATGATTCTTCAGCTGAAGTTAAAAACTCGTTTAAAGAAATATGATTCTTCAGCTAAAGTTGAAAACTCATTTAAAGAAATATGATTCTTCAGCTAAAGTTGAAAACTCATTTAAAGAAATATGATTCTTCAGCTAAAGTTGAAAACTCATTTAAAGAAATATGATTCTTCAGCTAAAGTTGAAAACTCATTTAAAGAAATATGATTCTTCAGCTAAAGTTGAAAACTCATTTAAAGAAATATGATTCTTCAGCTAAAGTTGAAAACTCATTTTAAAAAATATGATTCTTTAACTAAAGTTGAAAATTCATTTAAAGAAATATGATTCTTCAACTAAAGTTGAAAACTGATTTAAAAAAGTATGATTCTTCAACTAAAGTTGAAAACTCATTTAAAAAAGTATGATTCCTCAACTAAAGTTGAAAACTTATTTAAAGAAATATGATTCTTCAATTAAACTGGTAGCTTCAACTAAAAGTATTAATATAAATATCAGCTCATTTTGTAGTACATTTGAAGTAACGCGTGATTTTTAATTGCTCTTTTGTTTGTTACTATTAAAATTATCTGAAAACGAGGTAACTCCTTATTGCAGTAACTCCTACAATTGTGAAAACTGATGTATTGATTTAATTAGTGATGAAAACTTATCAACTTTGGTTAGCGTAGTTTAAAATTGAAGATAAACAATTTAATTGTAATAATTTAATTTGAATACAGTTTTTTACGTTCTTAGATAAATCACTAATCGTATTACAGATAGAACCATGTAGAATGGCATCAATATCGTGACGAAGATTTTTTTATGGATAAGCACACCGAATATCAATTTGATAACAGAATTCGTAGCACGATATCTACCAATAGTTGTAGGCCGTCGAGAGGAAAATTACCGATTTCTTACTTTTTGTAATCAGAGAGTCGAGACTGTCCGAAAAAAGATATTATTGTACATCCATGGACATTGACCGATGCAAGTTTCAGAAACAAGAGACCGATAAGAAATTAGGATAGCACCGTGATACACTTTATCTAGTTAAACTCGTTACTTCGTCACGATTATTTCACCATTACGACTGAATCTCACACGTTATCTCACACATTATCCGATCAAGCGGAGTATCAAGCACTCCAAAAGGCAACAGGAAGTTATTATGAGAGAGCCTTGAATGTTAATACGGCGATAAGTAAAAAAAAGAACAAATTTTCCACGTTGCAAAGCGAGCCGCGGACAAATTTTACGGCTTACTAAACATTAGAAACAACATTCACTTTTCTAACTCTTCGTTGGATCTAGTTGGATCTCTTTTACGATCGTTTGAGCATACAAGTAAATTTTGACTCTCGATTGAGAATTTCAAATTTCAATTGTTATTAACGAGATCTCTTTAATTCTATATTATATTATATATTATATTATATCATATTATATTATATTATATTATTTTAAATTATATTATATTATATTATATTATATTATATTATATTATATTATATTATTAATTCTATTCTATATTATATTATCTACTAATAAAATAGAGTCGGAATTTTTTTCAGTTTTTTTTGGAACATTAGAAAAATTGCAAACAAGGATAATATACCATAGTATGTTAGACAAGGGCATTATCGATTGAAATTACGACTCTTTCCAAGTTTAAAGGAAATCCAACTGATAAAGAAATTAACGCGAAAAAGAAAGAGAAGAGATGCAAAGAAAAAGAGAACTCGAGAATGAACCTAATTTCTAAAATACTAGATTAGTACATAAGATATCGGTTTAAGACTTGAAACAAGCAACATCGATCAAAATCGAACGTTGCTGGATTTATGATAGAACAACAATATAGAAGGACGTCATCGTTCAAAGCTGCGAAAAAAAGAAAAAAGAAAAACAGAAAAAGTAAAATCAATGGAAGGAAATGAAATTCAGTAATCCTGTCGATTTGCAACAGGCATCGATCGATGCAACATTGTCATAAATAGGATCAGGAAATTGTACGTGCCTGTAATTATACTTGTTATCCTTGGATAAGAGGCTATCGGAAAAACTTACGTTCTCTTTTGCTTATTCAAAACTGTGCAAAGTTGTAACGAGCTCCGTGAACACGGCGCAATATAAAACACGTTTCTAGCACGTGCCACGATGCTTCGGCCAAGATTATTCAAATGTCACACGTTTCATCGCCAAATTGTCCGTCAATATTTGACATCGGTCTCCTTCTTAACTAACGTTAGAATCACTGAATTACGACGTACATGTACGAAACTTTGTTATCAGAGAAATTACAATCTAAGAAACAGAGAGTTTTAAATACGGCAAGGCGAAAGACTAAATGTAATAAAGAAAAATTTAAATATAATATATTACAAAGTTTGTAGTACAACAAAGAGTACCTTTTACTCATATGTTTTACGAAAAATCATTCAGATCTCTAGAAATGTAAATTTCTATGTTTTGATTGTTAATTGATCATTGTGGTGGTTCTAGTAGTGAATAAGCAAAACGATTGAATATCTCTTGCAAGATTGCAATTTTATTGAAATCTGAACGTCAGATGACGAAATATTGGAATTTTTTGAATTTTTATTGATTAATTCTAATGCTCAAAGTTTAAAAAAAAGGATGAAAAAAAATTGTTGCAAGTTTCAAGAGATCATTGTAAATGAGAATCTTCAATCTTCGAGACTATGATGGATTTAGTCATAAATAAAATTTCTCAGTATTTTTACGTATGTGTGAATTCTTACAACCTTGCAAAGAATATTTTTCCATTTGATATACGATGTTAAAATATCTTGGAAAAAAACAAATTCAGGATGATGAAAACAAAAGTTTTACGTTTTAACAAACAATATAACAATAAATAGATTGTTATATTGTTTAAAGTATTGACAATTTTTGTAAAATTGACTCCACGAAAACAATTCATATTTGCCCGGAATAGTGATGATAACAAGATCGTAAAATTTGTTTTTGGGATGCCAAAACATTCTTTTCCTTTGTATTAAGAAATTTTATTTTTTTTCTTTGTTAAAAATCCACACGTTCAGTTTTGCTCCATTACGCGTTCAAGTATTCTTGAAAATTAATTAATTCAAGGATCACTGATGCAATTCCAGATAAATACCCAAAAATCTTTATCTGCAGCTACGTTTTGAAATTAAATATCAATAATGGATATCACGTTTATCTTAATTGCCGCAGCTTTGTCAAGTAAAGTTGCAATTGTGATAGAAGATAGAGTTTAAAAAGCGCTCGACAATTTCGAATTAACATATCAATAAAATCGAGTGTCGTTACTGGGAAAACATATCACAAGATCGTCACGATTCTGTTATCAAGAAAGACACCTTGACTCACGATCATCTGATAATTTCGCTTCGAATGTCAGAAGGATGTCTTTCCGACGATTACGTCAACAACGAACTTTAATTGTAATAAGATTGTAGGTGCAAAATGAATTGAAAATATGGAACAAAATGTGAAGCTTTCTTCTTTTTTTTTTTACGTTAAATTTAGAATTAACGTTTAAAGTTATAGAATGAATTTAAATCGAAATGAAATTAAAAATCCTCTAAATATCCTACTTAATAAATTGTAGACGTAATAATAGTAACTCTAGCTTACAGAAGAGGAACAATTTTTTGCTTTCAAAACTTAATTAATGCTCTTTAGATTTACTATGTAAATCTTCAATAAAATGTCACCCAACTTCATTATTGTATTCTGATATTGTACTTATTGAACAGTATATTATCAGTGAATATTTATTGAACAGTATATTATTAAATTACACTGGATAATTATTTATTGAATAATCCCAACCCGTTAAATAGCAGTTTTTGAGACACCTCTTCGAACAAGACAGCGATACAGAAAAAAAAAAAAAGAAATTGTACAGAATCGTAAATCTCGAATGTAAACAGAAGTCATGTTCATGAATGATGCAAACAGCTAACATCAACAGAAGATCATAACTTCGCTGATTTGATCGCTTAAGCAAATTTCACGCGACGCGTGTGTAGTTTAATTACATGTGAAATGCAGGCACAGAGAGGCTAACTTTATAGACAGAACGAAATGGCTTAACAAGCGTGCAAAGAAGAGCGCGTATTCTTCAGACGTTCAAAAACATTCCTTTGACAATTTTAATTCATCAGAGTCGGTGTCATTCAAGCCCACGGTCGGGTTTCAGAGATCGAGACCTTGGCAGAATTATAAGTCATTGCCCGATAAATGTATCGAAATGTACGGTGAGAACACGATCTTGAAAGGCGAACATCGAAGCAAAATCAACCCCGAGACATTAGATGAAAACTTCTCATTCATTTTCATCTCATTCATTGTCACTTGTGAAAAGTGATAGGGCTATTCGTCATCTGTGCTAACTGGCTTTTTGTTGCGAAATGATTAAAATTATTCAATGATATATTAAGTTTTGACAAAATTATATTTCTCAACTGTTACTTTCTATTTCGGTATGATGTCAACGAGATTACGTGGTACGTACAGATCTTTTAATTGAAGGATGTTTTATCTCTGTGTGACAGATAAATTTAAATGAGAAATTGAAATTTTTATTTCAGTATTCCATTTGATATGACAATGGTAGAGAAATGTAACAAACGTGGAACGATCTCCGATCTTCCTGAGAGTTACGATCAACCCTCCTCGAGGGTTAAAGAAGAGATAGAGTTTGAACTGTTCCTGTTCCATTATACATTTTTTTTTTCTTTTCGAGAAAAAAAAAAATTGTCAAAGGATTGTCTCAGAGTTCTTCGAGAATAAATTTAAAAATTTCAATCTCTCTCTTGGCTGGCTTCACGCGATGAAACGAAAGCAAACAGAAAGCAACAATTTATCCTTGCAACCGCGTCGTCCCTGGCTATAAATCGGTTTATTTAAAACGCTGTCTGAATCAAACCGAGCAACAGGCCCAACCGATGCTATTTACCTCGCGTGATTTACCCTGACAAGCGTTCCTCGTACGAAAAATAATTGAACTCTGGTCTGCACTCAATCAAAATCGATTAGAACGTCGTTGCTTGGTATAAAGGAGTTTATTCTTGTTTATTAACGATGTTCAACGTCGTGTTCGTAATATTTGTAATTTGCCGTTAAGCAAATATATATAAGCATTTGCTTTCAAAAGAATTTGAAATTATAGAAACGCACAGAATGCGCGTAACATCAAACATTTTGCTTCACTTTTAATCAAGTTCAAGGCTACATTAGGCTTTCTATCATCTACCAGAACAATTTCCACTATGAAAATATTACGAAACGTAAAGCCTGATAAAGAAAGGAAGTTCCATAGAAAAATAATGTACGCAGGTGTTTTTTTTTTTTACATTCAGCTACAGTATTGGAACATTTTATGGCGGGAAATTAGAAAACATTGTAAATATTAAAGTTTAATATTCGCGCGAATGAAGCCTCGATAAACCACGTGTAAATAGTAAACATTAAGAAAAAAGACAGGCTTAATTTTTCCTTTTGCACAAAGCCTTTCAAGAAAACTTATCTTAATCACCTTGACCATTATCAAACAAATAACAATAATACTATTTCTCGATTTAAGACAATTTAAATCGATTTAAATTAATTTTTAACCACAAGGAATTCTGCGATTAAATCCAATTTATCTGTTTTTAATGCTCTTTATCGAAGAACACTGAATCTCATTTTATAATCATTCGCTTTTGTTAGTTATTTTCCTATTAGCCATGTTAGGGACATAGAATCGAATAGGGACATAATTAGTTTAGTGATAAAAACTGCCAGTATTGGAACATCGATTGAATGCTTTTTCGTTGCCTTCGATTCTTTTATTCTAAATCTATCGTTTCATACAAATGCAAATTGAAATTGTTGAAATTACAACTGTTCAACAGGAGAAATTACAAGATTTTTGAATGGAACATTATAACCTACAACACGCAGCTTGTCAATTATCAAATACTATTACATATCTATTATAACCTTCAAATTGTAACTTGACAATTAGTCAAGGTGTCACGTAACAAAATTTCATTTCAGAAAAGAAAATTACACACGTAACTTGTCATCTTGCTGTATACACTGATATTATTATGGTCTATGGTATTTATATATATATAAGGGGAATGATCGTGTACTCACTTTCTCGTGGTCAATTCAAAATATCCAGATAGAAGAACGGGTGTACTGGTAACCCATAGATGGTAGCGGTTGTTCGTCCGGTCCGTGAACACGTGCAACGGTCGGCTGCTTCCGCACGACTGAAACGAAGTCGCGCTACTGAGAACACTCGAGCCAACCACCAAAGACTCTCTTGCTTAGAGCTGCTCCTTAATACTCTTTAGTGTTGTTGCCCGTCTCCTGGTCGGTGTCATTCTGAGCTCCTCTCATCATTAGCGAAGCGCTCACGGTCCCTGAATTTCACCCATTCTCACACACATGCTTATCACCATTCCCGGAGTCGACGAAGACGGTCAACCGCTGGAAAATTAGCTTCCGGGACACCTTGGCAAAATCACGGTTAGATTTCTTCCGCGTCTATGCGCTCCCGGCTCGCGAGCACGCCCGAATAGATTGTCGATCGATCGAACGTATCGATCGCGTCGATACTGCACTCTGCCTCGAATTTGATTTGAATTTCGCCGACGACTCGAGAAATTGAAGAGTTAGAGATGTTAGGGAATTGTTAAAATTGGGGGAAGTTAAATTAGATTTTGAACCTCGCTGAAATATGGGAAATTTTTTGAAGGTTAGAAAAATCCAGTCAACGTTTGCAAATCACGTGCAAAAGCGTGAGACATTTTTAATTGAAACCGACTTGCGCAAATGTCCTTTTTTTTTTAGACAAAGCTTTCATAGAACAACTTAATCGTTATTATATGATCACTGTAATATAACAATTTTTACAATGTGGAATAACGAAAAGATAAAACTGATATAAACTATTTTTAATGAGAAGTGACATACACTGATTTACTTCTAAGCTCGTATACGTAATTTATTATATTATAATATAATATAAGAGCTGAGCTATTATACGTAATTCAGAAAATAAACTAAAATAAATGTGAACAAATCAAATGTAACACATTGTAACAAACAATAACAGATGAAGCTCTTCAAACTTTCGACTTGTAGTTCCTTAATTTTTATATAAAAATAGAGTTAATCGATGAGGAATCAAATTAGCATATAGTGAAAAATCATTACTGCTAAAAATTCTTTGAATTCATGAACACTTTTGTCGATGTCATAAACCAATTATATATTTAGTAGGTACTTCCGGTAGGAGTAAAAAACTTTAAGGACAAACTATATATGTAATAGAATCAACAATTCTTCGACCTCCAAAAGCATCTTTTTAGTTGGTTCAATGTTCGTCTGAGCTATTGCATGCGAAATAATCATGCTGAATTACCATTTTGCGTGCGAGTAATAACTAATCCAAGTTCGTATTACGTTCTTATCGTGTAGATATTACAATGCCTTTAAGTATTGTCAGGACAGCATCGCGTGTTCAGATCTAGCATTTATTAAAAAATTGAATAATAGAAAAAAATTGTAACAACTGCGAGCTAATCATTACAAAGAATCGTCGTTCCTCTCTCCTTCCGTTTCATTTATTAAAAAATATTCGGGACGATATGATTGAAAAATTTTGAGTTTCAATCGATTTTAATCTAAAGACTCGCCATTTTTTCAATTCTACTTGTCCACTAACCATTTTTGTCTTCTTTCTTTGTCCGCATCCTTCACACCATTTACATCCTCCACACAATTTAATTGCTTTTTTCTGTAAGAGCGAAAAAATATCTTTTTCTCAACGTTCTTTTCGTTTCCTAATTGTTGCACCTACTTGGTAAACATCTGCGATAAAAGAGTCAAACTGGTTGCTTGTGTCTAACGAATTTATCGGTTATCATTGATCGTATCTGTTTAATGAAAAATGTGTTGAATTGTATCTTCATGTATTTAATGTGCGGGTTATAATAGGTAGGACGAGGTTGTATATATATATATATATATGTAACATTTTTATGGGTGCGGAACGACCTTAAACTCAACCAGCTATGGACGAATGCATGAGTACTTATGCATGACATGTTTCCTTTATTCCTGACACTTTGATTGTTCACTACGTCGTCGGAATCTAACGGGCACTATGTTGAAACGGAGACTAAGATATCTAACAATGAAATAACAACTGCTTGTTGCGAACTATTTGCATTTATAGAAAGTTTATAAGCACAGATAATTATATTATATAATTATCATTCAACAAATTAACAAATATTTTGTTTCTTAAAATTATACGAATTTACATAAATAAAAGTCTCGTTGCAGTATGTTATTTTCATCTTACGTAACATTCAGTTTTTCAGAATAAGAAATTGAACAAAATTTAAATTATTTAATACATTTCTAATAAATTGGATAGATAAATGATTAACTTACTGTAAAATAATTACTCGAATATAGACGATGAATGTTTCTTAATAATTTTTCGCAAACTATCGATCTCAATAGTTTAATATAATTTAGCTACTGATTGTCTGATTATAACTTTATCACGCAGATTTAATAAATTGATTTCGTTGAGAATTTTACCAATATTATCGATATATAGATCCGAAAATTCATTCTGCTTCTTCTGTCGTTTACATTTTATCAGTGAAAACATTGCGCACGAGTATATTCCATCATGGAATATTCTGCTGTTATTCGTTAAAAGTAATTATATAAAAGTAATTATCATTCACGCATCAATCATTCGATAGATTAATGTTACGATTTCAAATGATAATAGTCGACTCGCATATATACTTTTATTGATAACATTGAATAATGCAAATTTTTCACTTTTAACATGTAAACGGTGAAGTCGTTATGCATCATTGTTAAATGAAATTGTTTTCATCCACCTATTTCAAATTCGATTTCGCAATTTATTTCAGGTCCAGTATTTTTTACATACGCTAGCTTATGAAAATAATTGAACATAAATCATAAATAATCTATAATGAAACATTTTAAAATTTCATTAACATAAGAATCAATAAGAGTTCCAATATTTTTGTGATGCTGTATACGCGAACATACGAATATTGAACCATTCTTCAGAACATGTTGAAATATTCTTCCGAATCTTTTACGATCTAGAATCTAGAAAGTGCTAGAAGATCAAAAAATGTTCGAGCTTCGTACAAAAACACAGCTGCTTTATCTTTCTATCTTCATTCTATCTTCTGGGCGAAAAATTTCCATTCCGATGACGCATTATTAGTTGTTGTTCGAATTGAGTTGAACTAATGAAATTCCTTGTCTGCTATTATCGAACTGTATATTTGTACAAATAGGGCTGTTAATGGAAAAATTCTATGGGAATTTCTTGACGCCTTTTATCTTGAGAATTAGTTCGATATCAATCGTCTTAAAGAACAAAAGGTGTGTATCTCTAATTACGATCGCTAATTTAATAACTAGAAAATTGTGCAATACACTATAAAATGGTTATTTCCTTTTGTTGTTAATAGAAACATTATAGGGCAAAGATAAATTTGAGAAAAAAGAAAAAACACAAAGAAAATAAAAAATAATGTAAAATCTTAAAAAATCAATAAATTATATATATTTTCGTGATGAACATTTCACGTACCAACATACGTATTTCGTTCATAATAATTGAAACCCTTATATAATAGATTTGCTATCAAATCAGCCGATATGAAAAGAGAAAGAATGCATAATTCCACTCTTTGCAATATATTAAGAAAAATTCATTGATCATTCATTGAGTCCACGAATCCCATAGAAAGAACGACTCACACTCATAAACATCGAAAACGATGTGGAAAATTTTCCACAACGAAATTTTTCCTGAAACAAGCTGAACTGAAAAACAATGACTAATACACGCTAATCATTTGCCTCCGACATTGTTATTTTATGTAAATTCTTCACACAATCATCTCAATCAAAGTGATAATTCGTGGTAATGCTATTTCCCTAGTTCCTGTTCATTTATTTTATTTATACATCACGTTATACAAGAAATAAGAAGATAAACGATTATAAGACACTTCGTGTCTTTAGGCTTCTATTTAGAGAGTGATGCCGAGATGCTCACTCTTGGAAGAGAATCTAAAATAACTAGGCCTTTTGCTGGCTTCTGGTCAGTGACCGACAGGTTTCACGATCTCTGATAATAGAGAAAAGAAAGATATTTCAATTATATAAGGATAATCTATTCTTTCCCATTGATATCATTCCATTTCGATGATTTCATTGAAACAAACAATCTATCATAAACTTATCCCGAGATCAATGGTTTGCTAAAACAAATATGTACATATTCATATCCAGATTTTTGGAAAAATTTCATTGAAACCACGTGTCACTAAAAGAATTAATCAATTTAAGCTAATAATTGAATTGTAAAAATTATCTTTTATAAATTTGTCAATTTTTCAATTATGAGTGTTTTATCTTTGAAAATACATAAATTTGAAAAATTAATAAGAAAGAAAGAATTATTGTGTAGGAAAATTTAACACCAGATGCGTTCCTTTTTTTTTAGAAAAGACATTTTTAATAAGTATAGCAAGTACAGATACATACAATTTTAATTGTTTAGAAAGCAAATATAAACAGCATACACACAACCATCACGCAGCTATCATAAACTTAGTTTAGTTTTATTAATTGAAATTTACAAATATTTAAGCCACATTTATTCATGAAAAAATAATATAGAAAATGAGATAGTAAGATCTATATAAAAAGTATATAAAAGTATTAAAAAATGTATTGTATCGAAACAGCAAATTTCATTTTTGTTCGATTTCAAATATTTTATCATTCAAAGTAAAAAACATTTGCTTTTTTCTTTTTGTTTGTTTGTTTCACATTTAATATATATCAGTAGTAATATATATCAGCAGATGTTAATAAATGTAATATAGAAGTAACTATACAACATAAAATAAATTATTTGAACAAAAAAAGCACATATGTTACATCATATGTAATAAGTTACAATGCTGCTGCATCACTATTAGCAAGAGCAAGAACTGTAAAGCACATTTCTTCTGGATCACGAGCCATATATTCTTTACAAACGCGTGCTGCGTCTTCTAACAGTGTTTCTGGACTAGTTGGACCATGATTAATAGGAGGAGATTTACGTCCATCTAAGAAAATCCCATACATAAAATATATGTGTATAGATATGTTATAACAATTGCATTTACTATAAATAGCACTACTTACCTAATTCATATAAAATTCCATTTTTGTGTACAAATGCTACAAAATGATGATACACTTGTGCTTCATCACTTGGTACCTATCGAATAATTTCGATTAATACTCATTTCTATAGATATACAAAAAATAGAATTATACCTCTGTTTGACCTTCTTGTGCTACATCTTTATGAGTGATACTAATGCCATCTGACTCCATCAAAAGTTTTCCACATTCCACAAAAGAAAGATTCTTTGCCTTATCTAGGAAGGTTTTTAAAAAACCATTCTGAAGATCTATGCTGCAAAAATAAATTAAATTATCTATAATACATAAGATCTGTTCTAAAATAAATTAACTTTCTGTACTTTTATTGAAATGCCTACATGTCTCGATTATTGCCAACACTGTGGATTAATGCAATTGTACCACAAGCATTATGAATATACTGTTTCATATGAAAAACTTCTGTATCTTCACAAGTGCTTGCATCTTCCTTTTTGTCTTCTAAGCTCTCATCTGAATATAAATGATCTCTGACCTAAATCATATAAAATATTTACACATATTGTGATGCATGATCTTAAATAAATGTAATAATATAATCTTAATTTTGATACCTCTTTAGATAAAGGATAAAGTAAAATAACAGCAGCGACTGGTTTAGGTACAAGTGCTAATAAATCAGGTTCTAGGCCGTAAACATCAACCACAGACCAATCTTTCGATACACCTAATTTATGTAAAAACTGTAAAATAAATTTTTTAAATATAATTTTTCAGTAATTGTAAAATCATCAACAGATTTACTTTATAATAATAAAAATAAATCATTTAATACTTAAATAGATATGTTGTAATTGTCGTTTTAATAAATTGAAAAACTTTAAAAAACATTTGTAACATTATCAAAAAGTTGAAAGTCATCGTAATGGAAAATCACGGCGGCTTACCTTTGTCATAACCTAAAACAAAGATGAGAATTATTTTAATTTGTATAAAAAAACATAATGTTATTTAATTTTAATACTAATAATGATGAAAATCCTTACCTCTGGATTAGATTCCATCGGTATCCAAGACGGCATGGTGAATTTTGTCAATTCTAAGAGATATCGGCAAATTAGAAGTTTAACACTTTAATCTTTTAGTTTATTGTAAATACTTTCCAAATTTTTATCAAGGCAGTTACAATAGATGCCAGAAATTCACAAAAGCGTGTTTACGCTGTTTTGCAAGTACAAATTTTGCAAATTTTGAATGTTGTTATCAACCTATCACTTGAACGAATTTGCCTAAATCCTGTAACGTTGTCATAAATTTGGTAATGTGCCACTGACTATAGACGAGATATGGAACTAATATTAAAGTAAACAAAGAACAATTAACAACAAAATATTCAGATTTTTGTTCCTAATTTATTTTATTAGTTTTATAGTAAAGCAACATACTTTCTTAAATTTTTCGTTTGTCTGTAACAGTTAGTATAGTCACCGGTATAATAAAATTTTTTAAACGTTCACACTCTTTTTATCTTAAAGCACATTTTTAGAATTTTTGAAAAACGTGACAAAAAGTGATTATAGATATTTATTTTTTTTATTTTAAATATTATATTTACGTAAATTATTTTCTCACACATTATTTTATAATGAAATAACAAATTTGACAAATAAAAATTAATTAATTTATATTATTTAATCTTATTGTAAATTAAACGATAAAATCAACATTGGTAATCAATAATTGTTATCCTAATTTTTAATCTTTTATGTGATAAGATATGTGTATATATAAATACCAGTATAAACACTTTGTATAATTTGTTTGCAGTAAATACTCTGCAGTAATGATTTTCTCAATTTACATTATATTAATTTTATCAATATTGTACACATCATGGGGAGATCAATATGTATTAATATCTGATATAGAAAGCGAAGAAGAGGATATTATAGAAATAAAATTAAACCATTATTCTCCAACATGGAATAGTTTAGATAATCGTCCACTTCCAAATTGGTATGATGATGCAAAACTTGGTATTTTTATTCATTGGGGTGTTTTTAGCGTTCCTAGTTTTGGCTCTGAATGGTTTTGGAATAATTGGAAAGGTAATTTTTTTATTATTGTTCATTAGAATAATTGTTTATTACAATCAAAATTTTTTATTTCTTGTAAAATAACATGAACTTATAAAGAATTAAAGACAAACTTTCATTTTTAGAAGAAACAGCTAATACAAAATACCGTGACTTTATGAAACAAAGATATCCACCTAATTTTACATATCAAGACTTTGCTCATGAATTTACTGCTGAATTTTTCAATGCAACACAATGGAGTGAATTATTTCAAGCATCAGGTGCAAAATATATTGTACTAACAAGTAAACATCATGAGGGATATACATTGTGGCCTTCAAAATATTCATTCAGTTGGAATTCTGTAGATGTAGGACCACAAAAAGATCTTATAGGTAATCATTGAATTGAATGTTTTATTGTTTTAATTATTTTATATCTTTAATTGATGATTTTTAAATTCAGGAGAATTAGCTACAGCAATAAGAAGTTCAACTAATTTGAAATTTGGACTTTATCATTCTTTGTATGAATGGTATAATCCTCTCTACTTATCTGATAAAGATAACAATTTTACAACCCAAACTTTTGTTGAACAAAAGATAATTCCTGAATTACATGAGTTAGTGGAAAAATATGAGCCAGAAGTTTTATGGTCTGATGGTGACTGGGAAGCGTCAGATGTTTACTGGAAATCAAAAGAATTTTTGGCATGGTTGTATAATGAAAGTCCTGTGAAGGGTACAGTTGTAGTAAATGATAGATGGGGACAAAATATACCATGCCATCATGGTGATTTTTACACGTGTTCTGATCGTTATAATCCTGGTAAATTAAATCTAACATCAACACACACGTTTGAAATTTATATTTTTTATTTATCTTGTTTTTAATTTGATTTCTTTAGGAGTACTCTTATCGCACAAATGGGAAAACTGTATGACAATTGATAAAAAATCTTGGGGATTTCGTAGGAATGCTGTATTGTCAGATTATTTCACTTTGTCAGGATTGATAAAAGAATTAGTAATTACTGTAAGCTGTGGAGGAAATTTATTAATGAATGTTGGACCAACAAAAGATGGCATTATTACTCCAATATATGAAGAAAGATTACGTGGAATGGGTATGTTCTCTAAAGCAAAATATATTTATTTATATAACCAATTTATTTAATGTATTCAATAGGTGATTGGTTAAAAATAAATGGGGAAGCTATTTATGATACCAAACCTTGGAAAGCACAAAATGATAGCTTGACTAATGATGTTTGGTATACACAAAGCAAAAATGCAAATCAAATTTATGCCACAATTCTTGAATGGCCAAATAAAGATGTATTATATTTAGGATCATTTAAAACAACTCCAAGTACACGAATTTCAGTTCTTGGATCTAAATTACTAATTAATGTATGTACTTCATTTTAATAGATTTATATTACACAAGTATTAAGTATAATAATTGAAAACAATAACATTAAACTTTTAATTTCAGTGGAAACAAAGTAGTGAAAAATTGACTATATCATTACCAGCAGAACTTCATAAAGGACAACCAGCCTGGGTATTAAAAATAAAACCAGAATAACAAAAACAGAATAATATTTAAATATATATTTTATTAAAAATAATATTCACCTAAAAAATAAAATACATATAAGTAAAATGGCATTTGTTTACTTCCTTTCCCTTCAAATTTTTATTTATACATATGTATTTTTTTATACGTTATTTATATATCATACGGTAAAAAGATAAGTTTTTGAATACACCCATAAAACCAATACTGATTATGTCTCCAATACATTCGTATGTTAAAGTTGCGCTACCTCGTACAAATAAGCTCCAAGTAATTTAGTCTAAACCAAAAATAAAATATCTTTATATTTAAGCAATTATAGTAAATAATACTATTTTTTATAGAAATACTTACGCCTCCAATATAGTTACGAAGATCTACTTTCTCGTTCTGAGAATGTGCACCATCATCACCAGCACCAACTGGTAAAAGTAATACGTTTTTGCCTGTTACTTCTTGGAATGTTAATGTAACTGGAATTGAACCTCCTTCGCGTGATAGATCAGGCTCTACATCATAAACATGTTTAGTAGCTTTCCGACCAGCTACATAATTTGGATGATCAGGATTTTCAGACCAGGTTTTTCCTCCATGACACATACTGACATTGAATTTATTTGGACTACCTCTAGCGGCCCATTTTTCGTTTAAGTATGCTGTTACTTTTTCTACAGTATCTTCTGGTGTCATGTTTGGTACTATTCTAATTGAAAATTTACCAGTAACTTTTCCTGGAATAACAGTTTTTGCACCTGGTTCGCTAAATGCTCCCTCTATTCCATGAAGAGACAAACTGGGTTGTCTCCACCGATGCATCAACAATTGAATCTAACATAATTAAATTTATTAATAACATATACAATAATATAAATATAATATAATAATAAATTTAATTAGAAATATTTACTTTATCTTCATTATGAGCTAATTTATTAGTTCCAATAGAATTTTTGAATTCAGTAACATCAAATTCTATTGTTTCATAGGATTCTATTTCCTTTTTCAGAATGTCAACAACATTATTATAGATACCATCTATCAAAATTTTTCCATTTACGTCCACTAGTGTATTTAACAAATATATCAAATCTGCCATTGCCTCATGCAAAGTTCCACCGAATGTGCCACTATGCAGATCTTTAATAGCACAAGTCACTTCCACTTGGAAATAACAGATACCTCTTAAACCATAAGTAATACAAGGTTTTTTGGTACCCAACCAATAATTATCAGATATGCACACATAATCTACACCTTGCAAGAATGTATCTTTTCGTGCCCAAAGAAGTTCATCTAAGCCTTCACTACCACTTTCTTCCATACCCTCAAAAACAAACTGAAATTGGAAAATATTTAACAAATATAATACATACAGAAAATTTACAATTTATAAAAATTATAATTAAATACAAAATAAAATTTACACATAAAAAGTTCACAATTGGGCATACCTTGAGATTAACAGGAATATCAATTCCAATGGCTTTGTAAGCCTGTAATGCATGAATCCAACAAAGTACAGGACCTTTGTCATCTGTACTTCCCCGCCCAAATAACTTGCCATTTCTCTCAACAAGAGTAAATGGCTCAGTATCCCAACCATCTTCTTTTAATGCAGGCTGAACGTCTAAATGCCCATATATGAGAACGGTCTTCTTTTTAGAATCAGAACCAAGAGTCCCTAACAAAACAGGTGGAAGAGGAATTACATTCCCATCTGGAAGAGTTTGTTTCCCTACATCCGCCAATTCTGTTGTGGCTCCAAGATTTTTCAATCTCACTTCTGCCCATTTCATCATTTTAATTATTTCATTTCTATGGTCTGGCCAAGCTGATACAGATTTTATAGCTATTGCTTCTTTCAAATTATTTATATACTCTGTTTTATGATCATCAATATAGCTGAAAGTGAAATTAATATCAAGATTAATATTACATTATTTTATATATATATATGTAATATATATATACACACATATTATATCAAATATATATGCATATAAATACACACCTAAACAGGTGCTTTAATGTAGATGGAAGCGAAGTCATTTTTTATCACTTGTATTCCGGAATGATCAAACAAGTCCACGTTAGCAGTTAACAAAGTGAGAAAATATTTTCTGCAAGTGTATATATATAGACAATAAATCAGAAATCTTATCTCATGGGTGTGACCTTGTTTCTGATAAATTACTTTCCAAAAGTTTTCTACTTAAATATAAAATTAATGCATTTATAAAATATAAAGCATTTAAAATACTTAAACAACTAATCTATATTAATAGGTTCTTGATATTATTTAGCTCAATGCGTGATATATATCTTGGAAATTACATGAAATGAAATTATCTCAAATTTAACCAATTAAATTCTTGTATTTAATTTGCGAATTTTGAATTGTACTGATGTATGACGCTAAAAATATCCAATTGCAAGTGAAGTTTACGTATTTATATACTAGTATATTATGGGCGAACTATATGTAAAATATAATTGTCGGTTTGGATACTTGTCAACATTGCCAACATAAATGGTGGAACTTGCCTCAACCTGTTCTCTATAACATGGAAGGTTATAAATAATAAAACAGGCAAGAAACGATATTTTACAATATTTTAGAAAATAATATTTTACAAAAGTTTACAAAATGTCTCGACATCGCGATGTACGATGCATGAATTATTCGGAAGGTACGTAAATAAATAGGAAACAAATACTTCGAATATTTTGTCTGAATATTTTGAGTCTTTAGTCAATTATTAACGTGACATATTTTTTGCAGAATACGAAGGCTATGACGATGTATATGGACATTCTGTAGAAGATGACTATTGTGTATCTCCTAGTGGTACTTTTGTTTAATATATATTCAATGTAGATTTTTTATGCTTAATATGTTTTTAATATAAGAGTGTTAATTGTTTAAATTACAGCTGAACAGTTTTTATTTGATCGAAGTAAACAACAAAATATTGCATCCTTCATTACTGAACCAGATATAATAGAAGATAACGAGGACAATGAGGAACTTTCAATGTCTTTCAATGAAAAAGATGCATTTACAGATATCGAATGGGCCAAGCTGATGTCATGTATGGAATCTATCAAAAATGTTATAGGAGATACGGTACCAGAGTCTGAGATTAAAAAAAAGATTATTCAGTCAAAATTTGATGTTAAAATAGCACTTGATTTGATTTTAAAAGAATCTTCACCAAAAACTGTTACTGGTATGTATATTTATTATATATTTCTTTAATAACTTAGTTAGAATAATTTAATCATTTTAGGTCCATCGATGGTTAATAAGGACAATTTGGAGCCCCATCCAGGTATATTACTTATTAACATATTTTTAATAAAAAGTAACTTTATAGTACTATTTCTTAATTTATAATTTTTTTTTTGTTTCATGTGTTGTCTTTGAATCCATTGGTAAGGTAAGATGCTACATCTACTAAACTTCAACCTAATTCATTCATTATACCCAAATTATCATTTAACAAACAAGAGAATAGTGAAGGTACTAAAGAGAATGTATACCTCATAAATAATTTAGAAAGTTTCAAAGATTTAGCTATTAGTAATTCCCCTATGAAGTTTTCCTCTTTATCTGGGTTTAATCCTCTTGTTGATTTCACGTTGTCAAGTTCTACATCTTCAAAAAATGATTCAGATACTGTAGCATTCAAAACTTTAGCTGATTTAACAGCACATCATTTACAGAATACTAGCAATTTACTTGGTAATGAGAAAACGTCTTCCCCTAAGACAAATTTTTTAATTCCAAAATTGTCAATTAAAAAAGATAATTGTAATGACATAAATGAACAATTAAATTTATCTACTATTCTAGAAGATATACATATAGACTCTGATGCAATAAATGATAGAAAGTCAGATGATTCTATGGATTCACTTGAAAGAAGTTTATCTAGTGTATTTGCTTTTTCAAAAGATTTTATTAATACCAGTATTAAAAGTAACTCACAAAATATAGAATCAAAAAATGATTTAATAGTAAATATAAGTGATACTCGAACACCATCACCAGATCCTTGGATCATTGATTTAAATTCCACTTTAAAAGAAGCCACATTTTTAGTTTCAAATAATTGTAGTCATACAAAATTGGAAATGCTAAAAGATGTTCATAACATCATTCCTAATTCTAGTTTACAGATTCCTAATAAAAATATTGAAATTCCATATGCTATATTACCTACAACATTAAATTTAAGTTGTCTTAGATATATTAAACTGCCATATAGCAAAAAGAACGTATCTTTATTTGGTAGAACATTATGCAGAACATGGAAATTAAAAAAGCCAATTCTTAAATCTCAACAAGAGTATTATAAAACAGTAAAGAGATTCGATTTCTCAGTTCCATATACCCGGGCTTCGTAAATTGTGTAAAAATATATAAAAGTGTTAGGTACAAAGTTTTTGCGGTACAAAACGATATCGTAATTAAATATTATTTTTACAAATATAACATTGAATTATAAATTTTATATAAATTTATGAATATATATACATATATATAAAAAATTACGATTGATACAAATGTAAACTGACATAATATGATTAAAAGTCGATTCTTTTTGATTATGTAATTATATTCACTGTAAGGTATTATTTCTATGTAAATATTATTTCTGAAGTTTTAAAGCGAAACTTGTAAATTTTTAAATTGAAAATGTATTTAAATTAACAATATATATATTTCAACTAATACTATATATATATTTTTGTATTAAAATCTTTAAATATTTTTTCGTATTTAATATTAAAATAACAATAGTTTACAATAAATTTTATGATAGGTAAAAAATTGTCATCCAAATCTCCATTTCAAGTTACAACACCTTCCAATGTGAAAATTATTCCCGCTGGGAAACGACCTGTTATAAAAGGCTTTAATGTAAGCGGGACTGAGAATACTGATGTATTGAATTCTCGTATAGAGAGTCCTCGCTCTCAAAGTCCATATTCTGATTATAATAGTCCAGAAATAAAAAGAAAGGAAAATATAATAACAAGGGAAAGGAAAGCAGGTTCTTCGAATGCAAATAGCCCGCGATGTCAGTCTCCAATATCAGGACATGAAACACCTGATTTTGATCCTAAATTAAAACTTAATGAAGAAAAAGTTGATGTAATGAAGATTTATAAAGATAAAAGAGGAGACAGTAAAGAGCAGTTACATTTAGTTGTGGTTGGTCATGTTGATGCTGGTAAAAGTACTTTATTAGGACGACTTCTATGTGAGTTAGGGCAAGTTCCATCAAGATTAATTCACAAATATCAACAAGAAAGTAAAAAAATAGGAAAACAATCGTTTGCTTACGCATGGGTTCTTGATGAAACAGGAGAAGAACGGTAATTAAAATTTCTAATGAAAAAAGAATTTATATAGACTGTTATGTTAATCAATTTTTGTACATTTTTGTAATAGGGAACGTGGAATAACAATGGACGTTGGTCATTCTAAATTTGAAACAGAAACAAAATCCATTACTTTATTAGATGCACCTGGACATAAGGATTTTATACCTAATATGATTACAGGTGCTACTCAAGCTGATGTAGCTCTGTTAGTAGTAGATGCTACTAGAGGAGAATTTGAAACTGGTTTTGACAGCGGAGGTCAAACTAGAGAACATGCGCTATTATTACGCTCATTAGGTACTAAACTTTTTCATGTAAATTATCAATAGAAATTATTCATTACTTAAAGATTATCAATTTTTCAGGTATATCACAGTTAGCAGTAATAGTAAATAAATTAGACACAGTAGATTGGTCTAAAGAGAGATTTGATGAAATAGTAAATAAAATGAGCGTATTTTTGAAACAAGCTGGATTCAAGGACAACGTTAGTTTTGTTCCTTGTAGTGGTTTATCTGGTGAAAATATATTAACAAAACCTAAAGAACCTTTATCTAATTGGTATAACTATTATTCACAGTAGTGGTGAGCAACCCGTAGTTTTTCAACTACTTACGTGTGGTTTGTCGAAACGTTACACTTCGTTTAACTAAAATCTAAAAATTTTTTAGGTAAAATATATGAAGTATTATCAATATGACGCACATTAATTCCTTAATAACAAGGTTATAATATATACGTTGGTCATTTTTTTTTCGGACTTGAGTTACGTTTACTGATAAATAGTTATCTATAATTATATGACAAGACTCACTACAAGACAAAGGTTGCTCACCATTGATCTAGAACATTCAATGCGTTAAAAAAAAAAAAAAAAAATATATATATATATATATATATATATATTAATTGTTATTGTATAATTATGCAGGTACACAGGACCTACATTAGTCAGTGTTATCGAAAATTTTAAGTGTCCTGAACGTCATATAAACAAACCATTTCGTTTTTCGATTAACGACATATTTAAAGGTACAGGATCTGGATTCTGTGTTTCTGGTCATGTAGAAACAGGCATGGTCTCTTTAGGTGATAAAGTTTTAGTATTACCACGCAATGAAACTGCAGTGGTTAAAGGTATATCAACGTTCTATAGCTTTCTTTCATATATTTAGACTGTTATAGTAAAATTCCTGACATTAATTTGTAGGTTTACAAATAGATGAAATATCTACAACAAACGCATTTGCTGGGGATCATGTTTCGTTAACATTATCTGCAATTGATCAACAAAATGTTGGAATTGGTGATATTATTTGTAATCTTCAAAATCCAGTTCCTGTAACAACACGTTTCCAAGCACATGTTGTTGTATTTGCAGTGAAAATACCTATTATGAAAGGTCTTCCAGTAATAATTCACCAACATTCTTTAGTTCAACCAGCTGTTATTACAAAACTAGTAGCACAACTTCATAGAAATACAGGTGAAATGATAAAAAAGAAACCGCGCTGTTTACCAAAAAATTCAAGTGCTATTATTGAAATTACTACACAAAATCCAGTTTGTATGGAATTATATAAAGATATTAAAGAATTGGGTAGAATCATGTTACGTGTAGAAGGAACAACCATCGCAGCTGGTCTAATTACGAAAATTAAGTAATAACAATGTAATAAATTTATGTACCATTATAGACAGCTATACATTTACATTATTGCATACTGCATATATTTGTATATTGCTGAAAATACACAGAACTTAACATAATATCATATCCTTGTTAATTTATATTTATATGTACATATAAATTAATAGAATATTCACCTTTCTTTTGGTCTACGTATAATATGTAATGTATTTATAATGATTTATAATATTTATATGATATAATTAAATAAAATTGTCCTCAAATCTTTGCTCATTAGTTTTTCATTATAAAAATTTTCAAGTTTTCTTAAAACAATTTCATTTTTCAAGATATAATAGTTATATATATATATATATATATGTAATTATGAAAAAATTATTTAATGGTATTACTTTATTACTATTGTGCCTTGAATTTTATTTTCATTTTACCTAGCACAACTACTACATCCCCCAAAGGGAATATTAATAGTATCTCCTGTGTTAGGTCTTCCTAATCTACGTGTTGGTGGACGTGGTGGCCTAAATATAAACACATGGTATTAGTATTATCTTAAAAATGTAAATTACAATTGTATTAAAAAATCACAATAAATTTTACCCAGATCCAGGTCTATAATCTCTTGTATATTCACTTCCATATTTATTCATGTTAGGATTGATCAATGTTTTAAAACTATAAAAATGATTCATTCAATTACATCTCCTTGTTATTTATTTAATAATAATTTAATGATAATAATAGAAAACGTTATAAGTTACTTACAACATTATAACCATGAAAATTATACCTGCGAAAAACCTAAACACTTTTAAATATAATGGAGTATTACATAAGACACTTCCATCTAAAAATTTATTAATTATGATTATATGTAAAACAAATGCTTTAATTACATATACAATATTATACATTATTAGAAATTTCACTAAGGTTAGTTTTATTACCATTTGATACGTAAACCATATTTCACAATTATTTTATAAAAATTGTTTAATTAATTGCTGCAAACTAATTCAACTACACAATATTACTTAATCACGCTTATATATAAGCGTAACTAAAAACTGCAAGTTTTGTACTTTGACAGTTCCTTCTAAAGCCACGTCATACGTCACATATCTGCATACATAAATGTATAAGTACAAACAATGAAATAGCTTCAGGAGTACTACACTACGCAAAAGCATATATGCACAAACTTATTTCAATATTAAACATTTTTTGTTAGTGATATTTTAACATTCGTATATCTCTTTACTTTTCTTTTATTCAAAATATATCTAAATAAAATAGGTATTCATATTTATATTAAAGATAAAGGATAATTTTTATACAATATTATTTACATCAAATTATTCAAAACTCAAAATCCATTTTAAATGATAAACAGATCGTTAAACAATCAAATATATTTAAACAATAATTTACACTTATGCAGTGCTTTTTAATGTTTGATCACGTGGAACAACTTTCACCCAAAGTCCTCCTTGTGCTCTGATTGTCATTCTAAATTTGGGTCGCACTTCTTCTTTTCCAGGGATCGATTGTAATCGGCATCTTCTAAGAATTGCACTAATCATACATTTCATTTCGAGCATTGCAAACTTATTACCTGAATAAATGTCCAACAAATGAATTTAATTAAATAAAAAGTATTAAAATTTATAATGGCATTTTTAAAAAACTGTTTTATACCGATGCAATTTCTCGGACCAGCGCTGAATGGTATATACGCATAAGGATGCCTTTTTTCAGAATTTTCTGCATTAAAACGCTCTGGTTTAAATGCCTCAGGGTCTGGAAAATATTGCGGCAAACGGTGAGTGCTGTATGGGCATATTAGCACGCTACAACCAGCTGGTATCACATGCTTTCCTAAAATATGTATTATTTATATAATAGTTATAAATTAATTTTACAATTTAATTTTATGTCAGCAATAATTGAACAGTATTCAAAAAAAAGCTCGCAAGATAAAATGATGAAACGAGTAATTGGGTCAGATGTTTTAACTTTACTTGAAGCATAAAGTTCGAAGCTTGTTATTCTTTTATTTACAAAACAAATCAAAGTTTCATTATTTGAGAATATCATCTATTTTGGATTAAATAACTTTCTAGAGAAACTGTTCACAATGTTATGTTATGTTATATTAATTTCATGTATCACAAAATGATCAGGTCATACCGATTTTTATATCTTCACCTAGTGTTCTCGCTATTATTGGTACACTCGGATATAGTCTCAATGATTCTTTGATGCACATCTCTAAACATCTCATTTCTTTCAGATCGTTCATTGTAGGCAATCTCGAATTTCCATTGAAAATTTGGTCGATTTCTTCTATACATTTATTCTGCCATTCAGGATTGTTGGCTAAAAGAAAAAGCGTCATCGCAGTTGCGGTACCAACCGAATCCTGTCCAGCTAACATGAATGTGCAACACTCTTCGACAATGTCTTCATCGGAAAAGCAAGGATTTTTTTCCTTCATTTCTACCATGTATTCCAGCAAAGATGTCCTTTTTTTCTGTTTTACTTCATGATCAGGTGCAGGTGTATTATTTTGTAAAAGCTTGCGCTTTTCTTCCATCATTTTAAAACAAGTATCGAATAAATCTTTCCGTTGTTTCTCTTCTTTTCTACCATGTTTAGTTAATCGGTAAATCCATTCGATTAATAGCCAAGGCCTCACCATTCGGTATAAAAGCATAATTTGTCCTCTGAAACGGAAATTTCATCATGTACTATCTTTAGCATCGTTAATGCAACAAAAGAAAAAAATATAAAAATGTTTTCCAATTCTCACTTTCGGAAAGGTAAATCATCAATCATTCCATTGGTCCTTCGATCCGTTTGGTTTATTCCCAAAACTGTTTCTGCAAACAGTTTAATAATTACTTTAAATACAAGATGATTCCAAGAAATGGGAAATATTCAAACTATATGTGTAAAATTTTTGTACAACAGTAAGCAGTCCTTTCAATGAAAATTTATGAGTCATTCGTTTATTTAACGTAAGTTAATTTTAAAATTTATTTCAAATGCTAATTGATATTGAGAATGTTAGCAGACATTGGACGTTTTAGGAGTTTGCATTCTTAGGAGTTCTTTCCATATTAAATAATAAGTTTGTTAAACACAAGTAATGAGTTAACACAAAAAGTATGAAGTTTATTAAATAACAAACGACTTCTTAACAGTATGTGTGTGTGTGTGTGTGTGTGTATATATATCATTTTAAAATAAAAATATATACAATACTAAAAAAAAATTTTATTCTAATAGAATTTTTCTGTTAGAAGAACAGAAATATTTTCTACATTCAAAATATTAAATATTTAAACTGAATTTAAAATGAACATTCAAAACTATTAATGATTTTTCAATCTAAAAATGTTTATTAAAAAAAATGATTATTATGTTTATTACTAATGAAAGACTGATCAATCACGTACAGATGGAATTTATAAATTGTAAGCATATTATTACGTAAAATGTCATAAATAAACAATCTCAATCATTCGCAGTATTTTACAATATTTTTCAATAAAAAACAAATTTGTTGACTTTGATATCCACATACGGAATGCATTTACGTGCATTATGCAAATTAAATAAAACATGGCCAATAGATGACTTCATGAAATACTTCTTCGAAATATGAATTTCGTGCTTCTATATAATTAGTGGCACATAGCGTAAATTGTGACAAAAGATTAACGATCGTGAATAATATTTTTTTTAAATATGAAATAATATATTATAATTTATTATACATAAATATTCTATATGATTGCGATATTTATTATAATAATTATTAGTTTTATAAGAAACTAATTAACAAAGGACATTTTAAAAAAGAAATAAACTATTTTTAGAATCTATGAAAAATGCTAATTCATATGTTAATTTCTCCTTGATGTTTATGTATTTATTGCTAAATATTGTAAATATTGTAAATACATTATATTTTTACTTACCACTCAAAATGTTGTAAACTGAATCATTAATGAAAGGAGTAATATTGATTTCTTGGTTGTTCTTTTTAAGAAATTCTTTCATCAAGTGATCTGCGTGTTCCGCGAAAATATTCGTGAATTTCTCGAGAATATGAAGATGAAAAGCGGGTTGTAAAATTCTTCGATGAACTCGCCAAGTTTCTGTGTCTCGTGTAATTAAACCTTTTCCAAGAAAATTATCTAGTAATTTGTAGAAAAACACCTTGTGCGTATGCTTTGTACTACCGAGTACCAATTGGATGTCTTCTGGCTCCAGAAACATTACATATGGCAATATTGTCAACCAAACTCCGACAATACGTCCATAATCTTGATTTTCATGTGCCAATCTATAAAGGACTGAAAATCATATAATAATTTAAACAAAAATAAAAATTTAAAATAATTAAAATTTGGCGATTTTTACTAGTAAATCCGAACTTTAATAATTTATGTAATAACTTTATTTTATGTATTAATTTATTAAATTCTAATTCTGTTTAAATTTTTTTAGTATTAATTGCTTACAATTTTTCTTGAGTGTATAGTTTGCGTTTCCAATAAAGGGTACAGTTTTCGGGCCATTTAGTCGAGAAACATGAATGACACTTCTAATATAACTTTTTAAGATGTACAGAATATAAAGACTGATCAAAATGACGAGGTATATCCACGCCTCACCCGATGTATGCTCCCACTAATAAAATAAAAATGTCCATTGTGTTATTAGCTTTTGTAACAAGTTTACCTGATTTATAGAGTTAAAATTGAAACTAAAATTGTTGATAATTTTAACATTTAATTATTTTATTTCTTCTTTTAAATTAAAACTTCTATTCTTAGAATGTATCTTTTAAATTAAAACTTCTACTTCTTAGAATGCATTAATGTTTTTTTAATATTTTATTTGCATAGAATGCTAAGAATTCTACGTAATTTAAAGTTTTGCAGCATTCATTGCCTATTCAAGTTGAATCTTCTATTAATTGGTACATTGGAACGTGCTATTGACTATGCGCACATACGATCTGAATACTGATTTATCACAACAAAGAATAAGTTCCTCCGATCGAACTTAAATAATTGGATTGTGAATTTTTATTCATTAAAAAATTTGAAAATGCAAAAATACACATACTTGATATAAAATGTAAAAATATACATATAAAATCTCCAAATAGTATTTGTTATAATATATTTAATAGATGAAACAAATCTCAAGCCTCAGTTTCATTTCTTTATTTTTGTATTTATAAAAATATGAATTGACATAACGATTCTTTATAATTATAATAGTAATATTCTAATCTAGTTATAACACAGTATAATAATCTAATCATGACAGTAACAACAAATAATTAAATGAATAAATAATTGAAAACATAAACAAGTATTCAAAATTTTATTGCGAACGTTTTAAATATAATTAACTTACGCAATTAACTGTAATTAACTTATGCAAAATTACATAAAATCGAACTTAATAGAACTTTGAATACTACAGAATTCAATCACAGAATATTTGTCATCACTTACTATTTGTTGAACTGTAACAACCATATTTAGGTATATAATTTTTTATATTCAACACACCGAAGTACTTTTTGACAAAATGTGTAGGACTGTAACATCGAACTCTGGCATACCCTATTTAAGCATCTACTCCCACCAGATTCATGGGTCTCTTAAGATTTGCTCAAAGTCCATAATGTACTTAGAATACGTCATACCTTGCATCGAGAGTCACGTAAAATTTTCATCTCTAACAAACATATTTCAGTTTTATGTACGTATATTATATCTTCAGTTTGTAAACTGTGTGAAAGTTACAGGTTTATCGACACGTCACTCCCTTCATATTTTCGGCTATCTCATCTTATGAAAAAGCACATTTCATCAAATATGACTTTTTGACATTCCATTAATATCGAAGAAGCGCACGTGAATTCGAAGTAAAACATTCTTGATTTTTCGACCACAATCATTGGAATTCATTTTATTACAATAAATGGAATTTCTATTTATTACAATAAATATAAATTATTTTAATTAATATTAGTGCTTTTATAAATAAACGGTGAATTTTTATGTATTCATCGGAAATTCAAAACTGCATAGAATGCAGATAAAATGCAAAAATATATTCATTTTTTCATTTCTCTAGTTGCACTTACAAAAAATACAAATCCGCATGTATCTACAGTCTATCAATGAATTGTAAGTTAAGCAGCTCTTCAAATTTATTTAATTTCATTTAATTTCATTAAATTTATTATATTCATTTTTATCTAATTTCAAAAATTAATTTTCGCTCACCTTTAGGAATACCATAGAAATATCACAACCGTTTGTAATAAGAAATAAAACGACTAGCTTTGCACACTACAAGATTAAAGTAATCAGCCAACTAAACCTTCAGTAATGAATAGTAGACGTTTATATAGGTGTAATGGAATACGAGGTGCTTACGGAGCCTATTAACAAGCAGTTCACAAACAAATCACGTATTGTTGATATGTGCAGGCGTGCTTTATAAAATATTTTTTTCCCGCTCAGCTTCTGGGAGGCGAGCGCCAAAGATGATATTTTACACGCATCCTTCTCGTCAGGGTCGAGTAGAGAGAAAGGAACCTCGAAAAATATCAAGTGAATAAGTTATCATATTATTAGACTATAATATGTACTATAATTATACCATGACAAGCCGTTTATTTTCATCTATTAATAATAGCTAAAGGATAATAATCTTTATCGTATAAAAATCGATAATAATTCAGCAACAATAGTAATTAGCTAAAATCTTATAACCTTAACCTAGTATTTTATTCTAATCTAATGTAGGATTTTTTATGAGTTTTGTAAAATAAATTTAACTAAGATCATACGTGACATTTACAGACCTTGAAAAGACTTTAAAATTCCTTCGCCTTAGCAATCTTTGATATATGCAAATCAGATGTCGAATATAATTAATTATAGTTTTCGATATATGTGTATTAATGTAGTTTACGATCTTTAAGTTGGACGATTGCCAACCATTCTATTTGCAATTATCCTTGTAATTTGTGCTTAATACATCTATTTTATTGTACACATTAGATTGTCTTTTTTCTAAAAAAAAAACAAAAACTTATAAATTAAAGTAATTACTAATAATTAATTGTGATTATCAAGTAAAAGAATTATAATGTAATAAATATAGAATTGATCTTTATGTTTACGATGTGTACGATGTACTTTTATCTTTATGACATTACATGATCATATTCAAAATTACATGAAGAAATTCTTATATTTACTTATATGTATTGTAGCTTTACTTTTCATGGAATTTGATTTCCCAATTTAAGCTTCAACGTTCTTCATATGTTGTTAAATATTTTGATTTCTAAATATATTTACTTTATGACATCACATTAAATAGACCAGTTATGTAATATAACTGTCACTATGATCACCATACCATAGATGCGCGCGCAAATTACTGAGTACCTTAGTCAACAAGTTATGTACTTAGTCAAATGTATGATTTATAGTAACTTCCGTGGAAGATCCTATTTTGAATTTGATACAACAATATTTTGTTGGAACAATATTTTATTAAGCAAATAAAAAAGTACATATTAAATAGCAAATAATTGATAAAATGTAACTTAATTTATTAAATACTAAATATTAACAAATAAATGTATCTATATGTTTCTGTATAAATATGTATCTAGAGGCATTTTTATCTTCCAGGTGCATTTAAATATTAATTTATAGCATAAAACGTAACAATTAAAAAATTTTTATAGATTATTAATTATATCGAAAAGTAATTCAATATTTTGATTTAAATTTTTCACTTCTAAATTTTTAATTATATTGATATTTTCATTTTTTTGTCATTTATTATTTATTTTGTATATGTTTACTTTAGTATTTGATTTTTATAAAAATAAAATAGTTTTTTTTATCATTGTTTTATATTCATTGTTTTTTTTTACCTGAAACTACAGTTTCATATTTCTCTAAAATAACAAGATTCTAGCGACATCTAGTATTCGTAAGGAGAATTATTTTACAAAACAACATAACGTAATCAAGATAAACAAAAGCATTAAGTTAATTCTTTAAATATTTCTGGAAATATAAGGTGTGTTACCAAATATCTTATTTCCCACAATAATTATGCTATTTAAAAATATGGCATAATTAACGCTAAATTATACATATTAAATAATATTCATCATTTTTTTATATATAATTATACATTCTTAATAAAATGCCATTGATGATTATTATTATTATAACGTTGATAATGAAAAATAATTTATCATTACAAAAGAAAGAACCTTGACGCATGCGCAATAAGGTATCGTCATGCTTCGCGGCTCTCAAGTGCGTGCGCATCTCGGCGCGACTCGCGGCTTTCAGGAAAAAATTGAACGTACCGCTGGCCAGTAAACTGTGAGACTTCCACCGATTCGTCAGGTGAAACGCCGTATAATTATTAAATTTCTCTTTTTAACTGTGTTACTGGATATCTTAACTGTACGGTAGTTTGCTTCGATTATCTGTTTGAAAGATTTCAGCCGTATCGATATGTTAACTTGTCACATCGGTTAGCTGTCAGATTGTCAAAGATACAACAGCGTATCACCTAACTTCTCTTCTAACTTATTATTAGTCGCGGCAGTGAAAAAGCGACGTCACAGCAGCTATGGATATCAGTTGGCTACGAACTGTGAAGTAAGTCTGGTGTCTGTACACAATTGATCGGTTTGAGGAAACGTGTATAGTCCGGTGCAGAGTTATTCGTCGCTGTGTCAAGGAGGCTGATCGTTATCACGACGTCAGAAGCGTAATAAACAAGTTTCATTACGAATGAAGTATCAAAGAGTACACGGGACGGTGATATTGAGAAATATATATAGAAGTCATTATAAAACGTAGAACCACGTGACAACAAAAGATCTCGCGCGAGAGCAAGAGCGACAGATAATAAACAATCGATCGATTTGAAATAATTCGACGGTGTTTTCACATGACGCGAACAATTTCGGAGACTGCCAAATTATAATATCGTAATTCCCCCCTCGGAAAAGATGCAGTGAAGTTGGCTCGGTGGATGCCATTGACCGCCATATTCAGGAGAATCGCTCGAGACAGTTTCGAAAAAAAACTGGAAGGTGGTGGATCGAGTGAAGTGACAAGAGCGTTGAAAGGTTAAGAACCCGTTCGTTGAGCGTATTTGCGTGAAAATCGGCGAAACCGGCATAGTGAAAAACCCGTCGAGATGGAGTTCAAGTTCAACGTAAATAAACTCTTACCCAGAAAGATCAACAAGGTCACGCATACCCTCATTCCAGAGGACTTCAGAGGTGATCGTCGTGAATTGAAGTGAGTATTTCTGTTATCATTCTTATTAATAATTTCATGATTTACGTTTTTATAATTTATAACGTTTGTAGCCTGACATGTTTCCATTATTAAATCTTAAGTCCTAAGAAATATGACATTTTGACTACAATAAGTATGTGCAAGTAGCGCGAGCTATAAATAACTAAACTATACATTAACATCACGTGACAAATATTTTTCAAATTGCTTACGAGGAAGAATGACGATGAATGACGATAGTGAGAAAAATCGATACGCCCGTAAGAGGTTATTTATCGCGGTCGTCATCTTCAAGGTTATATCGTAATATGGAATATATACGATACTTTCACTTTACGTCGATGACACCGGGGATAGTCATTTATAGTAATTCTTACGTCTCGGTCGCTTCCCGGAAACATAATCGGTCCACCCTAAATAAATCTATTCGAGCACATTGACACTGTCACATTGACCGGTATTATTGTTTAATCGATGACGAAAATAAATATCAATGAAACATACGCACGCGTTGGCGTGGCTCGAATTCTTCGAGGATATTTCAATCTGAGAATTGTTGTAACACGATAGACATGGTTATTGTGTATTAAATCAATTATACATAATAATATAATAACTATATTAAATTGAAACATAAATCGTGCTGTTTTTATATATAATGTATGTACAAAAACATAACTAATTTATGTTCTAACCCATAACATAATAATAATTACAGTTTATATTACATTACATTTGTACTATTTATGGTTATGTCACAGATCATTTACATATTATAAATTAGTATAACTCACAATACTATCTGTTTTTTATTTTTTTATATTTCTACGTAATTCTATACATCTCAGCGTATTAATTTGCATCGTAAGTTAATCAAAATCTTATATGTATTAATTTACTTCGATCATCGTAAAATGTGTACTATTGGCTTGTAGTTATGCAAATGAGAGTTATTTACCCTGTATTGATTTGAGGAAATCAATCAATTGCCTTCTTATTGACTTATAATGTCTCCCAACATTTTTAAATCTAAAGTTGGTCTACCACAGCACATCTAATGCATGTAACAAGTCAACAAATGAATATCAATCAAATTTCTTGGTTTTTCTTCATCACTCTCAACCATTACATAAAGATTATTTCAGAATTATACTGCAATCACTGTAATTTTAGATTTCTTGCTCTTTTCACCTGCATGAAACTGTTGCATAAGAAATAGTTGAGGGAATTTAGAGGATAATCACATTATAGATGATACATAGGAAATTGTACATAATTTGAATTATGTTAGTTTCTGGAATAATTATTCCAGAAATATCCTTTTGAAATAAACATTCCAATAATATCCTTTTTATTCAATTACAGATAAAAATTTCTTTTAGAAACAATTTTTTATATTTATAATAAAAGATATAGAGAAATTGGAATATAAAAAATGTAGAAAAGTTCAGCTACGTATATTATAAAGAAGAGACACTTCTACAATTCAAATTTTAATCCTATATTAAAAATATAGGAGGAGAAAATTATAATCGTTCTAGTATAATGACTTAAATACAATAGTGTAGGTTTAATGTAACGAATAAAATACAATATATTAATAAACAAATAAACTAAAATTTAAAATATGTAAACACGTGAGAGTATAATTTTCAAGTTACAAGACATTGCATAGACTTATTAGTACACGACAAACGTAAAGAGCATTTACAAAGCTGTATCTATTTATTATGCATCAAAGAGACTACCTATACAAAGGAGTTAGTATAATGCAGAAAATACTTTGGTTTTACTCGCTTTGTCTCCGCTTGATCTCCGTCTATCGTTTTATTGTTTCGAAGCGTGGGCGTTTAGAGCAGGGTTCTCCAGCAGTTGAAAATAATGCGCTTGAAAACAAATTACACCCGGTCCTTTAAAATACATCGATGAGAGTTACTTTCACATATTTGTACCTACATATTGTTGTTGAAAATATTATTTGCACATTGAATTAGCAAATGAGGAAGTGCAGTTTCATGCTGCTAGAATATTTAACTTTATTGAGGATTTTGCTCGTTTGCACAAGTGCATTCTTGAACGGTGACTCAAAGAAATGTATAATGAAATATCACTGTGGTTATTTGGCCTTATTCGTGATGGAAATCTTGATAAGAGAGATCTTTTTTTAATATGTACTTTCTATCAGCTATATCACGTTCTAAAGCTATAAGAAAATAGCATCACTGAAATAAAACCGTTTTCTTCTGACGTTGGTTGCATGCTAGTTGCATTGGCATTGATTTGTGATATTGCAAAGTTTTATCAGATTTACATGCATTGAGTTTCTAAAATTAGAGTGACTTTCTTTTAATATTCCTTGCACGAAAATTACTCCTAGTATTATTCGTGATGTTAGGAATGTAGGACTGCAAGTCGAAATGTTGGAACATCTCATGGTGGTCCAGAAATATCATAAGTGACGTTGACTTTGACAAATACTAATTGGACGTAGAATATACGAGATTTCAACTTGAACTTAGACTATAAAAGATTTCAATTTGGAAAGAGATCATAAGGAGATTATAAGAGACGTATGAAATATTTTCGAGATTTTTATTTAGTTTTATTTTATATTCTGTATCTTGCATTATCACATATTTTTAGTTTTATCTCATATTGTGAATTAGCAAGGAAAGCAAATAACATCTACGCCTTTCATTGAACAAAAACGGACGATAAATCACTTCCTTGATCACCTTGATTCTTCGTCGAACTTATACGTAACGTTTGGACACAGTGAAGATCGCTCATATCATTAACCCACATAACTTGAAATACATATTCCGTAGAACGTGAAAAGTAAAACGAAGTAAATCACAAGGTAAAAGTTCTTAGAGTCTGAACATACTTAATGATCCATTCAATAACCTATTTCCGTAAACATATTTTACCATTCTTAAGTTACTTTTCTATTTTATATCTTATTTGATAGAAATTTATGTTTCAGGTATGTTTTGTACTTTTATTGAGAAAGTAGATTTTATATGAAGATCCTTTGTGTTGAAAATAATATGTAAAATGAAACGTGAAATGAAGGATTAAATATAAACGGATTAAACGATGATTTCCTTCTTATAGATCTCTTTCCGTTCCATGTAGTTAAGCTATGGGGTTAGCAATCTCATCGTATCAATTTAAATCTCGCCTGTGTATTGTCTGAGTAAAATGTGTTATGTCAGCAAAGTAATAGGCACTTGTAATTGTAGCGTTTCACGAGGAAAATTATCGAGACTCACCTAACAAAACTACCTAATCGATATCGTTGACGATCAAGCAATATGAACAAACTAATCAGGTTAAGATAACATACTAGCAAATTGGCAAATATTTTTTTCCATAGATGAAAATATAGTTTAAAATATTTCGAATTTTAGAAGAACAAAAATATTTTTCTCTATTTGAAATAAAATAGGAAATTATACTTCCATATGGAAAATTTCTTCTTTGGTGATATGCTAACTAATTGAATGTTATTTTAGTAAACAAAATAGATTTTTAATTGGCAAAAATCACCGAAGAAAGATTAAACTAACTTTTAATCTACGTATTCACGCTCGTATTAATTACAAAACACAACTTTCCTCGTAGCTTTCTTTTAAAATGAATTAAATCTATATACAATTAATAGTCCAAAGTAATTTTCTTCATTCATGCTACCATTTCACGGCACCTATCGTCCGAATGTATATTCGTGAAAACGATCCTGTTTTTCTCTCGTGAAAGTAGCGTTGAAACTTTATGTTTCAATTTCTCCCACTTTTCTTTTGCACATATTTCTTCTTTTTTTGCTCTTTCATCGGATTGCTTTGCGTGCTTCGCGTTTTATTGATTCTGAACGACGGGATTCGGAGTAAAAGTTAATTAACGCAAACTAACTGATCTCGCACATTCGACACGATAAAATATTACTGATAAAACTTCAACGACACTCTTAATACATTCGAGTACATATACTTTAGCGTTTTTAATAAGCGTTTGAAGATTCGTCATCGTGAATTTCAAATTATTATTCCGGAAGACGTTTAAAGCTTTGCTTTTGGAACTTATTCAAATGAAATTCATTTACCACGAATTAATACGCTTGCATAAAGAAGAAGAACATTGTATTTGCTTCGTGAGAATTTTTACATATTCAAACACGAGTTTGAACATCATGCAAAGGGATTGCCAGATAAATAGATGCTCATGGCCAGTTGAAATTGCGTATAAAATTCTTCGTAAAGGTACACAGATGATGTAATGGAAGGATAAAGGTTTAAAGCAATGGAATATAAAATATTTTAATGGATTTTTGTCTTCCGGTATGTACAGAAGCACTCGTCCAATATTTTATTGAGCAAATTTATTTTAGAATATTATTTTGCAAACTTGCTAATGATTATTAAGTTAAATATTATGAACGTTTTGAAAAAGAAAAAGAAATTATAATTGCAAATGTTCCTTATAATGAAAACATAAATATTTTTCATTCGTTTGTTTTTCTTCTTTCTTGAATTTTTCAATTCTTTCATTTTTTTTTTTTTTTTTCAATAAATTTCTCAAATTGAAGAAAAATATTGATAGTATGTAAATTTTTCATTTTGATTCTTTTATGTTATAGATTTCCTTAAATTATTAAAAATTTTCTTCTTAATTGAATCTGAAACGAGGTTGGGACATAAGGATCGCAGGAGAAAAATAATTATTAGAAGAAAAGTTCATCTAGAAAAAGTTAACGTGATCGATCATCAACGTGTTTATTCGTACACGTTTGTCCTAAATGTGATGGTTTCAGCGGTCACATGGAACACAATCGATTCCATCGTCATTCCTTTGAATGACTGTACATAGCGTTGTTAAGATAATCGATTCGCATTTGCATTGCAAAATAATATCATGCCGGCTCTGTTGTTGGAATTAGGTCGGATCTTATAACGAATTAACTTATGGTACGCGGATATACGGTATAATGACGGATTTCATTACTTGAAATAGTTTATAATAACAGAATGGTATAAGAAAAAGTTAAGGTGTCATGGACAGGTAGCTATTACTACTTTACAGTGTTCTTTATTTACTTTGATCCACGTTCTCGGTTTCCTGGACAGGCAATCAGAGGACAGGCAACATAGTTGAGTCTGACTCAGACGCTAATTTCGAAGCGACGCCGTGTAATCGTATTGTGTAATCGATTTACGAACCAGCGTCTAAAGAAAGAAATATGAGTCCATTGTGTTTTGTAATCGCGTGATGAAACGGACAGACAGTATGCGTGATTGCGACTGTAAATTAATAAAAATGATTGTTCGGATAAAAATAATTTACTTGTATACCAGTATATTTAATATAGTTTGGGAAGAATAGAAAGAAACTTATATATGACAATAAAGAGATTTTTCTTCTTTTTGATCAAAGAAGTATACTTTTCAGAAATATGTTCTGATCATTCAGCCATTAAACGCTAATAAAGATTCATAAATAATTTCAGAAAAAGAATTGGTGATTAAGTAGGGTTAAATATTCAATTTATCAAATTGGCAATTGAATTAGCTTGTATACTTAACTTCAATTGATGTTTCATAACATTGATAGGATTTTCTCATTAGATTTTCATCCGTTATAATAATTTTATAATTTTTTAAAGTAAAATTTTGTTACATAGGAAAGGAATAACAATATTAATACAATAGTAAATAATAATAAATCTAATATATTAAATATATTAAAATTGTCTAAAGTCGAAGTCTAATAGTCAACTCTAAATGGAATGAAAAATGAAAATTTTATCATCTCTCGTGCTTAGTAACGATCAATTTTGTCGATACTAATCAATTTCGTGATTTGACAAAACAGAGTTCATCAAATAAACAACATTCGTTTATCATTTGCGATAGAAATGAGCTTTGGTACGTGATTTTTTGCAATATAAGATTATCTGAATTTTTCAAACAATAAACAGCTAGCCAAGGTTAAAATATTAACTTCCTAATGTATTCTAAATTATTCAAATAATTATAAATCTTGGTAAATAAATAGAATTGTGTAGTGATAGAAAAAAGAATTATATTCCTTGGCTAGAGATAGACAAAATAAAGCAACTACATGAGAAAAAAACAAGAGGAAAAAGAAGGCAGAAAAAACTAGAATAGTTGAATCGTTTAAGTTGTAAATCACATCTCACAATTCACCATGAAATTGAGATTAAATTGTGGATAAGTTTTTAACTTTTTTCTTTTCTTCAGAAATATCTTAATGGTTACAGAGTGCTAATTTATTATTATCAGAGTATAAATTTTTATATAATTTTTTGTACATACACGTTATAAATTGATAGAAAATTTAATTTTTTTTTTCCAGTGAATGTCAAAGACAATTAAGCCGAGTTCTAGACGACATGGGAGAGGCTTCTGCTAGAGCCCAAGGTCTGAACAAGCCAATAACCAGCACCCTAAAACTTCGAGATACTGACCATGTAGTTTATTTATTAGTAGACAATGAAGCTAACAAGTAAGTATTTTAAACCTTTTTTATGCTAAATTTATTATTTTTAGTTGATTTAGCTCAGTTAATTATTTCGCAACATTCTAACTTATGTTAAAAAAGACCTCTAATATCAAAAATTATAGTGTGACAATTGAATGATACTCGATATTTTTCAACATTGACTTATCAAATTTTCTCCACAGAAGAATTTCAGAATTTATACTTCTCTGGAATTAAGAATGAAATTTTCTAAAAACCGAGTTAAATATTATTTAGTTAAATATTTTATATTTTTTTGTTATCGAATTTCTTTGAACTTCTTCTTCTTCTTCTTTTTCTTCTTTCCTGGAAATTAGAACAGAAATTAAAGTAAAAGCAAAAGGAAATGTTAATCTTGGTAAGCAAAAAAAACCGAGTTAGTCAAGAACTAGGAAATGGTGAAAAAGGAGCAATATGAAAGTGCAATTATCCTTGCTAGCTCCTTCGAAACGTTAAATATTCGTACGCGGATAAATTGCTTTCGGAAAGACGTGGGTAAACGACGAAGAGCTTCTTGAAAAGCGCAATCCAAACCCGGAGCAGCGGCTCGAAAGGAAGCTGTATTCCCCAGGATAAGGGGTTTCGTAGCGTGCAAAATGGTCGGTCGGTCGATCGATATGTCTGTCGCCTCCCCTACAGAAATCTAGTTTCCACATCCTCGCAGAATCCTTTCGTTATATACCGCCATTCAAAAGCTATTACGGGGATAATTCGACTTTTTTCTTGTGTAGTTGCAATATATTACATTTCTGTATGTTTGAACTAGTTGATTTATTAAATTCTTTCATTAGTTATTACATTGTATCTAGCTGTTTTTAAAATTTCATTTATTAATAATCTATTTGTATAATATGTTTAAAAAATTTATAATTTAAATTGTTTTATCTCTTTTCACTATAATCATGGATAAAAATTGTTGTTGGTATAGAGACGTTGCGTATAGAGACAGTAGTTGGCTCATGAAATTCTAAAAATATTGTTCGTGGCATACTATTGCGATGTACGTTATTAATTATTGTAAGTAAGCACTTTCCCATCTTCATGGCCAGTTTAATTAACCATGAAATATCATTGAGCTAGTTTTAAATTACGTGGTTTATTGTAACAATAGTAGGTCATAAATATTGGTAATAGAGGAGGAAAGTTGGTAGCGTGAGAAATTCTTGAAATGCTGAATAATAAATTATAATTTATAATGACTTTCAACAAAAGTTTCATCGTTACTTGATGAGTATTATGTACAAAATTCTTTTGAATAATTATTAAAAACTTTTATTCTCAATTGGTACCTCTCTTTAATTTATAAAAATATCTATTTACAAAAATGAATGTATTAATTATATTTATATCATTTTTAATTTTGAATAAGAATCTATATACCACCATGATCAAATATTACCTCTATTTCAGAACAAACTTTAATTTCAAAACTTAAACTTTCTATCCGCAAAGTTGTCACAGCAAAGAGGTGTAAGAGATGCAAATAGCAATCTCGCCAGGAAGAGCTTCCTAAAAACAGCACACGGTGACGAACACGGTGGTCCAAGTTCTTCAGTTTCATTACGAAGTTCCTTGAGTCTCTCTATCTACATATATCTAAGAACGCGAACCTTGCATGGACCGCAGCCGTGAATCATCATCGCATAATGTTACAATCTTCCTTCGATTTTTCAGCGGACTGGGCAGCGTGGTGGGATTGTTGAAGACCGGATCGAAGAACCTCTTCATGTTCGACGAGACTGGTGCTCATTACCAGCTAAAACCAAGATGCATTCTGGACTTCTACGTGCACGAGTCACGGCAACGCATGGGCCTTGGCAATATTCTCTATCAGCACATGCTCTCCGTAAGTGGTTACGCAATTAAATAGCTGTAATATAAATGATTTCAGTTGGCAGAAGATACGTAGAATGCAATTTAAAACTCAGACAGTGCAGCAAGGAATATGACATTGATAGTAAAAGTTTTGTTCAATGTTTTGGATTGTTTGTGAAATTTATATCTTTATGAGAACTGAGAAGAGCTAAATATCACAACAAGTATCATATTTTATACATTTTTAGGCATTATATGCGTTTTATGCATTTTGATACTTTGAATGGAAATATGTAATGGTTTATATGTAGAATTGTATATTAAATTAATGGTTTCAATCAACAGGAGGCTCACGTGGAATGCAAATTTAATATTCAGTGTTTTTGAAGGAAATATAGCAGGAAGGAATATATCTAAGATATTGATAGTAAAGAGGTTTTATTTCAATTAAACATACGATTGGTCACAACAGTAATTTAATACTTTGAGTTGAAATATTATATAATCATTTATGCAGCTATGAAATTATCTATTGATGGTTATAAATGAATAGTTCCAATTGGCAAAAGAGTCACGTAGAATGCAAATCTGAAGAGAGTATTTAATGATACAAATAATTTAATACCTTAAATTATTATAATCGTGAAAATTATGACTCAGATACGATAAATATGTTGTTGATAGTCATAAATATATCATTGAACACGGTGCGAATGTCGTTTTAATTTTGTTGAAGGTTACTGTTATTAAAAGAATTAGAATTTCTTATGATGTACCAAGGCCACAAATTATTTAGCTTTCATAATTAATGATTTCATACATTTAAATTAGAATAGGATAAAATGCACAAAAAATAATAAATAGCAAAAATAGAAAAATAAAAATTGCTATGCAGAATAAAATTTTAATATTTTTATTATTTGGTTTACGCTTAGCGTGATTAGCGAGATAGCATGTACATTGAATTTGAAAGAGCAAAAAATGAATTTACGAGAACGAAAAGAGCAGAAAAGTAGATTGGCCGGGAATTGACGTTTGTGGTTCTGTGGTATACCAGATTTTTTTCCCTCGTTCTGTTATGCTTGCTGCATTTCTGTCAGAATCACAGCAAGTGCTGTTGATTTACCGGCACGTGAATTCACCTCGTGCTTTCGTGCACGGTGCTCAACTAACACGATTGCCAGTCGGTGCGGTACTTTTCCGTAATTAAAGCTTATTAACCTCGGTTCAAGACATTCTACAGAGCCTGTTGTTAAAGTACGAATCATACCTTTCATTCCGTTTTCTTTAAAATTTCCATCAACAAAAAATATGCATTTTTACAAATGGAAAAAGAGAAACTTATTATATAACAATATTTCAGGCAACAATTGATTTTATAAATTAAATTTTTGATTTAAATAAATCCTTAAATAATTTATTGATTCTTTGTTGTATTAACATGTTCATTATATATCATATCATAGTAATAAGTTTGGGTGAGATATACACGTTATATCTGGTGTTTCTGTTGTGTTAATTCCTCCCTTTTGTTCTGTTCAATTTTGTTTTGCCTACGAGCGTTTGCGAAATGATATTTCGCAACGCTCGACTCAACAAGCAAGCAGCCTGGTTTTGCGTAAGATTTCTATGGAAGTGGTTTAGATCAAGACAGCTGGGACGCCTTTCTGCTTTTACTCGGGAAGTAATTACGTCTCGTTTACACTGTTCAACACGATTCACATCCTCTACGTGGGTGGATAATAATTTTGTACGCAGGACACGAACCGGTGTAAGCTGTTCTTTCGTTAAAGATTCACTCGCATAGTTCCAACTACATACCAGACTTCCGTTCCCTTTCCATCTTCGGTAACAGACGTTTCTGGCGTGTGAAACACTATGACGTTTGATATATAAATCGTGTACGATTATGGTAGATTGTGCGTTTAAAATAAAATCGAACATTCTTTTTTCTTTTTTTTTACATTGAGCAGACAGTGAACGTATATACACATTTTGCTGTATAATTTGAGCTTGATTGAAGGTGTAATTAACGTTATGTGATTGTAATATTATAATTGATAGATTTAATTATTTGTACATGTATTTAAATTAATTTATTATAGAGTTAATAGTAATTAAGATTAACACTGAACGATCTCAGAAACTTTTCTACAAATCATGTTTCCAAATTAGATTTTATAATCTTAATTTAGATTTTTTTAGATTGGAGGGATGATGGAGCAAAAGGGACACTATAGAATAAAAAGAGAAAGATGATAACAGGAAACAGGGAAGAAAGAATATGGAAGAAAAGAAGAAAGGAAAAAAGGGAATGATTAAAATAAAAGAAAACAAAAAGAGTAAAAAAAGGAAGAAAAAAAAGAAATAGGACTTACACATATATCTTTGTTTTTGCTAATTATATCATTCCAGTAAGAATAATTTAGTTCTCTATCATTTTCATACAAAAATTAAACTTTTATTAAATAATTACTAATTGTAAGTATAATTCGATTTTTCTTAACATGATTAAAGAGAAACAGTACTAAAGAACTTTTACACAAAAACATATTTTTTCTATCAATTTTGTTATTTATTCTAAATCTTTTGTCTATGAGAATTCTACCATTTTATCGTCCAAATATTTGTAAGAAAAAATTATATTACATACATGTGGATTGTTTAGTCAAGTTCCATGCGACAATTAGGAATGGAAAAAGGAACAGATGCGAAAGGCGTCTAGCTACGAGTAGAATGATGCAAAAGGCAACGTGTTACTATTCGTGTACCGTTACTACGGCAATCTAAATGAAGGATTTCTTATTTTTCCGTGCAGCTGGAACAGCACATAGACCGGAACGTAATATGGCCGAACACAAAGCCAGACCTTAAACAGAGTAATGATTGGCCTCCTTTATTTCTATCACACGACTTTCAACCGCCCTCCAATCTGTTTCTTGCTCATTCACCGATCAATAGTCATTTTCTTTGATTTTTCGTCCCATGTTCGAAGTTCACCGGCGAAATCGTAGCTCGCGTGCAATTCTCTAATCACCGTTTTCAATCTAACTGTACATACGCTTAACTGTCCATTGTCGAATGTTATCTCCTTGCTATCGCTCTAAAATCCATTTACTTCGTATTTTTCTTTGATGTTGGTTTGAATACATTTTCGAACATTCATATCATTAATTATCTTGTAACTATTTAAAAAAATTGTAAATGTCTATAAGCACATGCTGCAAAAAGTTCTTCTGTATACTTAAAAAAAATTTTTTCAATTAATGAAGGAAGTATCTAAGAAACATTTCGAAAGATAAGTAATAGTTAATTTATTTATTAATTAATTTAACTTAAGCCTCTCTGTATTTCACTGTTCATATGTATATATGTATTTCACTGATGTTCTATCTTTATTTCTTCCACTTTTCGTTGTGCTAAATAATTGATTACATAAAAATAGGAAAGGTAATTACATTGAAGAACATTAATTAAAATAAATATTAGTCTTAAAACCATGAAACTTGACTTTCATTTTCTTGCCATGCAAAAGATTAAAAAATAATATTAAATAGCAAGAGAAAATATTTGCACGCCTATAGGAGTTAATTTTCGTGATTCGTTCTCGATAAGAAGTGTGGCACAGTGTATAGTAGCAAATTAGTGGACGGTCTTAAAGAGGAGCGTGACAAAAGGTTATTACACGTGGGTTTTACGATCGAAAAGGTAACCCGAAAGGTGACTGAACTCACCTCTAAATTCTTTGCTGGACTCGTCTGAAAGAAATACCAAAAGATCATTTTTAAAAAATTAAGAAAACATTGAATTGTTTGAAGTGTCGATTATTATTTTTGTGCATTAATTATTATTTTTATTTATTTCCATAATAATAATACTTACGTGCAATTTTTCATTTTCAGGAAGAGGATATTAGGCCTGTGAAATTGGCGATCGATAGACCTTCAGAAAAGTTCCTGGCCTTTCTAGACAAATACTATGGTCTTTCGAAGATTATTCCGCAGAATAATAAATTTGTCGTCTTTCGAGGATTCTTCGACGACGGTACGTATTTTTTTTTTCTTTCCTTTAATTCTTTTCAAACTTTTGTGATATCAAGGCTAAAACTTATCTCTACTTATCTCTACTTGAAAAATTGTAGGAAGAAGAATAAAGAAAAATAAAAACACAATTATATTTTGTAGAAAAAAGAAACATGTTCTATAAATTCGTAGGCATCCGTATTCTAATTTTTTTTATTGAAAGATCGTTAAATAATTACACTAATTACTTCATCAAAGAAATAAACCTGACGCTTTGTTCGTTAACGACCACAGTGCTAGAATTTTCATTAGTGTGAAAAATAAATGTTGGTAAATCATTATAACACGTGTAATTAATCGATAATTTTATCAATGAAATTTATTTATTGAAATAATAAATTCAAAAAGAAATTGTCTAAATTTTTAAAAAAATTTCTGAAAGTTCTAAAGAAATTTTCAAATAAGAATATTAATTTGAACTTGAATTTGCTTAGTAAATAAATAAAAGTGAAATAACAATGAAAAGTTTTTAATTTATCAAACAAAAAAAAAAAAAAATAAGCAGCAGAAAAATAAAAGACTTAATTTTCGTTTTAATTGATACCATTTTTGACAAACAAAATTTGATGAATATTTCGTCTTGAAGGTAGCTCCATAAAAGTACAAGGTAATCCATGAATCCATTGTCGATCTGGTTTCAAGTTAAAAGATACGAGAATGGTGGAATGAAGGTCGAGGTTCTTCTTACGATTCGTCCTTCGCCGGTAGATGCCCTAAATCGGTAGTTTCTCACATGGAGTGGCATAAAATTGCGGTCAATGTCATCCTATGTAACAGCCTTATTATGTAAATCTCTTGATCGATTCGAAGCTGTTCTTAAATGATAAATTCGCTAACTCGACATTCTGTCGATTATGAATGATCTGATCCAATTTCCTTGACATCGGATAATTTATGGTAGGATATGAAATTGCCCGTTTTGAATTGTATACGTTAGTACGATTTCCATTTGAGGAAATTAAATAAAACTCGATAAGCTCGTTAAATTAATTGTTTAGAAATAAGGAATGCAATCTTTATTATTAAATTAATATTAATTTTTAAATTTACAGTAAAGTAATTTGACATTATTAAATTACTTTGGTTTCTTTTAATACTTTAGTATAACGCTGTTTAATAATATATTTGTTGTATATTATTTTGCAGAACGTCAGGATGTGAGGACTAATAGATACAGTTTACCTGCAAAGACCTCGGTTGATATTGGTGCTTCTAACGTCGTACATAATAATCTTGGGAAGAGTAATTCTAGGTATAAAGATTTTATTTGTACATATTTTTAGTTAGTTTTCTCCTCTCCCCCTGATTCTCTCTTTTAAATAAAAAACTCATATTAACAATTTATATCATGGTTTTAGCTTAAATGGTGTTCCATACTCTTCCTCCGTTTCACGCAGCTCGTTTGGTAGATACGCTGCAGCACGACCGCCTTGTTCCATGGCCAATGTAAGTACAACTCCACAGAACACCGAAGATCACCGACAAATAAAATGCACAAAAGCAAAGTACCAATTATAACTTAAGTTTACATTGTTTTATTCTTAAACGATAGAAATATAGATTAGAATTATTATATTCACTACACGTATACCTACATATATAAATTAAATACATATTTTATATTAATTTATACAATTGTAAATCTTGCAATGTTATCTAATGTTATATAATATTTTTATATTTATATAAACTTCTTAATTATTAATTGTTTTATGATAAAATTCTAACTATATTTTTTAACACAATAACACTATTCATAGCGGTGATAGTATTTCTAATGCCATGACTAAGAATGCATTAACGCTTTTTTTTTAGATAATCCATAATACTGCTGTGCTTGGTCCATCTGCCGAGCGTACTGGGTGAGTAAAATCAAAAGATAATCATCCAGATTATTCGATCCAGCAAAAATTGCTTACAATATTAATTAGTAGTCGACAAGTTGTTTGTACCTATGGAGAGGTGCAAAAGCTCTCTTCGACATCTGAAGCTTTAGTTAATTCTTCAATGGCCAGATAAGTTGTTCTAGATGAAGAATAATACTATTTTTAATTATATCAATGACTTAAATGTGCAATAATTGATAGCGCTGTACTAGATAATATTATTCATTGAGATTTTAAGATACTCATGGTTGGTCGTTAAAGAGTTAAGGAAAACATGAATAACACAGCAATACGCGATATAAACAGCTTTCACTATTTTTACACTGAATGTGTATATGCTACCTCTTGCCAGCGCACATTTGTACGCGCATCATAATGTTATACATATTTCCTGAATCTTTCTCTTGCTTCATTTCATCAATATTAGCCCAAGGTTTTAGGTTGATTAATTCGCTCCGATAAACAACAAAAACATGCAAAAATCTGATTATGTTGCTTCCATTAGTTAAAAAAATTTCAACATTTATTTAAGTATATAGTTAGGTATAGAAAAATGAACTTGCGTCTTTCAATGTCACAAATTCTTTATATATTGTATAATTAAATAATTGTGTGATGATATTAATTAATTTAATTGGCTGATAAACAACAATGGAAATTACTAATTAAACATCCTTTATAGCATTATAAAAATATTATAAAAATTGAAATATTGAAAAACCCTGTAAAGGATCTTTAATATTTAATTGAAAAAGAATGATTTGAGATACAAGTATCGTTTCATTATTTTATTTATAACGCACAGATATGTTTAATTTATTGAACACTTATTAGATTAATTTGCGCATGTATGTATGTATGTATGTATATAAGTTATATTTATTTATTGTGATATGTATCGATTATTTTCAATTGGCCACTCGCACCTGTGCATATGATTAAAATCTGTTCACCGGATATGCTGCATGGACTTTATATTTATTTCCTTTTCGTTGACAGATATTAAGCGATTTCACTTCCATGAAAACACCAGTTCAATATTCCCAAAATCCTCTGCACAATGGCAACACGTTCCTTTTACTCTTGTTTTCAGAGTAAGTAATTTCATTTGCGTCACTTGCGAAAGTTCTAATCCATGCATGACTCACTTTTTTAACAAAAATATTACATTCATTATGTTATTATATATTATATAGATATAAAATGATAATTTATTTGAAAAAAAAACATAAGAATATGTTATTTTATTTTGAAATGAAAATTAAATCATTCTCAAGTATTTTATATTTTAAAAAATCAATATCATAATATGTTTTGCTTAGTAAATATTCTTTATTAAAAAATCTAATTTTTTTTCATTTATTAATGTAAGTATAACATTTTAATAACATAAAATTACACGCAACTATAATCATGAAATGCATATTATTACCAGATGTATTTCCACAATATTTTCATGGGAAGTTACTTTTTCAGTGAGAAACCGAGCACACCGACTGCAACACAATTAAAACCGGAACGACCACGTTCGTTGAGTCTTTATTCAGAAGAAGAACAGAAGCAACGTACAAGTGAATTGTCAACAGTACCAACTCCTGCTTTACCGGACTATCAACCAACTCCTTTAACTACCATTTTACGGGAAACAGAGAAAACTGAAAATAATATAAAACCATCACCATCGTGTAGTCAAGAAGTAGCTGGTTCAAATCAACACAATAGATTAGATCTGAAATTCTACCACTCCCCTTTATGGTAAAAGAAAGCACTGGGACAATATTAGAATTATATCATTTGCATGTGCGATAAAATTAAGAATGCTTTATCTCTCAAAACAATCAATGGAAAGATTAATAATAAGCTTAATGGAAATTAAACAGCTGTGGTACTTGAGGAGAGAAATATGTACAATAACAATTGGAGAAAGCAACTCTTTTATTTTTTGTGAGACTAATTAACAAATTATTATTGATTATTTTGTATATCGTGAAATTGCACTTTGAGCAATAGATATAGAAACAATACTTAGATCATTATGACTAATAATTAAAACTTGAAAAGAAATTGTATAAGTTATATTTTCGTAATAAAATCCTAAATTTATGTCGATGATTTTTTCCAGCACTTTCTTAAGCTTTAATTAGGCTTAATATTACATTGAAAAAAGTACTGAATTTGAAATTAAACATTTAATCGATATGCTTCAGTTGATTGAAACGATGATAATATTGAAATTGTTAGTAAATTATTGTGATGAAACAGATTGAAATCGTAGTACACGACTAATATCGTGTAGAATGCATATATATATACATATATACATATAGGCTGGCTTGTAATTTTATACATAGATGAAAACGATACAGGACATTTTTCATATATCACAAATATAGCGATACGTGATTTGTATAATAAACTTACCATTCCTTTTATTTTTTTACATCACATTTTTTTTAAACTAATCTTAGAGAAATTTATTACTTTTTAACCTTGTCAAGTTCAATATTTTATTAGGACAAAGAGAAATTTTAGTACAAAATATATTTATTGATTATAAAAGTTTTGTATTTTCTATTATTAAATTCGTAGGAATCTATAAAATTATGGTGACGAAGTGGAACCTGAATATAAAATGAAATCGTCGTTGTCACTAAAAATATATCACATGATGAGAGAATAAAAATATATAAAATATAAAATATTGTGATTTTATTTCAATGATTGTATTATTTGGTATATTGCATTATTTGGTATAAATTTCTTCCATAAACTTCTAACATATAATAAAATAACACTTTCTTTCACTTCATAAAGATTGTTAGGTGCATTAAATTTAACTAAACGTCATATTCTGCACCATCTAGTTTCTCATCAGTTATCCAATACACTAAATTGGAACAAGTTTCAGGTTCTAAATATAAAAAGCTCATAAGCATTCCTTGTAAATAACCTACAAATAGTCCTGCAATAATATCAAGAATATAATGCCTTCTCATTAAAAGCCTAGACATAACTAGGACAAAAACCCATATTGATATCAGTGAAAGACAAATGTCAGGTACAGGCCACAAATATTTAAAAAAATAAAGGACAAGCATTGAACGAGAAGCATGACCAGATGGGAATGAATACTTGTCAGGTCCTATTGAGAAAGGATCGTCGTTAACTGCTGGTCTTCTTCTTCTTGTAGACGATTTCAATATAGCAATAACAATAATATCTAATATTAGGGCTAAAAATATAATAATACCATCAATAATAATAATGTTAAAAATTATTTTCTTGAAATATTATATTTTGATATTTGTTCTTACCTACTAATAAATTGACTTGCATTTGGTATAAACTTTTACTATTAAAAATCCAAATACATGCAAGTAATGATGCTATCCAGATTATTCCATGGCATGATATCTACCAAGATAACAAGTTTAAGATTAGAAATTATATCCATATAAAGCAATCTGATTTTTTATATTATTTTTCTTATCTCATTTGCATTAAAATAAAAAAAGTACCTCTAACATTTTGTAGTACAATTTTAATTTTGGCATCACATTTTCCACACTTCTCACAAAAATTTTTGTTACCCGAACATCAAGTTCCAATATGTTTCTTAACATTGTTGGAATTTTTCTTTTACGATGTTGAAACTGTTTTAAAGAAATATACATTTTATTATTTAATATTAAAAAGACATATTATTTTTAAAAAATACCTTGTTGCTCATGGTATATTACAAATTAATACAATTCAAAATAATCAAATAATTAATAAATATTAGTATGTCTCAATGTCCACTTAAGAAGTTGTTCCATGAAACTCTATTACAATATTTATGCTAATAATGCCAAGTATTATAATCTCGGATTCCATTTTATAACAATAAGATACATGAAGATGGCGACACCAGCGCCAGAAAGTAATTTGAACAGTTTTAAACTGACAATTTGGCGACAGTTGTACTTTCTGGTGTTACTTCACTTGAGGTTTTTCAAATTTTATATATACAAAAGATTATTAGTGTTGTCACGACGTACATTTTATCAATCAAAAGTTTCAAATACGGATAATCTTTAGTAAAAGATGCAGAAAGATCAGCCGGAAACACCAAAACTGAGACGAGTTAGAAGGTAAAAACTGAAATACTATATTTTTTCCAGTAATGATTTGTTTCGTATATTTTTAGGCTACAGAAAGCTACTACACCGGAACTATTAAGAAGAAACACAACAGTAGATATCACAACAAATGTTCGTGCAAGTAGCTCTCAACATAGGACGACAATGGCCCCAAATGACTTTTCTTTATCACAAAGTAAAAATTCTTACCTCAATCTCCTATAATGAAGTTCTATAAATTTAAGTATCAAATACATATGTGATTTAGATTTTCCAAAGAAAAAATCTGCATTGGATCGTACCTCAGTATTCCCTACACAATCATTGATGGATGGAACAAGAATGATGGACTCAGATTGCTCTGATATGGAATTAAAACTTCTTTATGATCAGTACTTGCAAAATACTATGACAGAAATAATCTTGAAAAAAAAAACAGAAGAAAAGGAAATGTTATTTTTATCTCAGTTAGCCACAATAAGTAAAGAATATGATCACAATGAGGAGAAATTATTTAAATTAAAAACTAGAGAAAGAGATATAATAAATTTGTCCAAGATACAAAATGAAATCGATTCACAGATTAATGATGCAAACAATTGTACTAGTAAGTATTGCCTAAAAATTGTTTTAAAGTATCATTCAAGTAGATATATATTCTTGAAAATAATTAAGTTTGCTTTTCTTATAGAAGAAGAGAAGAAAAAGTTGCAAAAGACATTGTCTCAGTTATATAATATTTTAGAACCTCTAGATGAACTTCGTTGTGATAATATAGTTCTTCCTGAGACACCTGAGGAATGGGAAAAAACAAAAGAGACTTTAAAATCATGTTCAGAGACTTTGAAGCACATCATGGATTTGATTGGAACAAAAAGTGAATCATATCAACGTGTTAATAAGGGCGTTAAGGAATTTGTGCAGACATTGAGTGATATTGAAGATAATCAGAAAGAGTATAAAATAACAAATTTTCTACTATTCAATAATTATGTTATGTAATATAATTGCTAATGTAATATCATTATTTTTACAGGTTGGAGAACAAACTTTGCAATCTGCAAGCTCTTGTATTGAAAACAGCATCCTTGTCCTTAATGCAAATCCATAATTGATAGGTATTAAATCATATTTATTCATATATTATTATTATATAATATATTTGAGGATTGCTCATTTATGCACAAACATTATATATTTGTAATATCTAGTTTATAAGGAAAAGATTGCTAAGCATCATGGTTATATGTTTATAATAAAAGCTAAATTAAAATTTTATTTGAAATTCAGATATTACTTTTATATTCAAAGAAGATGAAAGCATTCGTCAATTCGTTTACACAAACTCGACGATTTCACTTTCTGAACAAATACTATCGTATATGATAATTCAAGCAAGTGTCGCCATGTTCTGGGAATTAATAAAAGCATTTAAATTAATATCACTGTCATTGTGTCGCTATACATTAGCTATTGACTACTATTCGTTGTATCAAGCACAAAGAGGTAATAGAACAACACGGGAAAGGCTACAACTTGTTTGGGCGTAATTAAGAGTACCTATCTTTACAGAATTTCACGATACACGATGTACCCTTAAACGAGGATAGCGCTGTCGACGGAATTCCTTTGAAATCAGCTCGTACTCGCTGATTGGCGAGCTAGAAAATGGGGTTGGAGGCGCGTGTACGCATGACCGCGACCTCTCGCCATATTTAATTTTTCCCAAATTTTGCGAGCCAGTGTCGCAAGGAAAATCGAAAAAACAAAGATCATTTACGCATGGATGATCAATTGAAAGGATGCGTACAGAGTGACGAGACGCCGTTGACGAAGTATCCGAGGATATCGCGATGGAGAAAGCGCGGCGCAGGTCGCGTAACTCGCGTGCATCCAACCCCCGCGGATTTTTCCTCGCCCGCGCGCGATTTTATTCTGCGCATGGAAAGCAATTTTGCCCAATCATAAATAGGGCTATTGTGGGGGGATGGTGTATGCTGCTGGCGCATTTCATACATCCGAGTGTAATGGTAACCAGATAGAGGCGTCGCGCGGGGCTATCGGCCGGTTAGCATCGTAAATACTTACTACTTACTTCCGGTGAAAAATTTCGTCTCCCTTCACCTTATTCTTTTTCCCTCGTTCCATTTCATCCCTATCTTCATAGCATCATTATTTTTTTTTCTAGTTTTCCATCTCTTTTTATCTGTCCCATGCCTGGTTTTTTTCTATCTCTCTCATTGTTTCTCTCTCTCTCGCTCTCGCGCACAGTATTTTTTTTCTCGCGGCGTGGAAAGCTTACGTATGACGTACTCTGTGCACGGAACGGAAGTAACACGGCGTGATGCACGACACGTCGCACGCGCGCGTGCTCTCTCTCCTCTCTCTTTCTCTCTCTCTCTCTCTCTCTCTCTCTCTCTGTCTCTCTTACCTACGTGCGTGTGTGTGCTGCGGTAAATCGTGTTTGTGCGTGTGAGCGTACACAACTGAGCGAGTGATCTGTGACGTCAGTGGTCCGATCGGTTGTCACCTGTCAAGTCAAACTTGTATTCCTCGAGTCTTACCTCGAAACTTTCTCACTCTCTTTCTCTCTCTCTCTCTCTCTCTCACACGCATCCTCCTTTCCCTCTTTCTCTCTCTCTCTCTCGTTCGCACACACTCTTTCTCTGATGTAACCCTTCTTGACGTTCTAGTGTCCTCTTTTCCACCTACACACACGCGTTTCCATCCCTAACCGCATCTCTATCTCTTGCCCTCTTACTTTTGCTCTCTCTTTTATTCCGTTGCACTCATACTAACCAGCCTCGTGCCGACCACGCAATCCGATCCATTTCTCTCCCCCTGCTGTCTCCCTCTGCTCCGCGAGTACCAGCAACTAACCCCCTCTCTGCTTAACCCTCGCGGTTCCTCCCTCTCGCCCTGTCGTTTCTTCCATCCACCCACCGTTCTCTCCCCCGCACCCCTATTTACTCCCCCTCTTGCTCTCTCATCACTGTGCCAGCTTCCATCCTTGCCCACCCATTTTCTCTCACTCTTTTCGGTTGGTAGAACCAGTGGCGTAGCCAGCAACGGGGATTTCCCTCTTCGCTGGAAGGGAAACGTTTCCATTCATCATAAGATACGCCGCGTCGAATAACCGATATTACCCGCTATGATATTCATCCGTAACCGATATATCTTGGAAAATAGAGAAAGAAGAGTATATCTATATGTCTGAAAGAGAGAAAAATACACAAGGTACCATATACATTTATCTGTCTTACAAATCCAAGAAATATCATCGTGTGCCACCCCCTCCCTCCCCCCTGACGTATGCGCGTATACGTGAAAGAGTTCACTCCGAGGGATGGAAAACGGCACATGCTCGAGCTACACCACTGGTCAGCTGCGTGTATCTATTCGTCCATCTCTTTCGAGCTTCGAAAGTGCTCTCTTACCGCGGCCTTCCCTTTCCCCCTGTCCAGGCTGGTAGCAGCCACCCCCGCGCGCGTGGTGGTTCGCCCTTCCTGGTCGCCTCTCTGTCGGGCCGAAAAGCGTCGCTTTGAAGCAACGAGAGCGCGACTGGCACCCACACCAACTCCTCCCACCACCCACTTCGCGTTGGTCGCCGGGCTTGCCACCCACCGATATACAGCCCGCTCGCTCCGCTCGCCGCGACGACCGCAGACACAAAAACAATAACAAATCGATTCGCGAGGGCAATGGGAAGGGGTCAACGAGAGGTAGGACGACGAAGAAGAGAGGCACGGGGGAGGGAGAGCGGGGTAGCTCTGTACGTATATCTCTCTCTCTCTGTCTCTTCGGCTTCTCCCTTCGTCCCACTCCGCTCTCTTTCCCTCTCGTTCCTCCCTCGTCCCTCTTTCTGGATATTGTATAGAGAACGTTATGCTAAAGTATGCATGCACGAGGGTCGGTCCAATGGTCAGGAATCTCGCGAGTTCGTTCTGCGGCAGCACGTATCCGGACGTATTTCTCTGTACCCCGTCCGTGCCTCGTGAGGGAGAGTCCGCGTGCACGTTACTCTCGCGTACCGCCGGTACTGCGTAACTTCCGGTCGACCGGCAAACCTCCAAGGATCGGCTGTGCTTCTTGATACATAGTAATAGGAAAGCCGGGGAGAAGCGTGCCCGGGGGATGATTTACCGTAATGACGATCGGCCTGAATTGCGGTAGGCCACCGGACGGGCATCCGTAAGAAGGAAATCTTTCATTATATAGCTCTCTCATTTTTTGAAATTTTTGTTTATACCGTTTGCTCGATGTTGGACATTAGGTTGGACACACACACGCATACACACACAGACACACACACACATACATACATACACACATATACATATGTAGCTTCGAGGATGTTTCCTTTTTTTTGTTTGCCAGTCTAATCAGCTTGTTTGCTCCAGTCTGTTTGCAAATCGTCTCCCTTGATTCGTTTGGACAATTGTTTCTTCTTGTTTTTTTTCCTTTCTTTCTTTGTTTCTTAATGTAAAGTTATTGTTCAAGTTGTTTGCATGATGATTACATTTATGGTACAGTAGATATTGCAAATTGACATTAACAGTCGATGAAGATACTTATACTTAGTTCTCGGTATTAACGATTTTTATTTAATGTGCCCAGGTTCTTTTTTTTTTTCCTTTTCGCTAGAGTATTTGTTGTTTAATGAAGTTTTCTTTTTACCGTTCTGTTATGTAAATGGTAGTTTAAATCGGGAAATCTGATCCTGAAGGACTTCTCTTTCTCATCGAAATACAATGTCAGTTTGTTATACGCGCAGTATAGATCTCCTGTTTGAAGGAGTTACCGATCTCCGTGACCTAATATCGCGATACTCAAGACTCCAGTATTATACCTTACGTCATCTTTCTTTCATTCTAAAAGTTCTTTCAATATTATTAGACACTCGAAACACGTTCATAGCTATATTTAATTTATTTCACATCTTCTTCAAATTTTGCAGCTCGTTCTTGATAAATATGTTGACTGATATTATCATTTAATAGATTTTCCAATTTGTACATCAAGATTTTCCATATTTCTTAAATCTGACCAATTACACGTGGACCATCACATTCCCGTTATTTTACGCTGCAAACAAACCTGCGCCCATTTCGCCAAATTATCATCGGAAAAAATCCGCGATACTTACGCGTTAACTATCCGAGAGGTAGTGTGACAATCGTTTCGAATGACGATACGCAACCTTTTGATTTCCGGGTTTTCTCTACTTTCGTCAAGAGATTCGCATTTACATCTATCGCGTGCCGCGAATAATTTCGATTGCGCAAAATTATGAAAAGAAACGGAAATTCGGTAGACGGTCACTCGAGTAGAATGTCCGTTTGCTGCTTGATTTATGAGATAATACGCAGAATACCGCAAACGACACAGCGGCAAATAAATATATTTCCTCATTTCTCTACTCGTCCGTTTTGCCCGACCTGATGCGTCCACAGCACGAATCGATAAATTGTACAACAAATAATCCCATCTGCGAAGGATATTTTCACGTTATTTTCTTTAATTCATCCGCTATTGATTCGTCCGTCTTCTTTCGCTCCCCCCCCCCCTCCACCCTTCCCCTTACCCCTTACCCCGCCCCCCTTCTTTTTGCATTTTCGAAATATAATTCACCCCATTACACGTTTCACGTTTCGCTACGTTCGATGTCAGCGAGCAATTATTAATTTGAACGTATAAAATTGTCTTGCTGACATGTCCGTACGAGAGAGGTACCGATCGATCGACTTATTAACAGAGATATTTGTTGCGTTATTTTTACGCGAATCACCGGCGAACGCGAGGTGAAACGGACGAGAGGACCGAGCACCGAGCACGTAATCAGAAGTCCTCCGGTTCATTTGGGAAATTTTTAAACGGGGAACGAACGGGTCATTAAAATGATTACCGTTTCACTGGACGATCTCTCCGCGCAGCAATGAGCTCCGCGTGCAGCAACTTTCGCGAAATAATGAGTTTCGAACTCGTCCATCGTCGGATCTATTTATTAAACATTACAAAACGCGTTGCAATTAAGTGGCGCGCTTCAGGCTACACCGGGTTCCACGGGTTCGAGTTTGTTCGTTTATTTTTTTCGTGTCTTCTTTCTTTTTTTTCTTTTTTTTTTTTTCGTCTCCTTCCTACCCGCCGCGTTTCTGAAATACTTCCACCTAGGGTGGAGAATTAACGACAGACCATGGGCAAATAGTGAGTTAAGCGTCGTGCGCGAGAAAGAATTCCGTTTGACGATTAATCGTGAAATGAAATCGTATGGGAAGAAACGCATCAGCCGGCATCAAGCCGAAAGAGGATCTTCCGCTTTCGTTTGATAATTTTCGACATTTTCACCTGAATTTCTGCGCCCGCACAGAGACGAATGCAATTTTATCTTTAACTTTGATCCCCGCGCCGCGTTTGAACAGACGAATTCTGAAATTGTACGCGTTTTCGCGTATCTCATTACGAAAATCTATTGTAATTCCCCATCCTCGTGTCGACTTTTGTCGCGGTCCGTTCACGCTCAAAAGCGTTCACGCTCCCGCCGGATGAATATTATCTTCGTTAATTTATTAAGTATCACATCGAAAGCACGACACGCTAAAAATCAAACGTATTAATGCACGCGCGATAATTACGATGTCATTGCGCACAGTTGCGAATTATTTTTCCATTGGCTGTCGGTTGTCTATTTCTTCTATCGTCCTCTGTTTCTTTTTTCTTCGACAAATACGTTTTCTACGCTTTTCTACGAACCTTTTAAAGATATGGATTTATTCTCAGAAACTGTCTGATAAATACGCCAGTATTCTCGCGAAATTATTCTGCGATACTCGTAGAAATCTTTTATGATTATATATTACGCGCATCGAAAATTTGCTTCGATTGAGATTCGATTATTACAATTACATCGATGATGTTTGGAACAATATCGATATCTGAAAAATAGAAGTTGGAGGTTGGAAGATATTTCTTTAGACAGAATTACAGAACTATTTAAATAATTACTTCAATTTTCCATTTCTCGAGATCGCTATCGATATTCGTATACTTGTTAAAATATATTGCAACATTTATAATTTATCGTTAATTTAACAGTGGTGTTAATGCTGCAAGTGAAATTTGAAAATGCCTCGTACAAGGAATGTAATATTAATCTCTCATTCTTCAAGATCCACCGTAGCCACGTTCCCCGAAACTTCTTGAACCCTCTCACAGACGATTCCCAAATGATCGAGGTAGCCACTAGACGTTACATATTTCATTGAAGAGCGTTCTATTTCAGCGATGACCGCATAATGTCATCTATCTTTCAGCCGTCTAATTTCGACTAGTCGCGGAGCGTTACATAGACACGAGGATCGACAGCGGGAAGTGAATTATGAATATCGTCTTTTCCATTATCCGTGTCTCTATTTTAAGTATCCCTTAACCAATTATCGGCGGAAGTTTGAGAATAGCTCAATCCGCCACGTTCTCCGCCGTTTCCAACGGTGTTATTTAAAAACCTTCGTGTTTCGATTACCGATTCTTCCTACGAGAGGAGTTAGGGGCTGAAAAGAAGAGGAGGAGCACCATTGGCGAAGTATTCATTGATCCGTTTAATAACCGCGGTTCCAGATGGAATATGGGATCTGGAGTTTTCACGCCGCGGGTGAACTTTGGGGTGACCCGCGTCTCGCCCGAAGGCACCCGATTCTACCACCAAGTGCGACGCAGTTGCTACCGAGGGCCGCGTTCGCCCTGAGCGGCCTCCACCGACCGGACATGGTGCCGTTACCGTTGACTTCCGCCGGGCCGCCGTACGGACCTATGGAACTAGTTACGAAACGGGACGGCGAACAGGATGCCGAGAAGAACGAGGAGAAGGAAGAGGAGAAACAGGACGACAACGAAGGGAACATCGAACGAGCGGACGAGAATGATAATCAGGTACGATTTGCGATATTTTTCAAGGTGATATTTTTTAAGGTTTAATGTAAAAGAAAGCGATGAAAAGTTTATTAGCAGAATATACAATTAATATTTAAGGACGTTGCATATCTTTGATGTGAACGTATCTTGAATGAATATGAATGAGGATCAGGCACTCAAAATGTGATGTCAAGCTAAATAAACAAAAAAATTGATTATGTTATACAATTACTGTAATTATAGTTACTTTTGCTTCAAATGATTCGTATGAAGGGCACACGAATTTAATTAGGATAAATCATCTTCTATTGGAACTGACTGGAGCTGTTCTTCTTATCAAAATATTTGATCACTAATTATATTACTAGTGGCTAAATTGTTTATCGTACAAGGTATTATTTAATTTTTCCAGTTTTGAAGTAGTATTTGAAGCAATATTTCTAAGACCTTTTTTGTATGATACTTGAATTCCTATGTAGTAGAATTTTACATCAAGTTTCTCTTTGAGTATAATAATAGAATTTCAAGTAATCAACGATATTTGTTGTAATGCTTCAGAAATATTAAAAACTCCATCGATTAAGGTAACTACTAGAAACTCCAGTTAATACGGATAAACTGTAATTTGATTTCAGTACAAATTGTATGTCGATAAAAGATTCCTCCTGGGAAAATTGAATAATACCTGCTGTATTTTATAGGTTTGCATTGTGCAGTAAGTAAATGTTTATTTCAAATGATGTTTTCATGTTTATCTCAACGTGATGTAATAATCGGAAACGCAGCAGCCATTGTACACAATAATTTACGAAATTTTCTATCGTTTTGGTGTACCGCAAATACAATATTGTTGGTAATTTTATCTTTGTCGGTATAGTAATAATTCCCTGAAACGAAATAATTCCTTGAAATTTTGATGGGTTTTGCAACATATTAGAAATATCATCAGGCAGGCGTAGATAATCTTTCGTGAAACTTCAATTTTCAAGTCGCAATCGTAAAACGGAATTTAAAATTAAAATTAAAGAAAGGATCTTTATTAACGGCTCGGATACTTGAAATACACAAAGAACACGAGATTCGAATTCTTTCTTTCTTAAGAAAAAATTCTACCCCTAGTCTATTATATATTTTCAATATGCACCCTCTTGTGTGTAACTTGATTTTCCTTCGTAGCATGTTCCAATCTTCACCAACATTGCAGTTAGCTTTATCAAGAATACTAAGACTTCCTGTTATCCCGTTCGCTCGTGATTAAGCCACTTGGGTCAGAAAACTTTCCAAGTAGCGTGACCAAAGTTTATACTTGAAATATTCGGTTGCCGTTTAATTTCTAAAGGGGCGTATAATGAATTCTTCCTGTCTGATCACGCAGACTTCCACGCCGAAAGAAACTAACGACAATGAGGACGCCGGTGAGGAAAGCGATACTGGAAGTACAAACAGCTCGCATCGCTCGGCCAACAATAATTTATCCACGAAGCTGCTCGACCCCATGGCCTATCTGACTTTTGACAAGGTTCGTCCAATTATAAAATGTACCAAACTACATATATTAATTTACATTCTACATCTGAATACCAGTTACAGTAAAATATATTTTAAAATGAGATGGCTCATTTTATTCATTTATATTCCATATTTTTCACATGAGTACAACAACTCATGACTCAGTGATAATATAATTATATTATATAAATATAATATGATATAATTATAATATAATACAGTTATGATATTACATAATATAAATATAATACAGTACAATTATGATATTATATAATATAAATATAATACAGTACAATTATAATATTATACAATATAAATATAATACAGTACAATTATAATATTATATAATATAAATATAATATAATTTATGGAAATTGTTCTTTAAATTCTTATGTAACATTGTCTAATCTATCTAAGTGTTTACGTGGCTAAACAAAGCTAAAAGAGAGATTGCTTTCGTGACAGGATGGAACAGTTACACCGGTTCTAAATGGCTGGGTCCTCGGTGCTTACACCGCCATGCTTGGAAGGCTTTCAGCAGCGACCGCGGCCCTCGAAGCTACAGAAATCCCAAACATTCCGTCTGACAGCGACTCTGAGAGCGAGCATTCGTCTTACACCGAGAAGTACGCGGCTCTTTCGGTTATCAACGTTAACTTTCATCGAAATCGAGACCCGTCTCAATGCTTTACACGGTAACGTACTTAACTCGGTGCCTGTCTAACGCGACATCGGAGCGTTTAAATTCTTCGGTTACCACCACGGTGCGTGGCCAGATAAGAAAGTTAGAGAACGAGACGAGGAAACGGAATTACGTATGTATGTACATGTGTGTATGCGCGTCGTTGCAAAGAGATGTTTGAGCGCAAGGTTTTTATTTAACACGCGGCGGAATCGATAAAACGAGACCAATGAATCTGTCCGGTTGGAGGGCGAATCTTCCTCCCTGTGTTCAACAATGCGAACGCGTTTCTGATATTTCAAAAATTCAAAGATAAATGGACGTCGTAAATCAACAGTTTTGAAGGATATTGACCAACCGTTGAGTTACGACCAGTCCGTGAGCAACGATTACGAAATTTAAAGAAATAAAAATAAAAGGAGCTTTTTAATTCCGCGGCATTGGATGGAATGACTTTGTTGTTTTATACGTCTCTTGCACTGTGATTTATTCTTTCTTTTGCTTGAAATGATAAACGTAACGAAGACACAAAAAAAAAAAAAAAAAACAGAGAGAAAGAGAATATTAGAGAGAAGGAATCTTTGTATGAAAATTTGAGAAAAAAAGTAATTCAAGACATTAGGATGAAATTAATTTTCCTAATTCCTCCGGGTCTTCTTTTAATCTCTATTTTTAACAAAACAAAGACTCCAAGACTCTTGAGCCTATAAATCTAAAGACTCTTCTCTCTCCAGATTTTTCATTCCGTCTAAATCTTTATTTGTTATATTTACTATTATCTGTAGACTGTAGATATCTACGTAAATTAATTTAAATTTTTACCAATACGAATTTTACTGTCTATAAAATTCTTGTAAATGCGTGAAGATACTATATTCCCGTTTGAATACTGAAATTTTTGATACTCTTCTCAGATCTCGAGGTAGCAGCCCGAACGTGAGCAATGCGCATCGCGGTTATTCCTGTGGTTCCTGCGACGTGGTTGCGCCGACGAGGCCAGCTTTGCGAAAGCACATTGTCGATTGTCATCCGCCAGTACCCAGCGCGGAAACTGGGGAAACGAAAAGTTGTCCGTCCTCGGGCTGTGATTTCACCACGAACAGCAGATGTGAGATGGAGACTCATGTGGCTGCGCACGTGGCACAGGGGATGACACCCACAGGAAAGAAGCGTACACTGGCTTTGCAACGCGTCAGGTATAGGTACTTAGCGCTTGTTTCAATTACTGTACTTATCGTATTATTAAATCTCATACTGTTTGAAGTAAATCAGAGAATCCTCCAGCAGATTGTTACGTTGAAAGATATCAATATTTGATTACGGATTGATAAAGAAACTCACTAATTACTTCAAACAATATATCGTTACGATCGATTCATTCTCTGTATACAAATTTATGTGTAATATTCAACAAAATATTGTTAAACTTAGAAGTTTAACAATGGAAGAATTAAATTATGAAGTTGTAAACTTCGTTACAATAACTTCATTTTTTGCAGTTATATTTACTTGAAAACATAGACATCAATCATTCTTGCTACAAACTTACCAATTATCAAAATGAATCGATGTAACTACATCGTGACCGAAGCGTGTTCGTTATCAAAATTAAGTAACCAAAAATTCGACTCTCGTTGAGAAGGACTTGGTAAATTTGTATGATTCATTCGGATGTCGTTTTATCTCTGACATCAGCCAAGTTGTTCCGACCTTTATTGTACGTTTGAATGCGCAGATATGAAAGGGAGGAGTATCGGTGCTCGTTGTGCTCGTACGCGTGCACCATCGAGAAGGCGTTCCAGAGGCATTTGAGAGCACACGCGAAGGGCACAGCGCCGGAAACGAGGGTGAGCTGCGCTGTCTGCGGCGCGGACAGATCGTCGGAAGTGGATCTGAGCAGGCACATGAGAAGGCATCGCGACGACCGATACTTCTGCTGCGACATTTGCATCTTTCGCACGGTGCAGTTGAAAAAGGTAATAAAATCTCGCTGGGCACAAAGGGAGAGACGATGATGCGCGCAGAAACGGGACAGCGAAGCAAAACCAATGAACGCCGATTGTTTTCAATTCTCGTTCAGTGAGTGAAAAGCTCGTATAATCCCTGGACGACCGTAAATTTTACGATACGTACCTACTGGCGGTCCATTGAATTTTGTAGAACGGTGGGATGATATTCTACCTTTATCTGTAAATCAAAACTTTCTGGTATACGAATTCTGTGTGCGAATCCACGGATTTATCCGACGACTTTCTAACGATTCTTGAATATATTCAAGACCTGGCCATGCATGTACGACACTGGCGTAACGTTCGAGTGATCGCAATGAAAAGCTTCAGTGAACAAGATATTGATGTTAAATTCAAGATGTCAGACTATTGTTTCGTGGCCGCATGAATAACGGCCGACAAGATTGCGTTACATAATAGAATCGCAATTTTCAGTAATGACCTGTACAGTGGACTGTGATTTTAGATATAATATTTGATACATATTAATCACTCGAATCATGAGAAAAATGTACTATTAATTATAACTCATTATAATTTGTTATGTATTCATTATCATAATCCATTATATATATTCATTATATGTTGACATGATTTGCATATTGATACGAAGCTCCAAAGAGAGATCGCTTAATTATTTGTTTATAAATTAAAGTTCATTATACTTTTATTAATACGCAGAAATCACTTGTGAAGAGACAAAGCATCATTTCTACCAAGTGATATCAATCAGATCATCCCTGAATTTTATGCTATAATTATATTTCAAATATTTCATTAAAAAAATCACAGTCGCTGCAAGAAGTATCTGCACGCTATATTGATTAACTAGATTCAAATCAAAAAATGAAAGACACTTCATTGGGATAAAAGTATAGAAACATGAGCAAATATTTTTTGTAGTGTCTACACTGTACGTGAAATAGCATCAAGCATAATTTATCCTCTTTCTTGTAACTTTATTTTTACACCTACTCAGCTAATTTAACACGTGTCTATCTACGTTTACACGCAAGAACAATGATTTTCTATCTTTGACCAGCTCATCCAACACCGACGAATGCACACGGGCGAGAAGCCGCACCTTTGTCCACATTGCGCGTACAGGAGTGCACGTCGTGACAATCTACGTAGTCACGTAAGACGAGTGCACAAAAAGGAGAATTTATATTGCGATACGTTCAGTCCACGGGGCATGCTGTTGACGCCTACGATCGGGAGAGACAGCCCTCTACAGAGCCCGGAATCCTCGCCGTCATCTAACTCGGAATCCACGAACTAGCGAAGCAACACGCGGCAGGAAGCTTGAAGAGGAATCTCGATGTTCTCGCCGGGGATCGAGCGGTTCGTCGTCGTTTTACACGTCCTAACTTTGTCAATACTGCGACTTATAAATATTACAATGGGTGGAGAGAAGATTTTACATTGGCAACGAAGATCGTGTCTGTCGCTGTTTTAGCTGCTTCGAGAGGAGAAGCGTCACTGTCACTGATCGCTTGAAAAAATATACCATAATTTCGGAGTGTATAATTTTTTAAGAGGTCAGACGATCGGATCGGCAACTGAAATTAACTGAAATTAACTGAAATTAACTGAAATTAAATTTATTTAAGCATTTTTTTTTTTAAATGGATTCAGTTTGGCTGAAAGATAGAGGAAACTTGAAGTTACATAGATACTTAATATTTGCAACGAAAGATTTAGTAACGGCGAACATAGTCAGAAGTTGTGAAGTTATGGTAATCTTAAAGTCTCAGTCTCGTCGTTTCTTGAAGAAATTCCAATGTTTAACTCGAGCTATATTGCACAGTCTTAATAATAGATAATGCAATACGCGTACGAATAAAGTCAAAAAGAAGGATATCGATGATAGAGTGCAACTTCTGGCTAGTCACGATCGACCTTGCCCTTAATTAATAGGAATTATGTAGAGAATTGCATGCGAACGTCGATAATTCAATCTAATCTTCGAATTCTAACGTGATCTTATTATTAGCCGATTTAATTATCGAAGTCTCTTCGTTGATCAGAACGTTGATGAACGAAGCTAAAGCTGCGCAATGGTGCTAGAATCGTAGACTGGATTATAGAGGAAGACTGAAAGTAGATGCTTTCACGGTGTGACTGTCCTTTGTTTCACCTTACGCCGTGATTCAGATATAAAATCAGCGATTATTAAGACTGCTGTCCTGTACTGATGGCCAAGAGATGCTCGTGTTGCATCGATACGTTTTACAATTAATTAATAATCGAATACCATTCGAAAAGAAAAATCAGGAGTTCAGCAGTCAAGATGAATTTCATGTGCAAATTACAGGAGAGAAATAAGTACACATACAATTTTATTGATTTCCTGATTTTAACAGCTCTGCACCTTTATGATTAAAGAGGAGAATTAAATTTAACACGACACGTCAGAGTCATTATAATTAATAATGTTTAAAAAATTTTTGAAGAAACAAGAAGTAATAATTTATAATTCTTCTTCGTCTGTACTCTCCGTGTTGGAATCGTTGAATTAAATTTGTAAAAAAAAAAAAAAAAAAAAGAAGAATTAAACGTATCGATAATACTGTATTTACGTAACAGAGAATCTCTGTGGCCTCTGGGAAAGGTGCTATTTTGCAAAGATAATTTTACCGTTGCGTCCTTCCATATTTAAGCTTCTGCTGCACTTATGATTGTCCAGCTATCGTAATTATGATCGTTAACGGTATTATTGATAATGATATACATTGTTATTCTTATTACTGGTATTAGCGTAACGCGACTTATGGTACTATTCCTACGGGATAATCGGAATCGCAACGATATATGTTACTATGTAATAGGCGTGTATACGGTGTGTTCGTTAATTGAGGAAAGAGTAGTCCGTGGGAAATTTTATCGAATTTTTCATAGAGATAACGATAAGCGGCGTGAAAGTCTTCTGTTTGCCGTCGATGAATATAATATATGTTCGCTTTTAAATAACTGAGGTAACAAGAGAAAGAGGCAAAAGAATATGACGAGTAAAAATATATGACAACAGCGTCGTTCAACGTTTTTCTCACGTGTTAAATGAAAACCGAAAAAAAAAAGAAAAAATACAAAAAAAAAAAATAGCTAAGGAATCGTACAAGCGTGTGCATTGAGCACAGGAGTGCAGGACTTTCCAACGAAACTACAATACGCAAGCAAATTTCTTATGTGTCTCAAGTATAACTCTAAGTCGAAAACCTATGGTAGTACCAAATGCAAACTATTAAACAATTTGTCGTCTCTGTAATAAGCAAATTCACCGGCGTTCCCTCGGGAGTGTCGGTTTTACTCTATCCTCACTTGACGCCTATGGAAATTATTATTAAAATATCCGCAAATTTTTTCTCTCTTTAGGATCGATGACCGTCCCCGAAGAAAATGAAAGAAAGAAAGATAGGAGAAACGATTCGATTGTGTGTCGTGCATTTTCTGCAAGGAAAAAAAGAAAAAGAAAAAATGAAAGGGGGAGGCGATAAGGCGAAGCCCAATATACATATAACATAAATGTGTGTCAATTTTTAATGTATCATAACTACGTTCTAGTCGATAACGATTTTTATGGGGGAGGGGGAGAGAGAAGGAGGAGGAGGAGGAGGAGATAACAAGGCACGGGAAGAGAATCTATGGCTCTTCGATGCGCAACGTTATGGCTGCGATTAGTAGATACGCTACGTTTTTTCTCGTCCGAGACGGCTATTTTTCGCAAGAAAATGAATAAGATGCGATTGAATGTCACGGCAGAGGAAAATTACTACGATTGATCGACCTGACGGAGCTCGAAGGAACGTTAAAGAAGAATTATTTGCTCGAACGATTTTTCTAATCAACGAATCATAATCTTTCTCATACAATTAATCATCTACAATCTATTTCTTTTATAATTAATTTTCGAGAATTTATTTATGATGTTCTCGCTGATTGGTTGAAATTATACAGAGTTCATCAAATGGAACGCCGTCTACATTAATAATTTCTAGTCTCTAAATATTTAACATTCCCGTAATTCAATTACAATTCGATCAATCGTAAGAGAAATCAACAACATCACCCCAGAACTGTCTGTACCATTCTCTCTGTCTGCCACGATACGATTGTTACGTGTACAATACTTATACTTATACTTTCTTGCTTTTTGATATGCGTGCGTTACATTCGAAACGATATACTTTATATTTGTGAGACGTTTATTCCGACGGCGTGCGCGGCGAGTTCGCGATTATCTTTTTCACAGATTTACTATGATTTCACACACTTCGGTACGATACGTGTTGCAACCATGGCTCCCTTGGATCGCTACGCGAAACGTGAGCAATGGGAACCGAACAGATAGAGCTAAGGGAAAAGATCGTCGTCTCTTTCGTTTTTTTTTTTTTTTTCTTTTTTTTCGAACTTTCGTGCATGCACGCGGACGCGATGCCTCCGCCCTACGCGTGATAATAGTATTTTTGGTACACGGTCGTGCCGCGATAGCGCTCCCCAATTAGTATGGACACCCTATGGCGGAACGACGGATTGTTGATCGTTGGTATATCGGTGCGTTGCGTATATTGTATTTATAATGATAATTCTATTTTTGATAACCGCTCGATTGATTATTCCATTTTAGATGTTGATCGTTCTACGAGGCCGCGTATTTAGAATAATTTCCATAGCTTTTAAGACACGTCGCGGGAACGAGCAACCAAAAATACGAATCCTTTCCTTTCATTCGCGTGTGCATCGTTATAGAACGATTTTGGTCCCATATGGTCCACGTGAAACGTCTCGGACGTAGATCATATTTCGAAAGAAGACGAGAGAAATAAATAAAAAAAAAAAAAAAGAAGAAATAAACAATGGTGGAACAAATAGGTAAATTACGCAATTACAGGGGTGGGAGGGGGTCACTTTATCGCTTTGCGAACGGATTGCCTTTCGTGAAACGGACGTAGAGCCTTCTCGAGCCGAACGTGTAAACGCGATTCATTGGCATTCTGTATTTAAGTATACGGTGGTGCATAATACGTGCGATATATAGCAAAGGTCTTTTTATTATTATACGTCGTATCGTCCGAACGATCGATCTCAGGTGCGTCCGAGATTTATTCTAATTAATTAATTAAATTCTAGCAAGCTCATTGTTCGTAAATGTCGTGCCAATAGCGAGAGGGAGAAGAAACAAAAAAAAAAAAAAAAGAAAAAAAACAATGCGTGCCAAAAGATGATGATAACGAGCAACGGGACGGGGATGTAGCGTTTTAAGAGGATGCGAAAGAATTGAGAGACCGGAGGCTGCGAATCTGCAGTCGGATCTGCTCGATCGTGTATACTCTTCCTTTATCGAGTTGTTCCTTCGTTCGAGTGATTCGATTAATTAATAATTAATAATTAACCGACGGTGTTTCTCGATGAGAATGAAAACAGAACGAGAATATCGATCGAGCATCTCCGTCTCGTACGGAATTATACGAACTAGTTGTTACAATCTTTTAACTGTTGAATTTTTGCAGTAGATGGTAAGTGTCTTAACGTATACCTTATATAAACTACACGATAATATATTCTATATTAATGTTTCTTAGGATTTACGTACGAAACGATCGTCCGCGAGCTTTCGTCGATTATTGTCGTCGCACAGCGCACTCAGAAAGCAATAACTTAACGAATCGTAGTTTCCGTAATCGATTGTTGTACAAATCTTTTCGAACGACACGACGTTGCGATACGCGTTGTCACTTTGTATCGAATTGGACATTTCCGTCGTTGAATATTTCCGAGTGCAGTCCAATCCTTGTCCAAAACCGACGATTTTCTACGCAAAGCCATCGGATCGATCGATCCTGGACACCTTCGACGAATTAACACCTGTACTTAATCGCAACACCACGTGCTTAACACCAATTGAACAACTCTGTCGTTGATGTGAATATCTGAAGACAAAATTATCAAACTTCGTGATTCATTATTTTTTTTTTTTTTTTTTTAACTTACGAAATGAAAGTGATCGTGTCGCGAAGAATCCGCCAATTTTTCGCGTGAAAGTGTCATCGAATGCAAAGAAGAACGAGGCAGGTGTTTAAATTTATCGAAGGACATCCGGATGAAAAAAAAAAGGTCTTAAACATTAATACAATCTAAATGTGATAATATATTTGCTATATTGAATTACGACGTAATTATTACATATTCTAATTATTGATAACGCGCGAATCGTACGGGGGAAGCGAGCAATTTTAAGAAGTCCGTCTGTCCGTGTGAATTGCATGGCGTGTGCAGCAGCAAGGTGATCGACGAGATCGGGTTTCCTGTTTTACGTAAATCGAATACCGTGCCAAGAGCTTCAGCGTCTAATACCATCACGATCGGCTTGGACAAGTACAAAGTATTCGGATAACTTATTTTTTGATTATCGATAAACGACGAAAGAAAAAAAAGAAGAAGAAGAAGAAAACGAAGAGAAACCGATCATGCGACGATGAGAAAGAGAAAGGGAAAGCAAGCGACACGAATTCACTCTTTAAACACAGACGGTTGTTCGAACAAATTATCGAAGTTATGGGTAAAATAAAAAAATAGAACTAAAACTAAGAAAAAAAAAAAAAAAAAGAAAGAAAGAAAAAAAGAGAAGGATCGTCGCGTCACCTTTGTCTGCGTTTGCGTTCGATAGTACACACGGCAAATCTATTCGGATTTACGATTTGCTTCACGAAATATAAATTAAACAAAAAAAAAAAGACTCTTGCGCTCTACGCATATATATATTATATATATTATATATAAATGTATGTGTATGTGTGTGGGTGTGCCTAAAGATTTTCTCTTTGGATCTATCTATATTTCACTATGTATTTACCATCTCTCTTTGGCCTTCTACTCTCTGTTGCGTGTTCCTCGTTCCTTGCCAATGTTCTTTCATCTCTCTTTGTTTTTTGGAAAACGAGCAGAGGGTGGATCGGTTTGATTGATTCTTAACTGACGATCTGTTATGTATGATTTACCCACCATTAATATCTAACTTTTATACTAATATTTTATAATAGTATAAAAGTATTAATAGTTTTATACTAAAGACTTTATCTTTGTAACATTGTCCGCTGAATAATTATAATTCTTTTAATTATTCAATTAACCCCTTGCGCGTTTAATCGTGATATTTGATAACGTGACAACGAGTGTAAAACAAAGGAACGAAACATCGTCAGTTAAGGATTAATTGCGTTGTTTAACAATTGTCTCTCTGTGTTCCGGTTGTACCTATAATATATAATATATTATATATATAATATATCCCATCGATCGTTCCTCTTGATAGATGCAGTCGCGATGTAATCACGTGCGTGCACGGTGCATTTGCTTGCATAGACAGCCGTAAACTTGAGTATACGAATTACACGTAAGATATATTTGATATATCAACGATCGAGAACTTTGAAAATCAGGTAAAAGTAATATATTTGAGAAAGAAATATTCGAGGAGAGATATTTTTTACGGTTCGAAAGATTTAAACCGACCGAACAGTTTTTATTCGAACAGAACATTCACAGATACATACGTGACCCCCTATTGCTGCTGAATTGACACAAGCTTAATCAGCACGTACACGCGAATCATTTTCGCATCAGTTATAGAATGCGAGGCACTTTTTTTACCCATTTCAATATGAAAAAGACCATTCTAAATGAACAGTCTATATTCGAGACTATAGATCACTTATCTAATGACATTGGTTCGTGTTCTTTTGTGATGATAAAGCACCCCTTGATAATACAGTATTTATCTGTCTTTATCTCGCGCATTATCTATACCCTCCATTCATTTACTAACTCTATGCATACGAAATTTAATCTTTCTACCTTGTTCTTACTTTTGGATCTCAATTATCGGTAACGTGTTGTTTGCATTGTAATAATTCCTCTGCAATTCATTCGATACTTCATTCATCGATATTTTTCTATTTTTAAAATAATTCTCTAAATGACTGTCTCAATTATATTCTTGCATTCGTTATAATAGTCTAACGACGATGTACAAACTTTCGTATTTGTATCAGTTTTAACAATATTTTTATGTAATTGGTATTAATTATAAACGAAATAATCGAAACCTGTATATTATAATATCGTTAAATTAATCGATATTTCTAATTGTAAAACATCAGCAATGTCACTACTAATCTTCTCTATCATTTATCTATACTTATCTTGGCCGATACCATCTACATCTACCCGTGAAAGAATTATCAACTAACCTTATCAAATTCGCAGTCGTGTCAATACAGTTTTTCAATAAATCACACATTCAGACGTTACAACTCAGTGTCAGCTCCACGTTTCATTTGTTTCTTTTTTTGGCATTCATTCTTCTCTTCAATTTTGCTCAACGTAAAGAAAGGAAAGTATTGACTCGAACAAGAAACACACAGTTAGCCCGTATTCTGAAAATTTCAAAGACAGACATAAACGACAGAGACCTAGACAACGAAAAATTTAGAGTTTTACGTATAAGGTAAATGTTTGTATTTTAAGCGAGCGATCACAACGATTTTGAAACGAATTCTGAAATGTAAGACGGAAACGCTCAGGCTGTCGAAGCAACAACGCTTTTCCGTGCATCGTGAACGATTTCGCAGGTCGATCGAGAGGCGTCGCGACGCTGATCCGTAACACCGTCCCAAAGATCGTCGACTGTTCGTAACTTTAGATTAATACAATTGAAACGCGGCCGTCGATGCGCCTCTCGACGATCGTGCGAAGAATCAATGATGTTCCTTGTGGCCGGATGATCGGGATAAATGAACGATATTTAATTTATCTGCTGTTCATCGACAAATTCAACAGCATTTTAAGCATTTCAACAGATTTACACAATCACGCGAGAGAAATCAATTTAATTTCAATTTCAATTTCACGCTGCGAGTAATTTTGACAAATTTTGATAATTATTCCTCTATCTAATTTCAGAGTCACATTGCCCTACTCCGTAAATTGAAAAGTACATTATTTATATCACTTTCTTTCAACGAATGAATTTATTAAAGTGAATCGTTCGTTTCTTAAGAATTAAACATTAATCTTGCGTTTGTACCATGAAATTAAGAAATTAATAAAAGCTGAGGTTGATCAATTTCACGCCAGAAAGACTCAGTCATCACGAACCACGCAGACTATGGAAAATAGAGAAAGGTCTCTTCATTTACGTTATCTTCTTAGAATGAACGCACTTGTTGAAATAATTTATCTCTTTCTTAAGAATTAAATATTAATTCATATTGTGAAATTGAGAATTGATAAACAGTAGGGATGATTAGTTTAGCTTTTGAAAGGCTCAATTATCATAAGCTATGCGGTGAAACATCTCTTTTATAATTGTTGTTTATAATAGTTAAGTTTAGCAAAGATACTCGCCACAGGGAACATTTTCGGCGTGTTTTAGAGAAACACGATGGATGAGCGATGCACGTTGCACGTATACGTGGTTCTCGAAGTCCGTGCACGCGCGTGCTCGCGTACTCGCGCCTCCTGACGTACGTAACGATCAGTCTTAAGGATATAATTAACGAGAAAAGTAAACGAATAAACTTGTCGTCGCCATTGTGATTTAAGGTAGTGGAATTGACCCGTGGCTGGTCGCTCAACATGCAACACCGAACCGGCGTTCGTGTCTATTTATATCATTTATGATAAATTGGTCAATTGACATCAACATCCGGTGTAATCGTCGTTTGACAAATTCGTCATTGCGTACAGGATGCTTTGTGGCGATATTGATAAAAAAGAAAAAACATTCATTTAGTAACAGATCCATTTAAAACATTGACCACGAAGATCATTTCAAGGAATCATTGCACACATACAATCTTTCTTCGACCTACATTCAGTTTCCCGTTGTGTTTTATAAATATGGCAAAAACAGAAGATTAATTCGTTATATATTTCATAAATTCATCAAAGCGATGGAATTACGTCTTTTTTTACAATATCAGACCCGCTGCGGTCTTCGAACTTTTATGTCATATTCTCACTCTCATTTCAATGAGCAGAACGATTTTTAATCTTCTAAGAAAAAAACATTAATGTAATTTTCCATGAATTTAAGAAATTTTTTGACAACAGAAGAATCTAAAGAAAGTAATCTAAAGAACGCAGCGTGAAAATGTACGTTTTAATTCTTTCTCTAATTCGTGCAAAAGTTAGCATTAAGATGGTCAAAAATTAAAGTGGAAGTTTCTTTCTTTCGTCAAGAGTAACAACGATTTAAGAAATAAAAATAGCAACGATTTCTTTCGCACCTTTAGCCATAAAGTGTCACGTGCAATGTTGGCCTAAGTCGACTTGATTCATATTTGCGTTGAATCTTTCACTGTTCAGTGATTCGTGGTCACGAGAGACCGAGATGAATACCTTCGTTTTACTTTAGATGAAAGGGAAAGAAAAGACAAAGCGTCGGTCGGTGGTGCATCCGCATTCGAGGACTCTCGGGGCAAAACGTTTACCTGTTTGTATTGCCGGAGTCACTATTTGGCTTTGGCGCGATAAAGTCTTAATAAAGGTTTCATTAAAATATTCACGTTGTGTGTCTCCTTCGTCGTCAATGGCTGGCGAGTTTCGATAATCACGATCTTATGCAAATTCTGCTCATTCTCCTTCACATCGTTGGGTGTATACATGAATAATATATTTTGTTGGTAGTATATATCACCACTCGTAAATATCCTGAAATTAATCGATTAGTATTATGTGAGCTGCATGAGTTATGTTAAATTACGTAAAAAAAAAGTAATGATAAATCGGTGATTAGAATTAGAATTGTTTTAAATTATAAATATATTACAATTATTAATTGTGTGTCATATGAGAATTTTAGTTTCTTGATTAGTTTAGAGGAATCTTATTTATCAATTAATTATCAGAATTACTTACAATTAGTTAATTTTGAAAAGTACATATACTGATTCGTAATTCGTGACGTAAATGAGGAAATTTTATAATTAAAAATAAAAAACAATAAAATTGTGTTAAAGGCTTAATTTAAAAAAAGAATCGAGATTATTCTACGTATAAGACTATTATTACTTGTTTTATATACTAAATTGCATCTTATGAAGATGCAATGTATCTGGAAACTTTTGAGCAGTAATAGTATATACTTAAAATTGCAGATAAAATCGGAAAGGTATCGTAAAATATAAAGATTTGATATCTCTTCAATTGTTCAAAAACTCGATAAGATTGTCAACGTTGTAATGTTAGGAGTTCTGATTTTAATTATGCAACAGATGAACAGTAACTTCTTTCAACGTTGTATGGACAACAATCAAAATTATAAAATATTAGTCTTCTACATAAATTATTATTTTCCAGCAGGATTTAATAAACACAGTGCATTGTGTAAAAGAGTTCAAATTATAGACATTGAAGAAGATCTCAATAACGGTTGCATTGAATTCTTAATGGCAATTATGCGTTACTTTTTAATTACTGATGTGTTCTCTGAAATATTCGCCATCACTTTTCAATTTATTTTATCTTCAGTTTAGTAATGTACTCTTTAATCAAATGATCAACATAGAGTCCACGAATAAATGGCAAGGACTGTATTGAATATCACTGATTGTGTATTTGTCGGACTGGTTAATGAATGTGAGAATCATTACAGTTAATCAATAATATTCGAAACAAAGCTAGTCTTTATCTTTGGTTGGCGCACATATTGCCGCGTCCAATTGCGTTATGGTTGATAAAAATGATCGACTAACCAGTGATGCTGACAATTGTATGACTCACTCGCAACCCATTCGTACGATCAGTCAAGTTTGTTTCTTTTAATTTTTGTAGGAACTCCTTAAGAAGCAGAAGATCTTAAACAACGTGAATATGGAGATATTATGAAGATATGAATCATGTATATGAAGATATTAATAAAATAATAAAAAAATAATAATAAATTTATAATATATGATACGTACAATATTACTAAATCTAAATTTCTTAGAACTTTGGAATATTTTATTTAAGAACAAAAGTTTATTATTATTATTCTTCTTTTTTTATTGTAAATTTTACTTACTACCTAAAGGAGACAAAGGAAGCTCAATGCCTTCTCATAAAAGATAAAATATTGTCGAGTATCTGTCTTCGACCTGGTAAGTAAACCATGTGACAAATAAATTCGCTGGTGAAATCACTTTCTGCACAATTTAGAAATGTATCACGTATCAGAGATGGACAGTCCAGGGTAAATATCAGTTCATATAGATATTAACATCACAATGCAACAGTCTGCAAAAATTATGTTGGATATTAAAATCAAATATTTAAAATTTCTTGAATGTTAAATAATTTTAACATTGTCTATTGTCTATCTAACATTTCTTTCAAGTATAGAGTCAAAGAAAATAGTTATCCTTTCAATAGTACATGAATAATTCTATCAAAGATCCTAAAATACTTAAAATACATATAAATGTAAAGAATATACATTTGTCAATAACAGAGCAATGTAAAATTAAACCTCGATAAAGAATGCATTTATATCCTGATCAGATTCGGACGTTTCACTGACTATGTATACACGTGCGTGTAGAGTGTAGAAGCATTGGATTGCCATGGTGGGGATGGAGAAGCGGTCAGTAACGAGAGTAGGGATGCATCGTGCGGCAGTGTGTCTCGCGGAGGTTTCGAAGCAGAATGTTAGTGCGGACGCACGAGCGCTGGCGAAGCGTTGGAAGTGAACGTGTTCTGTTCCATTTATCTTATCGCATCTGATTCTATCATTCTGCAAATAACAAGAAAGCATTGTTATTCGTCTCTCGTCGAACGAACGATTCCAATTTGTCGAGAATCGAGCCGAGAGCAAGCCCAAAGAGAATGAGAATGTGAAGAGAAAGGAGAGAAGCTCGATCGCGTGAAGTGTGAGATTCGCCTCCTGTGTACGTGTGCGTAGCTGTTTTACGCGCGAGCATATCCACTGTTTGTGCGCGCAGCTCTAACTATCCGGTGTCGGTGTGCGTATCGTGTGGGCACCGTGTGTATACACCTTTTCAAAAGTGGAAAGAGAAGAGACGAGGAGAAAGAGATGATGACAGTGGCAACGACTAACAGCCAGGTGGGTCTCTGACCCCACTGGACAATAAAACAGCTTCGTGGTTTAACAGTGTTCTATGTGCAGGATTAAAGCGCGTCGACACGCGGAAAACCCTTGGATCGTCGAGAAATTGTTCCCGCCGGCGCATCCTGGACAAGTTTCGCGGTATGTGCCTCTTCTTTATGCGATTTTTGCTTCTTTCTTTCGACGACACCCGAGAATCAACAAGTAGCTCCGCTGTAGAAAAGTCAGCTCACTCCGGTGCGCTTAAGACGCGCAGCATGACGAATACCGAGAGGCACTAGCTTTTCGGAGTAATGGAGATTTCTCTCGGCGCGACCGTGGTAACCTCACTGCATGAAAATCGAAACGGACACCAGTTGAATGTCTTCCGTTTGACACGAGGTCCATTGACATACAATGTACTGCAATAAAATGTATTAATTATATACAATAAATATACTAAAATAATAGTGTAAATATATTAAATATACCAATTGACTACAATTTGAATGATTTAGTAAAGATAAATACACAAATACATGTACTATATATATATATATATATATATGATCATGCCTCACTAAAATAGCTTGATTCAATATTACTTTTCAGGTGTATTAAAAATATCTAAATCTAGGAACAAGTCTAGGAATAATTTTTCGTAATATTTTTAAAGTTGCGACCAATGCATTATTTATCAACCTGAACCTACTATATTTATATACACTATATATGTATATGACATAGATTCTAATTAAATTAGTGCGTTAAGAATAAATAGATGTATGTAATTGCGTGTCTGTCTATATGTAATTATGCTTTTATAAAAAAAAAGTACCCGCATCTTTACAGTAATTTCAAAAATAAAAGATTTGACCAATTTAGTAGTTGGAACGTTAAAGAAAAAAAATTGATGTGGTAGATACTCTATAAGGGAATGTTATATCGATAACATAATTGTTATTTTTTTTAATACGAACAGCTAATAGATACGGTTAGCAGCAATGATGCACGTGTACTAAATGTAGGAACATATTGACGTTTTGTCAAATATTTGTCTTTCGAACGAACAGTTGCCAAGTATGCCACTCGGTTGATAGAAGTAATTGGAGCAGCTTTATTATTGACTGTTTGCCTTGCATGTATTTTTGCGTGTTATTCGAATGATACAATGAATGCTACCAAGATCAAATTATCCCGACACGTTTCATCGACATAACATTCAAATAAAAGAAACCACGTTTTAATTTGAATATAAATGATAATTAACAGAGTATTTACCAGCTACCTTACTTGAACTAACGTGCATAATTAAATAAAAACGATGCTTCGACAGCTTACACGTGTATTGTGTATTTAACTGCCTAAATCTGATTCAAGTTGTCGCAAACAACAAAGAGCATTTAAAAAACCAATGGTTTTGCTGTTCAAAATCAGTAATCTTGCCGGCTTGATTGAATAATACCGTTAGATTAGCAATGAGAATTTCCTTTAACGAAAAAGTGGAACGCGCGGGTATCAGAATACTGCCTACGAGCGTTTTTTTTTTTCTAAAACTCAACGAAGCTGCTTCGATAGTGTCGATTTTAGCGCGAGAGACCTTGCTTATTAACGTTACGCAGCAGGAAATTGCGGGCGTTTAGGGAATAACGTGGAATACTTATCATTTTGCAGCGGAGATATTGGTTAATTTTAGAAACTCTGATGGATCTGTTGGCACGGCTTTGCCATGATTCACATTCCGTTCTCGGCTGAGCAGAGGGAACAACGAACCGCTCTCCTTTGTCTGACAATGAGGAACATGGGAATCTAGGTCCAGTCCATCGATCCATGGATCGGAACTGAGAAAGCATGGAAACGTGATGTTCATGTTGGTTAGTGCAAAAGAAAAAAAAGCGGAAACTCGACCTGCGTTCGCTATCAGATTTCGAAATGACGAATCATTGCTACAAAAACGGTTGTCTCCTGACAATTTATAATTTTTCACATTTTTTTTTCTCTTTTTTATTTCTCTCGTTGGTGGTCACGTGACTAGAATGCGGCTTCAAACGCGCCAAAGTTTCCAACAATTGTCGTTTTCGCGGGAATTAAAAGTTGTACGTTATTGGCTAGTAATACGAATTAATATGGTTCGTTTTCAAATTTCTTTATTATCTACCGATTCTTTAAATGATCTTTACAAGATGACGTTAAATTTGAAATAGACATACTGGAAAAGATGTAGCATCCTAACCTATATCTTCGATATCGGTTAAATATGCATGTGTACGATATTAAATGGAAAGTTTGAATATTAGCTTTTAGAAATATTGTTGATACATTACGTGTAGAATACTATCGTACGATGGTATATGTACAATTGTCATTTAAATGACTTGCTTAATATATCTTCTAATATATCTTCATTTGCAGATTTATATACACGAATACAGATACACAAGTACACAGTATGAATAAACGTTTCAAACGAAGCTTGAACATTTTATAAAGTATCTTTTGCGTAAATCGTAAAATTACTGCGGGAAGATGATTTAAGAAGTAGCTTGAACACGATGGAGTTACAAGTCGACTTGAGTTATAATTAACGTGAAATTTAATTAGGTGAAAATTATCGAACAACAAGGGAGGTGTGCATGAAGCTGATAATCAAGACCAATCGAAATTATAAAACATGATTTATTCCAACTGCTCATTGCTAATCACGTGACTCGGAAGCGGTGATTCAACCATGCAGAAGTGCTTCGCGCTGAGCTGTCTTTATTATCTAAGTAACTATCGTTGGTAGAATGTACGAAGCAAATGTTGATAGTTCTTCGAGTCAGTGTTCAACGCCACGTCGGGATCTCGAAAATGTGGAATCGTCTTCGGATGTTGCGACGTATGATTAATTGATATATACTTACTCACTTTCTTAAATGTTTGCTTGGTAATTTATCTCAATGCTTTGAATTTGATGATTTTTTACTGGATCTCTGAATCAGCATACGAATCATTCCGAACCGCTCGACTTTTTTTGCTTGTTTTATTGATATTTTTTGTTTATCTGTTTATTAACAACTCTTTATTATTAACTATCAACAATTTCTTTTTGCATGGAAAACGATACATAAACACTTATGTCTGTGTTCGCGTTTTAATTATATACAACGTGACAACAGGTCTTCAACAGGCTTACGCATGTGTGTTGCAAGATATTTGCTCGATAAATTCAACATACTTTCACTGCTTTGTGATAATAGGACAGCCACCATACGCTTTTCCTTATTTCAAAATTATGCATTTGTACAGTTTGCTGACAATTTATTATTGATTAATTTTTGACTTTTTGTCCTCAATTATTTGTATTATAACGAATTTCTTTTTCTTTTAAAAAATCGCTTTATCGATTTATTTCCATTGACGTGATACCATAAAAAAAAATTGGCTTCGTATTAGATCAGTCAATAACAATCGAATGTGAGGATGTAAAAAGTAATAAATTAAAAAGAGACCGAATTATAATACCTCGGCACTCTATTATTTCTCGCCGCATGTGGTTTGTTTTACGTCTCAAATTGCACTGAACGTGATATGTACTATCGAGTCCCTTAGCACAGGTTGATGGGATGACATCCGAATAATCGGTGCAATTATAACGTAAGATGGTTCAATTAATTTCAAAACTAATCGTTAAATCACATTAATTTTAATCAATTCATTAAAATAACTGTTCTTTCGAAAAATTATCGAAAGCTTATTAAAATTTTTTTACCTTTCAGATCAAAATAAGCAAATTATATTGATTTCTTTAAACTCTTATCAAATCACTCACAACTTAACTTGAGTCACACAAAAATTTATCAACACCACTGCATCGATTCGGATAAACTGTAACAAAAGATTGTAAAATACAATCTACATTACAAAATACTTACTTTCTCTTACTTGATTCTTAAAATTAAAAAGGAAATTCCGACGTTTGAATGATAAATTATTTAACCAGCTCGCATTTTACAGTAGTAATAGCAATCAAGCCGAACCAATTTCCAAGTACCCGCATGAAAGTATCTGAAATATACTGTTAAAAGGGGGCCGAAGCATGTGGCGCAGCTTCTACGTTCCTGGATCCTTCGGTTGAAAACGAGCAGTGAGGCAGAAAAATATCCGTTCGAAATGGAGGAGAAACCGATACCGAAACCGAGATCGGTGATGACCGAACGACCGGTACCAGCACCGAGGAGGTTACCACCTTCGTTGCCAGCGGCTCGGTTTAGCAGTCACAGCGATTCAAGTCAATCGGAGAAAAGCGACGACTCGAAATCGACGTCGGAAACGAGAAGCACGAACAGTGAATTCTTTCGAAATCTGAGCAGCAGTTCCCGACAATTGAAAGACGAGATTTCTGAGAAGATGACGATGAAGGGCCGCGCGGTAATCTCGAGCACGAGGAACGCTAGCATTAGACTGGAAAAATCGGTGAAGAATCTTCTGACGCGAAGGTTAACGTCATTGAATCAGGATGAGATTTTAAGGGATAACACTGGTGGTAATAAGAAGTTCAAAGATCCCGTAGCAGATGAGAGATGCGTCTCAATGCCGGCTGATGATATTTTCAGTAGTATCTCGTTCTACAGTCCCTTGAACAGTAATCTGAGAAGCGTCAGAAACGAGGAAGATCTTTCCGGGACGCGTCACAGTCCACCACCTCCTGCATATCCTCCTCCACATCCTGACGAGTCTATCTACGACGAATTGCAGTCCGTCACGTCGGGCAGCAGTCGATACGACACGATCAGCTCGACCATCTCTGACAAAGTCGACAGGGACTTTCCCGAATCGTTTGATCTCCTTAGTTTCGCCCTCGAACAGGTAAAGATAAAGATTTAAATAATGTATTTGTATTATTATATTATACTTCCAACTCCAGTAAACATTAAAAAATACCACTTTCTTTTTATTCTGTAATTTAAACAAAGTAATAATTTATAAGTTTTAACTCCAGTGAGCTCGCTATGTTAATTCATTGCAAGCTCGTATGATAATGCGTGAAATATATTTGGTTTCGTTTATTTTCAACCATTTTCTAAAATATTGAAACGCGGTAAGAAATATTTGAATGAAATACCTTTTTTGATGCCTGAGGTCATTAACTTCCTTCCCTCCACTATCAATTATTAACGCCTGGTCGTCAGTCGGCCACTTAGCGCCCATTCAGTTTCTAAAGTTGTTTCAGCTAATTGGAATATCTTCATCAAGCAAATATGTAATTTTTTATCCTTCTGTTTTCGATCATAGCATTCTCTTTTACAGTTCATTATAATTTACTCTGATCTAAATATTATCTATAGATATTATAGTTCAGAATAAATTGAATATGTATCATATGAATAAATTAGATATGTTAATCTAAATGTTAGCGTACTTTGTTTCTAAAAAAATTGAGAATACGAAAACGTGAAAAAACTGATCAAAACAATATCTTAATCATAATTAAAAGCTTCTCATGATTTCTTATTAGGCCAGCGATTCAGATCAGAGCTTGAATCTCTCCGACGTAAACGTGACACTACCGTTGGACAAATTGGACAACGCGAAAAGATTATCCAGATCCGATTCCTGGACGTTCTACGACACCGCGCCAAGTGGAAAATCCGACGGACTCGACGAGCTGGACAGGATATCCAGCGCGGAGGAGGACGTCTTGGATAAAGATGTGCCTCTGCTCGATCGAACATCCAACGCGTCCAACGAAAGTCAAGCGTCTATCCAAAATTCTCTCTATGAAAATCTGTTGCCGCAGAAGGCGCAAGAGGAGAAAGAAGCAACGTCGAACAGCTTGGAAAACAGACAACAAAGTAGCAAATCTTTATTGTTCGAGTTTGATCCGTTCGCTAGGACTTCTGACGAGAACGTGTACAGTAACTTTGAGAACAACGATTTAATGTTATTGGAGACTTTATTAGCCACCAACGACTCGCCGAGCAGTTCTGGTAGCATTTTGGATTTTCAAGAAGCGGTCGATAACGAGGAGGAACGCGACGACGTGGACGAGGAGGACGTCGAGCAAATCTCGTCGGTACCGCCCGAACCACCGAAAAGGTTCGACTCGTTGCCGAAAAACGAATACGACGAGGTATCGGAAATTCTCCCGCAGACAGATAAAAGTGCCGCAGGGAAAAATCCGGCTCTACTACCAAAGTTAGCGCATCTAGTGACTCGAAAACAACCTGCTGTCCCGCCTAGAAAGTCAAGAACAAAAAATCGTTCGAACCAGGAGCCTTCCCCAACTTCTACGACAGCTAAACCTGCGGTTGCTACGACTAGCGATGGTCCAAGTAATTATTTCGTTTTTGTAATTTTGTAACTTTAAAGTAAATCGTTGAATTAAGGTTTGTTGTAACTTATAAAAATTGATGTACGTTGCAAAAATACGAAGAATATTGTGTAATTTGGAAAGAATTTGAAAGTTTTGAGGAAAAATAATTTAAATCAGTTCAATAACGATGAAAATAATGTCTGGAACTTTATTCGTTCTATCTTTAATACGCACTTGAGCTTCCACTGATATACACAAAGTTTATATCGTCAATTAAGAGTAACTTGAATTAGTGTTAACAGTTTAACCCTCTTAACTCGATGGAATTTGAAGTATTTTGTCCCACGCTGCTGTAAAATTCAAAATGTAAATGCATTGGTAATTCATTATTATTAAAAATAATTACAATTTCAAGTTTTCTCCAACTCTTCTATTTATGTTATAATTGTTACATTACAAACTACATTGTCCATTTAAAAAATTAAGACTTCTATAACAAAACTACTTATATATGTGTTTCACATCTACCTATCTATCTATCTATCTATCTATCTATATATATATATATTTTATATGCTCTAGTTACAACAACGACGAGTAGCACAATGACAACAAGCACCGACGAATCTTCGAGTCCTTCGAGTGGTAAGGCCACGGAGGAGCACAGACGCGTGGGCGTGATTCAGAAATTGAAAAAATTGCGGCACGAGTCCACGGGGCACGGGATCAGACCGAACGTGATGAGTTTCGTGAAGAGTGGTAGTAAATTGCTGTCGAGGAATCGTGACCACAGCACGGGCGGCGGTGTGCCAAGCACGAAATCGACGAAATTGGAGAGACCAAAGGTGAACGATCTACAAAATCTGACGACGCACCGAGGAATCGTTTACAGGACCGGTGTAGGAATAGAAAGGGCGAAGGACCTGGTACCAAGGGCAATGGTCTTGGCCGACCAGAAGCTCTCGTTTTACACCGATAAGGGCATGTCTACTCTGAAAGAGATCGTTCACCTCGACACAGTGTATAGCATTCATCTTCTCCAGGACTTTAAGTGAGTCCACTTTTTCGTTGCATTTTATGAAAGGCGAGAATTCGCTTGACGAAGATACACGAAGTGTATACAACTGTGTGTATACACGTACAACACTCTTCTTGCCATTTCGAAAATAAATAATAAAAATTTATCATACACATATCAAGTTGAATGATTTTTCAAAAAATAAATTGTAATTATATGTGCATCTGAATTTTTTTTTATGAAAAATATATTACGTATTGCTACTGGTTAAAACTACATAAATTTTATGTAAAAGTACTCCATATTATATTAAAATTCGGGTATGAATAGAGTACAGTAATAATTCTGTATTTTTAAAAAAAACATTATTGAACATTAAAAAAATATTATTGAAACTGAATGTGAGGGAAGTCCCCAAATTTACACATAGCAAGATTAAATAGTGAACCAATGTGGAAATAACAAAGACGATTTAAAATGTTCAGGATAGTTGATGGAGAAACCGTACATTGCATAGCAATTAGCGGTGAAGGAAGACCGAGCGTTCATGTATTTTACGTGAAGGGTATCACAGAACGAAGGATTTGGGCTCAGAGAATACTAGAAGCTATTACTACAATTTTTCCCACGAAGTACACGGCTGAACTGACGAGAGTAGGATGGGCCTACCTGAAGGTACAAAAACTCGATAACATAAATTAATTTTAGTTTATCTGTGTTAGTGATTAATTTCTTAAGATTTAATTTTCAATCCATTTTTTTGGATCAATCTTCATGATTCTGAAACATTTTTAGTGAATAAACCTTAAAATGGAATTATTATTGGATATTTAATGACAAATATTTTAGAAAGTTTATTTCATTATTTCTTTTTTATATATATTGAGAAAATAGTACTTACTTGTATACAAGTTTTTATTGATTTCGTGGTGACTATAACTCTTTGAAGAAAATCACTTTCTAATAATCAAATTTCCACATGTGGAATATAACGGGTAGTCGGTAATATCGTAGAAAATAAGTAAGAAATAAGTTGTTTTAAAATTAAAAATATATTACCTTATTATGAAACGTTATCACGAATTACATTTAACATTAATTGATGCATATTTCAGGAAGGCGTAACAGGCACGTGGTTCCCAGCTTGGGTTCTTTTGTATCAGCGAACGTTAATTTATACAAAATCTCTAGATTCTTCTATGGCCATAACATTGGGAAAACTTGATCTTCGGAAGGCTCGATGTATCGGTAAGTTTCTTTCCTTTATTAAAATTATTCATGAACTCCATACTTGCACAATTATTTATGAAACGAAATCTTCCAACTTACAGTACATAATATTAATCAATTTTAATTCACTATTGATTACAACACACATTAAAAGAATCGAATTATCGTTGACCTACTTGTTCATACGATTCGCTAAGAAAAAACATTTTTTATCTGTAACAAAATTCAATGCAATGAACATACATGACCTAGTAAACAGTTATAAAAATGCAGAGTTATAACGAAACAGTTATAAAAATGCAACTGTTACAAACGTAATGGTTGGAATACATAAATAATTTACTGCTGCCTATTTTTATACGTTTATCTCATAATGACCAAAGCGTAACGGTACGTCGTTAATTACTTATCAGAACTTCTTCAGATAAGCTGAACGTTTGCTTTGAAATTCTTATAAAAAAGAAAGAAAAAAAAAGAAATAGTTTCAACGATTTTCACGCTTTGTTACAGTTTTACGAGAACAGGAAGGACCGAGTGCTGATGCAGGATCAGTTCCGGTGGTTGTCGTCGATGCAGGTGGTAATGGTGCACTACATGTGGCTGCACCAGGAACTCACGAAGGATCCGCATGGAGGCACGCACTTTATCAAGCCGCCACTACCTGTGGCCCCGCTTTAGAGCAACAACAACTCACGCAGGATAATGTGCCTGTGATCCTCGACAAATGCATTAATTTCATTTATGTTCATGGTAAACATGTGAAATTTGCAAACAAGCAAATAACTCTACGCAATAACTAAAATTGATCTTTAACTAACATGTTAACTGTATTGCTTATTAATATTATTATTAAAGGTATCATGTCAAAGGGAATTTATCGGCAAAACGGGTCCAACAGCGCTGTAGTTAAATTATTGAAAGCCTTTCGTCGCGACGCATGGTCGACACAAATTACGAGAAGTGCATATACCGAACACGATGTCGCTACGGTTCTCAGAAGGTTTCTTCGTGATTTACCGAATCCATTGTTTCCCCCTGATATCCACGATCGGCTTTGTCTTACCTCAGGTAAGGAGTACTCATTGTCCTTGGTTGTTTGCGTTTGAACTCGCTCTCTTAAATGGACATTCTAGCAGTCAAACAATGTTGAATTGAGAAACGTGATTGCGGAGAAATTACATTACAAATTATATTAAATTAAAACTTTTATCGATCAAATTTATCTTTTCAATTGCAATATGAATACAATGGATTATTATAAACAGGAAAATTGAGTCGTACGAGATATTAAAATATGAAAATTAAAATGCTTGATAATTAAAAATTAAAATATTTAATTAAGATGCATGAAGTTATATGTTATTAGCACATAATTTGAAAGACACGGCTGTATCTTTTTGTAACACAGCTGTTCTACTTTTTCTACATTTCTCATGTTGCACTGTGAGGTGAAAAGTACGTTGACCTGAAATTCCAATTCATTTGCAAAATAAGTTTCATTATTGCGATAAAAGTAGAAGAGTATTACACGTAGATGTATATTGTTTTTGAAAAGTTAGCGCATTAAAAATAAAATTTAATTTAAAAAAGAAGGGAACATCTCCTTACATACGTCCAAATAAATCGCTCTTCGTTCTCGATTATCGTTTGCATACGTAATTATAAGAAGAATGTTAAGTTGATTTGTGTTCGCATCGACGCGTATATTCTCACATGGTAGCTAGTTTTAACAGGAACCATAATGTCGAATTTCACAAAGTGTCATTACGTACAGATTTAATCTCTTTGCGGTATTATTATCTTATTTTGAATAAATTTCCAGTATGGAAAATAAATAATTAATTATGTATTATCTATTAAAATTTTTATTATCTCCTATCTATTGAAGTCAAAAAATTTAAATTCATACTCAATGCACAAAAAATATAATTTATTAAGTATTTATTAAAAACTATTTATTACACGCATAACATAAAGTTGTCGTTGTTTTTTTTTTTTTTTTTTTGGATCAGCAGTTCTCTTCAAAATAGTTTTATTAGCAACGATAATTGACGGTTCCTGTTTTCCTCCCTTGTGGCACTTGTTGAAAGGGGAATTATGTATTTTAATAGGGCGATGAAACGAACGTTGAACTCAAGTACACAAATTTCTGCAGCGTGTGCAACTTGTTTTTAGTCTGCTATACGGTGAAACGTCTCGTGAGAACCGCGCCGCCGATGAATCATAGCTTTTCATAACAGACCTTCAAGTTTCTTAGTGAAAGCAAATACAGCTCTGATAAGTATGCATACAATCGTTGTTTGTCGCTATTAAAAACAACGTGCACTAATTAGATAGCTATAATTTGGAAGCTTATTTCTCTATTACATTCAAACAATTATTTATAATGGTTGGTTTATGTTTTACAAAATATATAATCTTTAAAAGAAGAATGTGCCTAATTGTCATTTATTTTACATGTGTAAATATACGATGAATTAAATTTTAACAAAAAAGAATATACACTAACTTTTATTTTCTAGAAACCGTCAATGAGAACGAACGAGTTTCGGCGTATAGGAAATTATTGTCTACGTTAACTCCAGTACCGGCAGCAACGCTCAGGAGAATTCTTGCTCACCTTCACTGTTTGAGTCAGCAGAGTTCCAAGAACCTGATGACCGGCGAGAACCTTTCCGCAATTTGGGGACCGACGTTAATGCACGCTGGCGAAAACAGCGCAGAAGAATGGAACAGGTCCGAGACTAGAGTGATTGGTGACCTGATCAAACTCTATCCGAAATTGTATCAGCTAACAGCTGCGGATTTGGCGAAGGAGGCAAAAATTCTGGAGGTTCTCGAGAAACACCACGGTTCAAATAACGGTTTACGCGGTGCGCCATCGGGTGATCTGAAGATTTGGATATATATTTTTTCGAGAGATGGTGAATGTGTTAATGTGACCGTGAGAATCTCTTTTGTTTACATTAATTTTAAATTATGGGTGGGATATTTATACTTTGTCTTTGAGAAATATATAATTCTTTTTTCTTTTTAATGCAAAAGGAACAATTGGTTTTTCGAAGATGAATTAAATATGTTATTTTTTAAAAATAATAATTCTGATATATAACAAAAATAAAGAAGTTTTTGTACTGTCATCTGCATTTCAATGCATCTCCAATTCATTGTGAATATAGGTTGCAAATATTTATTCGTATAAGAGAAACATAATGTATTTCTTTTTTTTCAGATCGGACCACAAAAGACTGCGTTTGACGTGTGTCAAGAACTGGCAGAGAAAACTAATATGTTAGCCCATGAATTGTGTCTGGAGGAATACACATTGTCTGGTGCATTGGAAAGGCCACTTCATTATAAAGAGCGTGTCCTTGAAGCAGTAGCAAGGTGGGGATACTGGGACCCTGAGGATAGAAAAGACAATGTCCTCATACTTAACAAGGATCGACTATACAAGGACATAGCACCCCTGGTAAATGGTGATAGAGTTACACGAGAGTAAATTATATATAAGATGATTCATTTCAGCCATCGTGAATTATTTATTTATTTATTTATTTGGATATTGTATTTTTAATATGCTTGAAACAGTAGTAGAAAGGTATTTATCAATTTTACAGTATCTCTTGTTTTTTGTTTTTAGATGAAACCACCAATGACAACGTCTGGAGAGCTTAAATTTGCTGACACAAAATCGAAAAATTTTAAGAACTACCTCTTCGAATTTAGTCAAGCGAAACTTTATTGTTACAAAGATAGAGTGTGCGCGAATGTATTGTATGAATGGAAAGTAGAAGATATTATTTGGTATTTGGGTCACGAGCCAAAACGAAATCCACAGACGGGGTAAATGTCTCCCTTTTCTGAATGTCTAACCAATTTCCTTTAGAATTGTTGAAAGTATACATGTATTTCTTATTGCAGATGGTCTATAACATTCATAGCTAAAAATAAAAAACCAACGAGGTAATGTTAATAGTTTTTTATGTTAATCAAATGTTTTAAAAATAAATTGATCGCTAACTTTGTTATATATGATGGACTATAATAATATCACAAGGTGTTTTTAAAAATTTGATTTCAGGTGTAAAGAAAGTCCGTATTTTGGAAATACTTTGGCAGGATCGTTAAAAGAGGAACAACACAAATGGGTAGCAGCTATGGTCTTTGGAGAATATCAGCTAAATATTCGACCTCCCTCAGTCAATCTCATGGATCCATGAACGATTAACTTATATTCTTAAATTACGCTACTTAGTGCCTTTGAAGTTTATAGCAATTATTTTTGTATCATGTATAAATTTTCTCGTCATAAATTCAGTGCCTGTGCTTGCCTCAATGTGAAAGACGACAATTTTGAATATTTCTACGTAATTTATGTATGTATCTACATCGTAATAAATAAATGAATATAGTACCGAAGTGTATTCCAGCATTTCGAAAATAGAAATGTTTCAATCGAGTGAATTGAAATAATTTAAAGTGTATTGTACATTTACAAAGAACTTTATAAAACACTTTTGTACGTATTGTACTTTATACAAATATTGCCAATTGTGTAATATAACGAAATTAATTTTAAATTACGAATGTAATTTTAATATTTGTATTTTGAAATAAATAAGTAGAATGAATCTCCACTTATAAGATATTAATATTTGTAACCTAAAATGTATAAAAATATCTGGAATAAAAATTACTATTTACTACTTATTACTACTTATTGCTATACTACTTACTACTTATTACTATTATACTATTATTATCAAACAAAATTTTGTCACAGAAGTCAAAGATAAACATTTCTTTGTCAATTGCAAGTGTTTTAAGTGTTGTTTAAGTTATGATCATGGTTAAGAGCATTCAAAAATTCGATTCGATCAATCGACTTTTAAGCATACACCGTGTGGATCACCTCTAAGATAGGTGCTGAAACTAATTTATATTGTTGTCCTTATCACACGCTGTTGCCCCCTGTCTACCGCACGAATATGTGTGTCCTTGTCGCACACTATCGCTCTCCTTATCTACGCGCATATATATCATATGCTGTTGCTCTCCTTGTCTATCGTACGGGTATGTCTGTCCTTGTCAAACACTGTTGCTCTCCTTGTCTACCGCGCATATATGTTTGTCCTTGTCACACGCTGTTGCTCTCCTTGTCTAATGACGCTAGACAAGGAAAGCAATATGTGCGACAAGGACATCTTTCGATCTACTGAAAAAAAAATTCAACTTTTTACACACACGTTTTACTAGGATAAAACACACATGGAAAGAAAGCCGGGAGCTTAATTTTAAGGAAGCATATAAAAAAGTTCGCAAATTATACCTCTTAATAAGGTTTTTTTCATAATTAGTGCGAACTGTCACAAAATGGACATGGTGGCGCCATCTAGCGGTAGCTCAGTGGTACTAATTATTTATAAAAATACTTATTTCTGTATTTTACGGGACAAATGAGGTATGAAAAGAAAGCTAAGGGTCTAATTAGGGTAATACAATCACAAAAGTTCACAGTTCATTTCGCTAAATTAGGTTTTTTCGCAAATGAAAATTTCTTTGTTTTACAGGGTAAGAAACACTAGCGCTGCGGTTAAATTTTCTATTTTTAGTACCAGCGAGTTGTCAATAGATGGCGCCACCGTCGCCCTTAAACATTAGGTGACAGTTTTTCTAAAAATTACGAGAAAAAAATAATTAAGAGGAATCATTTGTGAACTGTTATGGTTGCGTTTTCGACTTTAGAGACCCTTAGCTTGCTTTCTCTGTTTTGTTTAAGTATAATGTGCGTATATAAAGAATATTTCAATTTCGTTAATGTTAGTAGTAGTGCCAGTAGTGAGTGCATAATTTCGCGCAAACTATAGTGAATATTAGATTCAGATTTATTTGCGAACGTAATAGCATTATCTTTGAAATATGTGCTCGTGGAGTGCAAATTAGTAGTGTGAAAAATTAAAATTAATTATAATATTCCCCTTATATGGTTATAAAGCGTTTAGTTCCATCGGTCTGCCACAACGCGGCGCTAGTGTTTCCTATCCTGTAAAACAGAGAAATTTTCACTTGCGAAAAAACCTAATTTAGCGAAATAAACTGTGAACTTTTGTGATTGTATTACCCTAATTAGACCCTTAGCTTTCTTTTCATACCTCATTTGTCCCGTAAAATACAGAAATAAGTATTTTTATAAATAATTAGTACCACTGAGCTACCGCTAGATGGCGCCACCATGTCCATTTTGTGACAGTTCGCACTAATTATGAAAAAAACCTTATTAAGAGGTATAATTTGCGAACTTTTTTATATGCTTCCTTAAAATTAAGCTCCCGGCTTTCTTTCCATGTGTGTTTTATCCTAGTAAAACGTGTGTGTAAAAAGTTGAATTTTTTTTTCAGTAGATCGAAAGATGTCCTTGTCGCACACTATTGCTTTCCTTGTCTAGCGTCATTAGACAAGGAGAGCACTAGCGTGCGACAAGGACAGACATTATGCGCGATAGACAAGGAGAGCAACAGCGTGCGACAAAGACAGACGTACCCGCGCGATAAACAAGGAGAGCAACAGTGTGTGACAAAGACAGACATACCGCGCGATAGACAAGGAGAGCAACAGCGTGCGACAAAGGCAGACATACCCGCGCGATAGACAAGGAAAGCAATAGCGTGCAATAAGGACAGACATATATGCGCGATAGACAAGGAGAGCAACTGCGTGTGACTAGGACAGTCATATCCGCGCGATAGACAAGGAGAGTGATAGTGTGCGACAAGGACAATAATTTTAATTTCGTTTCATCGCTATGCCACGCTAGTATTTTAATGCTTCTAGCGCCTGCACATCTAGTGTTTCCTTAGTATACTAGTCGAGTATTATAAATATTATAAAAGACGAATATAAATTATTGAGTTGTTACAATTAAATTCGGTAAAAATATATTTAATTTTATACAAACTATAAAAATAATAATATATCAAATTTTATTGTTTTGCTTTGGGAAGGAATTATGAGAAAAATGATTGTAATTGTAGAAGATGAGAAACTAATTTTTTTTATAGAAAGAATCATTTATGGTAATTCAGCTGATTGCTATTTTATGTCTAAACGAGTTCAAATATGTTTCATTACATTTATGGTACCTTTTAATAAAAATTATCAGACATGCGCAGATCTGACCTAATTTCTTTGAAAAAGAAATGTAATAAGAAACTGTCAGTGTGTAACATTGTCTTTGGCACGTTTACCGAGTTTGGTGTTATATTCCATTTAGAAAAACTGAAAATTGAGAAATTTGTAATTCATTCTAACATCTTTGAATATCTCTACTATTTGTTTGATGTAGAAAGATCGACAAATACGTTGTACGTTGTAACAAATAGTCACGTGTCTGGAATTTCTGTCGGAATTAATTATAATATTAATTATACGATAATCATTTCCAACATTTCGAAATACATTACACATCTTACTGTTAGAGGTAAATCTAACAAAATATCAACAATTATGTGCAGTTTACATCTTGGACCTGGTAAGTGAATTACACTGTGTACTTCTTAGATTTTTGTCTTTAATAAAACATGAATAAAATTTCCAATAATATTATATTTTTCTCCCTCAAATAGCTGTTTTTTTAATAAATGTTTAAATTATTAATTAAACATTTTATTGTATGCACCTTTTTGTAACAATTATAAATCAATAATATTCTCAAGTTATATTTATGTGTTTATGTAGGTTTATTCTAGAGATTTTTTTAAAGGCAGTGATTTTGTAGACTACAGTTTTATCATTATTACAAGAAATTAAATTATTCTAATTTATGATTTTAATTCCAAAGCTATAAAAAACTTGAAACTGTAATTTACTTTTGTTTCTTACGATTAGATAATTATATTGAATATTACTTACAGATTCTCAGAAACCAGCAGAAGTAAAAGGACAAGTTCGTTTATATGGTATGAAATTTTGTCCTTTTACACACAGAATTCGATTAATACTTTCTTATAAAAACATTCCACATGATACTATTAATATCAACATAAGAAATAAACCAAAGTGGTATTTGGAGGTAAGTCTCCATACATTCCACAATTTGTTAATTATTTAAAAACTACATTTTGAGTAACATCTGTTATATTATTACAATTAGTACTATTTATTTTACTTAGATTCATCCAGAGGGTAAGGTCCCAGCACTTGTTGATGCTGATGATAAAGTAATTGTTGATTCATTAGTAATAGCGAATTATTTGGATGAAAAATATGCTCAGCCTCCTTTGTATCATGAAAAAACCAAAGATCGTGATTTAGAACTGTTGGATCACTATTCCAAGGTAAGAAAGTTTAATGTGCAAAGTTTTCTTTTTGCAAATGATGTTAACAAAATAATAATTATTTGTTCTAACAATGATTCGTCTTCCAGCTTGTCAGTATTTTCTCAAACTGTATTCATGGTAATGATAGCAGACCACTCAGTGAAATTGTTGCTGAAATTTCATCTTTACTAGTAGAATTTGAAGAAGAGCTTAAGGCTCGTGGAACTGTATATTTTGGAGGTTTATAAATTATTTTCAGATTGTAAATAATATAGAACGAAAAAATATTGATTCCATTTTTCTTATTTTAGGAGCACAGCCTGGTATGTTAGATATACTTATGTGGCCATGGGTTGAACGACGAAAATCTCTATCCCTTATTTATGATGAACCTACAAATTTTAATGATGGAAATTTCTCTCACTTAGTAAGTTTAAACATGTGTGAAAGAATAATTTTATTTCTTAAAATACGAACTTATTTGTTAAATCTATTTTAGATGAAATGGATGCAAGAAATGAAGGCACAACCATTTGTACAGGAAAATGAATGTTCATATGAAAAGTTTGCCCAATTAGTCAAAGATTTGAAAACGGGAAACGTTGATTTCGATAAACTTTAGATTAGAATATTTATATATATATAATCTTTATATATAACATGCACTTGTGTGCATTATGTTGATACATAATAATTTAGGTTTTGAAAATATAATTATACACAAATTTAAAATATCATAGCAATTATTTAATCAAATTTATCGTGATTAATCTCAAAACATTTTAACTAATGTTTGTTTATAAATATAAACAGTTATTATATACACATGCATGAAACTTTGAACTTTATAATTCATGCCTTCTACTATGACAATATACATTTAGAAACCTACTTAACCCGGGATTACCCACGTGAGGGTCTAGTCGCCGGGATGTACCTGCGCTAGACCTCCAGGTGGGTAATCCCGGGTTAAAACATCAGTACTGCCTTGTCAGATGTGCTGTGAAAAATATGTGATAAACATAAATACACTGTTTTAAACGAAACAACTTACATCTCTTGTTTATAATACTTCGTTAAAATATTTTATATTTATACTCAATTTTATTTTATATTTATACTCAATTTTATTTTATATTTATACTCATTACTTTATTTTATACAAAGATTCCGTATGTAATATTTTTCATATTTGATTTTGATATGTAGAAAATGCATTTTAAAATAGTTTGAAATTAAAATTTAAAGACTCCAGTGTATTCAACATTAACATGTATTTACTTCCGCATTACTAGTAGTAGGTACGTCTCAGGAAGACTGAATTTCGTCTATATTTATATGAGCAATAAATCGTAGTCTCATTTGCAAAGCAGGCCTCAATCTTCTTATAATACATTCCACTTCATTCTTCATCATATCCCCAACGAACATGTATTTTATATGATATCTGTGTAGTTAGTATTAAGGGAAATGTATTAACAAGAAGAAAATAATTGAAATACTATCGAACAATGATGTAAAAATAAATTAATAAAATTAATAAAAGGATACAATAAATCACAAACTGGGTCCATATATTTTAAATGAGTTTGAAGTCGATCAACTTGTTCAAGCATTTCGTATAAACGAACTGTTAATTCTACAACGCAGTTCGGTCTTTCAGCATTAAATCTCGCTAAAGTAGGACCAATTAAATGACAAGCATATATCAATTGTTCTTCGCTATTTACAACTGGCTGAAGCTTCTCTTTAATAAATCTAAATAAAATTAGATTTAAACAAGTTATACTTATTATAGAAATTGTATAGTATCATATTCAAAATTTAAACTTACTGAGGCATAGTAGTTATTTGCCCAACACCAGCATGATGCCACACAGAATGTGCTAATGCCAGCATATAACTGAATTTATTTTCCAACAAACTGTTGTGCGTATTATTAAAATTAAATATTTGAAATGGTGTTAAATTACTATATTGCCAATTGGCTAAACCTGGACTGTTAATGGTTTCTACTAATCGATCATGAAGTGCCGACCAATAACATTCGGGTAAAGCGGCTAACAACAAACCCACGCAATTTATCCATAGATGAATTTCATCTGAAGGTATCACTGTGTACCTAATAAGCTCAAAATTAAAAGAAGAATTTAAATATAAAATATTTAAATTTATTGTATCTTACCCTTTTGCAACTACATCTAACAATGAATTGGCAACTATATTTGGAGCAACAGGAACAGCCATAAGTTCCACGCATGTAACATACAATGCATGTGCAGCAGGGTTGGGAAATTCATTAAACCTCCAGTCCGTAGCAGGAAAATGAGCTGTACCTGACATTGCTGAAAATTAAGTAATAATTAATAATTATAAAAATACTACTTAATAAAGTCACTTACTTTCTACAATTCTCCGTACTAAACGAATATAATAATCCAATTCTGGCATCCATGTGATAACATCATCAGAAGATCGAGTCATATACATTTGATAAGCTTCTGAGAGTGCCCATCCTGGTGCTCTAATTTCTCTTAAGGAACCCAAGACAGCTGATACTAAACGTCGTTTCAAAGGCGGTCTATCCCTTAATTTACGTTCGTAATAATGTAATGTATTATAAAGATACGTAACAGGTCGATCTAAAAAAAAAAAAAAAATGAAACCAAGAGATAAATGTATGGATTGCCCTACTATTTATAAGAAAGTATATACAAACCGTGAAATTTATATAAACATCCCAAATGTTCTAATAGTGTTTCTAAACTTTTTGACACGGCTGGAATTTCCAAGTATCTATGTACAACGATATCGAAAACTGGTAAAAATCGTAAGCATACGTTTCCAAAATAAACAGGTAAACTTTGATATTGACTAGGCCCTCCGCTAGTTTGTTCCATGATACCTTCTGGAGCAAATTTCTCTGGGAACTTTCTATGAAAGGCAAGATGCTTTTCATGCCAATTCGATTGTTTCCAATGCTCCGGAGAATTTTCTTTTACAAACTCTTGCGCTCTGTTCCTAAATTCAATAGCTTTTAATAACAGTAGCTGAATTATAAAAAAGCATACTTGAGCGTCACTGCCTTCATGAGTCCTCAATACTAGGCAGAGAATTAATCTGTCAATAGTTACAATGTTGTATTTCCACATCATATCGTTAACTGTATCTACACATTTATTAACATGTTGCCCACCCACGCTGTTAGCAAATTCAAATACAAGATAATCACAGAATTTTCGAAGATGAGCTGACAAAGCTCGAGCTCCGATTCTTTCTAAGATTTTGTATGCGATTGGGCTAATTCGATCAGTCTCAAAAATGATCTTCCACAAAAGACATAAAAATAAAGGTGATGTACCAGGTACAGAAAAGTGTGCTATTATGTCATTTTCATTGCTCATAGAAGCCCAATTTCGATATTCTTCTTCTACCGCTTTTTTAATCTGTTGCTTGTTTTCTTTTGGCACGCTATTTTGTTGGAAAAATTCGCTCAATACTGGAGGAAAACATTGAAGAGTATGATTGGCCCACGAATGTGGTGTATTTTGCATGATTGTATTCAACAATTCCTTGCACCATGTTCCACTGTGACTATCCGATCCTGTTCCCGTAACGTGCATAGAACGTGCCAGTGTCAACACTAAAGCTCTATTTAATTCCTCAGATTCTGCCGAAACTAGAGTTTTGGGCTCCGATAAAAATCGAGATAATTGTGGTTGCACTTCGGCTGATCCCAATCCAGTGATTAAACGAAGAGCTGTGCTTTCCACGCATAAATGTAGTTGAGTTTGATTAGTTTGAGGCACAGCTGCAAGACTATGTAAGTGAGACAAAAGTTGCACTCTATAATGTGGTTGTATGTGGTGCATCCTATAACTAAACATTTCTAAAAGAGTATACAATGTTCCCCATGCGTGAGACTTAAAAACTGTTGGTAGCAATTGACTAATAAAACCTTTGATGCCAAGGCTTTCAATCTCGGTGTACACCAATAGTCTACTGTAAGTTTCAACCAGCGCCGGTGCCAATGCCATGTTACTTTTAGATTGTGCCGACTTAATAACGTGACTAACAATGCTATGTATTAAACTCATTTTAGAATGAACAGTTAACGAATCCAAGATTGACATTGATAATGGCGTTGTCGGTCCACTTGCAAGGGCTGCGTTATTTTGCAACGTTTGCATCGGCTGTTGCTGCTGACCTTTTTGAGTACCAAGTATAGTATCTACTAAAGCAGCCATTGGTCTACCAAAATATTCTTGATTTGTAGAATATGCATTACACAGCAAAGCAATACGATAGTCAGATCCCATACAAAGAGAAGTATTTGGCATAACTAAATGTTGTAAAAATTCATGGTGAAGTTTTAAAGTATGTGGTATTGGTCTGTGGATATTTGAATGTTCAGACTGAGCTTTCTTTAACAAATGTATCCATATACATGTAATAGCCATTTGATGTGTGCATAATGCTTGAGTATAATCCGGAACCGGTAAGGGTTCCTTCTCTGGATATAAAAGATCGTATAATTTTAATACTGGCAAGAAGTTTGATAATGGATTTCTCTGAATACTTCCAGAAATGAATTGCAATAAAACCCACATTAAGTGGTCCCTTCCCTTTCTCAAATCTCTTCCTGCTAATTTGTCGTGTATTGCCATTACGATACTCGGAAAACAGGCGTACGAAAAAAGTACAAAATATATAAGCTGCGATGAAAGATGCAACCATACATAATGATTTGCAACAGTCCCATCGGTTCCTTCTGCTGGTAATGTTTCATTTTCTGCACGTTCCATAGCAAGAATTACAAGTTCTACCAATTGCTCTTCCAAAGCTATACATCGTTGTTTTTGCTGCAATAGAAGCATAAAATTATTATTGTTCATATTATTATTATCATTTTTTAATTATTTTTTTATTATTAAACATACTTGTTTCTGTAAACCAAGCATTGAACACACCATATCCCTACTGTAAGGTTGTTCTAATACATATCTAAGCAATTCAGTTTGGGGTTTAAGTAAATCCTCATCATAAGGCAAATTTCCTTTTAATGAAAATTTTAATGTTGTTGTATCAAGTACCCAAGGATTGATCAAATCCGCATATCCAGTATGTTCAACTACAGGCAACATTTTTGAATGTCCAACTATAGATACCATTTGCGCAGTATTGCGAAAACTTTCAACAAAATTTGAAAGCAATTTCGCTAATTTCTTAAAAATTAAATTAAATAAATATCATGTATTATTAAATTATGCATTAAATAAGTTTGATAAATTCTATCTTTGAAATAACATACCCAATGTGGCCAATGTTTACCATCAGGATAAGCCTTTTGAATTTCAGTTACAATAAAATAGCCCGGTAATAAACAAGCATTTCTATCAAAAATATATTCAATTACATTTTCTAAAGCTTTTAACTGAGATTGAACAGATGCATCTAATCTTGATGGGATCGTTTGGGCTTTTTCTTTGCATCCCTGCAATCAGCACTTATTAATTTTAACTTCTAGAAATTTAAAATTTGTTTTTTGATAATTACCTTCATTATCTCTCTAACACCCTTGTAATCAACTCCCCCAATGATGTGTCGAATAAAAACAAAACATTCTACCCAAAAGTCTTCTGACTGATATTGAAGTTTATCAGAATTTAATATACATTCACATACAAGTCTGAAATCATACATATTTTACACAACATTTCATGAATAATACTTTATTCCCAAATTGATCTACCTTGCTGGTAAAACATTAGATGTGACTAAATTTTCAAGTAATGACAGTAATAACTGTAATCTCTTATGGTTAGTCATTGCCGCTGCTAAAAATATAAACTGTTTTACTGCATTTTCTTGCTGTTCTTTGCTCAAGTTTGACATAGCAGATGACAATTCTGTTTGCCATTTTGCTATTTTTTCGTTCTTGCTGTTTGGGTGATGTACCAACACACAACTGAAAGCTTCTTCTACAGCTTCTACTTTCTGCAATAATTTTGCGAAGTGACAAAAATTAAAACATGTTAAAATATGTATTTTTAAAAAATTGAAAGAGAGGAACTATGGAAATAATACAACTGTTATTTATTATATATTTATTAACTTAAATTTTTTATAATTATAATAATTATTATGACAAATATCATTTTTAACAAAAAATTATCTAAAAGTATAACTAATAAACTTAAATAAATGTTCATTTAATCCGAAATAAATGTAAATACGTATGCCGCAAAAAAATTGAACCTTAACCTTAACGCTAATTTTTAAATTATTGTAAAATAACAATTATAAATGACATATAAAATAAAGTATAACGTAAAATGTATACATTAATTGTATAAGTATAATGCACACTTACTAAAATATCATTTACAATGATTGTGATTTGATTTTCACCGCTCATCTTTTTGGCTAAACGATTTCAAGCTTCGATGGAACAAAAGTTATAAATTAACATACAATAACATTATATTTACGTGTTTCATAACTTCTCTTCAACATCCAATGTAATAACAGATCAGATCATATATACAATTTATTATTCTGTTTACGTTTATATACGTTTATATATTGAATGAAAAAAAAGGAAGAGTGATCAATGATCAGTAGCGTAGTACACGTAAGGTGTCGCTGTAATAGGAATTAATATCAAATATAAATCGGAAGATGACGCTGTTGGTAATTCACAACGAACAAATTTTGTTCAAATTTTTCACCGTTAGTGTTTCGATGAAGCTTGCTTTGAAAAACATATATAAGTTACTGTTTGACAAAACACATTTCAATAAGTTCTTATACATTTATAAATTTGCTTCAGATACTTTCGTCACTTGGGACGGATGTCCCATGATTATTGAAAAAAAGAGAAAGAAATCGTATTTATTATATAACCTACATACAATTGGAAGATTGAAGCAAAGTAGATATGTTCTCAGCGAAGTCTAACGTGAAATCAACGTTACTTTACGGGCCAGCTGAATTGAGTAAATCTTTTATGTTTGAGGTAAATCGAGATTAGATAATTAAAAAAACTTATGACAATAATATTTCGTATGCAATCTCAAAGGTAATTGACTTGAAATAAATAATAGAATTTAGATTCCAGAGAGGAATTGAAGATCAGGAAAAATATGCGATATAGATACAATATAAAATAAGGTCTTTAATTTGTTTCTTCAGATAAATCAAAACAATAGATAAAGTTATTTGTTTGTTAAATTGCACTAAGTTATTATTAAATTATTAATTATAATTTAATAATGTTAAAATATTAATGTAATTTTATGTACATACAAATTAATATAATTACATATGTATTGAAATTATATTATATAAATTATATGTATTGAATTATATTTGAAATAGATAAGTTTCCGCTCCGATTGAAGAAGTGGTGGGGACATCAATGATTAATTAACAAATTTAGTTAACAAGATAGTCTACGCATAACGTCTGGATATTATAAAAACACTCAGAAACATGATAACATTAACGCAGTCTGTGGCCAAATCTCAAGTATTATTAGTGTGTAGTAATATTTGCGTTAAGAACTGCGCGATCAGCGACCCGTTATGGATCTCCCGTTTTGTCAGAAATGATACTGGATTTTTTCGGAATTGGGTTTTTCTTCGTAGGCAGCAATTTACTGGGCCGAGGAAGGACGTTGCGTCGTTTACATTACACCGGCCCCGTTGGAGGAACTGCCAGCAGCCTGCCATGATAGAAGTAATCCAGCACCCATCGCTTTCAAGCTGATGAGATTTATGTAAGCGGAACACTTTTCCTGCGGCGCTTCTGCACGTGCATCGGCCTTCGGGATTCGTTTCTAAAAAGAGCGCCAGATTTATATCCATTTAACTAAACTAAATCGCTTATTTTGAAATCGTTCGCTTCGCCCGAGGTTCCAGTCTCGAATGCCGGTTAATATATTGCGTACTTGCCGCGTTCTACGACGCAGAAGAATTTATTGTCCCTTTTCGATCCTCCACGAAAAGAGATCACGTTGTTTCTTTCATTTGTTACAATCATTTCCAATTGATTGACTGAACTGATTATAAAAGTATTTGAACGCTCGAATTTCATTTGAACACTGTCACGAGACGTAATTATCTTGATTATACGTATTGGTAAAATTTGAAAATTATTAAATGTTGGAAATAATTAAATAATGTTAAATAATGATAATTGACTGTTTATAAATACCTATGCGACTTCTGAATATTACATTAAATTTACAGATTGGTTTCAAATTTTACCCATAGAATTGTGACAGCTGCATGCCAATATCCCAAATCTAAAGTTCAAACTCAATATATTGATAATGGCTTTCCAGAAGTATTCAAAATACTTTCAAGAGCCATTAATTGTTGGATTCATACCGAAGGACTCGTACCGTAATTTTACGCCATGGAATAATATGTAGAACGGACGATTTTGAATTCGAGAGGTTTGTTCAATGTACCGGAAGCGATCGATCAAGGAACATTAGTTATTTTACACGTCACACGCGACAGGTATTGACATTCTACGTGCATGAACATATGCGTTGTTTACAAGCGATCGTATTTTCAGGAGAGGCTTGTGTTAAATGCGCATAGATCATGCCAGAGAACGTTATTCATTCTCGGCTGTAGCGAACAGCAACGAAGTATGTATATATGCAGTTTATTACTACACAAAGAACTTTGATTCATCGTTGAATAAATTTGCTCGAGACTATCGCCTATAATAACAAACGCTTTTTTTTTTATTAATTGTTTAGCCAGGAAACGATACTTCTTCGCCAAAAAGAAATTAACGAAAAAATTCTTAGTTGTTTGTATCACTCACACAGAGATTTAGGAACAATAACATGTTGAAGATGAGACACGCGAAAAATGATCGATATCGTTTTCGTTCTTTCTAGCAGTCAGTTTTAATTACGCTTATAAAGCTAATACTTTGTGGATAAAACAAGTCAGATTGGAAAGGCTTATTCTTCCCGTTGGATAAAAACCAGAGTTCGCAATTTTTATACGCGATTCATCGTGGCACCAGAAGCAGAAGTAAAATAAACGATCGAGTCGGAATCGTCGCAAATCAACTGGCTCCTTCTTTTACGATTTATTTTTCAAAGCTGAGATTTCGTCTTTCGTTTGAGGATTCGTTGAACGTGCTTTCTGGTGAAACGAAAAGGTTCCCCTTTCTAACTACGTCTATTCACTTTGCTTTGTACTTTTCGCATAATGTAGTGTAGTATAAAGTTGCAATTCATCTCTTTATTTTATTTTTTGTTTCTTTTTCTTTTTGTTAGTTCTTTATTTACAATTATAATTACACGATGATAATTATAAAAGATAAAATCATTGGAATTTAAAAAATTGATAAATAATTTTCTTTAAATTATATTACGTTTTAGAGCTTGATGTAAATCAATTGAAACTATCACTAACAATAATTTTTATCAAAATCGTTAATTATTGATGACACAGTATTTATCTTCGCTTATTTAATTATAGGTGATAATTAAAATACATAACAATATGATTAATTATTGAATAATTCGAGTAATTTCGATTCAGTCTTTGTTCGAGTGATTCTACGTTAGATTTACAAATACGATAACGCTTTCACTTCTGGAAACCAAGTTTATTGATTTTTAAACAGATTTATACAGAAGCAGTATACAGAACGCTATTTTACGTTTATTACCAACATCAATTTAGGCTCATGGGATCATTGCGTTGCTTATTTATTTTGTAGTTATTAGTCATTCACGATATCAAATTTTGTCAATAAATAGTACATCCAAATGGTTTTAGTGGGTCATAAGTAATCACTGGTCACAAGTAATCACAGTTTCAGATTTTTCTCTCAGGTAGCTGTTACTTATGTTACAAAGGAATAAATTATTATTTCCTAAAAATAACGAACAACTTTGGTATCTATAGAAAGTTTTATTCAAAAAGAAATATAATTTGTAGAACTGTAACTTAATTAATCAAAAATGAGGCGCAAAACTTAATGATAACTAGCAATGTTAGAAATATAATATAATACTTATAGAAATACAATAGAATACAATAGTAAATTGTAATTCTAATAACGCAATAATGATACAGTATATCATAAAGATGGTATAATATATATGATTTAATAAAAGAAAGAAAGAAATTCTATTGGAACATAACTACTATGAATGAACTGCGAGTCATTCTGTAATAAGATTGCAAAGTGTATGGTGTACAGTGAATTTATTTTTGATTACGAAATCGAACGCAAAACAATCACGAAGAAATTTATACCTCAGGTACTTGGCTGACTATGAGGCTCTCGTAAATCGACTTGTCGAGCTGCACACCTTCGTCAGTTTGCCTTCTGTGCTTTTGATCGATAACTTCGACGCTTATATCAACTATAAAGAAAGTGAGGTGTCGCAAGATGTACATTTTGCCAGAACGTGTTCACTAATTCTCGACACAATGAATTCTTGCGCGCGAATCCTGAAGACCGACGTAAGTGAAGATATACACTGCTAGCTATAAGCATTAAGACATCATTACATTTGCCGAAAATTTTATGAAAAACTACATTTACAGAAATTTACTGAAAATTTTATTTACCTTTGATGAATTATTATGACAGATGTAATGCAGCGATAGATTTATAATAAAATAATTACAAAATGTAAGCAGTAGAAAATATTTAATGCTTATAGTTAGCGATATAATTCTATCAAATAAATAAATGTAAAATAAGAAATACATCGAAGAGAAAAGAAGAGAAACATTTGTCTATATTTGTTTTAGGTATATGTATGCGCCTGGTCCTTTTCCGCGATGGAAGATATTTGCCCATACACGATATACTTTACCAACATTTGGAATGTAACAAACGAAGAAGAAAGTAAAACGATACTGGTACAAAAATACACGCAAACCGTTCCTACCGAGCAGTGTCCAATCTATAGATACTGTAAACTTGAAGATGGAACGAGGGTGTTAAAACAAATTTTGTATGAAGCTGCGGAGGATCAATCTTAGAAGTTCATTTTAGAATCACAGTTTTCGAAGTACAGTGCTTTCGGGAAGGATATTTTCAAATGTAAATGGAGTTAGTAGGATAGAAGAAACAATATTACAAGAGCTTCAATTATTTTAATATATCGAAATGATGCATCGAAAAACATTTGTATTTTTTACATATCGTATTTCATTTATATTCCTTTTTATATGAAAATTTTTAATTCATCTAATCAATAGTTGATTTATTATTTATTATTCATATAATCAAAGATTCCAACACAATATTTAATTTTTCTAATTGTCATGTATATCTAATAAAATATATTGTTTCTTATCATTTAGAAAGTATCAAAGAAACACAAATGAAATATTCTAAGAAGGCAATGAAATTGATAATTCACGCATCAAGCTTAGTTCACCTGACACTCAAAAAATCTAACACTAGGTCCTTGAACATGTTAAAGCTCAAAGATCGCTTGCAGGCATTGATTTCATACCTACAACAAATTGGACTCGAGCAATTTCAACAGAAAATTACATTTGCATAGAAGATACGCACAGTGCAATAACCAGCGCTAGTTTGGTTCTTCTCAAAATCTGTCTCTATTAAACCAACTTCCAGACTCGCATCTCTGCATTATAATAAATACATTGCAAATATATAAAATATGCTTCAAATGAAATTCTTCAAGTTAATATTATCTCTGCCAATTGTACACAATTAGTAAATGTTATATAAAAATTGTTCTTGCAGGGAGTTAATAAAAATATTAATTTCTTCAGATTGCATCAAGTTCTCAAATAGATAGGAACGACAGTGTACGTTGTAATTATTTTTTTCAACACTATCATCGATGCAAGAAAATGTAAAAAGAAAGGAACTGATGGAATTCAGTTAAAAGCTAACGGACGACTTTCTTTATATTATTCTTCGCCAATATAGAAACGACATAACAAAGGACAGTAACACGTTGAAGAAAGATAAATGCAGAGGGGGGGGGGGGGTTGGACGTTGGCGTCCTATTGTCTGGTTCTTCTGGTCGGCCAGGTCGAGAGCCGAGGTCTTGGGAAGAATCCCCATATAGACTGAACCGACCACTTGTTCCAATCGGTCCGAAATAATCTGAAACTGACAGGACTATGGACCTGCTGTGAACTTCTCGCATTGTGGTAATAAATGGAAAATTGCTTTGAGGCACCGCCAACGGGAAAATGTTACAAAATAAATAGAATGTCAATGTACAGTCCAACTGTAACTAATTTTATTGCGATCCTCGAATTTTTCTTTTTAATTTCGCTTTACTTGGAACAAGTGTAATAAGACACTTCAAAGAGAATGCAAGAAAAGATATTGAATAGAAGTTGACTATAAATTGAGGAATCGACACATTTGAGGAAGTGATTTGCTCTGGTTTGATTTCAAGCTGATTGTTATTAATTTATCGAAATTATTGAAAAGCAGAGCTACTTCTTTATTACAGCAGCAAGAATCCGAAAGATTCAGCAGGGTTGATCAGTTACAGGTTACAACAAGAAAAATATATACATGTCTGCATGAACAGAGAGTGGAAGAGAGAGAAAGAGAGAAGAGGATAATTACGGTGGAGAAAATTACAGGGTGACTTATACCAGCAGAAGTTTACAGATCGCGAATGAACCGGCTCTTGGTGGGTTCAGAATCAGCAAGACAACGGTAAACCACCGTCGTTGGTCTGTTGTGATGAAGAGCAAAAAAGAGACAAAAGAAGAGGCAGAGAAGAGACGAGTAACGAGAAGAAAGAGGGAGAAGAAGAAAGGTAAGAAAAGGAAAGGGAGAAAAAGCGAGAAAGAAGATCGCATACCTGAGTGAACAGGTGTGCCGGAGTGGACGACGAGTGAGTTGCTGTCCAGCCGACGGCAGCTTGGCCAATGAGCGGCCTGTTAAGTCCCTTCGTGCACGAGAAACAGGGACGCAATCACTTCGCCGATTTTAGAATTCGTGACCGCTTGAAATTCCACCAAGGAAAGTAAAATCTTGCAACTATTAAAGACCGGCTTTCTCCTCCCAGAGATCGTAAAGTTCATAAATTCGCAAGATTAGTATTACTCGTTACGTTCTGTTCTTGAATATCAAAAGTCAAATTTGTAAAGTTATAGGAGTGATAGAAGGAAGCACAGTCGTAGATTCAGATTATAGTTCTTGAGCGTACTTACTTAAGTCAGGTTTGAGAGGTTCATAAAATTTTATAGTTATTGTCTTCAATTATTCATATTTGAAATTGACAATCAGTGGATGATTTATTTGAATTATGACTGACAGGTAATGTCTGAAAAGCAGACAGCGAGTGTAAAACCGTTTTTGTCTCTTTGGTTCTCTCAGACACGGCAGTATAATTGCACTCACGATCCTCGTCACTTTCTCCTGGACCGACGCGACCGCATTCAAATATACTAACAGCTACTTTGAATGCATCCAAGAATTCAGTGATTAACTATGTCTTTTCTTTCTTGTTAATGTCTCGAATTAAATTCGCTTTTGTCCATGAATATTTAGAATTTTTTGGCAATGAACTTTATTTCGTAATCCGATATTTAGTCTGATTATTATTTGCATCGTTATAATCGTGACTGAATTGTCAGTGTACGATTAACTTAAGAAGGAATTAAGAATAAAAGAGGAAATAACAAACGTTATTTTTCTTGCCAGTTATTCCTTCAGAGGGAGAAGGCAACTACGACACGAAACAGTTAGTAAAGTTGTTCAAAGATAGTTAATAGCGAACCCTACGAGAAAATTACACCCACGGGTACGTACGTAGGTAGCTGAGCAATAGCGAGTTATTATCTCGCTCACTACGCCTACCAGTGGAACGAGTTCAATCGAAGAGTTCGATCGTTCTGGCTGATTAACCATCATTGTGTTTGCTTGACTCAAGCAGGTGTCTCGAAGATAGATATTGCTTGCACGCGACAATGTTAGGAATTATTGATGGAACGACCGGCGTACCGGGCAGGTTTAAATCTGAGTTACTTAGAGCTTAATCTCTCCTGCCTACCTTATGTATAATTTTATGCTATGTTTACGAGCGTATAGTTAAATAGCGTATTCGCACGTTGTTTTGCGTTACAGATCACAAATAAACTACGTATTCACTTGTTTGTTACGTTAAATGTTAATAGAGTGAACTCTTTCAATAAATATTTCGAAATTAACTTTCAACATAGATATTTCGAAATGGATTGAGCTTTATTGTTTTTCTACCTCAATTTTTCTTATTCGTAGATATGTTATTAAAATCATAATGAAGGATTCATAATTAAGAAAAGTTGTGGAAGAAGAAAACTAAGAGTTCTACATTCTGGATATATTTGGAACATATAATGTGGAAAAAATATAAATGTGAAACATTCAGAGGGGAGTACTTTATAAAAATATAAAATTGTGTAAACATTTGCAGTCTGTTGACAACAGAATAATCATGAGAGACAATACATTTCATTACTCTATTGAAAGGATGCAGAGAACATTGTTCCATTGATTCCAGATGTTCCCTTGCGGAACTAGAAAGGACACTGGAAAGGAGGGGTGATGGAAGCGCGAACTACAGGCACGAAAGGAATAAATCAGGCCTCCGATTGAAATTTAATGAGGAACGTGGATGGCCACAGGTGTGCGTTCACTTCTAAACGCACGATCCGCCTGCACCCTCTTGCACCCTTCTACCGGCCGGCCGGTCGCTGTTAAAAGCTACATTCCATCGACCAAACAACCAGTTCTGAATCGATTTCGAATTCTCGATGGCTCATGAATCTTCGATCAGCACGGGGCTACACGCATACCTGGAAGTATGTATCGAAGAAAGCGAAATGACCGTCGGATTTGCTTTATTCGCGTCGACGAGAGTGCATAACGTAATCGGATGTATCGTGTTGCGGTACATTGCTCCTGTAACAAGGGAAATTGCTTTTGAAATTGAAACTCTCTTTAAACGGATAATCGATCGATATTTCAATTTTTATCAAATTTACACGTGCGCCGTGTGTTTTGATTATATTACAAACGAGATACTATACGTAATTAGTTTATTTCTGTTATCTGCATCAGACAGTGAAGTAGCATCAAGAAGAACATCAAGTACCGACACGAGAAGCTGCTGATCAGATAAGAAAGCGAGATAAAAATAGAAGTTGCATAAATGATTCTTTATAACTGAAAGAAATACAAGCAGCACTGGTAAAATAATTTTTATTACAAAACTAAATTTTTATTATATAACTAAGTTTTCGATATATCACCCTAATTCAAGGAATTTTTCACGCAATTTTTAATTATATGTTTTTTTTAAAAAGCTTTTACACAGCAGAGTTATTTCATTGGAAAAAAAATAATTGGAGAACCAAAACCGCTCTGCTCACAAAGGAACGCAACCTCTTTACTGTTCACAAATCACACTGGAATAATCCTTCAAACAATACATCTGTTTTACCTTTCCGAAACGTAAGTCGTATGCACTCACAGAAAGAGGCGGTATCCATTCAGGTAAAAGAAAGCTAAATAATGGAAACTGAATGGCCCTGGTCCTACGGACCCTTGAAATAGCGAATGATCTCGAACACGAGAAGTCTTCTTCGCTCGTTTAACCATCGAAATTCTCCGATAGCGACGAAGAGGAGTGTAACATACAGGACTGCAACGGGGAGCTTGCCATCGGGCAGAGAGACAGGCTACTCCAGCAGGCGAGCAAGTGCCAGTTGCTCAGCGGCAGTTGCCACGGCTAGACATACATTTGCGTCCTTTCATCAAGGTCCTCGTTTGTATGCAACTTACCCCCGGTCGTGTTTCTTTCAAAAGTAATTTCAAGTATTTTTAAGTAACCATTGTAACGTAAAGTGACGAAAAGATAGCCCTGAAGAGAAACTAGAAAAGAAAGGAAAAGAAACGAAATCGTGGAAACGTTTCAAAGGGAAAAGAACAAGAAAAAGAAACTAGAGATCATGAAAAGGAGAATGCCATGTGCCAGGAACAGTGAGTGCGTGTGAGTGGCGTGCGTGTTACGTGCGTGTGTCGGACCAGTGGCTTCGGTCCTTCGACCCTCGAGGACGTACCACCAGCCGAGGACACGATGATGATCCCGATGATACAAGCTACCATCCTCCTGTCCCTCTTCGTTTATCTAAATGCCGCTCCGAACACCATCACTATGGCTAAGGTAAGTAATTGAATGTTGGTTTAAAGAATTTAAAGAATTAAAAAAAAAAAAAAATAGAAAATTAATGTTAACTGTTTTTGTATTATGGACGAGGGTCGAGTTTTAATTTTGTTTAACGAAAAAAAGCAACGACTAAGTTGATTTTCATTTTATTCCTTAGTAATACTTTACACAAAGTATTTGCAAGTAATTTGAGAGAATATATACAATTAAGAAGTTTGATTTATGACACATTTTCATGAGATAACGCTAGTAGTGATAGTATATTTAACGTGAATTGAGATAATAATTAATCTATATTTAATAACTATTAATCTATATTTAATTGACATTAATAGTAATGTTATTAATGCGCGTACATTTAATACACATTAATAACAATGTTATCTTAATCCAATCATCTTACAACACCCACTCCGAAAGTAATCAACAGAGTTATATCCAGGAAACAAGATTCGTTTGTCATCTTGTCATATAAATTCCGTTGTTGCAAAAGGAAAGGATCACAAAAATACAAACGGAGTTAAACGAGTCCAAACGTGCATGATCTCGTGATCATTCCAATATATTTCGTGTAGGAGCGTGCAGGTGCAACTATTTACTAGAGGTGTTAGACGGTTAAATGGTTCATTGTGTAGTTAAGAGGTATTCACTTGGCAATGGTTGGCTGTTGGTTAATTAGACACGGTTCGCCAGTGCGATAACTGCAGATGAGAAGAGTGGTTTCGACTAACGAATGGAACGTTTCTTTTTTTTTTTTTATACTTCGTTGCACGACAGAAAAATTATTAGCGCTTATACGAGCCGTTCCATGGCCTTTTAAGTGTCCCGCCGTACGATACATTTAGTCTTTTTGTTTGTACCAAGCAAAGAAGAAAGGTAAATAGCGGTAATATCCAACACTCGATTAGAGATCCGATGCTATAATTTTTTTTTTCCTTCTTAACATAATTATAAATACGCGAGATATCGCTTCTCTTTCTCTGTTTCTGCCCCTGTTCCTCTCCCTCTTTATTACTAATGATTAATCGAGAAACTCCGACCAACGCTATACTTCGTTGTTAACTTAATTATGTAGAGCACCCGATAACTTACTGCTTTTACACTCGGTGGAAAGATAATTTTGATTTCTTGTTACGAAATTTTATTGCATTACACACACACACACACACACACACACATTCTCTCTCTGTTCTAAGAAAGATTTCAAAATAAACGATTCATCCGTGAAATAGTGGCGTTTGTTATCAACGTGATATGTTCGATTGCGGCGCGAGATCTTCAGATTTCACAAATATGATTCATCGTTAACTTAATCTATGCTTACGATCGTAAAAGGCAACGCTATTACGACACTTTGCAATATTCGATAGTAACAACGAACTTTCTTCTTAGCACCTCGACTTACGATCTTTCCCATGACTATGTATCATACATCAGCGTGTTAACTAGCGATTGCTTTAACAGTCCGAGACAAAACGTTGGAATATTATATGTTCAGTAATTTTCTATCTTCGTAATATCAAAGTACCGTCAAAATTCATGCGTTGAACTTTGATACAGACCTACCCTCGCTGTATTTAATCTGTAATACATATCATCTCGAGTCTGACTCGATATTACAAGACGAGAGGTTAAAAAAAATTCGCGTAGGTGGTCTTATGACTGTGCCACAAATTCAAAGTTCAGTTTTGAACTGAAATAGCTCAAGGAACAGGCTGAATTCTTTTTGTTTAATTAAATAAACTCATAGCTAAAGAAATGGAACCTAAATAGAAATTCTTATATATCATGACAAAATACTTTATATTGGGTATATTTTGCATGTATTTTTGCAGAATAGATGCATTCTATAAAATCTGTAGTCTACTTGGTGATCGAAAAATTCTATTATTTGATTTCTTTAATTACTTTTCATCATAATATTTATTATATTATTATTATATTATTATTTATTATATTATTATAAATAATATTTATTATCACTTATGGTTATACATTCATAATCTCATAGTTACTGAACCTTTTTTTTAAAATTTAAATAATCTTGCCTCTTATTTAAATCTTATTTTAAGAATAATTATATTATTTAAATAATTTAAATAATCTTAAATAATCCATGTCTCCATACGACCTGTGTTTCTAAGCATAGCACTCAGTTTAACAAAGATCTATCAGAAAGAAGTCTCGATTTTTTCAAACAGCTCGACACAAGTTCAATTAACTTAACACGATCCCAAATGTCTCGAAACATCACCAATAATTCTCAAAATCATAGCGTCCGAATCGATTTCCGCGGGCAGTCGCCGATGGCAACCGGCTAAAGAGAAAATCGCATTTATTTATGTCGCAGCCATTCGTTTCTTCCCTATCGTAATTAATTACGATAAAAGCCGTGTCTACACAGTATACTTTGTTCTTTCTCCGTTTCTACCGTTTGTTTGTAAATTAACGAGTTTTCCTCGTGCGTGCAGAAGCGTAGAGAAGCTCACGAGGGACAAGCTTCGTTGGAGATAGCACGATTTTTCATTCCGACGCCGGGATAACGATATTCGCTTTCAATTACACGATATTCACGACAGTTAAATGGAACGCGTAATAGCCGCGAAATAACATTTCTCCGTGACAACGCCGATAAAAAACGCCACCATTGCCGTTTCATAGATTCTAGAACCAACTAATTGCAAGAGCGTTAAATTTTAACATTTTTTTTTTTTTTTCGACCCGAAAATCCCTGCTGTAAAGTTAGAACAAATAACGACGTTAATAAACAGCGAACGTTACATCGGTGCATGGCAGTTTTATACTTAATGATTTTGTTGTTTTGCTTCTCCACTGCTCCGATCTCTCTCTCTCGATATATCAGGAAAACGCTTATCCTCTTCGCGAGAAGCGCTTCGTGCTCCACTCTTTTCTCCTTTCGCACGACATTGCATTCTGTAATTAAATTGTTTGCAGCTCCGGCTTTTACAAGAGATACAGTTCTGTTAGTCGAGCGCGTAAGATTTTTTTAACGATCATTTTGATCTTCATTTTAATTGGTGATCATTTTAACATTCAAGTTGCCGATGATTAGTTAGAAAATAAAAAGAAGAGGAGAATTTAAAGAGATAGTAGAACGTCCCTTATCTGTCCCTCTTTTTTCAAAATTTTTTTATCTTAATATTCGGACTATCACTAGAATATCTGCCAATATGTGCTAACAGATAGTCTAGTTGTTAGACATTTTGTTGTAATAATGTAACATTCGAATATTAACCCTCGAGTATCGTGAGCTTACAGATGACTATGGTAATGTGTAGAAAAATTTAATATAATTCTAATTTATATATTTTATATGTTTTTTATATATTTAATTTATTTTTAATAATTTAATTAATAATATTATAATAATATATATTTATATATATTATTATATCATTTATATTATATATATTATATTATTAATATATATTTCAAAAATTTATTATTTTCTCTCTTAAAAAATGTGAAAAACAAAGGTTCGCATAAGGGAGGTTCTACTGCAACAGAACAGGATCTAATTCCCGCGACTAATCTACATCAGCTATTATTCGCTCCGTACTACTCGAAGAAATCATTGACTCTCTCTAAAGAAAAAGACGCATCCGAAGAATGTCGAGTTTTTTTTTTCTGTGCTCTCTATCGAGACCACTTACGTAGGTGCAGGTTTGCCATCGAAAGGAATTCATACGTGGGCACACTTGGCATCCAAACGGCATTTTGTTGTTTTTTATTTCTTTTTTTTCTTTTCTTTTCTCGCCTCTCTCAGTTTCGACTTACACGCTATCGTCACACGGACAAACACAGCCGTGTTTCTTTTTTTCTTTTTCTTTTTTTTTTCGAGCGCGTTTCTCCTTTTCGCTCGACCTTCGTGAAAAAGGACGCACACGCTCCATTAATCAGTAATATTCGCAACATGGAGATTTCGCTGGTGTGCAATAAAATGCCATTCATTCGGGAATTCCACGCGGTCACGATCGATCTTTTGATTGCGCGTCCTTCCGATCTTTGCTCTCTCTTCGCCGAGAACTGCGAATTTTTCCGCTTAAATTTTTAATGTCTCGTTGACCGTGGAATTTCCTGGATTTTCTGATGTGGAAATTTTTTCTTTCCTTTGGCACAACTTCTTCTTGCGTGCAATATAGAGCATATGTAAATGCAAAAGTGCTCCATTAATGTAATTAGCGTAATATAGTAGAAGTAATGTTAAAGATTAATATAGGTACTGTCAATGTACAAACCAGTACAGCTCTTTCTATATATAATACAGAATGTGTATAAATTACAATCTTCAATTAAATACATACTTTAATAACCACATTATTAATAACAGACACATTTTTCTTCATATTCTTTGTGAGAGAAATATACTAAATTAGAACCATATTATCTTGACAAAGATATAGATTTATTATCTTAACAAAACACAGTGTGGCCTTCAAAAATATTTAATATTATTAAATATTTTTCAAGAATAAATAATTAAATATTTTAAAATATTTATAGAATATTTAAAAACACAGTTACAGTATCAATGTCGAATATCAAGTACTCAAAATCAATTAATAAAATTAACCATTGATCCTAACAACGCTATTACATCAATTATGCTAGTGTAATAATATAACTTCAAGTTTCCTCGAACGAACATCTGGTCAATATAATACCTGATCATTCTCCTTGAAAATCACTCAGTTGGCCACCAAAGCCTTCTCCTACCTTCATCTATAATCTAGGGAACAAACGATTTCTCTATCACATTTCGCGTCCTTCTCTTTCTTCTCTTACCGTTTCTCGTACCTAGCCAGGAATTTCGTTCGTTAACATTGAACGTATGCAAATCGCTATGGAGACGAATTCTTTTTACTGAGAGACGAGAATCGTGAGCCTCACTTCCGTGTAATCTCGACTTTCCCAGAGCCGGTAAGGAGAGATAAAACGATCTACGTAGGTCCAACTGATCCAGAGAACTAGGCTCG